GCCTTGAGCGAATGGAACAGACGAATTTGTTCTGAAATACATTGTAATGTTTCCATTTGTCGAGCCACCGGTCCACTGTACAGTAACAGTTGACCCAATATAAAATACCGATGCTGAGGTGGGACTGGTAAGCTGCAGTGCAGGTTCTGGAGCTGCACATATTCCTGTTTGTGGTGTTTTCGAGTCCGGGCACGAGCTGGTATAAAGCTCACAAATATTTTGAGCGAAACACCATCCACAATGTGCAGCAAGCACACATGTCGAGCAAGACGTGTAAGGTGTGCATGAAGAGGTACTTAAATCAGGATAGCTCAGCGTACTTAGCAATGTGTTTGAAGTGCTGATAGTTGGTGGCGTTGGAGGAAGAGTTCCGGGGAGGAACAAACTGGTCAAGGCCAAGCATCCCGAATTAAGCACCTGGAATGGCAATATGGGAATCGTTATTGTGTAGGGCAATCCAATAGAGGAACCCAGAGTAATAGCTGGTAGTAACCCCAGCGATCCTAAAGCGACGAAGCATATTAGTAAGCCCTCATAGCGAGAATTCAAATTTGGTGGTTTACCAATGCTGAGACTTGGGATTTTGATTTGGTCAAGCGAGAGGTCAGCATTGGCCCCCCAACCGACATCCCAAGATACTGCTGAGCTGGTGCCACTCTGCTGGCATGGTGGTGTAGATGCATCTTGGACATTGTACAGCTGAAGCCAAGACGATGTTGAAGCATGAGCAGCCAGATAAACGTCTCCAGTGAGACTGACAGGAACAATATCACCAATGTAAACGTGAATGGCAGGTCGAATAGAGAGCTTCATGATACTCGAAGCGTCACCGGATATTGATAGGCTTCCTCCCGTAGCTGTCGTGGGAGAGGGAGTGTCCAGATGCACAGAGTCCGTTACCGAAACTGTTACACTTTGCGATCGTGAATAATGTCCAGTAGCTTGCATCGACATGACACCGTTAACAGCTACGCTGCCCTCAAAGTTCAAATCTGCGGTGACTGTTATTGGAATGGGAATAGGTCCCAATGGGAGGACAACGGTTGCGATAGTTTGTGCTGGAATCACAAGCACCTCTTGTTGCCACTGTGAGGTGTAAGATGCTGTCAAGTCGAGTGCGACAGAAGCTTTCTCCTGCAACTGTATAGTGACTTTGAATGTATCGACCGAGGAATGAGGAGTGCCACATACGTTCACCTCAGGAGGATTGACAGGAGGAGTCCAACTGAATAAACTGAAAATTGAGCGCCCAACGTTAGCTGGGAAGTTAACGATATCATTGGCAGCTGTACACACGGCTGCGATGGCAGAGATAGTTAAATCAAAATTGATTGATACGGTAGCTTCAGTATAGCAGGAGGAGCAAACTAGTTCAAAGGCCATTACTGAGGTTCCCGACTGTTTGGTTAAATCAAAAATTGGTATGCTTCTGCTAGCGCTGTTGCTGCCAGGAACGGTGTTCAATCCAAAGCTAGCAGTGTCAGACCAAGGCCAGTCGAACCTACGATTCAAACGACTCATCTTCCTCCCAGCCCACCCATCCGAAATGGTAGTATTCGACATTTCTGGATGATATCGAGGAATGATATGGGCTCTGACGTGTGAGCTAGGTCCCAAAAGACTCATTTCGTCTACAATTTCAATGCCTTTTAAAGCGACAAGGACGACGGTTGAGTTGTGTGTCTTACGAATATACGGTGACTGCACCGTTTTGAAATACGTCGTCTTTGATGGCCGAGGGGCATCTCCTAAAGACACTCTTTGCTCAAGAAGCTCTGGGCAAAGATCCAAAATTTTAGAATTGGCACTTGCAAATACAGTTCCCAATCTCCATTCGTCAGTTATAAACAATCCCTGTAGCGAAGAATCAATCGCCAAATTCAGTGTATCCACGGTGCAAGAATGTAGAGAAATGTCCTTTTCGTCAATGTCGTCAAGTTTGACGACATGCTTCCATACAGAACCTTTAAAAAGAATTCGGTACCAGCTGCCATCGTCCTGAATGGCTTCTAAAAGGTTGTCAAAGTGGTAATAGTCTCGAGATTCAGCAATGGGGACCATGTCATCGGTCCTTTTCAAAAGCTTGTCGAAGGGCACGGCTGAAGACATGGATCCAGGCATGCCACTGATGTAGAGAGCGAGAGCCAGAAGAGTCCATGGAATACATGCATCATGTCGAACCATAATAATCACAAGGACGCTCGTAGGCTAACTTCGGTGGGCAACTGCTATTTTTGAAAAAAAGCCTGCTTTGCAAGCCAAGCCAAACGCCTTTGTATCACCCTCACTCCCTTTACCAGGTTTTGCCGTTGAGCTTTACATGAGAACCTGCTAATGTCGCAGCTTCTCCAGTCAAAGATTATTCAGTTGTATCGAAGCCGAAATGTTGAACTTCGCTCCAACCATTCCGACTTTTGTTGTCGTCGCCTCGCGACAAATCCAACAATCAGTGACGACGAGTATCTCAAGCAGCACAAGATCCCTCAAAACAAGCAGATTCAAAAGGATCAAAACCTCTTACAAGAGGTCTAATTCAAAAAGTCATTTATCAGTGGGTTGTTTGCAATTTCGACAGCGAAGTGGAAAACACTTCACAACAGGAAAGACACGATCCAATACAAACGAAATAAATTTTATACGGTTCAATTCTGAACCTGATCTACGATCCATAGTAGCCCAGTCATCATCAGAGAGTTTGAGATGAGGCAAGAAAAAAAGCTGGAAAGGACGGCCAGAATGGCGGATATAAGCCCACAATCAACACCATCATCTGCAGATGACGTCTATCAATCGTACTTGAACGCGTGTATGTTGTAACTGGACCTATTGAATGAAAAGAGTGTCAGAGATCTATGCACCAAAAAAATGGTAAATACATAAATCTCCATGATGCTCTCTACCTTCTCTTCTAGCACCTGAATAACATCTCTTCCAAGCATGCTCTCAATGACTGTATAATCGGAATCTATTTTGCGAGAAAGCGTTAGGATACAGTTCCAAAAGCGTCGGCTTTTAACCTGCTCATGGTGACCATACCATTCAAAAAGCAAGGCGTAAAGCTGCAATATCTACCAATCGAACGAGTCTTTCACATGAGCGTTGCTGGTGTTGGGCAGACTCAAGATGCGGGACAACAGGATATGAATTAAAGCAGCAGCAAGACTGAATGCAGGTCATAGAATCCCTCACGACACACAGGTTTGCTGACCCTGTTCATAGACCAACGCATTCGAAAGACCTGAATATTGTCCACAATCAATCAACTGCTTCATCGAATATGAAAGATTCGTGTAGGAATACTGGCGACTAGTTCGAGGTTTGATTTTCCTTGAATGATTCTGTTTGTTCGTATTTTCTGAATTTGGCTGCAAGTGAATGCTGATGTAGAGGTTGAAGAAAATTAGCCTTGAAGAAGAGGTCGCTTGAATAGGAGTAATTGCTGGTGTGAAGAGGCATCCTTTCCATTTTCCCGTAATTAACGAAGGAAGTCTGCTTGAAACAGCCCAACACTCGTGGTTGTATTTCGCAGCACTATGAGAATCCATTCCCCAGCAGCTACAGCGAGTGTCATTGCTCTCATATGATGGTCTGACAGCGTCCGTGCTGCTGCTGTTGATGTTACTACGACTGTCATTTATAAGCAACGTACAACCAAAAAACAGTTCCACTCGAAACCTCAACGTTCAAAGCGTTGATAGTTCAAGAAAATGTACAAATATTGGGCTTGTTTGTCCTTGCGACTCCCACAGCGTCCACGACTGAACACAGCCGGATCACACAGACTTGGGCAAGCTTTCGGCGATAGCAGAAAGCTCTTCCCACTGGCCGCCGCTACTCTAGTGGTAGCCACAGCCCGCCGGAAGTTTGGAGCTATAGCAGACCAGCCATTAGGCCCAGAGCAACATTTGAACCCACAAGCTCCCTTGCTACCATAGACACGACTTTTTGCAAGGGCGGGAGTCAAATGCTGCCCAACAGCAGCGGCATAACCAGCACACAGAGCTCGCCACCACCATTGCGCCCCCTGTCTCGTCGTGCGCCAGCAGGTTGGAGCAGTCGTTGCCTGTTGAAGTTACAAAGACAAACACGTCAGTCCAAAGAAGCACCGAATCAAGTTTGGTTGTAGCTCGAAAGAATTGAAACTCTTTTAAGCAATGTAGGTGTAACATAGCAATGAAGAAAGACTAATGAGAGTTGCGAGAGTATCTTAGACAAGAAACAAAAGTCAATGTACATTTGCAAGACTCATCCCAAGGACTTGCCATAAGTAATTTCCATAGTCCCAAAGCGTAGTTAGCGATACATTTGAGCCCTGACAAGATGCGCTGTCTTGGTACTTGTCAAAGGGACACACAACCTTCAACATTCCCCGTTCAAGCATTTTAGCATCCTACACCAACTCTCTCGTAACCTAAATCTTAAGACTCGTGACTACGTGTTTCTGAGACATCATCAGAGCTGCTCCAGCTAGCGTCATCTGTCTCAAAACATCTGTTCGTCATGTATCAGTGTTGGTGAAATTTGCGCTGACTGTTTGTACGGGCTGGGCTGTCATGTCAACCTGCACCTGCCACACCATCAAGCCCCTTCAACATCCAGAACGATTGGCTCTTCCCTCTTCCAATTACAGAAGTGAATTCCCACTACAAACAACAAACATCCTTTCCGTCACGAAACGACATCAAAAAGGTAATCTCAAATTCCAATCAGACACCAAAAGCCTCAACAAATAGGATTAGCATTCCTCTCTCTCCACAGTGGAACTCTTTAACTCTTCTGTCATCCCCGCCAACAATCAGCAGCGACGGGCAACGAAAGTATCAAAAGAACGAAACATTGAAACATGATGAAGCAAGACACACTAGATTCAAAAGAAACCAAATATATGAGTAATGTCTTTTTGCCATTCTGGCAAAAAAAAGTACAGAAGTGTACACAATCCGCAATTCCACCACTTACAAACCAACTCTATACGTTTCACATGTCAAACTATAAAATAATTACACCCCATTCTCAACCACAAAATCAGGGCTCTTAATAACAACCCCGTCACCATCCGAAGTCTCACTAGTATTCAACGACGTCTGAGACGCCTCTAACGGATTGGCAGGCACAAACCCTTGCATATCAATATCCTCCACAGTGATTTGCTCAAAAATCCGTTCCATCATCTTTTTATCAAAGTGGGCTGTTAGGTCTACGGCAAGACATGATGCTGATGCTGCAGCGAGTCCATATTTGAAAGCTTGTGCTGCGTCCTTATGGTGGTTCAAAAGTGTGGTGTGAGGCTTCTAACACGACAAAGAAAACATCATGTAAACACAGGAAGTACCTTTGACTCAAGATACTCAATCATAAACACCCCCGCACACGTATCCCCAGCCCCCAACGGATTCATCTTAATCTCCACATTCACACCAGCACTCCTCGGCACCGGTCGATGCGTGAACGCTCCAAATCCAGTCTTTAACGAAGTCCCACTCCCACCGACACCACGTATATTAAACAAATCACCATGAGATCCAAGCACTCGTGTGCCCGGATCGAGACCTGTCGATTCAGGTAACGAGGAAGAAGTTATTCTCATGAATGCTTCTAGATCGTCGTCTTGCGTTACGAGGTCGAGGACGTTAGGTATCGTGTATTTGTGGCACTTGTATGTGCGGTCGGAAGGGTTTTGGGATGGGTGGTTTGTTTGGGGGGTTGTGTTCGCGAAGGTCGAGTCGAATAGGTATGCGCTATATGGAATGATGTGCAGTGTTAGTTGGTTGAGCGTGAGAGAGCAACAAGTGGAAACAGTGTGACTCGTTACAAGTAATTAGCACTCACGCATCAGGCCCATTAGTTATAGCCAGCATCGGTAACGAATACAGCGACAGCACACGTTTCGCCACCACCACTAAATCCTCATTATCATCAACCCTACAGAAATTGAGAAGAATGGTGTAAAAACAGGAACTCTAATTCGTCAATGACATACTTCTTCTCAAACACAAACCACAACACTCACCCATACCCAGCCAGCACACTAGCTTCCTCCCCATTAATCTTCAATATATCAACCATCCCACTCTCCAAACATGGCTCGACATCCTGACACGCGTCACAAAACAATATACAATTGCTCGGTTTCAGTTGCGCTATCAGCGCATACGTTGATCCTGTTATACCAGGCGGCATCGTCCCACATATGGCTACTGCCTCTAGCGGTGTTTTGCGTGACGGTGATGTATGGTGGTGATGGGAAGAAGCAGGAGTTGGAGATGGCATATTTGTGAGGATTGAATGGAGGGTGGATTCTATAAGTGCTAGTTCTTGGGTCGCGACTCGTCCTGCTGGTTCCTGTGTGTCATGGATGTGAGTGTTGAGACTTGAAGGCAAAAATAAGACATAATCATCTCAAATTAATATGGTCAAACTCACAATCAACACCGTCATCGACCCACTGCGTTTATCAAGTATAGTTGTACTCGTACGTGTTGATTTCGTAACGGGAACTAGATCAAAAAACCGCAAATGTGAGAGATTGGCCAAAAAAGGGCCTAGTAATATTCCTATGACACACCAGTAAGCTGATGCAACCCCTTCTCCTCCAGCACCTGCTTGATATGCCGTCCAGTCATGCCTCCCAATGGCTGTATAATCGAAACCTATCATACAATAACCCGTGTCAAGACATAGTTCCAAACATCGCGATGATCAACACAAGTACCTTCTCTTTATGACCATACTGTTCACACGCCATTGCAAAATTTTGTCCTGTAAATTCAAAAAAGCAGCTTTAGCAATCTAGATCCATCAAACTGAATCGAAGGATCCGCACTCAAACCGTATCTACCTTTTCCACCTATAGAATGCGTCTTGCGATACGCACGATTCACCTTGCCCTCACGAAACGAATCGAAATGTAGGGTCGTTTGGAATGCTGGATTCAATCCTATTGAACCAGGGGTATCATCAGTTATCTACCTCATCACCACATTCACATGCAATCAACATTTACCAACAATAAGCAGCTCTCGACATTCACTCAACAATCCATCCAGTTTCACAGCCGACGATCTGCTTCTACTACGTAACTCTTCGTTATCTGTATCAGAATGCTGCCGTCCATGCGAGTTGAATGGCCGTATTGGGTTTCGAAGAGGCGAGTTTGCGAAATTGCGAGGAGAGACGGGATTCGAGTTGGAGGATGTCGATGACGATGATGTGGATATCTGCAGGGCTTGAAGGCCTGTTGAGATTCCATTGGTTCCCATTCTTGTTCGTGTGTGGGGTTTTGAAAAAGCGTTTTAAAGTGAAGATCAGTAGAAACTTGTTGGTTGGCTGATATTGTCAACCAAACATCGTGAACATTTGAATCTCGTGTTTGATGATAAGGATCAGGACCAAGTAATGTCCAAATCACGCGCAATAACACGTAGTACGATCAATACTTGGCTATATTCTACATTGGGAGATATACAATTAAAGACTGGGCTATATTTACAAGGCTTTTGGCTGCCTGCTTCTGCGTTAACGGAAAAATTTAAAATATAATTTACTTGGTTTTTCTTTTGTGCTTTTTAGCATCCTTTTTTTTTGTTCTCGTTCACCGGTTCAACAACCAACACCCCTTCACCACAACTAAAAAAATGACACCCAACATTTTTCCTTTCTTGTTTTCCATACCACAAACAATAATAGTCTACATATAAGATCACATTCTCTACAGCGGAGACATGATTGTTAGCACGGTTCATGAAGAAGAAAAAAAAACATTGCTTTGTCGACCTTCAATGCTCACCTCTAGTATTACAACGTTCACAGCCGAATAGCTCTTTAACTGTTTGAGACATCCTTAGGAGCAACCTGAGTAGGTGCACCAGCGACACCACCACCAGCAGCAGCATTCGTCATATTAGGACCATATACTCCTGGAGTCAAGTACTGCATTGGCACCATATTATTAGCCACAGCTGCTGGCATAGTCAATGGCTGATGAGCACCCAAGAGTTGAGCATGTTGCAATTGTTGCAACTGCTGAATCTGCAACTGGTTTAACTGCATATGTTGAGCAGTTTGCATCATTTGGAATTGCTTTTGTTGATTGGCTTGATATCGTCGCCATTCTTGTTCTGCTTCATATCGATCTCGTTCTATATCCCGTTGCATGGCAGCCCTCATTGCTGCATCTGTGATATTATGCATATTGTGTTGGTGTTGTTGAGTAAAGGCATACCGCATTTGAGATGCAGCCATGGCCTTGTTTTGTTCTTCATCGTCTTCCTCGTGTTGCTGTTCAGAGTGGCCCTCGCTACCACCATCTACCATCATACTATTATCCTTAGCGGATCTGTCGACACCACCAACCATACCACCATATGCAGGGAGAGATGTCTTTCGTGGGATTGAATCTTCTACACCAATATATCTACCACCCTTCGAGTCACCGTGGAGGAGACGACCATGACGTTCCATATCACTACGTCTAGAGAATCGACGATCACATTTACCACAAGCCCAAGGACGTTCACGTCGATGAGTAGCAGCATGATGTGTTCGTAGATTGAAGCGACGACCAAATCCGCGAGCGCAACCTGGATACGGACAGTGATACAGCCCAGTGGTAGGATCGGCTTTTACACTAGCAGTTACATCAGCTGACGATCCTCCTTGGGAAGAAGATGGAGCAGCAGGACATGGACGACCACTACTATGATTGCTACCACTACTACCAGCAGAGCCTGGACGTGCGCCTCTACCACCAGCACTACGACGATGATTTACGACAGGGAGTGACTTTGGTTCGGCATCTTCATGGCTGCTAGCAGTATCCGAGTCACTGTGTTCACCTTCTTCGAATGCGTCGGGTTCTTTTTCGGGTTCTTCACTATATTCTTCTCCTTTTACATTATTATTGCTACCAGCACCAGTACGGACTGGTGATGATTGAGCAGATCCTTCAGGACTGAGAGTATGATTATAGTAGTGCGACTTTAATTTTGCATGGCGACCAAATCTCATATCACAGTTCGGGAAGGGACATATTTCACGACCCTGAGGAAGAAAGTGTGTGTTACAGTTAGTTTGTTGTTGCTTGTGTGTGTGTTTTATGTTTGGGAGTACAAAACGTGATTGTCCACATATGCATATAAGGTAGATCGATCTTTTGAATGATGACGATATGTGGATCATCACACTCATTTGATAGCGTTTGATATCAATACACCATCACCCCTTGTTCTCTCCTCCCCTCTGTCCCATGCATTGACTACGCAAGTTAACTTCGCTGCACAAGACACGTTGTGAGTACATACCATCGCATCCAAACGAATGGGCAAATCATCAAAGTTGGCAGCACGTGGACGTCCTACTAGTGCCTCGGTGACCTCAGCAGCAGGTGCGATTTGTGGCGGGCATAAGATAGTACCACTCGTCTGAGTACTGTTTAATAGACTGGGCAATACAGAAGAGGAGGCCGACTGTCTGTTGTGTGGCATGGTATTAGTGGAATATACTATCCCTCTGTGTTGTTGGTGTAGAGGAGCATCACTGCTAGTATTATGGTGATGTTGTTGAGTCGATGAAGACGAGGATGTTGATGTTGAAGTGGCGGGCCACGAGTCCAACTGGGCAGTGGCATAGAGATTGAGGGCATCTTTTGAGATGATGGAGGGATGGTTGTATTCAGTGCGTGGGATAGTTGGTTGTCTTATAGTTGGGTGTTGATTAGTGTGTTCATCGTCGTCACATTCGCCGACAGCATCGTCCAAGACTGATGGATCCTGACATGAGTCGCTCTGCTTGCCACTGGATTTTTCAGTTCTGCCTATGGCGGCCTGCAGCAGCAGCTCTATTCCTGATTCCATGTTCATCTTCTTATAGTTATCTTGTTGATATTGTTGCAAGAACTTCATTGAATCACTGCGATGTGCGAGGCAAAGCGAAAGGACTTGCAAATGAATGAAGAGAACACTTATTCACCTGAATTCTATAAATATAGGGCTAAACCTACTGAAAGAAACGCGTGAATATTCTGCTCTGACAGCCACACACATCCAACCGAAATGGCACTGCTCACGTGAATGGCGACTAGAGCAGAGAGGCAAGAACACAAGCAGCAGACATATTCTTGGTCTCAATTGTATATATGCAACATAACAAAATAACACAATGGAGAAATATTTACTCAAAAGCAAGACAACAAGCCAAAAAACATCATCTGGAAAGGAAAAGCCAACTTCATTTCAATATGCAAAGTTGCCGGATATCATTTATGCTTCGTCTTCTGGCCGAGGTATGTTGTTGTATACCTGTTTGTTTGCTGCAGTGACTTGATATTTCAAACATTTCGGTGCAAAAAGATCAAGATCAGCATCAAACACTGACTAACACTGGACTTTTCCTAGGTCATCAAACCGGAACTTTGAGGCCAATGCGGGATTCAGACTCCAAACTATATTCGCTAGTATTGAAGGAACAAGTCGTTGAAAAGGTATGAACACGGATGAGGATGAAGGTTAAAAGTCATGCCCTCGACACCTCTCCTTCCTGTTGCTTAATCGCTTCAAGGAAATCTCTGTTGAATCCAATTCTGTTTGTTAACGTGTCACCAAAGCTCGTATGATGATACACCCAATAGTCATTAGTTCGTTGCCTACCCTTGTTTTTTGCCTCTTGCTGTAACGACTATGCTCATCTACACTTCATCTCCCTTTAGAAATCCAAGCTCTTTGACACCCTCATCTTCTACATCAACGGATACCTCGACATTGCCATCAACTTTCACGAATTCAAGTCCACAATCCTTGAACATGGCGGAACCATCCTCATTGGACCCTCTGCCAAGGTCACGCATACTCTGTGCACGAACTTGAGTGATAGAAAGCAAGACATGCTGGCAAACAAGAAGAAGACACATCACTATGTACATCCTCAATGGGTGAGTGTATTCCAGAGCTAAAAAAGGAATACTGGAATGAATTTATGGCACATTTCGCAACAGCACTCAACGATTCTTACTTTTCTTGCTAGATTTTGGACTGTATTGAACAAAACAAGTTGGTGAAAGAGTCTTGGTATACTGTACTTGAGAAAGGAGTGAGTGTATCTGCTGGCTGAACTTGAAGACGATCTCCTCTAACGATATTTTTACTAGGCACAACCAAGTGTTATGAGCTTGTGGAACAAGTGAGCGAAACTTGTTTGTCATACTATGAGGGGCTTTTTGGGTTGCTGATGCAAAGATACCCCAATTATACATTTTGCAAAGAGTTTGTACAAATGATTTATATATTTAAACTAAACCAAAATGTTGATTTGTGTATAAAACGAAATCCTCACTCTATACTTTTGTATGCCTGCATGTCTTCCTATCTCGACCGCTCTCGTCTATGTTTCTCCTTGTCCTTCTTTTCCTTTTTCGACGACTTTTTGCTCCTACCACCATCATCACTATCCGAATCATCAGAATACCTCCTCTTGTGCTTCTTACTCTTTTTCTTACTCGTAGTATGTGATTCACTGTCTGATGTCGTGTTGGCACCATGTGGTAGCGATGCACGGCGCTCTATACCAGAGTGAGTGGATGTTGGTGTGGCGACTGATGTAGCTGGGGCTGCGACGGACGCGAGTGCGAATTTGTTGGTTGGGCGGTAGTTTACGTCCTGTTCCAAGGTTGAGAGAGAGAGCAAGGGCGAAAAAAGGAAGATGTCGGACAAAAGCATGATGGATGAGGGATTCATGTAACGAAGTTGGGTATATGGGTAGATGATGAAGATGAACAAGAGCGAGAAGTGACGAAGCGACACACACACAGAGGGTGATCAAGGTTGTCACAAAGGGCAGAGGAAGGAAAGTTTGTTTGAGTACAAAAGAAACGACAAGTGTAAGCGCAAAGAACTGCAACAAATGCAAAACCCACCATCAAGAAATCACCACTCAACACATCCTCGCGCTCCTTGTTGGCTTCAACCAACTTTTGCTGCGTAGCATTCAAATACTTGTGAGCATTGCCATCGGATGGATTGAGTCGTAGAGCTGATTCGAAATCTGTTATGGCTCGGGCGAATTCGTTTTGGTTTGCGAATCTATGTGGTTGGGGAGTGTGTAAGAGAAAAACCAGATACGGCGATTACCAAATCTGTATGTATAGCTTACCCAGCTCCACGAGCAACCAGCGCTTCCGTGCATTCGGAATCGATTTCAAGAGCACGGTCGTATGCTTTCATTGCATTCTTGTAGTCTGATTCTCGGGCAAAGTTAACTCCCATTTTCACTCTATGATGATGAATGAGATTGTGAGCGATAATACCAGTAGTGCGCAAAAAAGGCACTGTGTAGAGATTACGGACTCACGTTTCTTGAGCCCACTGCCTATTCTGAATACCACGTAACGAAATATAATTCACATTTCCAATACTACGTAACAAAATCAATATTAGCAGGAAGTCTTCACCCAACATCCACCAACAGTCTCCATCAGTTTTTTTGTTGCATCACCATACGGCAAACGTAAGCTTACATTTCAGTAGAATCCTTAACATAGGGCACCAAGACAGAATCATCATCAATTCCCGAATCCTGAGTCCATAATTCTAGCATTGCAGGATTACGTCTATCCCGTTCTCGTCGTGTACGGCGTTGATCGAGTTGTGAGCGATGGGATGGTGTTGATGATGAGGAATGAGGTTCGTAGAGTTGCTTTCGGGTATGGATGGCCAGTTGAGACGTCTTGGAGTTTAGTAGGGCGGTGACTAGGACGTCTATTGAGTCCATGTTTGTTGGAACTTGGAACTGGCAAAGAAACTCATACTGAAGGAGAGATGCATGCTATGATGAGCTTTGAATTCTCAGGAAACGCGCTCCACAAGATCCATAAGTTGAATCATCTTCAAGTAAATCGCGTGACTGAAGTAAGTTCTGACCTCCGTCGGCTCTTAAAGATCTGAACAAAAAGCTTTTGACCCAATCGCCACATAGCGGCTCCACTCAACACCTCCAGCAAACACCTAATATGATTTTATTATCGTCCATTATATGATATCGACTGTCCCAAAGTACGTGACGTTAACGTCCATGAATCACATTTAGCAAAAATCATTCCAAGTTGACGCTAGTGCGGTGGAAATTACAGGCGTCAGAAACCAGTACTTGGTCTCAAAGGCATACCGTAACAATACGATTCAAGGTGATTTTTATACTTACTAGACCGATTTGACCTCAGTATATTCCTGTAGGGCATAAGATCCGAGCTCTCGTCCAATACCAGAGCTTTTGAAACCACCGAAAGGCCTACGACGAAAAGACCCTCAGAAAGCAATCGTAAATAGATCACACGATTCAGATGTCAAGCTTACATCTGATGATGCGTGATATTATACATATTGGCCCATATAGTTCCAGCCTTCAAAGCATTCACAGCCTTGAATGCTGTCTTGATCGATTTTGTATGTACTCCTCCAGCGAGTCCGTATGGTGATGCATTCGCTCGTGATATGACATCGTCAAAGTCCTTGAATCTGCGAGTAGGTGTCTTTTTGGTTCCGCAGCTATCCTTCTCAAAGAACCAGAAGCAAGCGCAACCTTACTTTAGCACGACAATGACTGGCCCAAAGATCTCATCTGTGGCGATCTTCATGCTATCCTTGACCTCTGAAAACACAGTTGGGTTCACAAAGAACCCTTTTGTTCCTTTTCGATCACCTCCAGTCACGACTCTAGCACCAGATCGTTTACCATCTTCGATCATACCAAGAACTTTTTTAAATTGGATCTTTCGGCGAAAGAAAGATGTTGTTAGTGTGAACTCATTCAACCAAAAAGAACGAGACATTGAAGGTGTTCCCATAAGCTCACTTCATCAACCAGAGGTCCCATCTCAACATCCGTAAACGGATCTCCAACACGTAACTTAAGTGCTTCAGCTCTAAGTTTCTCCACAAAGACATCGTGAATCGACTCATGAACAAAGACGCGAGACCCTGCATTGCAGTTTTGTCCCATGTTGTCAAATATACCTCGTGAGACCCAATATGCCGATTGATCGAGATCGGCGTCTAAGTGGATATGTGTTTGAGGGCGTGAATTACATTGAGTGCATAGGTCATGTATTTCGAATTCTTTTGGCGTTCGAAAGAATGCATACCTTCAAACACAATTTGAGCCGACTTTCCACCCAGCTCAAGAGATACCTTCTTTAGATTCGATTTTGCAGCAGCTTCCATAACCTAAAACCAACATACTGACTATTGAGCTTCCACAAACCAGCAAAAAAGGATGAAGTTACTCCAAAATACCTTTCGTCCAGTAGCAGTCGACCCCGTGAATGCAATCTTCTGCACATCCATATGAAACGCTAGCGCGTGACCGGCAGCACCGGATCCAGACAACACATTCAGAACTCCCTTTGGTAAACCGGCCTCCTCCCACATTTGACACATGTATAATGCAGTTAGTGGTGTCTTCTCTGACGATTTTAGGACAATTGTGTTGCCGGTTGCTAGTGCTGGGCCCAACTTCCATGCCTAGAATGTAAAGGGTGTTAAGAGTCTTGATCTGCCACTAGTTCCAATGAAATGCCCGCTTTCTTGTCCTCGCAAACATACGTACCGCCATGACCATAGGATAATTGAATGGAAGGATCTGATTTGGTGATGGTTTGAAAGATTGTAAGATTCTGTCTTGCGCAAAAAAAAAAACACTTGAGTCAACAAGTCCTCGTCAAGACACAACTTACTTGACCAACGACACCCAGCGGTTCATGTTTCGTATAGGTATGGAAGTTGGGATCTACGTCCACGTGTTGTCCATATATTTTATCACTCCAACCGGCTAGAAGGGGAAAGACGATAGGTTAGATGTTATGTTGCTGTGTTTCCTCCGCATTTTTTAATCACAGTTGGAAATACGCAGGCATACCATAATACCTCAAAACACCCAAAAAATCTGGTATATCAACATTATACATATCCTTCAGCGCCTTCCCGTTATCCATACTCTCTATCTCTGCAAAGGTATCCTTTTGTGCTTCGACAAGATCACAAAATCGAAACATGATCCTGCCACGTTCTTGTGGTGATATTTTCGCCCATTCAGTTGTAGCTAATTGCGCTGCTGATACAGCTTTATCGACGTCTGCTGCGTCGGCTTCGTATATGTGAGCAAACGTTTCACCGGTTGAAGGGTTTATTGAGGGGATCTTTTTGCCTGATGATGATGGGATAAAGTCGCCGTTTATGTACTAGAGTTTGATGTGATTTCAGTCGTGCTTGGTGGGTCTTGCGGTCTTGAATGCTCACGTCAAAATCAAAAGTAAGGAATTTTGGCATTTACCAGGCCGGAAGGACATGATATCGTAGTTCCTTTAGGCGTTTTGATTGTGATGTGAGTGTTTGTCGTCTATGAAACGAAAGGTCATGAGCGAGTGTCTTTCATGCAAATGACACAAATCCATGATGAAAGATGTTGGTGATGACGAGTCATGCGAAGCATTTGGCTTCAACTTCAAAGCAAATAAAGATCTCTCTGAGTGCGCAGAATATGAGAACCTACGTATTTCCTGGTCGAAAAGTGCAACAGGCGTCCTAAATCGATTGAAATTTAAATGATTGAGAACAATTGCTAAAGGTAGCAAGTTGCATTACGTTAGAGACTTACTGGCTCTGAGACGTGTCAAATGGGTGCGTGCCGACATGGCTGGCCGGTTGAAGATGCTCCACCAAGTTACAATTTGTGGAAAACAGAGTTTTGAAATATGAGTTTGCAAATTACGCAACTTTTGAAACACTCGAACAGCTTGAATGTCGAGCGGCATTGCAACGCATCTCGTTTTAGCATGTAACATATTACTTTCATTCCTCATTTGCCGTTGAAACGAGAGAAGAATCATCATTTGCGTCATTGAACAGATTTACTTTGAGCTATACACGCGCAAAATGTATACATAATCAAGCCCCAAATCTCAGATACGGTTTTATGTATGTCTATGTTATTGTCTATGCTTCTACAAATCGGGATATATATGTTCTAAATATGGTGAGATTACGAATGTATCATTGTGTTTCCTGGAACTTTGAATGAACTGCGACTTCATCCATAGCGACCTCCCCATTACTGTCATGCTCGACGGTCACTGTACGGTCCCGAGGCAGGTACTTGCCAGGGAAGATAATACACACTATCAGACTAGCGACTGCGATCATGAGTGCATCAAATATGTAAAAGAAGATTTCCCTCGTGTGCACGTATCCGCTACGTCCTCCAGCAAAGTCGATTGTCCTTTCGATGTTACGAAGCTAATAAATCATGTTAGCCAGAAAGACGTTGTATAGCGTAAGCGGTTCTTTGGTCTTTTTGTTGTCAACGTACCAAGATAAAGACTGAAGCCGCATACATGGCCCATAGCAAAGTCGATACGCGTCCAAGCTTCTCCTTTGACAAGGCCCGTCGAGCGCGAATATCAAAGATAACGAGCGTTACCAAGAAGAAGGCAAACGAAGCAATACCCAACGCCAGACCGGCAATGACTACATTCTGTCCTAGCTGAATGCCCGAGATATCATTCGCTGTGGCGAATATGGTGGCACCAGCAGCTTGTACGAGTAGTGTGAGCACGTCGGAAGTGACAAAGATTACGGAAATGATGGAGTCGCGGATGAACGATAGTCGTGGGCCTGCAAATCGAATCCTATATTTGAAAATGGGAATGAAAAACCAACGCAGAATGAAAGGTTTGCTTGCCACTTACAGGCGTCCACTGGCGAGATAAATGGCCGCTGAACAGAATACTGGGGACACGACGAGGAAGACTGTTTGAATGACAAACGGGTTCTAAAGAAAAAATGAATGTTAACCGGTCAATGCCGGTTCTGGCTGGAGAACACTTTGCCAGTCGTGTGAATCCTTTACCTTGACGGTGGGATTCTTTACTGAATAAGCCTTCATCAGATACCCAATGAGCTCACAGATACACGTTGCAGGCAACGCCCACAGATATGCATTCTTGTATTGAATCAGCCTCCAGATACTTAACACTGACAGCACCAGAAACACGGCTGCAAACACATAACTGTCGAGAGATCAATGTGAGATTCATGTTTGGATTTCAAGCAGGGATGAAGTGGATGAAGGCTCACATTGGGATTGTGTTGGTCTCGTTTGGATAATAGTTTAATCCAGCTGGAGTAGACATGGCTTTCGATTTTTTTGGTGGTGTGGTTTCTGCTTTCTGCAGAAAAGGCTCAACGTTCTGCCTTTTTTGACAGGTTTTGCAAACCACGGGTCTATTTCATGAAAGAGAGCTCATACCAGCACATATCGTCATTTTCAAGAACGCATCCGCCGTGTTCAAAGATATAGTCCGCCGAAACCCTACTGCGTCGGCAGAGTGACCCAGAATTCAACGTAAATGGTAGTCCTAATGAAATCGTATCGAAGAAGAGTCACGTCGTCGTAGCACTAGCAGTAAATCCACTGAGGAAGAAGAAGATGATGTTGCCATCAAACTAGAAGACTCGCCATCTCAACATACTGCATAAGCAACCGATTACACCGCGACCACGTTTGCGAGTACTTTACTCTGGAGAATGTATAACATGTGTTTTAGATTTCATCTATGGCAAACGCACCTATATCTCAATGGCTCCCCGCTGCTTATTATCAAACAGCACTCTGTGTTGCACTGATGAGAGCTGCTGATTACTACGACTTGGAATGGCTATGTCAGTCAGCAGTCTCTGAAATCCGATATAGGGACTTTACACCAACATCAGCCTTGGATATGATGAATAACCGGTCGTATATAGAGATCTAGGAGACAGCCAAACAGGTTTGGCAAAAGCGTGTTCTCGAAGCCTTTCTATAGAGTATTCTCTGCTTTTGCGTCCAACTTCGTTTTGACAATGTCCTCTCCCAGCGTTTGATAGAGAACACAGCAATAAAGATCAAAGGAGCTGATAAAGGAGAGCGCTACGGTACAGTCCACCGAATAGATCGAGCACTCTGTCGACCACCGAAAAGGAAAATCGTTCTTTGTGACTGGGAGAATACCAATTGCCATTCAAGTTCTTATTCGCATTTGGACGCTTCCTTATCCATTGGAAGGTAGTTTTAAGTGAGCTGGGTACAGTTCTTTACCAAATCTCTGTTCTAAATTCCAAGAACGCTTGTTCGTTCATTTTCAACTTTTTGGTGATTACTAAGCCAAAAGTGTCAGTGTTTCTGCTGTCACGTACGAGTTAAAGGAATACCGCCTACGTTATACATACCCGTACATTGACTGCATTCGTGGTCTCGTCTTGTGAAGTCCTCATTCTGAATTGGCCAAGCTTTCGAATCTTTTGTTGGTCAACATTGGTTTTCATGTCATGAGCAGTTTAACTGGCGTGTCCATCACACAGATTTGTTATAGATCATGAAGAAAAATATTGGTCGCTTACGGCGAAACATACTGCCATATCTGTAGACTGGACGATTGAAAACTGTGATGTCGTTGCCAAAACAACTTCAAAGTGAGTATAAGGTGTCTTGTGAGGTCTCCTTGGTGTCCTGATGCTGAATTTTAGTAATCTCCAATGCTTCAATTTCGAGACTTGGAGATGTACATATATCTCTTTACCCACCAGACCGAGAGGTAACGTCACAATCCCTGCCAGTTTTTTTGCTGTTGCCGTTCTCCTTGTGTAGGGCAAGCCGGCTGCCAAATTTTGATGCTTTGTCTTTGTTTCAACAATATCCTAATGTTCTGAACTTCTTCCCTCTCTTGATCCCTTTTAGAGTGTTGAAAGGACATGTGCATTGTACACTTTGATCTCACGTCTGACATCGGAAAACAACATATTCACAAGGGACACTTCTAGATCTTCGATCAGTTACTCATAAAGATGCGTTGGCGCCTCTCGACAGGACCGTCACTTTTACAATGGTAGTCGAGGACTCAGCTGGATTGACAGAAACTCCTTTGAGGTCAATCACGCACCAGTTTACTGGCGATGCAGGTGACTAGTTGGTTGGAGAGTTTGCGGCTGTTTCTGGACCTTATACTCACGCTGCGTTGTCACGTTCTAGTTGCTTGTCTCGTTACACGTGAGTTTTGCAACAGTGCTTCTGTCTGGACATTATAATGGACCCATTTCCTTCTTCACCTCGTCTTTAGTCATGAGCCTTGAAGATGTCAAAGAGTATCTAGTAGAAGATTCACTTACAATCGAGCTAACAATCTCGGATGCCACTCAACCAACCCATCATGGCCTAGCCGCAAACCAATCCACGAATTATGGTGCATACGCCATAAGCCCGCATACTAGCAGACATTGACACCATACCGAGCGATGGATACACCATACCAGCACACATCGCAATCCTCAAACACGCATCGACAGTGCTTAAAGATATAGCGCTACGAGATATTGGAATTACAGCAGCACGACACGTTGTAGTAGAAACGATTTCACAGTACTGAAACCAGGTAGCTGTAATCGTAGACCTCACATCACCAGACGTCAAGCGAGAGCACGGCTTGCCCTCCCAACACACTCAACGTCCCAAAGTCGAAGTTGCGTGCTCGAGCGACTGTGTCAGATGTGTACTGGCATACATGCATGGTAAAGCGATATCCGAATGGCAGCCCACTGGTGCCAATTAAGCTCCATTACATCTGGAATTGATGAGAGCTGCTGATTATTGGGACTTGGAATGGTTGTGTGATTCCCTCGTCTCTGAAAGTCGATACCGAGACTTCACCCTAACTTCAGCGCTGAATATGCTGTCAAGTGGTGATCGCTTCCTGCGGGATGATTATTGTTTGAAGAGGCGGGCTGTGGAGTATGTTGTTGATAATGCTTGGCGATTATGGAAACGGCGGAATGGGATAGCTTTGCTTCTGATGTTGGGAATATGCGATTGCTGGCGGAGCTAACCAAGAGATTAGGTATAGGGCATGAACTGTTTTACTTTTTTTGCTTCTTGAAAGCTCACGACTGACATCAACGATTTTCACAACAGCCAAAAGAATCAACTCACAGAAGAATGAGACAGCTTGCTTTGCATGTACAGAATCGATGAACCTATAAAAGTACGCATAGAACCAACTCATGAATCAAAGAACGAAATAGAATAAACTTAAAAGACCAATAATTCTTAATGAAGCCAAAATGTTTTTATTTGAAGCAATGACAATGCTTTGTTTTAGAGGCTGTGAGATGCGAATCATTCCAAGTTGATGCTAATGGGTATTGTAGAAGTCAGACTACATTTCCATCATTTAGATTCAAAGGTCACAGAAATATGCGATTTACTCACTAAACGGCCTTGACTTGAGTGTATTCGGCAAGTGCGTACTTGCCCAGTTCACGCTGATGTTTGTGTGCAAAAATGAGCGCTTCTGAACAACTTCGAAGACTCAAACCCACATACCCCAATTCCAGACTGTTTGTATCCTCCAAATGGCATTGAAGGTGGACCGAGATGCTGAAAGTGAGGTTTGAATTAGTTTTCGTGATGTAGAAGAGAACAAAAGAAGCAGCCAGGCAACGATCAATATGCTAAGACTTCTTGAACTTGATCACATACATAAGCGTTGACCCTACAAGTATATGCGTGAACAGGACATGTGAGTGAGAGCAACAACCAAATCTCGAGTAATGTGACACCTACCAAACAGATCCAGCTTCCAACGCATTCACTGCCTTGAAAGCCAAAGGCAGCGACTGAGTATGCACAGCAGCAGCCAGTCCATATGACGTCGAGTTGGCTCGTTCCATGACTTCATCAAAGTCGGTAAACCTTTTGGAGAATTACGGGAGTTACAAAAACAACAAAAAAACCACCCCCCCCCCCCCCCCGGGCTAAGAGCAACATTCGATGTCTTACTTGAGACAAACGACCACCGGACCAAAGATCTCCTCTGTCATGAAAAGTGACGGACAGATTATAAGAACGAGTTGTTAACTCTGGAAGGTGGTGATTTTGTTTACGAGACCTTACCTTTGACGACAATCATGCTATCGTCGCAATCCGCGAAAACGGTGGGCTTCACAAAGAAACCAACGGTTCCGTTTCGCTCACCTATGGTATATGATGGATCAACAACACGTCTTGGGTGTATGAGAACTAGGACTTTAACATGACAAAAAGCCTGACCTCCACACACTACTCGAGCTCCAGCCTTCTTTCCTTGTTCGATATAGTTCATGACACGGTTGAATTGCAGCTAAATGTTGGAATTGGAAATTGGTGAGTTCTATGTCAGCAAAAAAGCGAGTGGGACCCTGTTTCTATTTGAAAGTTTAAACAACACTAACACGCACCTCATCAACAAGAGGGCCTTGATCGGTATCCTCACTTGTAGGATCACCGACTTTGAGCTTTTGAGCAGTTTCCTTGAGCTTTTCAAGGAATGCGTCGTATATGTCAGCGTGCTAAGCGAGACGGGATGTCAGTAACTGTCTCCAGATATTTCAGTTTGATACTCTTAGACGCAAGTCTACCACAAAGATACGAGAACCAGCAGAACAACTAGGAAAGGACCATAATTTACAGTCAGGCGACATACACCAAATGACGACAATTGCTTTTTCTGTTACTCACGCTTGACCATGGTTGGAGAAGATACCAATGGAGCACCAATAAGCGGCTTTATCCAAATCAGCGTCTACGTAAATCATTTGTTAGAGAGATTCAATTGCTAGGCCATCATAACTTGGAGTTGAAATATCACCTTTGAAAACAATGTTTGGTGATTTGCCACCTAATTCCAAAGTGACCTATGTATCACAAAGACATTGATCCAACCCCCAATTCTCTACTACGAAGAGTACTGGAGACAACGAACCTTCTTCAAGTTTGATGACGCAGCAGCTGCCAAAATCTTTCGGCCAACACCTGTAGAGCCAGTGAAGGCAATCTTGCTGACATCCATGTGTGAAGCAAGTGCTGACCCAGCGGTTGGTCCATATCCACTGACAATGTTCAACACGCCTGGTGGAAGACCAGCTTCAGTCCACAATTCCATCATTTTCAGTGCCGTGCAAGGGGATTTCTCCGAAGTCTTTAGAACAACACAGTTTCCACAAGATAGAGCAGGTCCAAGCTTCCATGAAGCCATCACTAATGGATAGTTCCATGGTATAATCTGCCCCACGACTCCCATCGGCTCATGACGGGTATATGTTTGTAAGGACGGATCAACATCGACGACCTTTCCGTGAATCTTATCAGCCCAGCCAGCGTAGTATCGCATGCATGCCAAGAAGTCTGGGACGTCAGTGGATAGCATATCTTTGACGGTCTAGCGACACGGAAACAGGGTAATTAGGTGTGTCCGCTAGCGTGAGAAAGTGTCCAAGAAATCACCTTCCCCATATCCATAGATTCAAGTTCAGCAAAAATTTGCTTGTCTCTCTCGAATAAGTCACAAAACTTGAAGATCTAGATTGTGAAAAGACAAACAGTCGGTCAAAATGAGTGTGTGATGAAAAGTAATGAAGTGTACGAATGCGCTCAGTAAGACAGGGACAGACTTACGAGTCTACCGCGTTCTGCAGGAGTAACCTTGGACCAAGATTTGTAGGCAGCCTTGGCCGATTTCACTGCAAGGTCAATATCGGCCTTGTCGCCTCTGCGTGTATTGAATGTGTCAAGACAAACAACAATGTTTCGAAAATTGTGCCACCGAGCTTACTCGTAGAATTCGGCAAAGACCTATAAAATGAAAAATATAAGTGTCGATTGAATGGATCAACGCGAGACGTGAGAGATCAACACACCTTCCCATTGGAGGGGTTGACAGATGCGAACTTTTTGCCGGATACACTTTTGACGAATTGTCCGTTGATAAAGAGACCACTTGGAACACTGTAATCAACTCCCTTTGTTGTAGTGACCGTAATATGTGTGTCACGGTTCTGTGAGTGCGTCGAGGGTTTTGATGTTAGCTTGATGAACATGTTTCCCAATAAGGGTGGAGTAGAAGAAAACGCCAGGATCGAGTTCGATAGTGCCAAATAAGATATTTCCATGTACTTACGAAAGTTTCGACCATGTTTGTTTGTTGACCTTATCAGATTTTAACGAAGATTGAGCTTTTGAGCCTAGTGCACGAGAAAATAGTTAGAACAAGAGCAGCATGAATATTGCTACGCGATAAAAAACCGTTAGCTCAGTTCAGACTGACGCACTTACGCTGAGCTTGCTTTCTTGGTTGCTTTACACTTGCAAAACTTCAAGGGAGTGCTGCGTTTGCAACAATAAGCATAGTGATCGCAGGTATGAAAGTCAATTTTTATACAAAGAACGCGATTTTAGCCTATATTTCAATAGATTCGATCCATGTCTGGGAAGCGAAAGGGAGGCTCTTCGAGTACGTCGAACAAGACGCCAACAAAGAAACAAAAGCTTGAGGAAGGTCAAACTACTCTCAAGTCGTTTCTTTCGCCAAATAAACCAGGCTCCATACCATCGTCACCTCGCTCTACTGTCCCATCTTCACCAAATCCATCGACATCAAACACCAACGCCAATAATAATGTGACACCTCAAACAACTGACACCAAAGGCAGTGTTGCGCAACCCGTATCTCAAGCGTCTAGTGTGACGATCACCACCAAGCCTGATATTAAAAGTGATGCCGTCGAAGCTATATCTCAATCTATTGGTGTCGTCAAACAAGAGTCCGTTGCTTCATCTTCTGCTGACGTCCTGATCTCAACGCTCGACGAACTGAATCGATTCAAGCCAGAGCTGCTTCCTTCATATTGGAAGTCTGGCGAGCCTACTCCCTATAGATGTACGTTTGTCAAAGGCTGTGAATGGGTAAAAGCGATTGAGAAACTCACCCAGCATTCAAACAATAGGGATGTCTGAAGCCTTTCAACACGTCGATGGCAACACGGGCAGACTGATAATTACACGGGTGCTTACAAACATGCTTCGAACTATAATTGGACATCGTCCTGAGGACGTCTTATCTGCCTTATATTTGTGCTCGAACCGCATCGCACCCTCCTACGCAGGCATAGAGCTCGGAATTGGGAGCTCTGTCCTTGTGAAAGCTGTTACTTCGGTAACTGACTTGAATTCAAAAAGTTTGAAGGCCAGTTGGGATACCCATGGAGACTGGGGTGATGTAGTCTTTAGCGCTCGTAGACAAACTCAAATGCTCATTAAGCCGAAACCCCTGACTATTGATGGAGTTTTCAAGACTCTGAGACGTATTGCCGATAGAAAAGGAGCTGGAAGGTAAACTTTCAAAATACCTTTTCTTTGTTGCAGTATCTCATTTTGTGGTTGCAGAATCCTTATCAATTTTAAATCCCGATGTTTCGCTTCGTAGTGTCAACTCGAAAACTGATCTAGTCAGAAAACTATTGATCGCAGCTCAAGGAGAAGAGCTGCGATACGTGACTAGGACTCTGGTCACGAATCTCAGAATTGGGGCCACCAAAACAACGGCACTCGCTGCGCTAGCTAGAGCTGTAGTAATGGAATTTGAGTTAAAGAATGTGAAATGGAATGAAGAATCAGCCAAGAAACGATTCTTGGAAGCTGAAGCTATAGTAAGAGTGTTTGCAATGCCGCCATCCCCCTGTTGATCACTATTGACATTCCATCACTATCAATAGTTGAAGGAGTGCTACGCTCAGTGTCCCAATTTCGATATAATAGTGCCTAAACTTCTTGATCCAAACATTGGTTTGTCTCGAATCGTCAAAGAATCCAAGTGTCTTCCTGGAGTTCCCATCGTAAGTTGCACGAAGGCTTTTGTGGATTCATTCACTTACATCTCCATTACTGTACTGCTTTTGCTGTGTAGATGCCAATGTTGGGTAAAATTACACGAGATCTTGGAGAGCTCTTTGAAAAACTTGAAGGCATGCAGTTTTGTGCTGATTACAAGTTTGATGGGCAGAGAGCTCAAATTCATCGATCTGAGGATGGAACTGTGTCCATTTATTCTCGCCACCTCGAAAACATGACCGAAAAGTATCCTGATATAGTTGCTGCCACTCAACAGTTCTGTTCAGACTCTACTGGCTCGTTTATAATGGATGCTGAAGTGTGTGCAGTCGGAGAAGACGGACAGATTCAACCTTTCCAGACGCTGACGAATCGAGCAAAAAAGAATGTATCCGTACATTCCATCAGTGTCAATGTGTGCGTGTACGCCTTTGACTTGATGTATCTGAATGGAGTCAGTCTGCTCCAAGAACCATTTCGAAGGCGTCGTGATCTCATGAAGTCGGCGTTCCAAGTGGTTCCAAGTCGGTTTGGCTTTGTACCATCCAAGGAAATGCATGATATTGAGGAGGTAAGTCAAAAGAATCAATTCTGCTTGAAAGGGAGCTGATACGATCCTCTTCACTTTATAATTCTCAAGATGCAAGACTATTTGAAAGAGGCTGTCGAGGCTAAAGCGGAAGGACTGATGGTCAAAGTTTTGGACCATCCAACAGTCACTCAAGGACGAGGAGCCATCCTCGCTTCATACGAGCCCGATAAACGGACAGATGCATGGCTGAAAGTCAAGAAGGATTATGTTGAAGGGATGGCCGACTCGTTTGATCTTGTGCCTATTGGTGCTTGGGTCGGTAATGGACGTAAAGTGAACTGGTGGAGTCCTGTCTGTGAGTAGACCACTTACGCTGCAGCAAGTGGTCTTTCAAGATATTAAAATCCATGTTGATCTTCTAGTATTGGCTGTTTGGAATCCTGAAACTGAATGTTTTGATGCCTTTTGTAAATGCATGAGTGGCTTCTCAGATGCCTTTTACAAGGAGATGAAGGTTGGTTTTAAGAAATGAGATGATTCGTTTGGAAATATCACTGACGGCATCTTCCAATCACAGGAAAAGTATGCTCCTGGTAGTGACAAAGTCATACCAAGACCCAAAGCTTACTACAATGTGCCAGAGAGTCTGTCTCCAGATGTACGCGCATCGCAAAACCTTGTTATAGTGGTTTCGGCTTACATCTTCTGTGATTAGGTATGGTTTGAACCTCAAGAAGTTTGGGAAATAAGAGGAGCGGATATCACGTCGTCGCCAGTGTATCCAGTAGCAGCAGGAGTCATATCTGAACGAGGATTGAGTCTACGATTTCCTCGATTCATTCAGACTCGAATCGATAAGGGCATAGAAGATGCTTCAACACCTGAACAAGTCATTGCAATGTACCGAAAGGGCGAACACAAGCCGGCAGCTAAGGAAGCTGAAGTTGAGGAAGAGGAAGGTCTGGACGATGATGATATCAAAGAGGTTCAATGGGATGAGAAGGATTAGTAGCTGTGTAAAGATATTGTATATAAACTAAAAGCTTCTTAGCTCGTGATACGAGCTCATATATGGTAGTTCTAGCGTATACATATGAATTTCGTATAGATCTCATCACCCAGATCAGTTCCGAAGCTGCCAAATTCGTTTTTTTTTTTTGGCTACTATGGCTACTGTCTTCGCAGAATCCCTTAACCTTTCAAAGGACTTGAGCTTTTGACCTGTAGTTAACGGACTGAGAAGAAGTCTTGCTGTAGTATCGGTTTGTAGTCCTTAAGCTATTGTAAGTATACAATCTTGTATTCATTTCGTTCTCGTCCTGTCTGCATGTTTTGTGAGAATTCAAGCTCATAGTCATATCTGTTAGATTATAGCTTGGCTGTAGTTTCTAGACTAGTCGCTTATGCTAGATCTAAATATTCGAGTATAGATTTGATGGGAATTGTGTCTGGAGATACTCAAGGTCCTGTCTTGTCATCGACATCAACTTTGAATGCACCTCCAAGGGCCAAACACATCCGATTACCTAATGAAATCATTCTAAACATCATCACAGGTCTCAGGGATGGTGACCTCTGTAGATTCGCACTAGTTTGCAAACATTCCGCACGTTTCTTCAAAGGGTAGCAAGACAAGGAGATCAGTTAAAGATATAGTGAATTATGGCTGGAATTTCTGATTATTAATCGTGTCCAACTCATGCTTTCTTAAGTTGGAGGCAGACAACAGTCATCGCATTGTAGAGCCTACAAGGTATTCTGAAGCAAACATGAACGTAATTGAATTCATTTTACTGTTTCAAACCATCAACACATTGACATTACTTCGCTCTACTTACAGCATGAACATCTTGTCACCGTTGAATCGACACGAGTTTGGATTCTTTTCACGAACTCAGCAACATCACTTTGACCCTGACCCAGTCTAGTGCCATTCATTTCATTGTCATTCGAATCTGAATTCTGCTTCGAAAAGTCTGAGATGATGTCCATTCAATCGCAGTCTTCACGGCTTTAGTATAGTGACGCCCCATCAGTGGCATCAAGGGCATTATCGACTGCATAGCCAAACCTCAAATTTCAAGGTGTTGATGTGCCTGACAATCTGATGAGAGACGACGGCAAACTTTAAAGAATCTAGAATTGTGTTGTGATGATGACGGCTTGTCAATATGACGGATTGCCTACGTGGCAATTTGCTACCAAGTTTGGAAGTTATGACATAGACCACCACCATCATCGCATGTAGCTCTGGTTGAATTACCTGCCGAGTTTGCTGCTAATTAGACAGAGGAGCAAGGGTGCAATGCTCTAACATGCCAGTCATCCAACGTTGTGTTTCGATCTGATTTGATGCTAGCCTTAGCCCGCCGAGATGGAGATGTTTCTCCCAGCAACCGTATGAATTTCAACGGCCCCACAGTTTGAAAAAATTACTGAGTTTGTACAATTGTAACCGTCATTGTACGTGTGGTTAACAATGATGGACTGGTTGTTCAGTTTGATCCTTGACAGCGTGTTTGTTAATAGGTAGGAGTAGTTGTCAGGATCGATAGAGCGAATAGGAACTACCCTAGTGACCAATCAGATTCATTGATAGTCTTATAGTCTTCCAGGCGTATTGTCTGTCGATGAACGACGGGCTTCCAAGTTACATTTTAACCTGTGGAGTCTAGTGAAAAACACGTACCAAAGAAGAAGATACCCCAGTCAAAACATTTTATTTTCAGCTAAAAAGAGAAAAGATGATCAGGAGTCCATGCTGAGTGTTGTTGCTGCTGGTTTGGCCAACGAAAGTTTAAAAGAATAACCTGGTTTACCATCGTCGTTGAAGCTTCTGGACGCGATTTTGTACACGTATCTCGCGCTTCTAGCATAGCCGTGCCTGTATTCTACGTAGGAGATCTAGTTTTAGCAGCTCTTCCCTCGTGATTAGTTAAGTGACAGTCGGCAGCCTTTTCACCTCGTCAAAATATACAACTTGCAGAGCCAAATAGACCTCAATCAAGCCCGAAACGGTGAATATAGTATCTGAAACGATTATTTTTGGTAGGAGATACGCGCCAAACTCTATAAAAGGAGGTCAATCACCCACAGGACGAGCGGGTTGCATCAAGCCCTCCAAAAAGCTAATGAACATGAGCAACTCGTCACAAAAGCTTCAAGAAGGACTCGTCAGAGCACCGTCTCCATCCATACATCTCCTCCATCCAAGAAATCTCCCGGAATCGAGTGGTTGCATGCACATTGCTGCTGCAAAAGCTGGTGCTAATACAACCAGTAGTGACAACAGTGTGGATCTAGTTGACGCCTACAAGACATGTGTACGATATGCCATCTCCTATCATGCTCGATATCAGATAGCCTCCAATCGCCCAAACAGACCTGATCCAGCCAAGATCGAATCTGCTGGCTTGATCTCACCCACGCTAAATAATACTCAGTCAGGGGGTACTGGCGTCAAAAGAAAGAGGGATGCGGATATTGAACGCGATTTGGTCTCAATCGATAAGGTACTGCTCACTCATGCTGTAGCTCGTGGTGCTGCTGTGGTCGAGTTTGGTCTCTACACCAGACACTTGTCGACCATATGTATGCTGTCAGATTGAAGCTATAATACTAACCAGCTACTCTACTCAGCTACCTCTACCTCAATGTTGTGATTGTGATGACGTGGGAAGTCGGTTGCATGCATGTTTGCAATGTGTGTATCTAGGCTGCTGGAAGAGAAGTCATCTGTTGCAGCACTTGAAAGATCGAAGTCACACATTCGGTATGATGCAGCTCGATGTCTTCCATCTCGTTGTAGTACACTTCTACAGATGATTGACACCTACAATCTCTTGAACTTTGTAGCAATGGACTTTTCAAATTGCACAGTGTACTGTCGTGCCTGTAACGATTACGTTTATGATGCTGACTTTGAACGGACGCTTAATGCTGAAAAGACTCGTTTGGACTTGTTGTTGACTCAAGTCAAGGGTAGGATCAGGATTACGGCATCGTCCAGCGGGGATCCAGAGGGCGCTTACCACCTTGTTTGCGCTGTTAGAACCAACGGCCAAGAGAATACGGTATGGTGAATGGACAGCGCCACCTCCAGATCAAGTCGCCAAAATACGTAATTCTGCACAGCTACAACGATGCTCTGGTATTTAGTCCTGTTTGGTTTTGCCCAATTCGTGGTAGTGTATGACTCATTCCGTTCAACTACATCAAAAAGGTATCCGTGGATTGAGGAATCTAGGATCGAGCTGCTACATGAGTGTGATTCTACAAGCTCTGATACACAATCCACTCTTACGAGCCCACTTTCTCTCGTCCAAACATTCGCAAGCAACATGTAGTCTTAGTCCTTGCATTGCTTGTGAAATGGATCATCTGTTTACAGAGGTAGGCATGAATTCGATTGCTTTCATGCAAATTGTCAAACGCGAAAACAAAGCTGACAGACAGTTTGCTAACACTATGTTTTAACATAGTTCAACAAAGGCGACACACAATGCTTTTCACCAGCCTCATTCATGTTGGCAACATGGCAAACTGCAAAGTCATTAGCTGGCAACATGCATCAGGACGCCCACGAATTCTACATTGCCACACTCAACCAAATCCACTCCAACTGCTCTGGAACAGTAGAAACATCGATCGGAGATACATCAGAATGTAAATGTATAGTCCACCAAGTGTTTTCAGGGCTTCTGCTATCAGAAGTTACCTGTCAAACATGTGGCAACGTGACTCATAAACCCGACGAGTTCTTGGACTTGTCGCTAGACTTGATTACTCCTCGTCAGAAAGCCAAGAATAAGAATACCCTTGGCTTGGAAGGGTTGGTTAATCACCGGGCCAAGTATGCCGGTACTCAAATCATGTCTCCGCCACCATCTGCTCCCTCTTCTACGCCCTCATCGACATCCTCATTGTTGGAATCTGGTGGATCAGATGTTTGTACATTGTCCGAATGCCTTGATAGGTAAATGGTTTTGGGAACAAATGTCTTGTGCAATGACATGGGCTGCCACCAATTTTATGATTTTTTTGTGCATTTGCTCTCAGGAACTTACCAACTCTCACTTCTTAGGTATACGATGCCTGAAAAACTTGGTGCCACAGAGTATCATTGCATAAAATGCAGTACATTCTCTGCAAATGCTACTAAACAATTGTCTTTGAAACGGCTTCCTCCAGTTCTCACAGTGCAGTTGAAGGTATAAACATTGGAGAAGCTTCCGATAATTCATTCCTGCCAACACGCATTTTTCGTTTTCTAGCGATTTGAGCAGTCTCAAGCTCAAAGCGTCAAGATTGAGACACCTGTACGTATTCCTGCAGAGTTGGACATGACTCCATACTCTACTCGAGCAGTGAAGGCCAATGAAGCATTTCGTAAAGCCAGTAATCTGCCTTCTCCAAATGGCACACCTACTCCTAAAATCTTGTTGAAGTATGATGCAGATATGTGGGTATCTGTAGTGTTGACTTTTTTTCCCTCTTCGGATTTGAAAGGACTTCACTGATTCGCTTGTTTCTAACTGCTCTTTAGAGAATCGGTTCCTGCTTTCCGTTATGTATTATTTGCAGTCGTTAATCACGAAGGCAAACTGGAAACTGGACATTATACCTCATACAATAAGATTCGTGGAATGGTAAGGTCTCATTTTGCAGAGATTCAGAACTCATGGATGTGGAATGACTAAGTCTTTGTTGGAACTAGTGGTTCAAGTTTGATGATGCGAATGTGACATCAGCTACTCAAAAGGAAGTGTTGGAGAGCAAAGCGTAAGTTTGCCCTTCACTCATTTTCCAAAGTTTTCCATTCACCTTTTTTCTCCATTTCAGATACATGTGTTTTTATATACGTCAAAGCTATGAATTCAGTCCTACATCGGCTGTAGAGATCCCATCAAGGACTTCACCACCAACAAACAATCGACTACAATCGTTTTCCTCATTGCATCAACCGTCTCCTCCTCCACCTTTGGTTTACTCGGACCCTAGTACTGAACGGGGAGGTGTGAGTCTATAGAAGGGTTAAGAAGATCTGTGGAGATCTATCAAATCGCATGTACTCATTTTGGAACAGGTGAAAATACGATATGTATAAAAGAAACTGTACAACATAAAAGGAGAAGGCAATAACTGAAGCATACATTTGCACGTAAAGAATGAATAAAATGACATCTCATTGAAGAAAGGATAAAGTCTTTGCATTGGATGTTTCTAGAGTGTTTTGGTTTTTACACTGCCACTCAACGTACAAACACTGACTCACACCCACATTTCACATGCAACACTCAACAGAACAAACCAAACCCAGAAAAACGTATACAGCTATGGCAACCACTCCAGCTCCAACTCCAACGTCCTTCAATCCAGACAGCATAAACGCCATGAACGACCAAATGTCGAATCTTGGGTTCAAGATTCTTGCGCAAATGCCTGACGATGACGCACCAGACAAACACATGGACAAATCCAGCATTACTCGCAAACCATTCACGGGCTCGGAACACTCTACACAGGCTGTTGTATCTGATATCATGAGTGTTGCACGTCAGTTGCGTCAAGCTCAGAAGGAGGCGTATCCATCACTTGGTGAATTTGACGTAGTTTTAGATGAGGACAGTTTAGTAATGAGATTTAATTCATTTTTTAATTCTTTTTCGAATGTAGAACGTGTACAAGATCTTGCTGAAAAGGTGTGGAAGAGTAATGTCGCGTATGAGAAGAAGGTTGCTGCTTTACGAAGAGAGCGTGAATTGTTGAATAGTGCTATTGAAAAGGTACTAATTCTTCTTTTTGAATTGTGGGTTGTGATGTGGTTGTGGTCTTTGCAAACCATGAAAAGTACTTCATGGTTTTTTTTCGCCCATTGTCACTAGCCTCATGCTATCCACTCGTTCGTTTAGGCATGGGGAGAGTTTGATCTTGTCGTCTTGCCGCTATGGAAGGTCGACGATGAACTGATGCCAGTTTACGAGTCTCTTGTGTACATACGCAAGGGCCTTGAATCGCTCAAGCGAGGTGCTGGTGCTGATGACGAGGAGATGAGGGATGATTTAATTCGTACTGCTCAGGAAGAGCTGCGTCGTAAGTGACCTCCTGTACTTTTAGCATATTTTAGTGATAATTGAGCAATGTTTTGTTGCGTATAGGTATCGAAACCACTTGGATTATTGACGGCAAGTTTGTACCCTCTGACTGGAAGAGTGGAATGCCTGTTCCTGGTGGACAAGCTATCTTGAGTTCGCTTTTGACGAAAGGGTATCGTCTTGCGCGTGAGCTTGTCACTTTGGACTTTGATGGTACGACGAAATCATCCATTATCCCGGAGGTCCGTTTTTTGCATTACTGACATCGCAACCTTACATACCATAGTATCGCCATCTCTCCAACCTCTTCGAACTCGCCTCGAACGCATCGTTGCCACACTATACACTCTCAGAGACACTCTACCAGTCTCGGAACACGATCTTCGAGAAGTGCAGGATGAGCTTCGAGATATCGCTGGTCTTGAAAAGGATGGGTCATTCAAGGATAAGAAGGGAGACGTGCCTGAAGGACAGGCCAAGATTCGAGACTTGCTTGAAGAGGCATATGATCTTGTGCATGGTATGTGGGATGACATGTTGAGAAGCATTCGCGGACGAAACGGAATGTAAAGTATATCCCGTTTTGATTGTTTTTTTTCCTACAGAATGTGTCGTGTCGATGGAAACTGGAGAGTTTTCCACGTTGTCTTCATCCATGGTTTCCCTTATTGAGACTGCTTCGTCGGCTCGTGATGCTGCGATGGGATATCTGTCTTCTTCGTCAGCTGCTATGGCTGCTCCTCTTATTATCGCTTTACAAGGTGAGCCAAAAAAAGACAATCTGCAACGACGCTTTGCATTTATCTGACAAACGGCGCACTCTGATCCATATTGTGCCTTTTTAGACTCATTGACGCCAGCAATGGAAGCCCTTCGAAACGCCAAAGACGCGAGTCTCGCACCTCTTGCTACAACACTACGATCTGCATATGGGTTACTGGACAGACTTATGCATGATTCATCAGCAACCACAGTGGAGGCTGCGAAAAATGATGTGCTTGTTGTGGATCCATCGATTCAAGGATTGGCTATGCACTTGACGAAAATTCGAACTGGCCTTAAAGGTCTGCGTGATGAAAGGGATCGTGTACGTGTTGATGAAGGTGTTCAAGGTGTATTGGTGAGTTTGGTTTCTATGCAACAAAAACTTTACCTCCGTATTACAAGCTATTGGTTAGGTAACCATTTGTTAATGGGATTGTGTTTTTAGAATCTCATTCAACTTCAAAAGTCGTCTCTCGAGGTAAAAAAAAAAGATCTGACTTATCGCAAATGACAAGGGTTGATTTCTTCGGAAGCGTCACTTCGTGATCAACAATGCAGCGGGAAAAAACTCATATCTATTCTCCTATCATTCTCGTAGGCTCTCAAGATTGAACTGGACGATGTCGAATCCAAACGAGACGGTGACGATATCTTGAACGAGGATGGGCACCCCGCCAAAGGCCAAAAATGGATTCACAACTTGCTCAACGAATGTTATTGTCTACTCTTCGAATTGAATGGTGATAGCTATCGTCGCCCCATTCAAATGAGTCCCGTAGCATAAAAGAGGACGAGGAGGATCGTTTGTACATCATGTTATCAACCAAAAGTTATCATCACCAATACAACTCGAAGTATCAACCACCAACACAAGAACAGTTTTTTGGGTCAGCAAGTCACAAGCACGTATCATACTAAAGAACAACAAGACGATGAGCCATCGCAGTGTGACGACACCAACTTCAAAGTCATTTACACATGATTTTGATGCCATTATGGCGTGTTTTGGCTTCAGACTTTTCCCTCAGTTGCGTTTTGACAGGCCTGACAGGCAGCAGGTTGGACTCAAGGAGAAGGAACTAGTAACCTAGACTAGGAAGAGAGTATCAGATAAAGCTCTAAGCGTGAAACCATAAGCTATGATCTTTGCGGAAGCGTTGCTTGCGTCCTTCTCTTCTGTGATGTGTCTGCTGATGGGCGCCTGTCAAAAAATCAAATGAGGGCGACACGTTATATCATTGGATCCATCACGATCCACATACAAGAAGCTTCGCACACTACGATATGCCAGCGATTGCAATGCACTTGACGCGTTGTAATTATAGTCTACCTATCGTCTCAATCAATCAACGCTGCTCCTGAGCTCGTCAGACTTTGATGGTAACAAACCACGATTTAAACCTAATAATATCCCTGCATTGTTTGATTATTCGCACACGCGTTCTACCTAGTCTCTTCATCGCTACACCGTCGGCAACCACGAAGTGAAACGCATCTGGCCGTTCAACCAGATGAACTTCGTGAAGCAGGGGGTCATGCAAAGGATGGATAGAAAGAGTGAGGTGCCAAGATTCGTGACTGCTAGTAACCTAGTCAGTCAACAATGTTGATGACTTCGACCGACATGGCCATCATCGTTCTTTTCATATGAGTCCTGTGGCATCCTGTAGCATGAAGAATGACGTTCCTGAGGTTGCTTTCACGACATATCATCAACCAAACAAGCCACCAACGAAGCAACAATGATAAGAGGTTCGAGAAACATCTTCATATAACTGATTTAACTTACTAATTTATTGGGGGGTCGACTAAATAACTGATGGATGAAACTTCAAAGGATACTTTTGTGCAAATGCGAATACAAAATATGCATTGCTAGTGGCTTTTGGCAAATACTACAGATGTTCGCTTTTTTAAGGGGCCGTTTGTTCTAGTTTACAAACACTCAACTAACTTGAGAGGCTTTGGTTGTGTGCTCAATCGAGAATGGGTTCAGATCTTCGTTGCAATTCTTCCATATGGATGGGCTTTGGGCGAACCATCTTACGATAATTCTCGAATCGAGCAAAATCTAGAAAGCAACGGGCGCCTGTCCACATCGTGGCGAGGTTCACAATTAACTGAATGGATACTAGAAGACAATGGTGGTCAGGCATGTCTTCAAGTTCTCCGAAAGGACCGACACATCATTACTTACTAAACCACGTCAAGAAGACAACCGTCCCTTCAAAGCGCATATCCATTCGCGTCACTATTTAGAAGGAGGACAGCAATGAATAGATGACAAACATCTTCATATACTTTGGTCGAATGCGACCGTACTAAACCGTCACTCAAGTCAACGTACCATACATGACAAAGCCTAACGCACACAGGTCCACAAGCATAATGCCCAGGAATATGGTCATAAAGGCTTTAGATCCACGTCGCTACGAGGTTTCAAAACGTTACACCACGTGAGGAACAAAAAAAATACTACCATTTGTGTATCATCTCGTACCACAGCGAGCAAGCCAATTCCAAAGTATCCCAAGCACACAATAGCCAATATGATGAAATCTATAATCACAGTACCCAATCCCAGCTCTTGTGGTGACCGACCTGTGGCATCTATCTGAGGCTCATATGCCGCGGCAAAGTACAGTGCTACGCCCAGCATAAGCACTATGGCCGTAGTAAAGAAAACATTCAATTTAAGAAAGAGGAGGAACATATGGTGCCTTCTTATTGCGTTCCGTTTAGTTATACTGGCACCAGACTGCTCAGTAAACACACTCCATCTGTACTCTCTCCAAAGCGACAATGAGAGATACAATCCCATTGCCACAAAGGGCGCCATTAATACCACTATAGCTATACATATGGATATACATGTCTGGATTCGTTGGCCAATATACACGGGCACGAGCAGCCCACAATCCTGACTATATATACTAGTTAACTGTTTTAACTGAATGGCCGAGTATCCGAACGCAGCCATGTTGAAGAACTGGGTAGCCATTGCTTGGGCCGCATTCTTCTGGCGAGCACTATCAAAGACCATGACTAGTTGGTAAATCATCGCTACTATAAAGAGACAAAAGTAGAGCGACAGGAAGGCGAGATCGGAGGCTGCGAATTCGGCGTGATCTGCACATTCGGATGAGCCATTGTTCATTACGTAGTCCTTGTTCTTCAACCACCTATGTTGAGAGAGTGGGTTGAGCCGTCGTGTTTAACAAGAGACTTCACGAAAGTTGGGAGCGATCTTCAGTCCTCGTCAATAGGGTGGTCCAAACGATCAAGATTGTAACTCTCTTTTCTTCGCCCATCACCCAAAAGCTCTCAAACAATCAAGCATCAGAACACTTTGACAAAACACCACCACGAGAGTACCATTTGGCATACACCCACTATAAGCACCTACCACGTAACCATATCGCAAGTATACACCAACACAACCGTTTCCAAGCCTCCTACAACCACCAACTGTGCCAATGCCAAATGAATGCTTTGCTTTGCAACATCGATTTGCTGAAAGAAGCGGGTTCTGGTTGGCGCAATTGATACTATCGAAGCTTTCTTATCAGCAGCAGTAGCAGCCGAGAATCTGACTGTAGCGGAGATCCATGATGGAGCTGGTTTTAAAGGTCGTTGAGGTTGCTTGTTGATATGTTGATCTCGTCTTAATGTGCCAGATACACTAAAGCAAAGCAAGTTAGAACGATGAAGATGATGATATTGATTGAATGAATAGATCTAGCAGGTCATGAGAGGCCTACCTTTGAGGATTGGCGGTTGTCGTGGTCGTGTTTGAAGAAACTGACGGTTGGGCAGTCAATGTTGATATGGGAGATGAGGGTGGATAAGGCGATGTTGGAGCTGGTATGGGAAAAGCGGATTCCCCTATATCCATTCTCTGGCTGTTTGTTCTTCCTCTAAGCTTCAGTCGTTGTAGATTTTGTACTCGGTTGACGTTCGCGATACAACCTCAATGACCTGTCAACATCATCTGATACGCGATACAACATACATCGTTTTGCCGATACATCGTTTTGTCGATCATATTGATACACGTCAATTCAAGACTCGAATACAAAGACATTAAACTCACACGTGGGGCAAAAAAAAGTGGCTGGAAGAAGATTTAATTTACAGCTTGACTATGCAATGACTACTACTATCTTACAGTTTGATCCACGCAATCCCCTACTTCTTTGGAGCAACATGATTTGGCGTCCAAGGACCCAAAGAAGCCTGTGCGTAAAAGTCCATTGGATACTCCTCCTCATTCCAACTCGTTTCTTGCATCACTACAGCAGCTTCATACGGCGTCAGTAGTGGCTGAGTGAATGCATATCCCCAGTCAATCGACAACCGTGGACACGCAATCTGTATCCACGCATCAATATCTGAAAACAAGGCCAGCTTGGCTGGAAAAATCTCAGACAGTAGTACCACCGTGTATGGTATCTTTCGTCGATTCAGTTCAATCGTCAGATGCTTTTGAGAATGGATTGTTATTACGTGTGCTTGAACGCTTGAATAGCAAAGAACAACAGAACTCACATCCAACACCTTGGGACTTCCTTGACGTCCCAATGTTCCCAGTATGATACCATAGGATTTGGCACTTTTGGCTCTGTCTATTGCATCACGACGTAAATCCTTCATGTCTTTAATCTCGTATCGTTCTCGAGAAAAGACCTTGGCGTATGGGTCATATCGATATGCTGGTAGTGATGGGTTGGCAATCATGATTGCCTCCAAGTGAAAGCGGCCGTCTCCAAGATAACTATCAAGTATAAAATGGTCACCCATAAGTTTCGTTTTTTTCCATCGTTGCATCATTGCAAACTCACACTAGACAGTCTTGATCCTTCAATTTCGGAGCTGTACAACCAAGAATCTCTCCAGGCGACAATGGTTTAGATTGTGGCACAGTTACTATGTAATCTGTAGATAAATCTTGCTTGGCACTCTAAGCAGATGTTTCAAGATGAGCTAAAAAACCGAACAGGCCTGACCGAACTACGCTCACTTGTAAAGCTGCAACAAACTGTATAGTCGCTACAATAGCCAATCTCTGTTCCGGCTGCAGATTCTTGCGAACCGTACTCACGAAATGAGCCGTATCAATGCCTATATCCACAAACACATACATCATCTTTATGGGAGTCACGTCCACAGGCACTAAACACAATCGATTCGAGTAAGTCTTTGATTGCTACTGCACACAATGAGTCAAAAGTTATATACCTAGACAGCTGTGTCCGTAATGAATCATGAAATCACAGCCTAGTGCACGAGCTGTGTAATCATCAACACAACATGCACCGTATGTCACGTCACCCATGACTAGCGTCTCGACATTTGCAAACCTAGTGAGCGTGAGCTGTAAGCGTTCACAGTTCCAAGCGTTTGCAATAACAGAAAGCGGGTACCTTTCAAGGATGTCGGCGATTGCACAAGCAAACATGAGCAAACCTTCTGGAAACTGTAGTGCGACTTTTGTAGCATTCTGTCGACGTAACTGCCATACGCTCTTGTGGATTTCAAAGTTGTAATTCGATGGTAGCTATATACATTAGAGCGTGAGCAGTTGTTCGACATCTTGATTCAAATCACGAAATGTTACCAAAGATATGGCCGAGTTCAACAATGCATCGTTCAATATATCGTCTGGGACTTGATTTATAACACGCGATCTACCCGTAATTGGTCGTTTGGCGACTGTTATTATAATACGATGCTTCGTTAAGCTTAGATCACAATCTCCGTCAAAAACAAAAAACATTGCTAAGCTTGCCTGCATCCTTTGTTACGCCTTCAGTAGAGCCAACAAAGCGCTTCTTTGCTAACGAGGATTTGGATATAGTCTCCTTGCTACTTGACACATCAGGAACAGGTACGCCGCTCATCTTGTTTGGATTTTGGAATGTTGAGGGAAGACGACGCGTTGACCATGATCAAACAAAGAGGTCATTTTACCCTATTTATAATGCTCGTTTATAGCTATTTATAGTGCCCGTTTACAACACAACTTTCGTCAAGTCAGTTTATGTATTAGCAATTTGTAAATGACTATAGTACAGCTGCACCCAGAAGCCATGTAAAAAGGTCTCAACGATCAAGTGAAGACTGTGACGTGTAAGGATTCGATATCAACGGCAGATTAGAGTTCGATTCAGATGGTTTCAAAGATACACGACGACGTCCTCCTATCGGAGCACTGGCATTGCCACCACGTTGAATTCAAGGTCTAGCAGGTACTGGAGGAGCGATATGATAGTTGTTGGATTCCTCTTCGTGTACCGGTGGAAACTTAACATTGCTAGCATTGGCTTGAAGACGAGCTACGATTGTTGCGACGTCCTCGGTGGCAGGTGATGTAGGGGATGCATAGTCGGCGGTGGCCATGATGTTGGGATCTGATTCTGAAAAGTTTGAGTACTTTTTATATCCTTTAGCTGGCATGGATCGACGTCTGAAATCTAGATTTGGTCGGGATGGGAATTTCGGCATGTTTGGCATATTTGGAATCGTTGATCGTGGGATATGGATGTCCTTCATATTTGGCATGTTGATTTTTGGGATGCTGATTCGAGGCATATTAGGCATTCTTCGCATATTCAGCATATGCATATCCTTAACATTCGGGAGACTGAATACAGGTAATCCTTTCGCTTCACGACCTGATTTATAACGTCCCCAACATATAGAAATCACATCTTCCCAGAGTATCCACAAGAGGAGCTGAATAAACCCAAAGACAATAATAGCACTTCCGAAGGCAGTCAGGACACCAAACATCCATTGATGACGTTTCAATTCACCTTGTATAGCGTCGAAGAATTCTTCGACGACAGCTTCCACTTTCTTATTATTTGCCATTGCAGACATGACACTGCTGCGAATCACGGTTGGTTCAACGGCAAGCGCGTGCTCGTCGATGAGTGGTATGGATATATGGAGATTGGTTTGTAAAAAGGTGAGGGCATCTTGAAAGTCTGCGATAATGTTGAATAACAGACAGTCGACGAATGCTTGTACGGCGGTTTGGATTGGAGGTACACCACTTAATGGTTCGATAATGGCTGACGTGAATCCGTTGGCTACAGTTCCAATAGTGCTGTTGACGGTAGACGCTGTAGAGTCGACCCATCCAAACAAGACATTGTTGGCGTTAAGTTCCATAGACGAAATGGCATTGTTGGTCAATGTGGCATAGTTTAATGCAGTTTCCATGATACTGGCATTCACTTTATCGACTACAACGTCAAGCACCAATCCAAAACCTGTAGTAGCGTCCGCAGTAGCAGTAGCACGAACTGCAGCCAGATTACTGAGTAACAAGGAAGTGGCCAATAATCCCATTAGGCCAATAGAGAGACAAGTCAAGGACGTAGGATGGTAGACGTATGAGACAAACCAAGTGATTCGATGTTGTGCTTTTTCGGATAGTCGTGATGAGCAGTATGTCAACCATTTAGCAATCCTTGGATGGATGGTGGCGAATAATACACGATGAGCTAGGTCGTCTTCTTCAATGATCTCATTACTATGCTCAGTGACTTGTTGGTCGGGATCATCAAAGTTTGGCGTTGTGCCCATTCGTTTGAGATGCACATCCATGGAGTGATGCATGACGGACTTCACACTGCTGAAGCGGTTTTGGTAGTGTCGATGTTGAATGATGATCCAGACGGCATTGAGTAGCACACAAGCAACCATTAGTAGAATCAGTATGACCGTGACATACCACAATCCCTTGTTGATAGCTGCTACAATAGTGTCGATAAAACTCGTGTCCATTCCATCACAAAAGTTTACAGTCAATGGTGGAGGAGGCGTAGGGAAGACATTTGCTTGTACTTTGGCACCATCGAATTGCTGTGCGATGAGTGATTCAATCATTTCAAAAGGCTTATTAATAAGGACTTCCAGGTGCTGCTCCAGTTCGACAAGAGTAGGTACTTGTCCATTGAGATTCTGGAGTACCGTAACAAAGTCTTGAGGAATATTGGGTACAAGGTTGTTGACTTGGTATTGAAGGGCGGATGGGTCGGCAGGGATTAGACCGCCGAATGTCGTAATTCCATTTACAAAAGTATTGATTCCGGAGTTCATGTTGGATGCAGCCTGATTCAAATAGTCTACAATTTCGGTAGAATAGAAAGAGACACTTCCAAGACTTCCTTGAATGACCAAATCCATGACACAGACCAAAACTTTGGCGTATCGACGTATAAAGAAATCAATAATAAGCGTGATTATGTGCACAGCAGCAATGAGTCCTTGAGATGTATGTTCGATGAGAGAGTTTACAGCAGTGGTGGTAGCCTCATTGATAGCAGTCACGGTGGAATTTGGGATGGCATATAGTGCATTCGTCGCGTCCTGAACTGACTGACACGTGGAATTCATGGCCTTTTTCACATTTGTAGCTTCTTCGTTAATGTAGGGCACGAAACTCATATAAATCAACATGATGATGAATAGGATGTGGAAGACATGGTAGGTTGCGTAAGACTGGGACAATTTCGCCCATATGGACAATTGGCCTGCCATGGTAGCTATAGGGGAGGATGCGTGTCGTAGTTGGAAGAAGCGACCCCATCTTGAATTCGACGAGGTTGCGTCTAAAAATGTGGTTGATCAGATTGGTTGACCTAATGAAACTTTAAACCTTAAAAACACGAGATGTGGATATTCAAATAATGCGAATACACGTACAAATCCAGCTTTTCTTCAGCTGATTCTCCAGGTGCCAACAGCTCAAGTGCCGTTCTCGTCATTTTGAACAGTGAGAAACCATGTATCGTCGTAAGGAACTGGCGTCGCATCAATCGTATCATTAAATGCATAGCAGTAACAGGAAAGGGTTGTCAAGAGAATCAGCCTTGTTGCTACAGCTTCAAAAATGTTACTAATGAGTCGAGAAAATACACCGCCAACAAAAACCAACAGACATCGTTTGCTTCTTACGTGCCATAGTACTTTACGTGTCTCATGAGACTAATAAACTTGCGAGACTCCTAGATCTCCCTCCTTGATATCCCAATGGGTCCTATTGGAGAAAACGTTTGCGAATCGAGGATTTTTTCGCGTTAATCACGTTCCTTATGGGCACTCGGCCTGTTCAAAATCCATTAAACGTATAAATACTCGTTTTGTGTCCTGCTACTATTCCATCAACGTGGTGGTTTCCAACCTCGCTATACGACATTTCGTCAAAAGCGGCAGCTTATTGCGATTGCGATATTGTAGAAGCGCAATGAGTAAGGAGCAGGATGGGAAGACGGGAAAGCCCGTTCTAGACTCGGCGGCCTCGTCCAAGGACAATGAATCTCAACAGCCTGACACGACAGAAAACAAGAAATCATCAACATCTGACGGAACGCTTTTATCCACATCCAATGCACCATCAGAACCTAACAATGACAGTAATCAACAAGACGTAGTAGAGGCTGATAATCGTAACAATCAAGCGGAAGAAGAAGACGTGGAGGTTGATGAAGACGATGAAGATGACGAAGAGGATGATGTTGAAGATGGAGAAGATGATGATGAAGATGGAGAGTGGTATTGTAAGTCATCATGAGGTTCGCCTCGTTGGAAGTGAATGCTTTATGAGTTTCCATGTCGGAATGCTAAGTTCTATCAAACGGACTTGATCACAGGTCATTCTTGCCAAAGGACAATGACTGCTATTCTCGATTCAGGAACTCCCACTTGTCCACGATGCGCATCTGATTTCGTAGAAGAGGTGATTTGGAAGCCCATTGCTACCTAAGTGTTGCCGGTTCTACTTTACCTAAAGGACTACTTACCGCCTGTAGAGACCGCTTCTGTACTTGCGTATCGCTAACTCATAACCCTTCTCTGTATAGATTGAAGATATGGACGATCATCCACGAGGCTATAGGCCAAACAACAATGATGAAAATGAAGACGATGAACCTGTTGAGCCAGCCGCAGCATCCGCAGAGCTTGCACGTGTCCTACAACTCGTATTGCAACAAATGTATGGCAACAATGCGAATGTCAGTGTCGCCACTCGCCCAGCCCAGGAGGGTGAATTACCAAACAATGTCATTATCACAACTGCAGCCCCTGACAGTGATAATGCTACTACTTCCACCACCATACAACCTATACCAGACCTCGCTGCTCCCACACCAGCTGAAGGTGAAGCTCCAGAAGGACGGCCGAGGAATCCAAGAGCGCCAACAACAGCAGCGGCAGCAGGGGGACCAGAAACTATCAATCTCATGACGTAGGAGTTTGAATTAGTCTTGTTGATTGAACTTTTTTCGCTAATAGAATTCTGTACTGTTTTAGATTACTACAAGCATTGTTTGAAGGACCCACAGACGGCCAACCAAATCCACTAGCAAACATACTCAATATGGTTGGGGCGCCAGGTACAAATCCAGGAGGTAACATGTCTGAGTGACCCGATGTTTCTTTTGAGACGCCTGTTCTAAGTCTCGTCGCAACTCTCTTTGCATAATTTAGACTACGTGTTTGGTCAACGAGGATTGGATGATATCATAACTCAGCTCATGGAGCAACATGCGGCGTAAGTTCAATGCAGGATACCATTTTTTACTCTTCCTGGCCTGAAGTTGACTCTTTCCTGTCATACAGGGCAAATGCACCACCACCAGCGCCAGAACATACTATCAAATCATTACCACGAGTCACTCTTGACAAGGATCAAGTTGGTATGTTAGCTATTCTGAGGCTTTAGATCATCGTGTGGTTCTAATCTTCTCTTTTTGTTGCAGATGGGCAAACAGATTGCATTGTATGTCAAGATGAATTCAAAGTTGGAGAAGGAGCTGTATTGTTGCCATGCAAGCACTTCTTCCACTCGGTATGTATCGAAAGCTGGCTGAAAGTCAATGGAACGTAAGTCGACACGTGGTGGTGTAAAAACGATATTCACAAAAGATCACAACGATTTCGCAATCTCAAACTGTTTTCTTGGTCTAGATGTCCCATCTGCCGCTACAACCGTGAGTAACTTGTCTGGTTTGAGTTAATCATTCAATAACTAATCGAAAATCTTTCTGACATAGTCATTGAAAACAAAGCCGCAGACAGTAAGCCATCATCAGGACCTAGCTCAATATAATCATTGTATAGATCAGAAAGCCTTTGAGCTCAAAAATACACGCATATTTTCTTTGAAATCCTTGAGCTTTGCAGGCGTTTTGCTCGAAACCTTAAATCAGGCACCGCGCAGATCGCCCAACCAAAGCATACCAAATTCTCAACAGGATGAAACTTCCAGGAATGGCTACAATTTGTAGGATAACTCCCCTCTGGATAACAGCAGCAGTCCTCTTGATCCGCCCCAATGTCGCATTTGGCATCAAGAGCGTTGCTCCCCGTGGCTTTTTCACATTTGGAACCGCAAAAGGCACTTCTGAGTTGGACGATTGGATACCACACCAGTATGGAATATCTCGGCAAAGATTGATCGAGAATATTTCCCCTGCCCAAACATCAGTCGGTTGTATTGTTGCAAGTCCATCACGAGCACATCCAAATTACTTGTATGTGCCATCAAAATTTTATGTTTTGCATTCAATGCATTTACAAATTTATGGATTTATGTTTTTCGTTGAATGATAGCTTCAGTTGGGTACGGGACTCTGCTCTGGTGACTGACTCGTTGGCTGACATGTGGGCAATGGAACGCTACCCTGAAGATATCGAACAGTCTATATGGGAGGTTGCTGAGTTCCAAACGTATATTCAAGAGGCGGATACCCCGTGCAAGTGTTTGGGAGAGCCCAAGTTTGAAGTGGTGAGTGTATCATATATAATACTTGGATGACCGTATTTTTAGCTTTGGCTAGATACGGAAGGGACGACTGCCTCAGATCTCGAACAACCTTTTCTGATTTCCGCTTTTCACAATCTTTAGAATGGCGAAGCGTTTACTGCTGATTGGGTACGTTATTGCTTTGAACACAATTGTATCGGTTCCCATACTAGATACTCACAACATAAATGACAGCTACCAGTTGCTGAACAGTTACTGACCTCAGTTTCTTTCAAGCAGGGCAGGCCGCAGAACGATGGTCCCGCACTCCGTGCCTTGGCTTTTATAAAATTCGCAAAACACTACCTCTCGCTTACTGGAGACACGGCTCGAGTCCTAGAAAAACTGTATACTCCAACACTCCCAGCCACATCCCTCATAAAACGAGATCTGGAATACATTGCCGCGACACATTCCAACCCGTGTTTTGACCTCTGGGAGGAAATCGACGGCCACCACTTCCATACCAAGCTCGTGATATACGCAGCCCTTCTAAAAGGATCGGATTTCGCGAGAAACTGGATGAATGATACCGGTGCAGCCGACTATTATTATGAAAAGGCACTAATTGTAGAAAAGGAGCTGAAGGAGTTTGTAGTTGGGGGTGTTATCAAGGCGAATATTAGAGTTATAGGAAGTCATAGAGGCAAGGACTCGAATCTGGATGCTAGTGTCGTGTTGGCGATTTTGGAGGCTGATTTGAGTCATCCGGATTACTCGATTACGTCTCCGCTTGTGCTGGAGACTGTTAAGAGGCTTGTTAAGAGTATGAGTGAGATATATCCGATTAATAGGGATGATGAGAGTGGTTTGGCGCCTGCTATTGGGAGATATCCGGAAGTAAGGTTGAGTTGGTCGTAGAACCATAAGCTGGTCGCATCTAAGTTTTTTTTGCGTCTGTAGGACATATACGATGGGGTCGAGATGTCGATTGGATCACGTAAGAACCGCCAATACCTTGATTTTAATCCTTGTCAGTCAACTTATCCCTTCACATTTAGCATGGTTTTTGACAACCCTCGCAGTTGCTCAATACCTTTACAAACTATCTATACACATGTCTACACCACTCAATCTGCAGCCTCTATCTGAACACCACCAGTCAGATTCGTTGAAAGAGAGTCTCATCCATACTGCAGATTCATTCATGTTGCGAGTCAAGAATCATACTGGTGCAGAGGGGCATATGAGTGAACGTAAGTGTCATCATTGAAGATTATTCACTGTCTTTTTCTCATCCCATTTTCACCTTCGATCGGATTTAGAATTCAACAGAAAGACAGGACTGATGCAGGGTGCCAAAGATTTGACTTGGAGCTATTCTGCTTTTATGACTGCTTCATGGGCACGAGCCGATGCATTGTCATTGTTGTAAGAAGGGTGTGTGTTGAGAGTTGTCAGTGTTGGTAGTCATTGCATGAGGAATTTCGGGATTAGGAAATATCAAATGTATACAATGGAAGAAACAGTATAGTTGTATAGTTAGGAGGTCTTTATATTGTTGGTGGGTATAGTAGTTGCTTACATACACTTCTAGATTGGATAATTTAACTACCCCTTTATTTTTCCAAAATATTTCTATGTGTCTCTATATATGTATAACTGTTTACATATTCATCTCATCCCTGAGCTGTCAACTCAACTTGTTCCCCACTCAACAATGTACTATGAATCTCATCCCAACCATCAACACTATACACAATAGGACGTTCAGCATCTTCCTGGTATGCAGATAAAGACTCGATACGAATGTTGAATCGTTTGCAAACGTCATAGACTGATTTCTTTGGTTTCATCATGATTCCGAGTGCAGCTTTTACTATATTGTATGAAAGAGTCTTGTTCAGTATACGTGATATTCAGGACCAAAAAACGCCAACTACTCTTACACAACATGGGCAAATCACTAACAGAATCCCCAACACCAATCCCATACAACTCTTCACCTCCAAAATCCGGCATCACAGCTTGCAGACTCGCCAGCTTATCCACACCTGTAAACACACCTCCTGCAATAAAACCCGTAGATACATCCCCGTCAAACTCCAAATCATTTGAAATGACATTTTCATTAGGCACACCCGATACGCCAGACACGAGATCCTTACTCCAGTTCAAAGAAACGATCTTTATATTCTTTGTTTCAGGATGCGCGTGCTTATATGCATCCAAGAAGTCGTAAAAGAATGGCTGTACGAGACTCGCGTTGTCAACTCCATCAGATAAATCATGGCGTTCGATATCACGTAGAACCTTTGAGTCGTTGATACGTGCAATGGATGCTTCTTCGACATGTCTGAATGATGTCAAGTATGCTTCTAGAGTTGATGCATTGCGGGTTTCAGAGCTGTTTGCTTGACGTTCCCAGTCTTCATAGTAGTACGATGTGAAGTGGCTCCATAGTGGAGAGCGAGTAGGATCGTTGGCGTATGCGAGGTGAGAGATGTGGGATGTGCTGTCTTTTATTGTTATTGTTTCGTCGAAATCCATTAGGAGGGCCAGAAACACTAGTGCTGGGAATTTCATTTCTTTCAAAGATAGACGTTCATGAGAGGAGTGTTTGGAAGTGGAAATGATGGCATCTGTGGCTTACTATGCAAGTTTGTGTTTGATTCCTGTTGAGGATGGATGGTTGGATGGTGTAGTTTCGATGTTTGGACGCATTTTGACATTCCTTTGATAGTGCTAAAAGGTAAGGAGTTTGACAGGTATACAATCACATGAGTGGCAAGATGACAGATGTGTCAAGATTGATTTGGACGTGTTTTCTTGCTGATATTCGTAGCTGCTACGCTGCTACATGCTCGTCGCACGGGTAATCAAGATATAAGCTGTTTTCGAGAATTTGGACGCAAGAAGAGATTACATGCCATTTGCATGTGGGAATGTATTAGCAAACAATACCACCAAGATTTTTTCAGCAATTATGAGAACAATGCGAAGAATTCCGTCTGTCCTTCTATCGCCAGCGTGGTGTTTGCAAAAAGCAGTTTTATTATATCAGACTGGAACTACAAACCTCCGAAAGCTCGCTTTTTATAGTATTTTATATTTGACGTTTAGCAGTGGAATACTGAGTAATTTTTTTGTCGTCTCGGCGTCGGAACTTGCACTAGACCATCAGTACCCTGGACATCACAATCAACAATCTGCAATTGCATCCTCTCCAAATCTGGAGACTTTGGCAAGCCAAGGGAGATGACTCGCTGCTGTCTCAGCAAAAGTCATCGGCTCTCCTGCCTTGCAGGGTTATATATAGGTCACATCGAGCCCGAGTTTGATTTCCGGCGGGTTGATAGTGGGCAGTTATCTACATTATAATCCGTCGAGATCACGGTGATGTTAAGGTCTAGAGCAGCCAATCATCTTCCTCGGCTAGCCAAAGTCTCCAGATTTGGAGAGGATGCAATTGCAGGTTGTTAATTGTGATTGTGTGCAAGTTCCAAGTTAGTGCCGACACTTGACAGAACTGGCCAAAAGTCTGTTACCTCGCCACTGTAAAGAAAGCAGCCACAATGTCTCCCCTTCGCAAAGAAGTCATGACCCATTTCGTCCAATCTCCAACGAGCATTGACGACTTCATGTATGGGAGTAGTAAAGTCTGGCTCGTATCCTACTAATCTCCGAAGAGTTTTATAATTGCGGGTGAAGTGGCTGTCTCGTAGGCGACTAAACTTATTTATGAGTGTTCTAAGGACTAAGATCTAAGAAACAATGAAATGACCAGTGAGTATCAATTGCCTGACGGACCAACAAACAAAGAAGACATCTGCAAACTCACTTTTTCCTAGCATCAACATTGGCTCTCCAACAATCAAAGTTTGTCCCATCGGCGTGCAACGGCCTGAACTGATATTTAACACCGTTTACTGACGGTACACACCATATTCTATATATCCGTCATCGGCTTGCCTAGCTATGGCAGCATCTCGTTCGGCAATTACCGTTTCAGCTGCCGAGGATAGGGTCTACACCACCTCTAACAATTGCAAAGAGGCTGATCAGTGACCAAAAAGTCGAGAATCACTGTTTGCAACAAACCAAACCCTACCAAATAACTCGTCAAGTACATCGTCAAGCTCCCACCTTCCTTAGACCACCGAGCCCACAATACCAGCCCAATCCACTCCCATCATTTACATAATCCTTCAGAGTATAAGTAGGCACATGTCCAGTTCACATTGTATAGGTTTAGGTTGGCAGAGACCACCGTCTGTTCAACGTCCGTTCATTTATCTTTGGAGAATGTCTCGTATAAACCCTTTGAGCGATATATCCATTATTCAGCATTTCATCGCTGTCCTCAGTGACACATCACTGTCCGGATAGTGATGCTACCAGACTACAATCTCTATCCTGTCTCTGACTCTACAGTTGCATTCTTCTCATCGTAATCACCAAAATGTCATTGAACTGGTGGATGTCGACGACATTGGGTGAAGGTCCTAGTATGGGAGCGCTAGTTGGTGGGCATGCAGGAGCGTTGGAGTGCATGGCGACGTACTTGCGATTGATAAAAATCTGGAAGTGGCTACATCCATAATCAAGCTTAACGTGTGTTAAACTCCATAAGGAAGGAGAGTGACTCTAAGTTCCTAAGTAAAAAACATATATACAAGGAAGAACGAAATTATTCTTGCCATTTTTTACACATTGCTTCCCTTCGATACTGTGTTGTGTTGGAAAAATTTAAAAATTGAAAACCCGTTCCAAGCTAATTGTGTCTGATAGGGAGGCGTTTCAGTTCTTGAAATTTGAAGCTACTGTACGAGTCGATACATACTGACGATTCCAGCCTCGCTTTGTTAGGTCTTTACTGCTATCTCATATTCCGAACACGTTTGACGAATGTTGGAACTGGAGGGGTACATTTTAGCAAACAAGACAATGTATACTATAGAGACGTGTTCACTGTATACAAACATGCAATTTTTAGATTTTATGAGACTATACATTGTCTTTTCACCACATGAGCACCATCCGCGTCAAATCGTCACCTCCTCGTCCCGTCTTCATAGACTCTTTACGTCGATTCCAAGTACTCATGCAACGCAGCCTGCCTAGCACTATCCTTCATCTCTTGTGTAGCATCAGACCCCAAACTACTCATATGTATAGCCAAATACATCTGGAATTCAGGATTAGCTTCATCTACATCCCTCTTCACACCAGATATCACACGCCCATTTGATACTTTAGCACTACTACTTCCCATCATCCCAAACGGATCTCCACTATCATCACTATTTCCATGCTGTTGGAAAGCTTGTGTTTGGAATTGTTGTTTTTCAGCGGCTCGTTGTTCGGCATTCATTTCTTCTAGTTTGTGAGAGCGTTCTACAGATTCATCGATTTCGTTGAGTTCTCGTTTAGCGGCTGCGATGGCAGCGGCTTTATCGGCATCGGTTGCTGTTGGTGGGAGTGATGACATGTGGATTGCAATTAGCATTTGTAGTTGGGCTGATTGTTCTTCTTCTAAGGGCATTTGAGCCGATTTCCATTGATCTACGTGCAGTTGAGCTGCTTGCTCTTCTGCCTTGGGCAGTTCCACTGGTACCTCCACCTTACTACTATTATCAAACGTGGCTGAGAATGGAGCTATTGTTGAAGTAGTCGGGCTATCGGCAATGTGTTGGAGTATTTGCTCAGTACGCTCGTGAGGAGCACTCTGAGGTATCACACTATTACTATCTGTCCTCCCTGTGACCCAATCACTACCAACCACACCTTTATTATCTGATTGGGCGTCTACTTGCAAAATAGCAGCTAACGTGTCACCAAACTCTACTTCAGCATCCTCAAATGCAAAGCTCTTGGCATCATATTGTAAATCATCGTGTTCGAAATCAACCTCTGGTTGATCTTCCATCAAGTGTTCCAGCTGATCGTATTCGGCATGCGCCATGGCTGTGGCTTCTTCCTCGCTGTGCCCAGAGCTTTTGAATATGGCGATAAGAAGCTTCAGTTCCTGAGTCAGGTCACCGTTGGCGTTGATAGCAGGTCTGGGTTTCGCTCGTCGACTCGTCTTTTCTGGCAGTTGGTCTGCTGTTGGTATACTGGTGCTACTACTGATAGCTTCAATATCTGGAGACTGTAACAGATGCTGCAAATCTTTGAGCTTTTGCTCTCGCTGATTATCTGCTGGCGATGGAGTCACCGACCATACCGGTTCCTGACACCCTAAAGTCTGCAACCACCACGCCCTAGTCACGAAGTTGAATTTGATAGTATCGTCCTGGACAACAAGGACACCCGCTTCAATGGCTGCGTCCATAACACTTCCTAATTGGCTCGAATCTTCCAATAGTTGAGACGAGTGAATCTCCACCTGACTCCTATGTACAGTATCTACAGCTGGATTCATGCCATCATAACCACCATTGACATCTGTGAGAGCTCGTGCTACAGCGATACATAGTGGATGGAATTGAATTGGTGTAGAAGCGATTAAACAATTCCAGGCTCGTTCATCTGGTGATAGTTTGACATTAACGTTGGCGAATCCCCAGGGCGTCCACGTGACGTCCATCTTGCTTTCATCGATATCCACCTAGGTTGTTTGTCCAGGTTAGTACAGTGGGACCAAAAAAAAATGCTGTCTCACTTGCAATGTGATTGTTTGACTAACCATTCCATACGCCACAGCAGTCTCCAGCAAGTCAATTGTAGACTTGAATCCACAGTCCCTAGCTTTATACCACGCTTGCATCCACTGCTTGTTTGCGCAACTATCCACAGCGGATGCAAAATGAGAAGTATTCAGCCATTTCCTGCCTTTACCCAGACTCGGTGGCTGGAACTTTTTCGGTGCAGCACCAGTAGATATAGAGGTTAGGTCTACTTGCGATTTCAGAAGAATGACGGAAAAGGGCGACGGGATATTGTGATATGAATGTACTATTGTGGTTGATTTCTCCAGGAACTTGAGCACTGGAATCAATAAAGGGTTGTTGGAAACTACTAATGTACGGAGATTGGCAACGGATCGCTAAAGACGATGTGACGCGGTTAGCCACGTCCTCCTCAAAACAAAGACGGTGTCTTTACACTCACTCGAAGCAACGTCACAGCGATGGCCAGAGACACATCGGTAGCCTGATACGATACGTCGGCAGCTTGATATATAGCTGTAGATATGGTTGGTTTGTGATGCAGTGGGGCGACTGATACAGCTTTTGTGGTCTTGACTTTGCCTAGTAGGGCTGGCACGGCCTCGTCAGCAACCACAGTTTCCAGATCCCAGATCATATCTGCATCGAGCATCGGAGGAGGATGAGTATCTAGCGAACAGCCAAAGAAGACTTTGTGTTCGACTAGTTTGACAGCCCTTGCGATTTCAATGTCGTTGGTTAGGATTGCAACCTTTCTGCCCGTTTCATAGGCCTACAGAAGAGAAGAAGCGTTTAGTTAGACTGAAGCGTTTGCATTTGTGGGCCAAAACTCCACCGATTGCTACCAACTCAGTACCTTGAAAGCCTGCAACATGACAGTGATTCTTGAGCTGCCAGGAGAACAAGGTACTACAGTCATATCATAATCCGTGATTTGAGAGACTACAGCATGCGAGGTCGATGTAGGCACGACTGCGACTGCCTTTTTAGCAGAATTCCTCGTCTTTGCCAGCTCATTGCCTATTGAAAAACACGCAGTCAGCCTACAAGGTGAATTGCAGCACACTTTGCAGGTAAAAACATACTTGGCATGGTCGCTACATCCCATATGATGATCTCCATGTCTGTATAATGGTCTGGCTGCGATTCAATAGATTTATAGATGGTCACACTTGCTAAGAAAAGACGATGGGGTTTCGGCGCACGTGAGGAAGTTATTTATCCATATTAGAGCAAGATGGCGGAACACGTAGTCATCGATTTTTTGCTGCCAACGGAGCTGCCACTGTCTCCTGCTGATCAGATGCCCATTGTGGCAGCAGATCCGATTGTTCAAGAAACTGTAGCATCATGTTCCTTCTTTTGTGTGTTGGGTCATGTCTTTAGTACATTGTATACCATCATTTTATGGACAATCAGGTATATATTCTTACTATATCCTTTGATCTTGCGCTTCTTGTAAACCTTATTCATGAAACACACAACATTTCCCACACACATCAACCATAGGCTGCCATATTCCATTTTCAACGTATCCGTAAAGACAATCACCATAGTCATTGATTACCAAACTATATTTATCACAATCCTATTTATCTCCATTGTCATGTACCTGCTTTTCAGATACCGTATCCTCACGAGATACTCGAGGCTTCCAGTGGCCCCAATCTCAAAGAAGGGTGTACCATTCGATCTGCATCCTGACGCTGCTCTAGAAGACTCGAAAGATCTTCCACCGGGTTATGCTGATGAGTTTCTTGGTGCTTTCTTATCTTCAATCAAGGTCTTTGGGTATCTTGATCGCCCCGTCTTTCAGTGAGCCATCTCTGATGCTTTGAACCTATACATATTGACATGCTTCCAATCCTTCTTGCTAACCGACATTTCAAATACAGCGAACTCGCTCAAGGTCTCCAGACACGTAAACTCCGAGAAGGAGACATACTATTCAAAGGCGACGAAGACGACAGTCGCGACTTTTACGTAGTAGTAGATGGCTGTGTCCAGATATTCGTCAAAGGACAAGACCAGCCTGATCAGGGTATGATGGAAGGCACAGTATATGAAGTAGACGACGATCAGTCAGGACTAGAAGGTCATCACCTGCTAAACGAAGTACACAGCGGTGAAACAGTGTCTTCTCTCTTCAACATCTTGGCCGTCTTGACAGAGGACAAGGACGTTGAAGATCAAGTAGCTGATGATAATGCTGAAGAAGGGTTGAGTGGTGGTGGAGGACACGCCAAACAGACTGTCTTTCCTGGGTTATCAACGGCCATTCCAACTTCTGATGCTACGTTTAGTCCGCCGCTTACTCCGGCAGGTGTAGATCTCGATGATATTATGAGTGCTGGTAGTACTGCTGCTGGACGAAAGTCGTTTTCTGCACATGGAGCAGGTGTAGATACCGATGAGACTGGTAGTAGTGGTTTTGGGACTGGACGAAAGCCATCGCCCTCAACTCCACTACCATCAACGTCTTTCCATCGATATAGAGCGATTAGTGCCAATATTGTAGCTAGAGCTGCATGTGATACCACTCTGGCGGTTATTCCAGCTGCGTCCTTTTCAAAACTATCTGAAAAGTTTCCAAAGTCCGCTGCTCATATTGCTCAGGTATGTCATTTGAGTTTCGCGAAGTTTAATTATTGGCAAAAAAGAACCTAAATATCAATTATATATATTAGGTCATTCTTACACGTTTTCAACGAGTCACCTTCTTGACCTTGTATCGATATCTCGGCTTATCACGTGAATTACTACATATAGAAAGAACAGTCAATGAATACCAAGGATATACCAATGGTCTGCCTCAAGACTTTCCGCATTCTGCGATGGATCGTCTTCGATTAAGACAAGCTGTGAGAGCAGAGGAAAGCACAGACTCTGAAACGACACATAGACCAAAATCAACAATGCTACGAAAGCCATCTACTACCACTAGACCCGTAACTCCAACTCCATCTCGAGTAACTAGATTCGCTGATTCTGCTCTGGCATACGATGCAGACAATGATTCGTCTTCTCTTCCACCGCCATCGATACTACCAACTCCCAAAATTAGTAACAAGTCAAATACCCCTGGTTTGTTAGGTAACGAAGGTGTAAGGTTAGCACCTGAAGTCGATGCTGCTGATAGTATTGAATTGAAACGAGCAGTATTCGATTGCATCGCCTTCCTAATCGGATTAAAATACGATGCTGCTACCCATTCAGCCCCAACTTCAGCATCAACAACCAAATCATCTCGCCACCCAACATTTTTCGTCGGATCTGAACACCATCCTCTCCATTCACGCAACGAAAGTCTCCCAAACGTCCTCCCTCATATACGCCTCCCCCACAATCGAGAGGAATCTATATCATCGCGAGACGGAGTAGACTCTGATAACGACTCTGTAACCTCATCGACCTCATCATCAAACGTATCGCACCAGCAACACACACAACCACAACCAGATCCATATCTAGATGTCCAAATCATTGGGTATGAACGTGGCCAGAATATCGTTAATGCTGGTGATAAAGTCCTTGGATTGTATTTCGTCGCTGATGGTGTGGTGGAAGCCTCTATGGTTGTGGATCCTGACAGGGCGCTGGATATGAGTGCGCTTGGTGGTACTAGTGGTAGTGAGAAAGAGAGAGGGCGAGAAAGGCAACGCTCGCCTAGACATAGTGGAGCTAGTAGGGATGGTGATGATGGTGGTGGGACGGGTTCTTCAAAGAAATCGAGAAGGAGTTTGTTCTTGATTCGACCTGGTGGGTTGGCTGGGTATATATCGGCTATCACAGGTACGATTTGATTACCGACCTGTGTTGTTGTGCCGTGTCAAACCTCTTCGAGACCTCTAGTAGAAGTTGCTTCGCAGAGTTTTTTTTTGCTCATTCACATTTCGCAACATAGGTCACATATCACTTGTCTCGTTACGAGCCAAGACAGATTGCCATCTTGGGTTTATATCCAAAGCAGTTTTGGATCGATACGTGGAAAGGAATCCTAGCATCTTGCTTACTTTGGCAAAGAGGTTATTGGCTCAACTGTCTCCAGTTGTCCTGTGTACGTCACACCCTGCTTTCTTGCTCAACTCCAAATCGCAAATTCTCATCTACACTTCAAAAATAGATGTCGATTTGGCATTAGAATGGTCGGTAGTAAATGCAGGCCAAAAAGTATGTCGACAAAACGAGAGAGCAGAATCGATCTTTATAGTATTGAATGGTCGATTACGTGCTATCGCCGAACGTCACCCTCCATTATCAGCATCATCACCCGATACGCCATCATCTTCCCACTCCAATTCTCCACGTACACCATCGCCGGATCCCCATGCTATGGGACACGAGTTTGAAATCTTAGGTGAATATGGTCAAGGAGAATCGATTGGAGAATTCGAAGTCTTGACGGGAGCTAGACGACCAGCCACTATCCATGCTATTCGAGACACAGAAATCGCCGTGATGCCCAAAACATTATTCAACGCTCTCGCCATCCGGCATCCAGAAATCACAGTCCAGATCTCGCGTATCATAGCCGAACGATCACTTGCATTAGCCAAACGACGTAACGACCCCGTACCAATGTATATGACTGGCGGTGGAGTCGATTTCGGAAAAAACAACTCAAACCTAAAAACCGTCGCCATACTCCCCGTATCTGGCTCCGTCCCCATAATGGATTTCGCAGATAAACTACGAGACGCATTTGAACTGGTCGGTGCCAGTGTCGCCATGCTAAACACTTCGTCCATCATGTCAGCGTTAGGCAAGCATGCCTTTTCGCGTATGGGTCGATTGAAACTTATGGGCTGGCTTGCTGATCAGGAGGAACATCATCGTCTTGTGCTTTATGTTGCTGATGGTGGTGTTAATTCTCCATGGACACAACGATGTGTGAGACAGGCGGATTGTATCTTGCTTGTTGGATTGGGTGATGAGGATCCGTCTATTGGAGAGTATGAGAGGTTGTTGATGGGGATGAAGACTACAGCGAGGAAGGAGTTGGTGTTGGTGCATTCGGAACGGCATTGTGCGCCTGGGTCTACTGCTGCGTGGCTGAAGAATCGATTATGGGTAAGCTCACAGAGGCAAAAAAAAAAGACGCAAATTCCTAGACATTGCATCGGTATGACCAATCCACTTGATACTCACACATCTCTTTATTTTGGATAGATTCACGCACATCATCACATGCAGATGCAGCTCTTCCCCAATCCGAGAATGCTAACGGCTGAATCTCGCAAGACCACTCTAGCAAACATCCGAACGGTACGAACTTAATGGTTTGACCAAATCTTCCAGTTTACAACTTGGCGTTGTTTTTCGCTACAACTAACAAGGTTCTAATCTCCCAACTTTTAGACCTTCCAACGATACTACACCCGAGCCTCAGGCGTCCATCTCCACCGCCAAGGCTCCGATCCACACCTCTTCAGCGGCCTACGATCCGACTTTGCTCGCCTCGCACGTCGCCTCCTCTCCAAATCCATTGGAATCGCATTCGGTGGCGGTGGAGCTCGTGGCATAGCCCATGTAGGAATCGTACGAGCATTTGAAGAAGCTGGTATACCTGTCGATATGGTTGGGGGAACCAGTATTGGATCGTTTGTAGGTGGACTGTATGCACGAGAGAATGATCACGTCAGTATATATGGACGTGCCAAGAATTTTGCGGGACGGATGGCTTCTGTATGGCGTCAGCTTCTTGATCTAACGTATCCGGTTACGTCGCTGTTTACGGGGCATGAGGTGGGTTTGGTCGTTTATAGTGTTTCAGAACGAACAAAAAAGTGGTAGATAAGCAAGAAGCATAACTTTTACTATACACTAGTTCAATCGCGGCATATGGAAGTGCTTTTTGGATACCCATATTGAAGACTGCTGGCTCTCGTACTTTTGCGTGACGACCAACATTACGTGGTCGCGCATGGAAGTACATCGAACTGGATACATGTGGCGTTATATCAGAGCTTCTATGTCACTTGCAGGGTGAGTACAACCCTAGACTTCATTTGTTTTTTTTCCTGCTACTCATCCCTCTAAACCTTCACAACATAGATTCCTACCACCACTATGCGACAACGGAGACATGCTCCTAGATGGTGGCTACCTCAACAACCTCCCCGCCGACATCATCCGCGCACTAGGCGCCAACACAATCGTCGCAATCGATGTCGGAGGAGCATTTGACAACCTCCCAGCCACATACGGCGACTCGCTCTCTGGCTGGTGGGCACTGCTAGCACCCTTCATCCCATTCGTCAAACACGGTAAAATAGCGGCCCAGGCTGAAATCCAGTCTCGTCTTACGTATGTCGCATCAGTCAAGCAGTTGGATGATGTCAAGAACTCGCCTGACGTGCTGTATTTGCATCCACCTGTCGCTGTATATGGCGTTTTGCAGTTTGAAAAGTTTAAAGAGATTTATGATGCTGGGTATGAGTATGGAAAGATGGTTGTGAGCAAGTGGCAGGAGGATGGAATATTAGAGGAGAGGTTTGGTGTGAGGGTTAATCATGGTCGGGCAAAGAGAGTTAGAAGGGCTTCGATATAATTTAGTTCGATATCCGTAGTATACTTTGTTGCTTGTAGATATATAAACCAGTTTGCATACATATTGCCTTCATTCAACCACTTTGATCGACGGCGCTGCAAATTAGATCTTGGTGCAAATGAATTCAAAAGGGTGCGTATAGATAAAACATGAATACAAATCTAATCGCAAAGATTATATATATACACTGAAAAGTGTCTTTTACAAAAAGCCCCCCAAGAGAAGAGACGTTTGTCCCTTCCACCAAATTGGTACCTAGAAGACACTTTTGTCTATATACTTTTCAACAGCTTGCATGATGATTCTTTTCAACGTATCGAGACGACATGTTGTCCAAATCTGTGGCAAGTCGAGCAGGTTTATGACCAGCGACTGCTCGTGGTACCTAAAAACATGATTTCAAGAGGTAAAACTAAACCATAAAGGCCTTTTAGGGTGGCTGAAAAATAAAACAAGAACATTCTTTCACATGTTGCTGATAGTACGTCAAAGGAGAACCCGCCGATTGATAATACTTCACACCTAGCACATCTGATACTCCTGCTTGAATAGATGTGAAGCTTGAAGGATCATTAGCCACAAGCAAATGCGAAACCCGAATGAACTTCTCCTTAACAGCGATACACGGAGCTCTAGAAGAAAATCATGAGGAAATGAGCCTATTGTGCCAACAGTGACTAACTGGACAAAGCTCTCCCAATTTATCTAAATTTCAAGCAGTAGCTGGTATTCCCACTATCATTCACGCACCATTCAATGCCGTCCAATTGTTTCAGTTTCTGAAGTGACGCAAATCCAGCAAGAATTCCAGTCTACTGCTAAAACCAGCATATACTGGTGGATCCATCAAAACAATGGCGAGCACTACAATTCTAATCAAGCCGGAAACCCCTTCTTTGCTGGAAACGGTCGAGCTTTCAGGTATCGTCGTTCAAAATTGGTGACAAGAAAAAAGCTCGAGACAGTGAATTCATTCCCTTTTTCCAAACGTTGTTTTTAGAGAACGATATCGTAATGCCAAAATCATACACCCGTTTCACCGTCTTCTACCAACACGCTGCCCGAGACGCCATCGAGAAACTCCAAACATCACTTTCCACGACATTGGTCTCGTTCCCAATCGTAGCAGGAACCATGCACTTTAACGCCGAAAACGGAAATATATCAGTCACGACAAATGATCGTGGCGTGCCCTTTGACGTAAGGACGTCCTCGATGACATTAGAATCACTCAAACCATTCAAACACGAAGAAATACCAATGGATCTATCCGTCACACTCGATCAAGCATTACTGTGGCCTCTAATGGTGAAAATTACGACATTTGCCGACGGAGGGATAGCTGTCGCCGTGGGGATGCAGCATGCAATCGCAGACGGCCACTCTGTGTTCGCATTCGTAAAGTACTGGGCTAGTATATGTAGTATGGGACATGCTAATGGTTTACCGACTCCAATACACAGTCGACGTATATTGGATCCGCTACGTGATGCTAGGAATGTTTTACAGCCGCCTGAATTCAAGCTTGTTGATCCAGCTATCGTCAAGTATCCGAGTGTATTGCCCGCTGTGAGGGCCACGATGTTTCATTTTAGTATTGAGAGTCTTGCTAGGCTGAAGGCTGAAGCAGCTAGTAAATCTGTCGGGAGGTTTGTGTCGACACAAGATGCTTTGAGTGCACTGATATGGAGGTGTTGTGTTAGAGCTTGGTATGTGAAGAACGAGATTCGGTCTTTCTAGTAACCGGCTTCTTTGGCGTCTGGTTTTAATCAATTTTTCTCAATGTACACAGGGTCATCCCATCAGACACCCAAGCAAAACTCGGGTTCGCATGCAACGGACGCAATAAAACAATTCCACCACAAGGAGACGGTTATTTCGGAAACTCGAACTGGTTTCCACTACCGATACTAGACGTGTCAGCCCTCACAGGACCAGACGGACTGTCAAAAGCAGCAGACATGATACGAGCCGAGATTGAAAAGATAAATGATGACAAGATTAGGGATACGTCTGCATGGATTCATAGTATTGAAAACAAGCTACATATCACATATACGTTTACGGCGTCTAAAAGGATTGGAGGGGCGGATTTCACGTTGACTAGTTGGAGGTTTGGCATGTATGATATCCAGTTTTTTGGAGAGAGGCCGATGTCTGTGAGGTATGCAAAAGAGAGATTTCAATCTGTACAGGGGCCCAGTTTAATTTTTTTTGTTCTCGCTCTAGGCAAACTGGCCAACTGAACTGGGATGGCCTCGCAACCATTTTTGATGCAGCAGATGGTGGCACCGATGTATACATTGGTCTTGTCGCCGAGTCTATGGATAAACTCGAAAAGGACTCGGAATTCATAAAATTCACCTCATGAAATAATTCAATTAAACGATTTTGCAAAATGTATTTTGTGCTTTGAGCTTATATTTACACTATAATACAATATAAGTTTCTTAAATGTCAAACCGTTTGGGACACCAAAATGCCTAAATAGAAGAAGAATGTTTGGTTAGAAGTGCTTTATGTCCACCTTGCAATGTTCTCAAGGAACGATGGAAATATCAAGACTTAAAAACCAAGATCTGTTCTTCGATGTTACATAAGAAAACCAATGTCGACATGAGGAACAGCAATCGACCTTCTCGAAAGAAGGACGATGCAGATTCGACTTGGGGAACGTTCATCGTTCAATATATCTGATGGCAGTGTCACGGATTTTTTCTGTAAGAGACGTACCAGTTGGGAGTCTGCACTAGCTACCAACAAGTGACGTGGATTGAATACAACACACTGTGTTGGTTCTGAATGTCCTTCCAGTGTTTCAACTTTTTGAAGAGTTGGAACAGACCAAAAGTGTATCTTCCCATCCTGTGATCCTATTTTGGGGGAAAGAAACAATCTTCGTATTAGCAAAGACAGGTCTCAATGCTCAATCGAGTCCTTACCGCAGTAAATATACTTGTTATTATTCGTAAACCCTCCTTCCAATTTCAACCCATCCGTATTTTCATATCCCGAAGCCCAACCCCAAACTTTTCCCGTAAATGCATCAACAAGACCCATTTCAGGCCCATTCGTGCATATGAGAATGTAGCTTCCACAAGCAGAGAATTTGAGTGACGTCCAGTTATATGTGCGTGGGTGTTCTGCTGGTTGGATTGTGAATGTAGAGAATGGGCCACCAGAAACATTGCTGGAATCGTATAGCAAGATGACGCGGGATCCTGATAGGCCGAATGCACAGATTACACCTGTTGGATCATATGCAACAATGATTGGACCCTGTAGTTTGTTTGAGAGATATACGCATCCCTATAAAAGTTGTCAAAATGTTTGAGAGAGTGGGTAAAAGATAAGTACTGATAATGCTATCAAAGCTCGAATTGATCGAACGTTACATGGCATGTTGAAGACCTCATGTCCCATAATCTCACAGTACCATCCAGCGATGAAGATATGAATCGATCATCAACAGGACATATGTCCAATGAAATGACTTTTGCCTTGTGTCCTCGAAAGTATCGTAGATATTGGTTGTCATGAAGCGATAGATACCGTATGGTGTCTAAAGGTGGCGAAGAAAAGATTAGATACGTATTTTTCACTGTATGAGCCAAGCACAATCACGCTGCTGTATCGAATTACCATCTTCCTTGGTTGATGAATGCAAGACAGTGTTTGGAGCATGAGTGAATCGAGCGAGATCACATCCGTACTTTTTGGAGAAGATGGTCTTCTTGAGCCTATACGAAAGGAAAGGAAATGGGTCAAAGCTTTGATAAATATTATAATAGCAGCGGTGCGCATCATTCCGACGTTCGAAGCTTGTTCTTCATCCTTGTTCTTCATCGTATGGTACTCATGCTCGTTGTTTTTGGCCAATGTCTCATGAACTTACTCCCCCTTCCTGACATCATACAAGTTCATTGTATCATCTTCCGAAGCCGTGATGCATAATTCACCAGTAAAATCAAAGTCTATGGATGTGATTCTCTTTGTATTGTTCTTAAACGCTTTGCCTTTTACAAAAAGTCAAAATGTCAGCTCTGGTCGTCAAAACCGAACAAATGCAACCAAGTACAAGTAGCCTACCGACTCCGAATCGACCTAGCATAAGATCCGTTAATGGCAGTTGGTCCATCTTCCTGCCACCGAGCTTCTTTTTCGATAAGGCGAAGTCTTTCGAATTATGAAGCGAGACAGAAAAGAAGAGAGCTACTTCAAGCTATTCAATAGCTTCCAAATAGTCCGAAATCGATTATTGACGCGTAAAATCACGCTTGTAGAAGTGAAATTGTGGTTTGGAAACTATTATTACAACACGGTTCGAATTTCAAGCCAATCTTGTCGCGATACAGGACACCGTTATCTAGAGAACTATCCTGGTTAAGGTAAATATCCTTACTATTAGCTCCTCACGTTTCCGTCTAGTATTGAGCCTCCCTCAACCGGCAAAAGTGTTGTTCTTCACTTCCCAACATCCAAAACAACCTACAAAACATAATGGCTACTCTAATTCCTCGCTCTGGAAAGGTCTACTCTATTCAAGAAGTTGCTAAACACAACACTGAAGATGATATCTGGATCATCATAGACGGGAGGGGTGAGTTTTCGACTTGGTGACGCATGTGTGCTTTTCGAGACTAAACCCAATACCAAATGCAAGATATGCTCATATAATCATGATATTTAATAGTATACGATATGACAGACTACGTTGATGGTCACCCTGTACGTAACATTCTATATTTGCTTTCGTTTGGAATGTTGTCCAGTTCGGTAGTTGTGAGGATGCAGCGTGGTGCTTTGTACCATTCCACTGAAAATTGGCTCAGAAATTGGAATTTATAACTGGGCTGGTACGCCTTCTTATGCTGGCACCATCCCAATTGCATCGTCGCATACTTGTGTCACGCACTACCCATGATTGCCTTCAAGACGGGAAAACAGGGTCTTTGATCAAAGGATTGCATTGACGACATGCTTATTAGGGTGGAAAACGTATCTTGATGTCCGTTGCTGGCAAAGATGCTACTCAACAATTCGCAAACTTCCACAACATTTTGTCTGTTATGGCCCGTTTCGGAAACAAGCTCTACATTGGAGAGCTCGACAATGCTCACAAGGAACCACCGAAACCAAAGACTGAATTGTTTGGTGATCTTGTTCCTTACGGAGTAGGTTTTCTCGTCCTTAACACTTCGCGTCATGTATCAACGTCTAACAAATCCATTCGACAAACAGGACCCAACCTGGTACACATTTCTGTTTCTTGTCGTGTAGAAAAAGAGAAACCAACGTTGAATGGCTTAACAGGTACCAAGGATGGAAATCACCCTACTACAACGACTCTCACCGCAGACTGCGTGAATACATGAGAAACATCATTGAAACCGAATTGAAGCCCTTCTCTGACGAATGGAGTGAGGCTGGTCAAGTACCAAAATCTGTGTACAAGTCGTGGGGAGAACGTGGTCTTTTGACTTGTTTCACTGGAATGAGGTTAGTTTGTATTAGGAATGAACTGATACATTTCACGGTTGGAAACTGTACTAACAAGAATATAACTACATAGACCCTGGCCAATGGCCTACGTAAAGGCTCCCCCACCATGTGGTATTAAGCCTGAAGAATGTGAGTGGTGGTCATTATTGCAAAGACCATCAGTCTCTGACGGATGGAAAAAACAGGGGATACATTCCATTGGCTGGTTGTCCAAGATGAATTGGCCCGAGCCACTTCACCAGCATCCTCCAACTTGACTTTGGGACCATCCATTGCTCTTCCAGCCATCATCAAGTCAGTCTTTCTACACCACTTCTATTTTACTTGTGCATAATCACTGATTCGCTGTATGCTAGCTTTGGTAACCAACATCAAAAGGACAAGATCCTCCCTGAGGTCATGGCCGGAGACAAGGTAAAATCCTGTTTGCTCTGTTCCCCCAACAAGGCACAGTCTCATATCTCATGTTCCAGGTTGTTTGTCTTGCTATCTCAGAACCTTGTAAGTCTTGCCCAGATTGTTCCATCTAAAGTCTTGACTACACGTTTACTCATACGCTTTCTCCTTTACAGTTGCTGGTTCCGATGTCGCAAACATCACCACCACCGCCGTCAAGACCCCAGACGGCAAGCACTACATTGTAAACGGAGAAAAGAAATGGTACGAAAGAGCCTCTTTTCTTGATACACTCAATTTAAGCAAGTCAACGCACGACTAATACTTTTAATTGCAGGATCACATGCGGTACCTACGCAGACTACTTCGTCACTGCCGTCCGTACCGGTAACAAGGGCGCAACCGGCATGAGTGTCCTCATCATAGAAAGACAACCTGGCCTCAAAACCAGAATCTTGCCAACCCAAGCTGGAACATCCAGTGGACAAGCTTACGTTACTTTCGAGAACGTTAAAGTCCCAGTCGAGAACCTCCTCGGTGTAGAAAACCAAGGTTTCAAAGTGTTGATGTGAGTGTAGTAGACAAATGTATAATATGACAATTCCTTCCCTCTTTTTTTCACGAAGACAAATATTACGATGCTTATTTTGTTTGGTTCTTTTCTTAGGTTCAATTTCAACAAGGAACGACTTTCCATTTGCATGGGTGTTCCAAGATCCGCACGAGTTTGTTTCGAGGAGGCAATGAAGTGAGTGTCACATTTTTTTTTGTTGTCTAGCATGGACGCTAACATATTTTTCGCCGCAGATACGCAAACAAGCGTAAAACTTTCGGCCAATACTTGATTGAACATGGTGTTATCCGTACGTAGTGGTATCTATCCCACCCATATCTTTCTATGCTAAAACACTATCAACACCAAATTTAGGTAACAAATTCGGACACATGGCAAGAATGATTGAAGGTAAAGAATATGTTTTCGCCAGAGCCCGCAATTGTACACAAATTGCTGACGCCATGGTATTGATTAGCCACGCAAGCATGGCTAGAACTTACATGTTACCAATGGGACAAGATGTCCAAGAAGGAAGCTGACGAGAAGCTTGGATCTTCCATTGCCTTGCTCAAGGCACAATGTGAGTACGAGCCCCGCCATGCTAGAATTTCATGAGTGTGGCATCTGATCATTATGAATGTCGAATCATGTTGATTCCAAGCTGCGAAAAAACAAAAAGCGAATTGGCGAAGTTCACAATCCTGCAAATTAATCTAACATCGTTACATCGCCTTATTTAGGCACACAAACCTTTGAACTATGCGCACGAGAAGCATCTCAAATTATGGGTGGCATTGGTAAGTGTCTTTGAAGCAAAGAAAAAATCATTGATTTACCTGATCAAATTGATTAACTGGGCTATCCACATTAGCATACACTCGCGGTGGTCAAGGAGGTGTTGTCGAACGTCTCTACAGAAATGTCCGTGGTGCTGCTATTCCAGGCGGTTCTGAAGAAATCATGCTTGATTTCGGTATCAGACAAGGTTTGAAGATTGCTCGTGCCCAAGGAGCAAAGATTTAAAAAAATAACCCACTGCTATCAAGTGGCGTCTCGTTAACGTTTAAAACAATTGTTTCGTCAATACAAAACTTGTTTCTGAAAACACCGGCGCTCCCACCAAGCTGTTTTACTACTAGACTCATTTCTATTCGTCCAAACCAAAGCAACAAGAGACTTCTCAAGTACAAAAACTACTTTAATAATGAGGGGCGGCTGTACAATGATGTAGTCCGGTAATAGATAAGGGGGTTGTTGCATTTTGTTGCTGTGTTTTACGACTGTTCATTTGTATAATCCACGAGCCGCGGGCACTATCGCCACAATCCGCGTCCCGGCGCCCGACGTGGAGGAGGTACGAGGGCGGGAATCTGCTGCATCTGTTGCTGCTGCTCCATCTGTAAACTATTTTCTATGGCTGCCAGCTCGGCTGGATCAACCGCCCCTGAATCAAATCGTGCCTTCCAAGGAAGTTGATGCTCCCTACATATAGCAAGATGGATGAGCAAAGTGAGAAAATAAGTGCGAGTAGGCGGAACACATACGGTAAGAACTGTACAGACTCTCCATTAATCCTCAATTCATTCTTCTCCAAATCTATAACGGCTTGGAAGCGACGTAGCATGTCTAGGCCGAGTAATAAATCGACTCCTTCGCTCTACGTAATGAAAAACCTGATCAGAAACTTGTTGTAGTCGCTCACTATTTAACAAGAGTTTGATTTTGACATGCCTGCATGACCGTAAACGAAGCAGGCAAAAACTGCGTGCCGAGCCGCATTTGGGCGAAATGAACCTTGCCGAGTATTCTTGCAGTACCAACTCCTTGGGCAACTCCTCCAAATCGTTCATCAATAAGACCTCGTAGATTGCACCGTTCAGCCAGACTTGGACTCATAATTGTAACTTGAGCACCACTATCTACGAAAGCTTTGACTGGCACACCGTTGATGTCGGCGTCAATGTATAGCATGTTGACTCGGGCGAATGATTCCGGGTTGAATTCTAAGAAGAAACAGGTGTCCGTAAGACGGTGATAGCAATGGCAACAACGAATAGTAATGACGGTAACAACAATGGCAACAATGCATTGACAACGTACCTAGAGCAGCCTCCATATTCTCAGCGATGCGCCTCCTTCTAATCTGTAATGTGAAGGGAAGACGTCAGATCATGATAGCAAATGTCAGCTATACACGAATTGCAAGCACGATATCACAATTTGAAGCCCATTAAAAATGAATTGCAATGTAAGGATCAACGTAATGTAATGACTCAGTCATCATCCAAATGTTGTGCCCAATGCTTGCATAGACCTGAAAGGGCCGATGCATCTGCCACATTACCTGCTCTTCTATTTGTCGTTGCTGCTCGATCTCAGCCCCGCTCATTCTCAATACTTCGGCCATTGGTTATATAATGTGCTGGATGTGTGGTGGAAGTGTTTGTGTGCGAAAGCGGTGTTTCTCGAGCAACGAGGCGGCCAATGACGAACCACCAGAAAGAATCAGCTATTGTATATAATGGCAACAGTGTCCGGAATGGTCTCCCTCTCTCTCTCCTTCTAAAATATTCGCCTGCTCTTGCCGTTCTCAAATTGCCAAGTTGTTTGAGGGTAAGTGTTGAAGGCTTAAACAGCTGACGCAAGCTCTTTCCGTAGAACACAAAAGAATACGTTTGAACGTTTTTATTTTGACTGGGAACTATTGAGATTATTAAGATTATTATAAAGTACGTGAAAATCGACGAAGGTCCTGGAAAAATGACCGTCAACACACAGCACTCTGTGTATCAGCACACAGGACTTGGTCAATACGTGTTCTATTTCCGTGGCTTGTTCTCCCTCTTATGATTCGGATCAGCAGTGCGACACAGCTTGTCAACCGTATCTCGAATTTCGGCCTTGAGCTCCACCACCAAGTCATCATACAGTCGCAGTTCTTCTTCCTTGTTCCTTTGAGTATCCCTTAACATCACTAATGCGATGACAGATCTTAGCATTCAACTCATTGTATGCAAAACGTAGACAACTTACTTGACAACGCTTCATTATGATCCTCAACAAACTGTAGCTTCTCCCTCAGTTCTTGCACTTGTTCGGCACCTGGCGGTGACCGTGTTGGTCGTTGTGGTTTCCGATGTAGTGGTTGTGTTGTTTGCTGTTGTTCTAGAGAAGCATTCTTACGCTTGGCTTGCTTGAGTTCCATTTCTATGTAACGAGGCTGAGTATCTCGCTCAAGTCCAACTACTTGAAAATCTCGAAGCACTCACTCGTATGAATAGCCTCCTTCTGAGCTTCCTCCAACCTATGCTCTAAAGTCTCTCTCATCCTTCCCATTCCGTCAAGCTCTACTTTGAGCGCCCGAATCTTGCCTTCCATAGCCACTAAGGTCACTTCAGCACCCTTCTCATTCATCTGGGGGCTGGATTTGGAACGTCTCAACTCTGTCAGCTCCTTGGATTGAGCATTCAACTTGTTCTTGAGGTCTGCAATTTCAATCTCTTGGCCGTTACAGACTTTGGAAAGTGGATGGGCGGAGGTGTTGTCTCTATTGAGCGTTTTGTGCTTCATGAGTTCGTTCGTAATGCTACATATCAGTTTGTCGTCTTTCGATGATTTGTCTAGCACCATTTCGATCTTGGACTTGAGGTCTTTGATTTCTTTGCTCAGCAGACTAACGAGATAGAGGTGAACACTCCAGTATTTGAATCAATTGATAGAGCAAACAGACTACACACTTGTTTCTGGATTGAAGAGAATCACATCTCACTCGGTACTCGTCCTTCTCAGCCTTGGATTGCTATTGCGAAAGCATCATCAGCACACTGTCAAAATCAATAAAGGTGCATGCTTATCTTACCTCAGCTTCCGTCAAAGCAGCCTCAATACTAATCTTTCTCTCGGTTTCCATCTTTTTAATTCCATCTCGATGCTTTTGATCCAACATTGCTGAAGGACCAGCAGGATTTGACAGTTGAGCAGTCAGATCTCGTACGCGATCCTGGTTGTAAAACAGTATTAGATCAATCGGTTGCAAAATCTTTGCGAAAGTATGGATTCCTGACTTTCAGCATAGTGATCTGTTGAGCACGTCCCTTCCACCCACTATTCACATCCAGAGCCTAACAAATAGCCCTTTTGAGAATCGTTGGAGAAGAATCATATCTGATAATGAACTCACCTTGGTAAGCGGCGTATCATCACCAATCTCATCCTTCAACACCTTTTGAATGTTTCGTAATTCAACCCGTAAAGCTTGATTCCCTAATCTCTCTTCTTCTAATCGACGATTTGATGTAGCTAATTTCGATCTCAAAGCTTTAACTTCTTCCAATAACGAAATTGTGTTTGCGGATGTGTTGCTGCTGATACTCTCTCTTGAATTCAGTAAAGCCGATAGTTCCACTTGCTAATGTTGAGCAAATTACTTAGATTTAATAGTTCCACAGTTGATCTTCTCCTCGTTTAGACTTGCCTTGATCTTGTTTGAAAGTGCTTCTGATGTTGATCGCTCCTTGGCTAATGCGACCGTTAACCGTCTATTTCGTTTAGATAACTCCAAGATCTTGGTCTCCTTCAGATCTAGGAATGGCACATTGCTGGTTGCGTATAGTTGAGATCCACTGCTGGCCTATTCATTGGGAGAAACACTCGTCAAAATCAAATTTCGAGCAAAAAGTAAGCCGGATACCAGGATAATACGTGAAGAGGAGGAGAATCCCTGCCGTAAACTGACTCTTCATACTGCAGCAACGAATCATTTGACATCATATTAGTGCACTTCGTTGGTTCACACTTTGCGCAGCGACCATGTGTATGAACGGAACATTCAAATGTTAAATGGGTTTGTAAACAATTTATTCTTTAGCAAGGTCAATACAGAGATAAACAAAGAGGCACCATTTTGAATGTTGAAGGGATGTGCTTGTCTTAACCACCGAAACTAAGATGAGGAAATGATCCAGTCAGCCAAAAAAATTCAACAGAAGATGCTAGAATCAAGCAATGTGTACCCGTAGAGAGTACGTCCTTGGCGTTTGAGAGCGTAGACGACGTCCAAGGATGTGACGGTCTTACGCTTAGCGTGTTCCTATTATTACAATTCATCGATGTCAGAACAACAGAGACTTGCAGAACAGCAGCAGCGAAACATACGGTGTAGGTGACTGCATCACGAATGACGTTCTCCAAGAAGACTTTGAGGACACCACGAGTTCTAAATGAGCAGGAATGGTTTGTAAGTTTAAGACAAAAAATAAAATAGGATCATATTCATCCTGAGAAGAGAAACCAACCCAATCTCAAACTATGGATGACTTACTCTTCGTAGATCAAGCCAGAGATACGCTTGACACCACCTACAAGTCCGATCGAGTAGCGCATTAGTAACATTTACTATTTTTGGATCTCTGACCACTAAGTAAAGGACATCTTTGCTCGCCAAAGTCCTTCAATCTTGCATACCACGACGAGCCAATCGACGAATAGCAGGCTTGGTGATTCCTTGAATGTTGTCACGAAGAATTTTTCGATGACCTATCAGACACAGCGTTTGTGTTAAAGACATCAGATAGCGACGAAAATAAACATAGATAAGATGTAGTAATAGGTGATAGACTATTAATCTTGGTACATACGTTTGGCACCACCCTTTCCGAGACCTTTGCCTCCTTTTCCTCGCCCTAAAAGATGAGAATTCGTTAGGGTTGGGTTTGAAAGTTGATGTGTGCGTTTTAGAGCTATGATCAATAACGAAACATGACAAAAGGACACAGTAAGCCTATATTAGAGCTAAGTTACAAGAGGCTTAGGCACTTCCTCTTCCCAATCGGTGACGTTTCAATAGTGCAACTTCATTACACTTGATATAAACTTGGTTTTGTAAACTTGATCTCCTCTGTAGCATTCAAACTACGCCAGCTGAGCTTCATTTTGGGCGGTTTCGGACGGTCAACGTACCTGTCATGTTGTATTTGCTTTGGAGCTTTGGTTTGTAGTGAGGTTTTGGATCTGTGAGATTTGGAAACGATGTTCGCCTTCGATAGCATATGCGACACGAACTGATGCAACAAGTACACCAAACTACGTTTTTTACATCGAGCACTTATTGGTTCTAAGCATTGAACAAACAGAAACTTACACAACAAACTTTCACATGCTACATGATTGATTTTCATGATATAAAACAGCAAAACACCGCAAGCTTTGTATATATGTGAGGCTCTTATTCATTCACGCTCTTGTACCTATCACAACAGCATTGATCATTCCAGCATAAAGAAGAGACGAAGGTTTTTACTAGCCGAAACCACCAATGATCTTGAGCGATGCTTCAAGGATTTCAACACCGAGGAAAAGATTGCTCTCCTGCCGAGACCATTTTGCAAACTTGGGCGATGTGACAATGTCGTTTGCGTTTTCTGGCTTCAAGATATAGCTCATAGCAGCGGTCTTCAAAGCCGAGTTATCACGAGTATATGTGTGTCCCAGTGATAGCATGTCCAAGACAGTATCCATTTTGAAGTCTTGCGAAGCGATGGCTTCAACAAGTGCTGTACACAAGGGTTGAAAATCATAGTTGTCTGCAGCCTTGAATAGTTCGATTCGGAGTTGTGCTTGTTCTGTCTTTATAGGTAGCCATTCAAAGTATATAGGACCTTATTGACATTCAGACGAGGAATCGACTTCAATTCGAGGACGGGCATTAACGTTGATGCCAGATTTCGATCCCTTCTTGGCTTTATCAGGGGTGGTGGAGTCTCGAAGGATGACATCTCGAAATATTTTTGATTTGTGTTTGAAAATAAGAGTGTGGGATGAGATCTTCAGAGTCATTTGATTTCAAGTCAACATCTGAGAGATTGTTTTTGCCCAACAAATGCAACACTGATGGTGGAGCGACAGTTTTACGCAGAGAATTCTTTTCCAGTGGAGAAGGCAATTTCCAGAGTCAGAATGTCTGAGACCAATGCTAGCTTGAAATTGTCAAGAGATTCAAGTCCTAATTCCAGAGGTATGAGCTAAGGTATTGCAAAGACTACCGACCAGGATTGCATGAACTGACTTGTCATTCCCCAACTGGCTATATAGTGGTCTATATTAGGCTTGATTCGGGGAACTGAATTTGAAGCTTACCGTCTTCACGAGAAAACAAACATCCACCATCTGCCGGACTGGCCTTGTAGTCTTGGACAGAATCCGTGCCTTTCATAGTGATGCTGTAGCTCAACAAAACGGGGGTATTCAATGGTAAAGACAGCGAGTCTAAATCTACAAATGCCAAGTCAGTCATTGATTTCAGAGTCTGTAGGGTTTGCACAGTAAGAAAATAGTTAAAAACAGCCAAGTATCTAATGAAAGCGAGTAAATCAAATTTATCAGCATATCAGCAGTCTGCTCTTAAAATGAATGTACCCAGCAGCATCAGCTCCGTGTCCAGCAAGATGTAGCTACATACGAAGAGAAAAGTCTGCAAATCCAAATGTTGGCGACTGTGACAATAAGAGATTAGCAAAAGCGCCACTGAATCCAGTTTTGGAATACTGCGTACGTAATAAACATTTTCAGCGAGCTTTGAATATACTTCAATCTTCCAAGTATAAGTCCTATTTCGAAGCATTGAGGCGAGACCTGAACCAACGACATTGGTGGCCATCTTGTTTCTATTGAAAACTGCGTTAACTAGATAACTCAGGTATGTAATACGCTTGTATATGACTTGCCTGTATCGTCCTCTTGCAAGTTGCTATCCCTACTCTGAAATCTAGCTTCGTCTTGAGTTTTTTGAGAGCTGAGCTTCAAGACAGTAGAATACAGATTCCGCGCGTAAAAAGTACCCAAATTAATTGTAATGTGATAAATACCTGAATGTACTCCGTTCTCTTTGCTGAAGACCATGATTGTCACGTCGCGACGCCCAATTTCTCTATGAGCTGTGGCTACAATGAGATCTGGATGACCTGTGTTGTAAGGAGGCAGGGATTATGGTCGAAAATGAATGTCCGCTCAGCTTATAAGGCCCAGCCTTGGCATCGCTCCTGGCATCAGCCTTTGAGACCACTTTCGGAATCGTGGAACTCGTAGCAATATTAACAACCTTCTTGCTTAATCCATATGTAGCAGCTCTCGAACTAGCGACCAGCTCGACAGTCAGGTGCTTTTCCATAACCTTAGCAGCTGGCAAGCACTATCCAAAAGCTTCTAGCAGGAGGGGATTCACGGCCGACACCAGCCATACCACGATCCGTCAACAACGAATCATCTACACGAAACGTATCAGCCAGCAAATGACGGAAACGGGAACGATCCACACGATCAGTCTTGTCAGACCCCAGTTCAGTGAAACGGTACGTGTTGGCGTCAAATCCAACGAGATTGCTGGGTGAGATGGTGAGATGCTTCATCGATGTATTTTATGAGGAGGTGTCAGACAAGCACGTTGGTTGATGTCGAGGTGTTCACAGAGTGCTTGAAAGCTCCCACGTGAATTAAGCGTGATTTCGAGCTCTATAGAGTTAAAGAAAAATGAATACAAAGCGTATCTCGTTGCTTTACAAAGTACATACTTGCCAATCTTTTGGACGACCCAGGTTTTTTCAAATTCCGACAGAAACTGACTTCAACTTGAAATCGACGAAAGAACTTAATATCAAGAGGCACTACCGATCTAAACTACAGGCTTGCCTACAACTTACTAGCCACCTTTGCAACTGGACGGAAGCCAGCAATGGAAAAGAGAACTCAGCTAAAGTTCTATCTGAATGGCAAGCCGAAAACCGTGTCAAATCCAAATACGGAAGAGACGCTCATTGAATATCTGAGACGTATCGGATTGACTGGAACCAAATTGGGCTGTGGTGAAGGTATGGATTGTCAAAACATTTGCGAGCTTGTTTTTTGTGGTTTGGGTGGTGATAGATAAGGTCAAAACCTCACCCGTTACTACTTTTTCAACCATGTAGGAGGATGTGGATCATGTACTGTCGTGGTATCCTCCTATGATCATATCACGCAACGGATCGTGTAAGGTCTTGCTGTGTGATACCGTTGACGTTTCTTTGTTGACGCTTGTAACTCTGTGCCGAACTCTCATGTATTATGTTCTAGACACCTATCGGTAAACTCCTGTCTCGCCCCACTAGTCTCCGTGGAAGGCAAACACGTCATCACCGTCGAAGGAATCGGGAACGTACACAACCCGCATGTCGTTCAAGAAACATTGGCATCGTCCCATTCGTCACAATGTGGATATTGTACCCCTGGCATTGTTATGAGTCTTTATGGACTGCTGAAGCAGCATCCTGAGGCGTCCGAGTGTCATATTGAAGATGCTTTTGATGGTATGTCAAGGTGACGTTTCTAATGCCAAAAAACAAACATATGTCAACTTCGAAATGATGGTTTCTTTTAGGAAACTTGTGTCGATGTACTGGATACAGGCCTATACTGGATGGTGCTAAATCGTTGGCAAAGAAGAAGTGTAGTCAAGCTTGCGCTGTCAACGGCACATGTCAGAGTGTCACGCCTTGCGCCGATGATGTATGTGTTGCAACTGTAATTCGCCTTTCGATGTATATCAGATCATGAGACGTCCTTTTTTAGCACTCTCATTCTAATGGACATGTGAATGGACATGCTAATGGCAATGGACTTGCTAATGGAAATAGTCATGCTGTGGTATCGGATATTGAAGATTTATCAGTAAGACATCCTTGGAAACTGGTGTGTGTCTTGTTTTTGGCTTCAACGCAGTTCACTTTTATAGCATGGCTCAAAAGACGATGATTTGCCGTTCCCGCCTGCACTGCTCAAACCTTTTGCTGGAGGGTCTAGTCCCGTTTCATACATGTTTGATAACGGAAAGGCGAAATGGTATCATCCGGTTTCGCTGAATGAGCTATTGGATATTACGGTAAAACATCTGGTTCCAAAATCATACACCATTCGATTGGTCACTTCTATTTTGTTGTTGAAACTTCAAAACATTCTAGGACGCAAACCCGCAATTCAAAATAATTAACGGCAACACTGAAGTCGGTATAGAAACCCGTTTCAGAGCATGGAAGTACCCAATCCAAATATACCCAAACAGCATTCCCGAAATGCGTGTCATCACTCCCTCAGAACATGGAATCACTATTGGGGCTGCGACACCATTAACTTATCTCGCTACATACCTCAAAGAACAAATATCTATATTACCTGCATACAAGACACAAGGATTCAAAGCTATGGTCGATAACCTGCGGTATTTTGCTGGAAATCAGATTAGGAATGTTGCTGCTATTGCTGGTAATATCGTTACAGCTTCCCCGATATCGGATCTGAATCCTGTATTGCTGGCTTTGGGTGCTGTATTGAATGTTGCGTCAAGGAAGGGAGGGTCGAGGAGGATTGCCATGAGTGAGTTCTTCTTGGCGTATCGAAAGACGGCATTGCAGAGTAGTGAGGTGCTTGTTTCTGTCTGTAAGTGCAAATATCGTGTATCAGCTTGGGGGGTTTTTTTTGGCTCACCAGACACCATTCCGATTCTAGATGTGCCATATACCAAAGAAACAGAATTCGCTCGTGGCTTCAAACAAGCTCGAAGGCGAGACGACGATATCGCTATCGTGAATGCTGGTCTACGAATTGACTTACTGCCAGCGTGGTATGGCTTTATTGTCAAAGATGCCTGTTTCTCGTTTGGTGGCATGGGTCCTATTTCCATGCTTGCCAAGAAGGCTGCTGCTTTGACTATTGGAAGAAAATGGGAGCCTGCTTTGATCAAACAGATTCAGGCTGCTTTGATGGAGGTACTGCCTAACAAAAAAACATTTCATGTAACACGTCTCATGTCGTTTTCGTATTATTAGGACATGCCAATGACGTATACCACTCCCGGTGCACAAGTCGAGTTCCGAAAGATGCTTGCAGTCAGTTTCATTACGAAATTTGAAATCCATGTGAATCATGAAATCGTGAAACGATACCCTGGATGCAAAATACATGTTGATGATCGAGCTGTATCTGCCATTGAAGAGATTGTGAGACCACTGTCTAGTGGTGTTCAGGTACTTACGATTGCTTTAAAAGCATGGAGCAAAAATAGGCTTTCTCAGGCGTGATGTTTCGTAGGATTACGAAACAGCCAGTCCCGAACACGTTGTAGGCAACAGCCAAATGCATTTATCAGCACTCAAGCAGACTACTGGTGAAGCTATATATGTTGATGATATGCCAACGTTTACAGGAGAGCTTTATGCTGCTCCAGTTATCAGTACGATTGCGCATGGATATATCAAGTGTGTGATTATGGTTGCTTGCGTGACTGTTGCAATATATTTGGAAGTTTTTCTCATCTCATTTTGTTCTCATTAGGTCTGTTGATGCATCAGCAGCAATAGAAGCTGAAGGTGTTGCAGGATACTTTGATGCCAAAGATGTTCCTGGATATCGAGATGGAATGCTTGATGAACATCCATTGAGTCATACTGCGTTTCATAATCCGAATCCTAATGTCATGGGAACTGTTTTCAAAGGTTGATTCATCATCATCTTCTGCGTCTTGGTCGTTTTTTTGCTCACATTTTTATGTTTGACTTTGAAACATTCCAGATGAAGAACTGTTTGCAACAAAACAGATTTTACATTTTGGACAAATGATTGGCATAGTTGTAGCTGAAACCGAATCATTGGCTCGTGCAGCAGCTCGACTAGTCAAAGTCACTTATGAGAAGCTGCCACATGTATTGACCATCGAAGATGCTATTGAAGCAGACTCATTCTTCCCAATCAATCGTGGCATCACTTCCGGATCGTATGCTGGCAAAGAGTCTGAGCTGCCAGTGTCTGCTGCTTCTCATGTGGTGGAAGGGAGTGTTAGAACTGGTGCTCAAGGTATGGCAACCCTTGCTGAAGGGTTTTCTCCCCTCTCGATGAAACGGAACACTCACCATCACATGTGATTAGAGCACTTCTACCTGGAAACACAATGCTCCCTCGTCGTTCCCAAACGCGAAGACGGTGAATTCGAAGTATACGCATCAACCCAAAACCCAAGTGAAACTCAACATCTCATGGCACACGTCATGGGAATCCAGGCCAATAAAGTCACTGTGCGTGTAAAACGACTCGGTGGTGGGTTTGGTGGTAAAGAAACTCGATCACATATGATTACATGTGCTTTGGCTGTCGCTGCGAGAAAATTGGGTGTACCTGTGCGATGTATGCTGACGAGAGAAGAGGATATGAGTATGACTGGTATGAGACATCCCATGCTGGGCAACTACAAAGCTGGGTTTACTGATGCTGGGAGGTTGGTGTTTTTGGAGGTGGACTTGTTTTCGAATGGAGGGTTTTCGATGGATTTGAGTACAAGTAAGTTGTGATGGCAAAAATGAGCGATGACAAACCGCTACGTGAATTGTTCTAGCGACGTCCAGCTAACATTACTACGTATTTAGCTATTCTGGAACGAGCCATTACTCACGCTGACAATGTGTATAATGTGCCGAATGTCAAAGTCACTGGTCGTGTTTGCAAGACGAATTTGGTCACGAATACTGCCTTCCGTGGATTTGGTGGTCCACAAGGTCTGCTTGTTAGCGAGACTATGATTACTCATGTTGCTGATTATCTCAAAAAGCCTGTTGAAGAGATAAGAGTAAGTGGCAGATTCTGATCTGATCGGTTCATAATTCTTTTTTTTTCTCTTTCGTCTGACTCGCCGTCCATGCTTTCTAGCGAATCAACTTTTACAACAACAACGACATGGTGCCATTCAACCAACCGCTTCACAACTTCCACATTGACAAACTATGGGCTCAGCTAATTAAAACATCCGACTTTCATGCACGTCTCAAATCCGTCAACGAATACAATGCCCATCACAAGTATCGTAAACGAGGTATCGTCCTCCTGCCAACCAAATTCGGAATAGCATTCGCTGCCAAATTCCTGAATCAAGGTGCCGGATTGATTCACATTTATAATGATGGATCAGTGTTGATTACTCATGGAGGCACAGAGATGGGACAAGGATTGCATACAAAGATGGTACAAATCGTGTGTGAGAATCTGAATGTGCCATTAGAGTATGTGCATTTGGATGAGACGAGTACGAGGACTGTTATTAATACTAGTGCAACGGCTGCTAGTATGTCGTCAGGTGAGAAACAAGACATTTGAACTGTATCGGTCCTTTTTTCGCGAAGGTTTTTTTTGGCTCACCTCACTTTTTTTACTCACATAGATATCAACGGTGCCGCACTCCAAGACGCTTGCAACCAACTCAACGAACGTCTCGAAAAGTATCGATATGCTCATCCAACCAAATCATGGCCTGAAATCATCAACATGGCATACTTTGATCGTGTGAATCTCACCGCTAATGGATTCTTCAAAGTACCGAATGTTGGATATGATATGATAACAAATACTGGTATCTTGTATCGATACTTTACGTATGGTGCTGCATGCTGTGAGGTGGAAGTCGATACTTTGACTGGGGATCATATGGTGTTGAGGGCTGATGTTTGTATGGATATTGGACGAAGTATCAATCCTGCTATTGATATTGGGCAGGTGAGAAAGAATATGCTGTGCAGATTTCCACTTTCAAATCTCCATTTTTTGGTCGTAATAAAAAATCTGCAACGGAATTTCTTACAAAATTCCTCCAACTTAGATTGAAGGAGGCTTTACACAAGGCCAAGGCTGGGCAACTCTCGAAGAAACTCTCGTATCACCCGCAACAGGTGCTCTCATAACACGGGGACCTGGCGCATACAAAATCCCAGGTTTCAAAGACATCCCCGCAGACTTCCGTATATCAGTCATGAAAAACTCGCCAAACCCAGTCGCAGTGCATTCATCCAAAGCAGTTGGTGAACCTCCATTGTTTATGGGAGCGAGTGTTTATTTCGCTATTCGTGAAGCCATCAAGGCTGCACGCATTGAGAATGGGTTGGGTAGTGGGTGGTTTAGGTTGGATTGTCCTAGTACGAGTGAACGTATTAGGTTGGCGTGTGGTGATACACAGGATGTTATGGCGTTGGTTAAGACTGTTGGGAAGCCTGGGGAGAGGCCTTGGGGTGTTCCTAGTTAGATCTGGTGTGGGGCGTAGATGGTTTTGGAGGTCTCATGAAACGTTGTGGTAGTAGAAACTAATAAAACACTGACTCGTTGTTTTGGAACCTCAATATCTGTGTGTCGTGTGGAGTTTTACTTTTGAAAATTGATGGAAAGTGGCTTTTTAAGCTGTTTCGATGTTAATTAGTTAGCTGGTGTGTTAAGAGGGACTAGGATAAAGGTGGTGTGAATGGGTTGGTGTGTATCCATGTCACAGGCCTTTGACGCATACACTGTTGTATTGTTTTTTGGTGCATAAGAATGCGAACAGTGACAGTTCCTTTAGCACTTGTTAGCTCGAGCTCGCTTAAAAGAGTTCGCTGTTGCCGCCTTTGGAAACAACTGCAAAATAGGACCTATGAAAGGAGACACATCTTCACCTCGTTCGCCAGCTCTTTCATCACGCGTCCAAAACAGTGTATTAGGATATAGCAGATAAAAGTAATATATTCACACTCACAGAAAAAGCGGCAGACCAAGAAAACAAAAATTTAAGCACCAATAGCCTTCAATACACGACTGGGAACGCAGGGTAAATCAAATTCAAAACTATCCGTCAGTCCATTTTCTAATCTTGCAGCTCTCACAGCATCCTTGACAGCAAAGTACGCACTTGCTCCTACAAAAAACCAGACGCTTTAGTATCACAAGGGCAAAAAAAAAGTTTTGTTCACTTACCAAGGAACAGTGGTGGTTCACCAACACCTCTGGACGAGTGTATCAACCCACTGCTATTCTTTCCATCCTTTCGTATAGCAACGTTGAATGCGGCGGGAGCATTGAAATGTAGAGGAGTTCTGTAGGCTCCAGGACCACGAGTCAACAAATCTCCAGATTCATTCCATAATGGTTCTTCGATTGATGACCATCCGACACCTTGCAAGTAAGCTCCTTCGATTTGGCCAATGTCGATGCCTGATCCAAAAAATTGGTGATGAGCCAAAATGTAAAAGGTCGACGACGTAAACACGTCTTACCAGGGTTGAGTGACTCTCCCAAATCCATAACAATATCTGTTCTCAAGAGGACATAATCGCCTGTGAGAACATCCAGTTCGACTTCACAGACTCCAACACCAGGTGTAAAGTCTAGAGTAAATGAGAAAATATGTTAGCAGACCAAAATTACAGAAAAAATCTCGAGACTTACAGTAACAAGAAGCCCCTTGATTCGTGACATTTGAATATCCGGTAGTTGGTCCTGCTGAATGGCCATGAGCAGAGAGACTGAGGCCTCTGTGATGAGCGGCCGTACAAATCTAGGCTGTTCAGTAAGTTTTTTTTTCTTCGCAACACCAACAACAAAGACATTTGACGTGAATTATAGTTTCAACATACCTCTGCAAAGGTGGCATCAGGCATATCATCCCTGACAGGCTTTAATCTTTCAGCCAAGATATTGCATGCAGCCAAAACAGCTAATTCATTGTGAACGATTGAGTAAACATTTTTTTCCTTCAAGACGTCACAGAAACTCACCAGGCCCCCAAAGATCAGTACCCAAGCTACCTCCAGTTACTGACTGATTTGGCGTCGCAACTGTGGTGTTCTCCAGGGTGTTGACACTTGCTACAGGAATACCTAAAGCTTGAGCAGCAATCTGCATGAGCTTGGTATGTACCCCCTGCCCCATCTCAGTAGCTCCGGTCAGTAAGAGTACCGAACTAATATGTAACAAAGTGTTAATACATGGCATGACAAAATCGACATCTTAAGCAAAAGAAACCTGACGGAATAGCGAATCTGCTGGTTGTTGAGAACCAAAGCCAACACACTCACCCATCAAGATGTGCATGCACCAACGCATCAGCTGGCATCCTGAATCCAACACTATACTTTGTCGGAATAGCAGAAAGTCCTCTCTTATGGAATCGATTCTTCGCATTGAATTCCTTGACTTTAGCCAATCGAGCTTCAAACTCTGACGTAGTCATAACTTGATCCCAGCACGCCTATAAACGGTTGATGTTAATGATGCTATGAATATGAGTTACCGGTGCGTGGTATGTTCGTGTTTTTTTCCTTGCCTTCATCAATTCAGGCAAATCTCCAATTGGGTTTCTCATACAAGTAGATTGTCCTTCACTGAAAAAGTTCCGTTGTCGGACGATATGTGATGGGATGCCGAGTTTGTTTGCGACTTCATCGACGATGGTTTCACCAACGATGAGACCTGATAGTAGAAAAGATTGATAAGTTTCAATCATCAAAGAGACAAAAAAGGTCAAGAGCAATACCAATACATGCAAATTCAATACCTTGTGGACCTCCAAATCCTCTGAAAGCCGTAAAAGACACCAAATTAGTCTTGGCAACTCGTCCAGTTAGTCGAAGATTGGGGATGAAGTAACAAGAATCAACCAGTTGTAGAGCCTTCCACATCACCATAGGACTGGCATCGATACTGTAGCCTATGAGGAGAGAAGATATTACGAGTTAAGCACCAAATATGCGATGTTTCTCTTGATATCAAAAAACGAAAAAAACCATATACCTCCATTCGAAACAAGATCAGCCTTAAGAGAAATAAGTCGTCCGTCATCGGTGAATCCAACTTCATAGTCAGTTTGGAATGGATGACGCATTCCCATGACTTGCATGTCTTCGGCTCGAGAGAATTGGGCTCGAATGGGTAATCCGGTTTTGAAGGAAGCTGCGAGGACTGGACCAAGTAGGGACCGCGACCTGCTTTCCTTGCCACCGAATGCACCACCAAGTCGTCGTGAGCGAGAGACTATACGATTGGCAGGTACACCTAGATGAGACTCTTGTGAGTTTTGAACTTGTAAAAGCTTCGACTGAGAGAGCGAGAACTTACCAAAAACCTTGGAAGCCATTTGGTGTGCAATCTGCGTTCCCTGACCTCCACCATACACTTCAACCTCTCCGTCCTCTTTCCTTGGAATCACACGGCATGACATAGTCTCCAAATACATGTGCTCTTGCGCAGAGGTACAGATTCTGCCCTTGATTGTATGTGTAGCCAGTGACTGTCGTGAGGTGAAAAGACAGGTGAGCACGTTGATGAACATTTTTGTTGGCAAAAAAAAGAATAATTTTACCATATCGACTTGTATATCATCATCACTAACTTGTTCCGGGAACGCAAGCGCTCCCCGTGAAACATGCTGGATAGCTTGCGTCATCGGAGTAGCACCAAAGAAAGACTTTTGTTTGATGGCTTCATCAATTGATAATATGACAGGTAATATCTTGTATTGGACTTTGACGAGTCTGGCGGCTGTCATTCCGGCACCACCATTCTTGGCAACTATTCCGCCAATGAATTGGCCTTGATGGAATACCTCCTACAAGTGCAAGTAGGAGAAGAAAGGTTTCAGTACAACAAAAAAACAATGAAAAGAGGCGATCGTTGGATTTACCTTGCTAGCAAATATCTCCTCATCCATATCAAAGACTCCAGTAACGTTCTGTTCAGCAGTAAGATCTTTGGCAGAGACAAAGTCCACTACGCCAGGAACCTTCAAAGCTTCCGAAGCATCAATCGAGATGATGAGAGCATGCGCTACAGTGCTCAGTACAGGAACTACATCGCGGTGGAGTGTAGTTAGGATTATAATTCTTTTTCAGACAACAAAACGGTGTAGCACAATCTCCAAGATATGGTCGATACATACTGAAGACACATTCTCCTTCCAACAGTGGCTGATCAGAAACATAAACAGCTTCACCAGTAGATTGCTGCAAAGCGGCTTTATGTACTACAGCAGCTCCAACCACTTGTGAAGGGGGAACGATATTGAAACTGGTTGTAGCAGTAGCTAGTGGTCGATGGAGGAGGTCGTCGGCACCTTCTGATCGAGGGACCGGATGTAGACCAGGTACGTGTGAAGAGAGGTATATGTGGAGCTTGTAGAGAAGGCCTGAGGCTAACTTAAATCGATGCTCAGGGTTGATGCCGTATAGAGGAAGATCCTAGTGACGACATTCAGTATACGGCTCGTTTTGGACACAACAGCGATACATGCACATACATTTTTCAAGAGTCTGCTAGCTGCTTCAACCAAAGACTCGGACCATTGTTTACCAATTAGCGCCTCAGATGCCGATTTTGCCCTTTTTTAAAAGCAACAAAAAAAGGTTTTGAAGCAGGAAATCCGATTAACCTTTTAACAGCAAACTTACAACATGGTTCGCTCAGCAACACCGCCAAAACATAATCTTGCATCTTGAACTTTGGCTCCATCAAGGCGGACGTAAAAGCATGCAGTAGGAGCAGCTAGTGCGTCGTCACGAGTTTTGGCCTTGGATTTGGCTACCTTGATGTAGTCGTTGTCTTCCAGGAAAGGCACGTCTGGTGTTTGTACAAGAAGAGTTAAGGCCCTAACAAAAACAGACTTGATAACAGCTATTCTCATGACAACTCACAAATGGATGTCATGATTTCCGATTGAGCCAGTTTGTTTTTACCAAGTCCAGCATAAAAGTCTGATAGAGGTATGGTTCTACGACCTTTAGCCGAAGCAGCGTAAACGCTGGAGCCCTAAAAGTTCAAAACCACATCTCAGTTTGCGTTTGTAACTTGATAAGGTCAGAAGGGCTTCAAACGCACCAAAGCCATAAAAGTAGGAGCCAAATCAGAGATAGTGCGAGACATACAGATGTTGCCTCCCAAAGTACCAGTATGTCGTACTTGTTCTCCAGCCACAATCTTCCTAACAGATTCCTTGATTGCAGCAAATCCTTTACCCTTGGCACCCTAATATTTTGACAACGTCAACAACCAGGATGCAAAAAAATCGGAACAAGTACTCCGTGAATGACAATTTGTTTACCTCCAACTCACTCAGCACAGTAACCTCATTCTCCAATTCATGTAACGTCAAACCAGCACCCAACTCAACACCACTTTCATGGACACTGACTTTAGTCAATTCCTGAATAGCTCCAATATAGATCAACGTATTGGTCTTCTTGCCCTTGAAGCGGGTTTCAATACCGACTTCCAAGTTTCCAGATATGATTTGTGCTTCTGGATGTGCACCGAGTAAGCTTATTGTTTCGTTTACAGTGTTAGGCTGCAACCATTGAGAGCCATCAGCTCCGGTAAATACAAACGAGGATGCGGTGGAGGATTGTCGTAATTTCGTGTCCATGTCGTGATCGCACATGGCAGGTGCAGACTAATGTGATGAGCGTTAATGTGTACGCAAATGGAGTGATATCGCTGTTTTTGCCGCACAAGACTGTACCTTGAATGGAGGAGTAACAGCAAGCAAGTCCTCAACATCTGCGGTAGCAGTTGCGCAGAATTTCTTTGCGCCCTGCAAAATTGGCCGATATCCCGTGCATCTGCACACGTTGCCATCAAATGCGTCTTCAATCTGCTGTTCACTTGGATTTGGATTGCGACACAGAAGCGCATAGAGTGATAGCACCATTCCAGGAGTGCAGTAACCACACTGTGATCCATAGTTATCAACAATTGTAGTTTGGATGATATGAGGTTGCTTTACGGTGCCGACTCCTTCGATTGTGATGACATGTTTGCCATCTGCTGCACATAGTGGCATCAAGCAGCCATTGACGGGGTCGTATCGTAGAGATCCTTTATCTGTACAACCGATCGTGGAGTGAGTTGGTCAGTTAGGAATTATTTTAAATACAGTCCACGTGCAAGAGCAGCGCATCATTGTCAAAAGCTGTACGTCGTTTGTGCGTCCGAGTCGTCTCTCACCTGGCGAGTAAGAAGCAACCACCATAGTACATGTTCCGCAAACACTAGATGCATAAATCGAATTAGCTTTTGTACCAAAAATGCAATGCATTCCGTTGCTCAAATCTAAGTGCCAGATCATCATCACTAACCCTTCACCGCAACCAAGCTTCGCTCCAGTTAGGCCTTGTCCGCGTACAAAAGATAATAAACTAGCGAATGGATCCGGTTTCTCGATTGTAACTACAAAACATGCAGTTTAGATTGGGTCAAAACACACACGAATTGAATTACCTTCTTTGCCATTGAGGAAGAACGAGAGAGACTTGGATTGAAGAGCTACGAGACTCGATATGACTTCGAAAACGGGAGCTGGAGCCATGCTTGGTTCTGGATTCGTCTTCACCAGCCTTTGTTGTCGTGCTTTTGCGAGTGTGACAAGAAAAGTAGGAGAAGGGAGGAATGTGTTAATTCCTTACGCGATCGCTCAGCGAAACTGGTGATCAAGACTGCATTTGAGCTTTCTTTACTGTAAAGCCAATATATTACTCTTATTCGCGTGACAATGTGATAATATATACCTCAACGACAAGACCTTTTTTGAAGTTTGATGATCATCAACCTTCAGTTAATATCTTATCATCAGGAATCATCACGTTAAACATGTCGCTCAGCGTGTTGACTCCCACGACACGGTCATGTTCCGCGACAATCCAGATTCGGTGAACTTTTGATTGTAAAGCCTAAGTAAAAAAAACGACAAGTGAGATCACCGTCTAGCTAATGCAACAGAAGACTTCACATACTTCTTTCAATGCTTGTAGAACGGTAGTTGAAGGAGGACAGAGTCTCAATTGATCGGCCTTGAGCTGAGTTACACTTCGTTGGACTGTTTCCAGGTATTCAAATACCGGCTTTTCCAAGTCCTACAAGAGACGATCAGAGAAATCAGCTCTGACTCCGTAGCTCTATATCATCGTCACGTGTAGATCTCCTTGTCTTTCATACTACCAAATCAAAAAGGCACTCACCTCAAGAGTATCCTTTGTGATGCCACGCAAGTCAGAAGCACTCAAGTTTGCAACAAGAGACTTGTTGTCATCAACGACAGCAACAGCATGTACATTCCCCACATACATTGCCCTGAAAGCCCGGATAGCTGTATCTGTAGCAGGAACGAGTACCGTGTGCCTCTTTTTGATCATGGTTCCCTTTTCACTAATACTATCAGCACTTCCCTCTTGCCCACCTACACGTTTACGATATAACTCATCTGCATCCATTACACTAACAGACAGGGCAGTTCGTAGCGCTGATGGAAGGAGCGTGAGTGATTCGTTTAAAGCATCGAATAAGTACGCGGCTAGATCCGTTTGAGTTATCATGGTAATGGATTCTCCTTGATGTTTGGCGTGTGATGCTTTTGCGTCGTCGATTACGAGGAGACGGTGGTATGACCCTGCGAGCATGAGGAGGAGATCGGCCATACTATCACTGCTGTGGAGAGTCCAGGAGTTTGCGGATTCGAATGTCAAGCCTACCAAGGTTTTGACGGGTGTGTTGAAGTAGACTTGCATCTCCTCGGTTAGGTTGAGGTATGATGCAAATGCCTCCTCGGCTGTAGTTGTTGTGGTGTCATCAGCAGCACTGCAAGGAAACGTATGAAAGGTGGTTGACAATGAAGTGAGCAGTCACGGCAATAAAAGACAAGTAATAAATCCAGTAACAAACGAGACTTACTCCATTCTATCCATCATTTTCTGGAAGACAGTGAATGCGAGGATGTCACTGATACTGACTATACCTGTAAATATCTTGTCTTTAGAATCTGGTGTAGTCCTGTATACTGGCACTAAAGGCAAAGAATTCGACACATGTTAGCTACGAAGAATTTAGTAGGGTGTACGTAATCGTAGACGATTTGAGCTCAGTATACATGATCAGTGCAACTGTATGTGTGACCGCGAGATCCGTAATCCTGTCTCATGTACGATCTAGCGAGGAATGTTTGCTTACCAGCTAATATGTTTGATTGTTTGAGCAAATCCAAAGTCTTTCCCAATGTTGTGTTTTCATGAACAGAGATCAGAGACACATCGACACCACCCTTACGTAAACCACGATGATTCAATAGTAATTTTATAGGCCTGTGAGTCAGTTCTTTGTAAATGGCCTGTTTGGCATCCTCGAGTTGAGTGGTGTGATGGAGCATGTTTTAATGTATGGGTTTCGAGCCTTGATGCACTAGTTCCAAGTGACAAAATTATTAGTATTGATACGAAAAGACGATGCTAAATGGTTCTAACGTCGTTTCTTACCTCCTCTGCGTGTTTGCCTTCTTAAAGTTGTGACTCAAGAAATCTGTGTGGATGACTCAAGGTCACTGCAATCCAGCAACTTCCAAGTTCCCTATAACTTCAAGGAAAAGGAGAGGACTCCTCGCAGCAACAGAGAGAATTATTTTACGCGTGTTTGGATGATCAAAATGGTCCAAAGTGTCGAGATGTCAAGGACAGCAAATCCATTATTTTCATTTCAACACAACAAAAGTTCTCATTCTACTATAAATGCAGTACAAACGTGAGGTTACGTGAAAAATATACAGAAATTAATTTTAGTATACTCGTAGGCTCTCATCTATATGTGCTCTGTTCGTGTTCACTCAACTCCGACTTTTTCTTCCTACAAAAAAAACCCCCATTGCAGAACAAAAACATACTAACCGATCGCTCCAAAGTAGCTACGATGGACGACGATTTAGTATTGAATTTCGCATCAGTGGATTCAGAGCCTGGTAGAAACAATGTCACAAAGAGCTCATTGCTAAACCGACTAAAGGGAAGTTGGAAGGCCAGAAGACTTCGAGCTCAAAAGATTGTACACCGTAATTATAAAGCTGATCATCCTACTGCTGCTCCCGCTACTGGATCTGAAGGCAATGGCCCATCATCACCGGCAGCAACTGATTCAGATGGCAAGATCATCAAACGACAGAAAACGGGTCATGACAATGACACTGTGATTCCAAGACCATCTATAAATAGCAGACCAGGAAAGAAGACAGTCACTATATCATCTCTATTTACATCAAATCCAACATCTAATGTCTTGTTTGCTGCCCAACTCGCTGCAAGCAGACAAGAACACGGTGTCATGTCAACTGCTGCCTCGTTTGAAGAAATCGGTCTAGATCCAGTATTGACGAGGAATCTGTCAACACGATATTCAATCACTGTGCCAACGCAAATCCAGAAAATTGCTTTGCCAGCTCTCATATCGCCCACAGCAGACCATGAATCGGATGTAATCATGAAGGCTCAAACGGGGTCTGGAAAGACATTGGCGTACATGCTACCAATTATACATAAACTGCTGATTTGTGAAGATCAGGGGTTTACACCGGATAGAACGATGGGACTACTTGCATTGATACTGGCACCAACTCGTGAGCTGGCACATCAGATATATGCTGTGCTAGAAAAAGTAGTGTCGTATCCAGCTTCCCTCGTACCTAAACGTCGTCATTGGATGGTACCGGGTATACTAGCCGGTGGTGAAAAGAAGAAATCGGAAAAGGCACGTCTTCGTAAAGGAATACATGTACTGGTCGCTACTCCTGGTCGTCTCCTAGATCACCTACGCACAACAGAGGCCTTTCAAACTAGTGGTATTAGATTCGTAGTGCTGGATGAAGCGGATCGTCTCATGGATTTAGGGTTTGAGAAGGATTTGACTGATATAATGATGATTCTGGATGCAAGAATGAGTAAAGCTAGTAATGATACTCGGCCCTCGATTCGTGGATGGCCTCGTGGTCGCCAAACGCTACTGTGCTCTGCTACTGTCAGTGAACAGGTAGATGCGTTGACCAAGAAGGCACTCAAAAATCCTATATTTTTGGATGGTGGACGTGGTGAAGGTGATGAAGTCATTAAAAAGGTTGATCTCGCTGTGGAGAGTAGCATTAAAGCCAAATCTGCTGATGATGCTGATAACGACGATGAAGACGACGATGATGAAAAAGATGAAACAACATCAGCCGCAAAGAAACCATTCGTCGAAGAATCTCTAACAATACCCAGTCAACTCGATCAAACGTACATAATCGCACCTGCCAAACTTCGATTAGTGACGCTAGTTGCTCAATTAAAGGTCTTGGCTGCTTCTTCAAAGGATACTTTCAAGGCTATAGTATTCATGTCGTGTAAAGATTCTGTTGAATTCCATCATCGTATACTTGGTCAGCCTCACGAAGTGGATAATAATGATGAAACAAGTAATGGTGGTGGTGGAAGACGATATGGTAGTAATAGCAATAGAGATGCTGATGCACGTGGCGGTAATGGTAATGGTCGTGATCGACAAGGCACTGATGGTGACCAAACCACTGATACTGACCCAAAAAAGAACGTTGCTGACAGACGAAACGTCCATGATGACCGACGTATAGATACCACAGAGAAAAAGACAGGTACACCAGCCGACCTGACAGCCATAAAAGTAACCACCCCCGAAATCGGCATCCCCACAGCCCACATCCCAAACACTCTCCTATACAAGCTACACGGAGACCTGCCACATCCGGCCCGAATGGCCTCCTTCAACCACTTCAAATCCCAAAATCGAGCAATCTTATTCTGTACAGACGTCGCAGCTCGTGGTCTAGACCTCCCCGATATATCCACCATCATCCAGTACGATGCGCCGTTTGATCCAAAAGAATACGTGCACCGTGTAGGTCGTACTGCTCGTATGGGACATGCTGGTAGAGCAGTCTTGTTTCTGCTACCGTCAGAAGCTGAGTATGTAAATGTGTTGACTGGGATGGGTATCTCGCTACGTCAGGTTGTGAATGAAGATGTGCTTAAAGAGGCGTTCTTGAAGCCGTATAAGAAGATGCTGAAGGCACAGTATGCTGCTGCTGATGGGACAAGGCCACGGATAGATAGGTCTAGGAAGCTCACGTTTGAGGATTTGACTACGGATTTGCAAATGGATTTGGAGAGATTGGTCGAATCTGACAAGGAGGTATGTACCATTGCCATCAAAACGCTTTTTTTGGTAATTGGTCGTTTTCTGAATCCTAACGCAACTCTCTCCCCATCTCAAAAGGTCGCCGAACTAGCCAAAAAGGCATACAAGTCACATCTACGTGCCTACGCTACACACACGTCACTTCAAAAGCACATGTTCCATATAAAACTTTTACATCTAGGCCACATGGCTAAATCCTTTGGGTTACGTGATGCACCAGCCGACATCCATATGCCTGGATCGTCTGGATCGTCATCCGCAAAGAAGAAAGCATACTCGTCTTCTCTATCAGCTGCAGCAGGCAAAGCTGCCGGTCGCAGAATCATAAAGAAGGGACAAAAGGGTGCCATCAAGGCCAACTTTAAGCCGATACGTAAGGATAGTGTGTATGCCATTACAAAGCAGAAGCAGCCTATGAGTATTACGAGTGAGTTCGGTGATGGTGGAAGTGGTGTTTTGAGTGCTCGTCGACTGAAACGTTGATCGTCATGGGTAGCTTGTGTAGGATGGACTTTTTTGCCTGACGCAACCAGACATAAAAGCACACCGTGAAACTCGCTTGTTAATTTAAAATCAGAATAGATCTAACGTTGAAAAAGAAGAACCGATGCGTGGATTTTTTGTTTAATCCCTACTTTTCTCTCGTATCATTCGGAGCTGTATTTCTTTCGTTCGACTCCTGACAATAAGAAGTTTTACCAAACCACACTCCCTACACCAAAAAAGGGTCCCAACATATTGCTCAACGATCGATTCCATCATATATAGCTAAACGATGGATTTCAGGCACCTTCCCCCTCCAGTTCCAAGTAAATTAGGGTTTCTGGGCGAAAACAGACTGACAAGGAGGATCAAACAGTCTGTATCTGAGGAATACTATCTCGTCTCGTTAGCTTTCACTGCTATATCTTTCAGGTATGTAAAGAAACGTTACTTGTTTTGGTGGTCGTGAAGCTGCTGGGATTCAAAAAACATCAAACTGAAACTTGAACCCCTTCAAAACTCTCATTGAACCCCTTTTATACAGGCTGTTCCAACGTGCTACGCAGTATTTGGTTGAGCGTGTGGATGACTTGCCAAGGACGCCGTGGGATGGTACGTAGCGTCCTACCTCCAACACAGAACTTCTGCGCTTTTTCTTGCCTGACATGTTTTCGGACTTGAGAGCTCACTTCCAACACTATTTTTTTCAATTAGGTGGACGAAATTATACAGTTACTGTACGTGGTGTTAACCATTATTTGTAATGTTTCAACATTTTTTTGGTACCACATTTTTGGACTTGGAGCTTATATCCAACACCTCGCTTTTTTCTTCAGGACATTAATAACATGGTAACTGGCTACGGATCCCTAGGACGAGAAGTCTACATGGCTGTCTGCGTAACCGATACACTCTTCTTGGCATGTCGTGAAATTTCAATTATGTTGACACAATTCTCGTTTTGGTCTCATGTCCCAGTCGTAAGGCCCACCATCATCTCTTTGTCCATTGCAAAATGACTTACTCATACCTATACCCTACTTTAGCAATGGTCCCCAGAACTCCTCTTCCTCCTAACATCCCTCATCGGCCTCTCGATCGACCTAACCGAAAACATTTCCGGCTACATCGCGGTAACCAGCTTCCCCAACATCCCAGACTTCTGGGCAGACCTTCTCTGTAAAGCCAATGAAGCGAAATGGGTATTCGCGTATACTGAAATGGCGATTCTTACGATTGGGTTTATTATAAGCATGTATTTCAGAATCCCTAAATACCGAAAGGTCTTTTTGGAATTCTTTTATCCAAAATGGGTTGCTGAGCAAAAGGCGGAGGAGGAGAAGAGACGCAAGGAGAATGGCGAGGATGTTGAGGAAGAGGTGGAGAAGGAGGTTGTTGAGCCCAAGGCTGCAAAGAAAACTGCTACGCCTGCGAAGGCTGAGGGTCCACCACGTAAAAGACATGTTGTTAAAAAATAGGGTTGTAATTTGGTTTACAGTTTTGGTAGACATTTTAAATAGTAAGAAAGACATCGTTTTTTACAACACACTACATACTTTTATCACTACAACTCCCAATGAGTATTATTCTTCTTCTTGGCCCATGGCGTTTGCTTTACGTGGATCGTATGGTAAGACAGCATGAGAACTTGAACCACGTCCGCATAGATTGCATTCCATTTTTTCGATCTGATATTGCCTCACGACTGCAAAGGTCGTCTTGTGTATAGATACGACGTGATTGCAGTTGACACAGAGATCTAATAGGAGGTTTTGATCGTGAGATAAGTCAATGACGTGTTCTTCAAATCGAACTACGCAAGTTCACATAGCTCGAACCGCCCGGGGTGTAAGTTCAAGTCTACACTCACGTTCGTATACCCCAACTTCAGCCCCATCAGCTGGAATCTCCTCCTCATCTTGATTCACATCATCCCACCCGTCATCAACTTTTGGTTCGTGTTGATGATGTGTGCCATTCGTGCCATTCCCAACGATCTTTCGTGGCTTGAGCTCATCTAGCTTCTTGCATTCGTTACAGGAAAGGTAATTGAGGAGGTATGCGCCAGATTCAGATACGAATGTGCCCTAAGTTTTGGTGTAGAAGTGTTAAAAACCTGTTTTTGATTCTGCCAAAGCTTCGGGGATTGAAAGAGAGACGTACACGTTCAGGTAAGGGCTCTTTGACGCATTTGATGCACATGCTTAGAGTCTCTTTTCGTGTTTCTAGGCACGCTATTAACACATCAAAAATCAATCAGCTTTAGGCAGTGCGTGTCGCAAATGCTACACATGACAGGTCTGCTAACCGCAAAAACATCCTCAGCTTGATATTTAGCTCTTGCTTAACCTCCTACTGTCAAGACGTAGACTTTCATTCTGTGTTGTTGTCAAAATTCACCACCATGCTTGCTCGTATCGACACGATGCCGGAATCAGATACTTTCAGCTCTCACGAAGCAAATCCGAGTATGTGTTTCTAATAAGATCACGCTGCTTGTCGTTTCCGAATCCACGCTACGTACAAACAACCCAGGCAAACTCGTTTACACAAGTTTGGACACGGCAACTAATTTTGAATCCCTATCAAAATTTATGCTAAACCTTACTATATTCATGAGCATTTATACAGGTTGATTACATCACGAGCTAAAATAAGTCGATAGAGGGCGAGAGTAGCGACAATTACACCGTAATCTAACTGTTTGAAACATGAGCACAAGCATTACAGCCTGCACGAGGATAGGGCCCATATACAATTCGAGCTGGATACAAGTTACCACATACAGCACCACCACAGTTTGTTCCATATGGCCAGGTAGTTACAGTAGTATAAGTAGGGCCATGGTAATATAGACTAGTAGTTTGACCAGGATCAGTAATGACATTGTTGTTGTTGATGCCGATGTTGATTGTGGGGCTAGTTTCAGTTGGCATTGATCTGCGTGGCCTACAGTTTGATGATGGTGGATTTGGGCCCCAGTATGTTATGCCGTTACATGTGGTGATGGTGGTCTTACAATGTCTTGAGCAATTTCGGCATCGCGAGGACTAGGATGCTCTCATATTGCTTTTGAGATAAGAGTTGACGTTTGGTGGACGGTTATTTAATGAGGGTTGGAATGTGTCTGAATTTTCATTTGTAGAAAGTAAGTTGTCTCCTTTTGAAAGGTCTTGTAAAGTCAAATTCCTCACGAGATTACCATATCGAAGCTCATGAGGTCTTGAGACTTTTGACATTTTTGAAATTGACTTGGGGAGGGGAGGAGACGTCAAGAGTTATTCTGGATCAGCAGTCGAGATGCCAGATATAGAGATACTAGATGCAATATTAGATGCGATTGCATCTAACATCCGCATCTAGCATTTCGAACTTTCAAGTTTGCGTCGAAGACTGACACTAACACCAAGACAAAATGGCTCTCGATGTCAGCTCAGTGTCAAGGTCAGATTCATAGGCCGCTGCTACACAGCCAGTGTCACCTCGTGAGGAGTTTGAGGTTGGGAGACAGTTAAAAGGAAGAATGCGAAGATCATTCTACTTTCGCATTCAACTTACTTACACACTCATATACACAAGCACTACTCTCAACTCATTTCTCATTTCAAAATCAACATGAAAAGCATTCTAGTGATGTTGATGCTGGCTGATTTTGCTTTAGGTACATAAATATTTAAAAGTTTTGCATTGCACCTGGCACTTCACGATGTCTCCATACTAACCAATAGAATCCATCTTCTCGCCACTATAGGCACATTATTGGCACAAACATCTGAAACTGGTGATACTACCAACTCTGACACCACCGACGTAACAGACAACGACGTATCTCAAGACAACGGATTGGCTCCAACCAACACCCTCGCACCATGCCAATACTATAAATCTTCACGCCAAGTCTCCACACGTACATGGCCATACTCTACATCATGCAATGGTGTAACGTACTGGGGTTCCAATCCCACGTCAGTAAACTGTAATCCATGCCAGTACACATCAACCCAAACCAACATCACCATTACAATCATCATCAACAACAACAATGTATTCAACGATCCTGGTCAAACTACCTGTCGCTACTACAATAGTCCTATCTATACTACTGTAACCTACTGGCCATATAGCACCAGGTGCCGTGGTAATAACTGTGGTTATTACAACTGTCCAACTCAAACTGTCTATGGGCCATATCCACGAGCTGGTTGTGTTCCTTGCAATCATATCTCAAACACTTAGTTGGTGCTGTAAATGTCGTTCTACTCTCTCTCTCTCACTCTGTCTGGGTTTGCAGCATTCCAACATTGTTTTGTAAATGAAGACCAATATAAACGAAACTTTAAAACCATTTTTTTGAACAGTTTTATATTATAACCGCTGGATAACTCCATCAAGAGGAAGCGTTGGACAGACGTTCGTGTTGTTGGCCATCAACGCGTAATACAAGGCTGATTCTTCACGGTAGAAAGTAGCCTAAAAGCTATGTTTAAACTGATGGTGCTGACGCGGTTAGATCACGTCGTCTGCAACATATTCTCAACATTGAGCTCCGATTCCAACTTTTAGTGAAACGTCATTTCCAGCCAAAAAGCAGCTATAGCACTTCAAGAGTAAGCCCGGGCATCATGGCAACCTTACAAATTGAGAACCTATTCTCTGTGAAGGGCAAAATAGCTCTAGTTACTGGGTAATGTCCATCGAATTGTTTTCTCGGGATTTCAGATGTTCAAGCTTCTAACCAATTGCCTTTCTTTCACGTCTATAGAGGAGGAACTGGCCTTGGCAAAATAATGGCGCAAGCTCTAGTGCAGAATGGAGCCAAAGGTACCGTAAACCGTTCAATGCTGGACATCAACGTGCTGTGTCTTACCCCAAACATCTGTAGTCTACATTGCCAGTAGAAAGCAAAAGAACATTGAGGCGGCAGCTGCTGAACTGAACTCATTGGGACCGGGTCAATGTATCGGTCTGGCTGCTGATTTGTCTACAAAGGCGTAAGCTTCACTAAAACGTAAACCAAGTGTTGGACGAGTTTCTAACCACAACATACCGTAAAGTAATTGCTATGCATTGGCTGCCGAAATGGCCAAAAGAGAATCGAAATTGGATATACTCATCAACAATAGTGGTTTGGCTTGGGCGGGAACGATAGAAAAGTATGCTGAAGCAGGGTAAGCAACACGCACATTTGCTTATGGGTGGCACCCATAGCACGCTATTGAGAGTTCTATAGAACGCTCATATTCTGGCCTCATACACAATTAGATGGGACAAACTGGTCGCTCTGAACGTAAAATCCGTGTTTTACATGACAGTAGCCCTATTACCACTCCTTGAGAAGGGAGCTCACGGAAACATAGATCCGAGCCGAGTCATCAACATCACTTCCATGAATGGAGTGAACAATCAAGTAAGCTAATATAATGGTTTGCCAACTTTGAACGACAGATGACACGTTACAATAGGCCGAAAACACAACAGCTGGCGAAAACGAAGGAACATGGTCTTACAACGCAACAAAAGCAGCTGCCGACCACCTGACACGTATCTTGTCAGTGACACTAGCAGGTCGTTATATAACATGTAACGCCATTGCGCCAGGTATCTTCCCCACGAATATGACCAGTTACGGGATGAGTATGAATCACGGCAAGATGTTGAGTGATCAGCCTATGGGTAGATTGGGATCACCTTTTGATTTGGGAGGTTTGGCATTATACCTTTCGTCTAAAGCTTCAGCACATTTGACTGGACAGATTATTCAGATTGCTGGTGGACAGGAATTGTTGAGTTCTGCTGCCGCTCGCTTATAATTTTGATGTTTCTAATTGAATGAAGCAATAGTTATTGTATTGATCCGCAACATTTGCGGGCAGTTGCTCGGGTTTGGTTGGTTGATGATATCCGCATCTACGTGTTTGAATAGGAACGTTACGCGTGATTTGATAATGACGTTTGATCTAGCTATCTCCTTGCATCGTCTAGTAGTTCAGGAGTTCAGTTGTGTCATTCCCTGGTGCCTTTCCTCGCTCCTTCAAATCCGTCAAAACCTCAAAACAAAAAACACTCTTTGACAAGGTTTGCTGCAGAACTGCCTTGATATAAAGAGACTCCAGGTAGCTCTAATAGCAGCCAAACAATGGCATCCTCCTCCTCCCATCCCAAAATCCAACTCGAATCCAAAGCAGACATTCGATTTCTTACCAACGAATTACGACGTGCAGCTACAACATCAACAGAGACAAGAGCTACCGAAATCGTATGTAAAACTGGAGGAAATGCTAAGCAAGTAAAGGCTACAAAGCAGGCTGTCAATGTCAAGGTCGAAAAGGTATAGTCAACAATTCGACATCAAACTACTGTTTTGAACATGATGGATGGAAGCAGATCTGGAGATGAGGAGGATGAAGCGATAGACTTTATCTGTTATTTGAGTATTGAAGCAATTGATCTCATGTCTTTTACTTGTAGTGGATTGATGAGGTCTTTGCTCTGGCTTCAAACAATCTGCAAATCAATGGCGTGGAGTACCATGAAGCGTTTCGACAAGTTCAAGGTAGGATGCTGATACATATAATCATTCATACGCAGTAGACAAATTGCTGAATGTACACGCAAAAATACACTCTTGGCATGCGAGTAGCTCACACTTTCTTCGTCTCCTAGAGTTTGAACCTGAGGATACCAACCTGCTCGCCCAAACCGAAAAGGCAAGAATAGACAAGGACAGAGTGCTGGTCAAAGTCGCACATATGAGAAAAGAAATCCCGAAAAAGACTCGTGATTTGGTGCAAGATTCAGAGTCTAGACATTCACGTGTCGCTGTTGAAAAAGTACCGATTCGTGATGTTGAATCGTTGTCAGTGACGGATACGTTGATTGCACCAAGAGAGAGAATTCAAGCAGTACAAGGTTTGCACGATTGAGCGGCGCTGTGTTGGTTCTTTTTAGCAGGCAATAGATAACAAGTATCAACACCATCACACATATTAATTCTTAGATGCAGTAAATTTTATTGGCCTAGATCCTTTACTGAAAGAATATGATGAAACCGTACGAATGGTGGCAGACCTCGTCAAGGTATTTATTCAGTCATTTTTTTGCACTCGTTTTTAACAACACTTTCCAACCTAGCCCGAATCGCTTCCAGCAACTACCAGCAAACTCCTACGAGCAACAAAACTCTTATCCGTATGGGAAGCAACATCGCAAATACCAGATCCCTCAGAATCCATGATAAAACAGGAGGGAGACGTGACTCACAGTGCAGGAGGAATGGTGGGATTGGATACTCCAAGAAAAGCTCGATCTGGATTATTAAAGAGGTTGCAAGCTAATACCCGCACTAAGCCATACTAGTTGTACTTGTTTCTACATAGGTTGGTCATAATTTAAGAAAATTTAATTGAATGTTTTTTGGAAGCACGTCGAGGTGATTCGGGTGATCTGTTGAAATGGTGCAATACTTAGCAGAGACTGTCATGCTGCCGGTTGCTGTCTTCAAACATCACTGCTAGGTAGCATCAAAATCCCTTCCAATCACGAAGGGTCATGTAACATTTTCGCTGGAGTTTTTTTCTAACCACGAAACTGCGACAACGCGCGCTCTCCAGCTTCGCATCTACATATAAAATACAACCTCTTACACAGTCATGGTCTCCCAAACCAACCCCCAACGAGTCTCTGCCCAGTCAACAGTCTTCCTCGTCAATGGCGACACCTATCGCGGCGAATGGAATGGAGCCAACAAGCACGGCAACGGCATCTACCACTATGCAGCAACAGGATCTGTCTACGAAGGCGAATGGCGCAACAACCAACGACATGGCTACGGCACCTTCTCTATCAAGGAATCCACCCCAACAACAACACAAGCAGGAATCAACCCTATGCGAAAAGTCTATGCTGGTGAATGGGCATGTGGCAAACGACATGGCCGTGGAACACACTTCTTTAAAGACGGGTCGAGATATGATGGATTCTGGGCTAGTGATGCGAGACAGGGGTTTGGGAAAATGGAATTTGCCAATGGGGATGTGTATGAGGGCGAGTGGAAGGATGGGAAGAGGTGTGGGCATGGGATTCTGCTGCTTGGTATGTATATGGATGCACTAGTGCTTTAGGTTGTATTTGCATGGGAATCAATGAGATTGACTTTTGCGTCCATTTTTAGGAAATGGTGATCGGTACGAAGGAGCGTGGCTGGAAGACATGAAGGATGGTCTGGGCCAGTTTATATACAAGTACAAGCGACAAGTTTATGATGGCGAGTGGGCTCACGATGTGCCTAAATGTGGGACTGTGATGGATTTGCCGCCCTTGATTGGACATCCGCCAAAGAAACATCCTTTGCCAAAGGTTTGCAGTGATGCTGGTACACTATAGGCATGATTTTGTTGATCTAACTGTTTTTTTTTTTGTTGGTGTTTAGATATGCCTGGAAGATCCAATGGAAGTGCTCAGGACACAAATGAACGAAATCCAGATAGATAGGAGACAACGTATAGCAGCCAGTGACTTATAAAGAAGTTAACCGTGCAGTACATATATATAGTGATATAGGTATATAGACTTTACAGCAAAAATGCAACCTCCAGTTTCGCATCTAGAGTATATTACAGGACCCAGCCGCCTTCCTCCCACCATACAGCTTTCCCCTCCTCCTTTGCGGCAACAGCGATATCCTCGTAGCATACTCAATAGCTTCATGCACACCCATTCCAGTCTTTGCCGAGCATTCCAAATACTTGACAGCCCCAATCCGGTCTGCAAAACCTTCAGCGTCTGCATATCGAATGCATTTGATTGCCCGTGTGTAGTTGTCTCGGAGGTCGGCTTTGAGACCGACGAGGATTTTCGGGGTGTGTGGACAGTGGTGGTTTAGTTCGGGCAGCCATTTTTCTATCAGGTTGTCGAAGCCGTCGGGTGAGTCGACGGGAAAGCAGAGGAGGACTACGTCTGTGTCTAATAGCAAAAAAAGGGAAGAACGTTAGAACGGATGTCTTTGTTGATATCAAATGGACCAACGACCGTAAGCTCCAATGAGCAAATGGCCTTGCATTACCTGGATAGCTCAGCGGCCTCAAGCGATCATAATCGTCTTGTCCAGCGGTATCCCATAATGCAAGCTCAATCTCCTTTCCATCAATGTCGATAAATGTCACAAAGTTCTCGAATATTGTCGGGACATAGTCTGATGGGAAGTCTCCAGTCGCGTATACGGATAGTAGAGATGATTTGCCGACAGCTAAGAGAGCAAAAAAAGCAGGTTTAGCGTTTTGAGATTCTCGCAACATTTTCAGCTCAATTGCAGGTTGAAAGCAAACAGCAACCAAAGGGTATATTCACGTACCTCCATCACCGACAAATACCAATTTGCGCCTTATTGTGCGTGATTGCTGTGATGATCTTATTGATCTGCTGAGCGACCTTCTTCTTTGCGCCAATGTATTTGAAGAGGCGGATGAGGAGAGCATCGTAGAGAGATAGGAGGTATAAGAGAGCTTATCTGGAGTATCTTTACCTAGATTCTAAACGATTTCTTTCTTTTGGTATGTGAGGACGCAAACTGAGAGCTCCAAAAGCGACACCATGACGACGATGCGAAGCGAAGGGAATTTACTGCGAAGTAGTCCCAAGTTTTTGCAGGAACTATTAGTGCTAATCCACCTCAATACATTCATAGATATAGATCTATTCGGTCGTGCATAGATCAAGTGCTAGTCGGGATAATCATGCGGACATCAACACTGTTGGGAATACTTGCGTCATGGGCTGCCATAGCGACACAATCGCCTCCAGCAGAAGCAAGACTTTCATCATCAGCATCCGAATCGTTCCTCTCAACACGCTACGATCTAGTCAACCCATCATCCATACATCCAGACTTGACGCCCCAATACACCGCAAAACACAGCACCCAGCTCCCACATCGCTTAAAATCACCCCGTATCAACCGTCGATCCAATAGCAACACCACAACAACAACAATAACAAACATCACATCATCCTTCCAGCTCCAATTTACATGTCGCAACTCGGCGTCATGCTCATATGCACAAACGACATTTATACATGCCACGCAACGGTTATCGCAGATACTGTCGTTGCCGGCTCAAGTCATTATATCTGCAACGTTTGAATCGTTTTGTATTGCTAATGCGGCTGATTGTGGGTCTTCGACGCTGGGGTTGGCCGCTCCAGCTAGTTTTCATACGTGGAGTGCTGTTGCGGGTAATGCACTTGGTGTGGATACGGCGTATTCGTATCCGAGTGCACTGGCAAAGCAGCTGGCACCGAATGATACGGCGTGGGGGCCTAATGGGACAGTTGGAAGTAGTGTGGTTGATATATTTGCGAGGTTTAATGCTGACTTTCCATGGTGTGTAATGTTCTTGTGGATGATTTTTTTGCATCTTCTATAATTACGCCTCTCTCTTACTCTCATTCATATACTAGGTGGTTTACAACACAATCCTCATCTCCACCAGCCGCGACCAACCACGCCCCATACGATTTCGAACAAATAGTCCTGCACGAGCTCTACCACGGTCTCGGCTTTATATCCTCCTGGTACCCATGGACGGGCCCGGGCCTGCTCCTCCCATCCTATCCCGTCACAGACCCCAACACTGGCAACTATGTGGGTCTGGGCGCGCCATACATCTTCAACAAGTGGATGGTCGACGACGTTGCATCCACTTGGTACTATACGTATTCCGACCAGATACTCGCTGCCGCATCAACAGTCAATGCCCCTGACTATGCATCGTGGGTCGATGGATTTAAAAACACGTCTGGATTCCAAATTGCCGCGTCCTTGTTTAATAATGTTACTACTACCAATGGCAGGACGCTGTTAATGTATCCATTGTCGCAAGGAGGACCGGCGGACAGTGATACGTCGCCATATTACTCTGATTACGGATTCGTCATGCTGTATACGCCGAGTAATTTCTCTACTGGATCAAGCATTTCGCATGTGGATGCTACTTTCTATGATGGGAGTTCAGAGTTTTTGATGAGGCCTTTTGCTACTTCGTATACCGCGTTGGATGATTATGTGCCGATGGCTGAGACTGGACCGGTGAGTGTCTCGCTTACATATGGTGTGCTAGCGTTGAGTTTTTTGCTTACAAAAACACTCAACATTTTTAGATTGGAGAAATCACGATCGCTGTGCTTCGAGCATTAGGATATAAAACGATTTTGGATGTCATATAACCTCATAAACACTAACTGCTCTTTTGGAAATCTTCAGCACTGAATACACACTCTTTTGCAAAAAAAAAGTCTATTCGCGTTCTATGTATGCGTGTTTCACATGTAGTCTAATCTCGTTGTTTCCTGTCACAGTATCATCAAAACCAAGTTTTGAGCTCACTCTGAATCTTTGGAAAGATCTCATCTGACGTCTTTCCCGAAAACGATTTCAGTATTCCTTGAGTCTTGTAGTACTCTAGCAGTGGTCGAGTAGCTGAGTGATACTTGTCGAGTCTGGTTTTGAATGTTTCCTGAAACATCGAATTGACAGGTCAATAATCGTGGCTACAAACAACCTGAAACAGAAGTGGATAGCTTACGACGTTATCATCAGCTCTCTTGCTGAGCGGTTCTCCAGTAATGTCGTCTTTACCAGCGACTTTGGGAGGGTTGTATGAGAGGTTGTAGACTCGGCCACTTGGAGCGTGTATCCATCGGTCTGTGGAAAACGTATACATGGTAAGGTGAATGAAAAAACGAGGTAAGCTGGAGCACATGAAACAATTCATACCCATAATACGACCCAATATGACTAGATAGGACGAAATGTGAGTAATATGCTCTTACACAAGCGTGGCACACAAACCAACCTTCTTCAGGCACATCCAGATTAATAACCAAATCCAATGGCTGCTTCATCTCATTCAGTTTTGCATCTAGACTCTTGGCTTGTCCAAGTGTTCGTGGGAAGCCGTCTAATATCCAGTTCTGAAATATAAATAGCAATGAATTTACATTTAGCACGCACCAAAAAACACACACAAAGTACCTTTCCAAGCAAACTAGCATTCAGCTCCTCCAACACCAGATTGATTATAAGCTCATCCGGCACCAGATTACCCTGATCAATGTATTTGGCAGCGACTTTGCCGACGTCTGTTCCTCGTGTGATGTGATCCCGTAGCAAGTCGCCGGCTGAGGTTGTTGTGACTGGGAATTGTTTGATGATGCGTGATGTTTGGGTTCCCTGTAAGGAGAGGAACGAAGTCCAGTTCATGATATCGAATAATGCAGGAAATCGTAGTATAAGGAGGGCTTCACCTTTCCAGATCCTAGCGAACAAAAATTTGACGAGGATCAGATCCATAAAACGCACAAGAAGAACGACGGAGATAACAGCAGATCATATTTATTTGGTACCTGGACATCCCATAATCAAGAATCTCAGCGAGCCAGCTCCTCTTCTTGTATGAGCTTGTCTCGACGCTTCCAGTTGAGTACAAATTCGATTCAGTTGTTGAATGGGCCGTAGAGAGGCCACCTTGCTCCATGATATACACTGCATCTTGTATATAAAGTAAGGGATTAGTTCTCTTTTTCGCTTTCCGATATCTTTTGAATGAGATTAGTTGGTGCAAGTTTTTGGGAGTTGGGAAGTGGTGATGATGTGCATTTGAAGGATTTTGCGTATTGATCGCCGTGTGGGAAACGCATATTATGGCGTATGGTTGAAGTTTAAGTAGTTCTACAAGTTGGAATCACGTCAATGTTGCAGAAAACACGTCTCATCAACATCAAATTCTGACATTTATTACACACTACTAGATTCTAGGCAGAAGGTCTATTTTACTCTAATGAGCACCGAGGCTGAACTCCATTAGGAGGATAGTCATTACACTTGCAAAATGTAATTGAGCAATCTTTGGTTGGGCTTGGAGTGGCGGCCATAGTCGCAGGTCTAATGGTGCTCCTAGCCTTCACCTCGTTATAGTCATGGCCATTGAGAATCAAGACACAGGCTTCCCTTATGAAGGCAGCTTGTGATGCTGTGTGTTGTGGCACGTCAGTGTCCTTGTATATTGGGCTTTTTTGTGCAGAAGGCTTTACCTGCAACCACAATCAAGGATACCAATAATTTGAAGATGAGATGCTTCATCATGTGGATTGTTGAAGTACGAGGGTTTGACGGTTCAGTAGTTGGAAGAGTTGAGATTGAGGATGACCTGTGTGAGGTAACTCAACCTTTTGAAGCTCTGCTGTCTCGAGGTCTACCTCGTTGCGTCAGGCTTTAAGCATCTGAGCTTAGAACCATCTGAGCGACCTCGGGATAGCCGATAGATGCCCCTGCCGGTTAGATAACCTTCATACGAGAGATCAAGAGATACACGCTTTTTTTTGTGTCTCAGTGAATACACTTCTTTTGGGCCTGATAACTTTTCCAAGGTAAAGATTCCATGAACTGCTTCGATGCAGAAGGATCTCGATCAAGTTTCCGATGCAACGCAGGAGTTGCACTTTGATGCATTTCAAGTTCGACGCTTCGTTTCGTATCGAAACTGATTCACGCTAGGAAAATGCTAAAAGGGCTGAAGCTTGAAAATAGCGAAAACGAGTTTCGAATCAAGAGAAGAGCCTTTCGGTCAGAAGGTTCAAAAAGTTGTTGCTGAAGTTGCTTTATTGAAGTTTACCAGGGTATTATAAAGACAAAAAAGTGCACGGAGAAATATATCATACCAAGACGTGAAACAGGCTGAACGAGACTATTTACAATCAGTCATCTAGCCTGAGATATGACTACAAGGAACACAACCAGGTGCAGGATATGGCCCATAGATGGTTTGTCGTGGACAGGACGGACGGCGACATATACCGATAGCAGCAATAGGACAAGTGGTTGAATATGGCCAAGTTGTTCCTGAAGGGGATGTTGGACTATGGTAATAAAGGCAAGTAGTTTGAGCGACGGTTACAGAGTCAATATCATCTTGTGCCCAGCTAGTGTGTCCGCCATCGTCGTCGTTGCTGGCCACGGCTGCAGCGTGCACTGAAATGGAAGAAGGTGGTTCAGTTACTGTATATTGACAGTTGTCGGAAGTATCCTCAAGAAGCAAAAAAAAAAAGATGTAAACATGAAAGATGTACAAAGCATACCTGATACAAGAGCAGAAATGATCAAAACTACGATGATGCCCCTCATTGTTCTTGATTCCAATGAGGTTTGTCGAGTTTGTGAGATTTTGATGAGAATCAAACGGTGATGATGTTGTTTGACGATGTGATGTGACGGTGTACAGATTCCTTTTTGCTTTTTATAATGTCCAAGCAGCTCGATGTTACTGTATCTCACCGTTTTTACATTGACTGCTTGTCAACCTTTGACCACTGCCGCAATGGGCCATACCAGTGCTACCTCTTAACTTGATGGGCCTCGCCCCGTAGTTATCAAGTATTCAATCTCGGTAAAAGTACTTGATAAAGTTGAGTATCGCATCAAGTTTCCGTAAAATATCCTCACAAGCCTTCAAGAGGCTGCCACGAGATCTGGGGTCCTCGCGACGGTTTGATATGTATGACTTTGACATTGACGTTTCGTCAACTTTGGCAGCTGCCGCAAAAGCCGCTTTCGAGTCGACCACACATATTCATGATTATACATGACCAATTGTCATCGAGTATGTCAAGTTAATGGTTTTCAAGTGATTTCTCCTTTCATCAAATTAAGATGTTTCGGGATAAAAGTGACGGCCAATTCGAATGTGTTTGGGGAGCGTTTCCCACACAATGACATTTCTAACCACGTCGCTCGCACCAGCATCCAACCAAGCTCAAGCCCAGTTCCCACTGTAATGTCAAAAGATTAATATATTAGTAAAAATCATTGATCGGTTTACATATCATTCTTTTTACTATCTATTGATGACAAAATTCGTTAACAGGCGGTTTCTGAAGCTTGCTCGTACGTATGAACTTGTACCTTTCTATGACCTTGGTAACCTATGACTGACCGGATTGGTCGTAACAACTGCCTTTCCTACGGGACCTATATCCATCCAAAAATAGTTCATCACAGCCTTGAGCAACAGCACAACGCCACTTTCAAAGTGCTACAGTGCTTTATGCTAAAAGTACTGTTATTTTATACAATTGAACATATCAAGAGTTATAGACAATGTGAGAGAGCAGATGAGACAATTTATCAAACTAGGCTGACATATGACTACAAGGATTACAACCTGCATGAGGATAAGGCCCATATATACTTTGAGCTGGAAACAAATCCCCACATACAGCACCACCACAGTTTGTTCGATATGGCCAGGTAGTTACAGTAGTGTATGTTGGACTACGGTAATAGCGACAAGTAGTTTGGCCAGGATCGCTTAGTAGATTGTTGTTGTTGATGGTGATTGTGATTGTGGGGTTGGATTCACTTGATGTGTATTGGCATGGGCTACAGTTTGATGATGGTGGAGTGGGACCCCAGTATGTGACACCGTTGCATGTGACTGAGTATGGCCATGTACGCGTAGTGATTTGGCGTGGAGATCTATAGTACTGGCATGCTGCAAGGGTGTTGACCTGAGTTGTGTCGTTGTCCGATACGTTAGAGGTGTCAGAGTTGGTAGTTTCATCTGTTTGAGGGTCAGGTTGTGCCGAAGTGCCTATTTGGGTTGGATATTTTTGGTTACAACGGAAACCTCGTGATTATAACAATGACTGTTGTCATGACTGACGCTCAGGGTAGGGTGGAATCGAGCAACGTACCTGAAGCAAGAGCAGCAAGCATCAAGAAGACCAAAATGTTCGTCATATTGATTATGAAAGTCAGAAATGTGTTAAAGGGTGCTGAGGTGTGTAAGAGTTGAACAAACCAGTGTGTTTGAATGTGAAAATAGAAGAAGTAAAATATCCTGCCTTTTAACGGTCCCTTGAAATCACCCTCCTCACGAGGTTGTCACTTCTCCGTCCGCGTTGTCCGTAACTTGTGATCTTGACGTTGACGTGCCTCACATGCCTGGTTTCGTTTTTTAGCCATTTCGATCAAATCAGCAGTCTTCACATTCACTCCCCATCAAGTTCCAAATCTTGAATCCACTTTGGAAAGATTCCATTCCTAGCGTACTAGCTTGCTTGATCCTGCTTGATATCACAATTCTTCTTTTCGACCAACAAAGCAAAAGTCCACATCCTTCATACAAGTAACTATATTTCTTTCGGGAGACGTGACATCTACAAGTTATTGGGATCTCTTTATAAAACGAGTTGGGTGCAAATCAAATGTTGGGTAAAGTTTTAAGTGGGTGTCTGTTCTTTTGGCCACCACGGTTCTTTTTCTTTTCTCTCTCGCCCTCTCTCTCACTGATACTAATGGCGGGAGGGGAACTTTAGGCAGTCGCTGAGGCATACTTGTTTGTCCATTCACGAGCTACAAAGTGTGTTTGTGAGAGTTGATGACGTGTAGCAATGTATGTTGAGTTCATGCAGCCAGTTCTCACCTGTCGCGATGGCAGCCTTCTCGTTCTCCTTCCAGTGTTGTGCAACATCATTTGCCAGTGGGTCATCTAGGAGTAGGTTGCAATGATCGATTAAAACCACAGGCAAAAACACCATCATCCATGATTATAATTCTCACCTGGGTTGGGAGCAGAGAGTAAAGCTTGCACAGATAATAAGACAGTACGAATTTGAAGTGCTGGAGACCATTTATCTGATGAAAACAGACTTGTAGTAAGCATGATTCACATGGACCAACTAGATCACAAGTACCTTTGAGTATGTCCAAACAGATTCGACCCAACTTGTCGATATTTGGATGATAGATCTTGGTCAAGAATCTGACTTTGGGAGGAGCCATGGGGTATTCTTCAGGTAGGAAGAGCTCCAACTTGAACACTCCACCTTTTTTGAAAAACAAAAGACTATGAGCTGTCGTGTGTGTGGTTCAAAGCTCAATTCAAAGCTGATTGCGACGTCATGCAGCATTCATAAACTTTCTGTAGTTCGTGTAATACGAAATCATCTCTCGTAACGTCTCCCCTTATTGAGCTTGAGACTGTTCTGCAATAATAACAAAGGTGATGTACCTTCGAATGGCGATTGGTTTGGACCAGCAATAACCACATCGAAATATCTCAAGTTTTCTTCATGGGGTATGGCACTTATTCCAGGAGCTGGTTCTGCCATCAGCCTCTCAGTCTCCTGCAAATTGACAAATTTCGAAATTCAATGTTAGCACTTGTTAGATGTGGCTCCTTCCTTACAAGGGTTTGGTACGTTGCAACGAATAGAATGAATACGAAATTGCGACTTGCTTTAATAATACGTTTTGGCAATGCCATGGCTGTCTACTTGTGACAAATGACGCTCTATTAATTTGTGGTGAAGGAGTTTGTTGAAAACGACACAGCTCAGCAGGAAGATGCAGGCGAAAGGCCGGCGAAAGGCAAACAGATAATGAGAAGGACAGAGTACGTGCAAAATAATGCAATGACGCGCGATTTGCCACAACATGACTTCAAACTCGCTGGCAAACTGACTCGTGAAGCACAGGTTTTAAGCATAAGGAGAAGTTAGGCAACAAAGTTACAAGTTTGCACTATCTACTATCTGCCTATTCCCGCATTCGTTTACTTAATATGCATGGTTACTTACTAATAATAATATAGGGGTGGGAACACGCGTTGAATACTACGGATGCTACTATATATTGCAAGTCAAAAAATGAGGTTCTTAACTTATATTTACAAGATTCATATCTAAACCAGCGAACTATCCACGCCATCATATTGTGGTGGTGCAGTAGGTACTATCACATCCTCACCACTAGTTCCATTTGCAGGTGCAAACTTGAATGGACCTTCAAAGTTTACATCCAAGACACAAGGGCCATCTGCTCCAAGCGCCATATGGTAAGGGTAAAGTACGTTCCCAACACAATCTCCAATCATTTCTCCATTCTTGGTGAAGAAGATGGTCATACGAGAGTGATCATATCCACAGCCTATTGTATCGCCTTTCGTGAATGGTGGACCGAAGTCTTTGCCACCTGCAAAACGTTGCCATTGAGTATGAGTGCTTCCTAGACGTCAAACAGTTATAAACGGCGTAAAGCTCATACATACCATATGGATCATCCACGAATCGACGTCCATCATCAGAGTGATAACCAACTGAATGCTTATTCCACCCCACGAGTCTGAAACTCGGATACAATGACGTGGCGAGCCCAACTGAGACCACGGTGGTGGTGGGAGCATACTGAAGTTCTGCGATTGTGACTTCATAGTAATAAAATGGTACTTCTTCTCCTTTTGGCCTGTAATACAGCGGCAGTCGTGATAATACAGACCGATCTCCTTGTACGTTGAAGGTTATTCTGGACAAGTTTACGTTTATACCAGATCCGGCTTCAGGCATGAATTGCCAAGCGTCACCTACATATTTAAGAAAACATTAGGGCTACGTTACGGCGAGTGTTGGCTGTCTCAAAAATTATAGCTTACGCATTCCAACGCGTTTTAGTTCAACTATTGTATGATTCGGTACCGGTCCAGAAGGTGGTGGCGGATGGTCTTTCTCAAACCTTACACCAGCCAAGAAGGCAGCTTCCGTAGTATTGTTGAAGGACGCATAGAACGATCCTGGCGGCGCCTCAGGCACATCCATTTGCCACGACGGCTTATTCCCATACACTGTTCTCCCACTAGCACCAAACATAGACGCTATCCGTGTCTTTCCAACAAACCCAGATGTGTTGAAAGCTGGTCTTTGCGGGCGATTCCATACAGGTTTGCGACGGGTGATACAGCAGCATATGGCGATTGCGATTACAAGGATGATGAGGAACCAAAAGTACCATGCTATTCCTCCCAAATAGGATGATCCTCCAACACCGTTATAGCAGCCAAAGCAACCAACGCTACACAATACAAGAAGTAAATTAGACTTTTGATTCAATGAAATGCATCAAACCCCACTATACACATACGGATAATAGTATGGGTACGAAGATCCTCCTGAACCAGCAGATGTTGATCCTCCAGAAGACGACCCTCCTCCACCTCCGCTAGTGGACCCACCGCCAGAACTACTTCCACCGCCTCCTCTAGCGCTTCCTCCTCCTAATAGGTTCAAGTGTTTGCATTAGAACGGTTTTTTGCGAACGATGTCAACTCCAATGTCATTGCTCACCTCCTTTGGGAAGTGCAGAAACACATGTAGCTAGGAAGATCAGCACCAGTAAACGGAGTATCGTAGACTGCTGACTCTTCCTCATTGTCTTTGAACTTGACCTGCTTGAAAGATTCGTTCAAACGCAAAACTAAAAGGGCATGTCAGGAATGCACAGCCACATCATGCAACATAACACTGTGATTGTGATTCAATGCAAAGCGACATACAGTGCTGCCAAAGCCTCATTCGATCATTTGTGTAAGTATCTTGTCATAGCCTCAAGTCAAAATCACGTTCCAAAAACCGATCAATCGTTTTCAAATTGTTTCAATTTATACGTCCATGTTTATATACACGTCTCTATTACTACTTACAAGTCAACTACAGCCTCTACATGATCCAAATTCTCACCACTAAAACTGGGCGATATGGTATGATCTGTAGTAACATATTCGGATTCACTGTTTGGTTGATTCATGGCATCTGGTGGTGATACCTTCTCTAAATCTTCTTCGATTTCTTCTTCCTCTTTTTCTCGCTCCCTATTAAAAAGGGTCAGGCGTTATACGAGAGGGTGTCAAGAATACAAGCACTACGTACAATTCCTCTTGTTCCAATTCAGCCAAGGTTTTCGCCTTCAATGGTCTTGAATTAGCCATAGTCTTGATGGGATCGTCAGGATGTATTGGCGATGGCAGATCTGGTTTGGGTGCAATGGCGAAACTTGGAATCGTGATGCTGACTATTGATTGCGAATCATTAGGCGAGTGTCTTTCACCAACGAAGCAATAATAGAATTTGATTCAGGAGTGCAAGAGCTTGATAACGTACAGGTTGGATCTGTACGTATGCGATCTACTAATGCAACGAGAACTGGCGTCCTTGGTGTGTGAGGTACTCCCAGTTCAGAAGCGAGTACAGTCGATGTAGGCCTTCCCTCCTAAAGCAAGATATTATTTCGCGAACGTAAACTTGAAAAGAAACAATAGGCAGAGTATTTAAAAGTTCCTACCAAGTTAGATTCTGGTTCAAATACAGCTAACGAACTCTTCATTTCAGCTGCCTCCAAGAATTCAGCAACCAATAACGCAGCCAGACGTCCTATATTAAAGTCCAAATCAATCAACAAGCTTCAGTTGACCATCTATCTCAAAGGGGATCTAAAATTCAAGATGTCGCTAACCACTTGGGGATGACATTAGCTGTTCTATCCTTCCAACATTCTTTGGAGTAGGAGTCTTGTCATCTTGAGATTCCTGTATTACATTAAAGGTAGCAGCTCGTAGTTCAGCCTATGCAAATTGATGCAAACACTGGTTAAAATCTTGGATTTATGGTTTCTGGTTTTGGGAACTACACAGGCAGCATACCTTTATTCGGCCTAGTATTCCACGCTTCTGCAATACCTCCGCTACTAGCGACTTGAGCGCTGTAATGTCTTCCACATCGCCTGCGCTCATTCTCGGTTCAAAGTTGATGTTTTGAGAATGAAAGCAAATGACTGAACGAATTCCTGCCCAACACTCCAGCGCGTCATCAACACAATTTATATTTTAAAATTTAAAAAATCAGCCTATCGCTCTATCAAGTCTAGCGTATTAAATAGTTTCGTCAAGCAATTAAATTACAATCGACTGTGCGCCGCCTTGTCCTTCTTGGGCGTTCCAGATCCGGCCAGTTCACTCACACCAGTCTCTTCTGGACCAAGTTTGGCTGCCCGTTCAGCTTCTGCTCGTTGCTGAGCACCCGGAATGGCTACTTTTCGTGAAGGCAAGAAGATGTCCGTGAATCCAGGTACAGATACTGATTGGCCAAGAACCTGTTGCGCTACTGCTTTAGCACAATGGAAGGCTACTGGCATTCCGTGTCTAATAGATGTGGAGAGCGATAAGTAACTTTGTGACGCTATTCTACAAGGAAACGTACCCATGGAAGCCAACTGAAACGAATTGGCCTTCCTCGCCCAATGGCCCAACCCACGGTAAAGCGTCTTCAGTATAGCCCATGATACCCGTCCACTCGTTCAATACAGTCCACTCTTCAATACAGGGTTCTGGTCCAGATAATCTATCTCTCAAAAAGGCTCGTAATCGTTTACTGATCTTCTCGTTGATTTCATTATCATCTGTTTTCCCAATCTCAAAGTTAGGAGCGGTAACTTCACGACCTCCTCCTAGCACGACAACATTATCTCGTCTCCAAACTGCATATTCACACCCTCGATTAGCACTTAAACCGAATGGGAATGGCGGGATTATTACGGATGCTGGTGGTTCAGCTGCAATCACTTGGCCTCTTACTGGTATCACCCTATTGGTCAACGACGGCACGAGGCTTGATACATATCCATTCGTGCAGTGGATTACACTTTTGCATCGTATTGTGCCTCGTGGTGTTGTTACTGTCCAACGAGGTTCATCGGATGATGATGCAGATGGTTTGATAGGTTGTAATTCGATTACGGGGGTATTGGCATGGACTTGGACGCCAAGTGCTATAATCTTGCGGGCCATCAAATATACTAACTTTGCCGGCCAGAAATGACCAGCTAAAGAATTGAATACGCCTCCGAACGTTTTTCGAGTTCCCAACATCTAAATCATGGGGTAATGGTGGTAAGTGAAACATATGGTGACGTGTCCGTCGAAATACGCAGACTTTTAAACTAACGAGCAATGTTGGTAGTTGAAGACAGTAACTTGTCAAGCCACATTGTCCGAACGCATGGATCACGAACCTCAGTAGCAAGATCAGCATCAAAAAAGTCTCCACCATAAAGCCCACACTCTTGCATAGTCTTCAGCTCTTGTTGGGCCTCCTTTGCTTCACTTTCTGAGAAGAACACGTGAAGGTTTCCGTCTGAAGTAAGCTCAACTTGTTCCTCCCATTTCTCAGTAGCAATTAGAGAACGAATGGCGGATGCACATTCGAATTCGAACTTCAGCTTCGAAGTCCACCGTTCCAGCTTGAACCTCTGAGCATTCTTTGTGAATCCCCGGTATGTATTGGGCGTCAAGTGGCCTCCATTTCGTCCCGTTGCTCCTTCGCATATGCCTCTGGCCTCCAGAATCGTGATATTTGACGTCGGTGATAACTCATTCAGGTGATATGCACACGAGACGCCAGTGATGCCGGCTCCGATTATAACTTAAAAACATATAGAAACAAATCTGTAAGCGGATCCTGTAACTGGTAGTGAATCGAAACCTTCCAAAAATGCGTTCATACCAACATCGCAATCTTGCAGCTGCTCGCTGGTCTGGATGTCCTTCAACTCGTTAGGTTCACGTAGCCAATATGACTTTGTAGAGTTAGCAGCTGGTAGGCCTGCTCTGTAGTTCATTCTGACGATACTGGTCTTCAAATTATGTAAAAGTGGAGTTTGGAATTGGAAACGGCGACAAATCACAACCTTGTAACAAGAACGGAACCGCGACGCGTTTTCAAAGATCGAATCACTTGTAAAAATAGATGAGAGACTGTAAATCTTACCGTCACGTCCTTGTCACGCATAGAAACCGCGATCTTCAAACCTTCAAAATAATTCTTTGTGTCGGACGTTGGAATCAAGTTATTGTAATTGAGGATGGCACCATCTGCAGCTAAGTACAATGCAGGAGATTGTCCAATAGCCCGCCTACAGTATGAAGTACAGTCATACGATTGGGGAAAAGTCGGTGGAGAGTCTAAAGTGGCAACTCTCGCAACTTCAAGTGATTCCTTCGTGTTGAAGCCTGATACTCCTTATGCTGAGGTAACTATCGTATAGGTTGACTCGGAAATCACGTTTCCTTGCTGATGGAAGCTGCATGAGACCGAAAAATCATGACACATTCACCAACATCAAAAAATCTCAAAACACGTGTGAAATCCTTGAACTAATCGCATCATATACAAACTAGTTATGGATGGGAACACACCCAAATGGACCATCAAAAGTATACGCAACTCAAAAACCACTGAAAGATGTGCTCAGTGCTTCCAATCTCAGCTGGTGTTATCAGGCATTTGATGGAGATGTTCCCTTCCTATTCAAAGTATTGTCTATTGCCAAGGCGCTATCTATACAAGCTCATCCAGACAAGGCTCTGGCAAAGGAATTACATACAAAGAGACCTGATTTGTATAAAGATCCAAACCACAAACCTGAAATGGTAAGTACATATTGCAAAGACCATTGATGCTTTTTTCGCGTCGATAGGATCTTGCAAAGAAAGAGTACACGTCTGATCACCTCCACAATAGGCTGTAGCTTTGACACCCTTCGAAGCATTCATCGGATTCAGACCACTCCCCGAAATCGCCCATCATCTATCCATATACCCTGAATTCAAATCTCTAGTAGGAACATACGTAGCCGACTCATTCACTACTGCTGCTGCCTCCAAATCAGACGTAGCAGGTAGTAGAGCAGCGTTAAAAGAACTGTTTGCTGCCTTGATGAGATCTGATCCTGCTCAAGTCAGTGCTCAAGTAGCTGCAGTTGTTGCACGAGTAGGTGGTAAAAGTGCCAAAAAGGGTAGCATCGACGAGCTGGTGGTACGATTAAATAGTCAGTTTCCTGGGGATGTTGGAATCTTTTGTGCCATGATGTTGAACTATCTGGAGTTGCAGACTGGAGAGGCTATTTATTTGGCCGCTAATGAGCCTCATGCTTATATCTCTGGTGGTAAGTGATTGGGTATGATGGAAGATGGTTGTATCAAAGAGAATGATGTCTGGCTCCGACTTTGATGATTTTTTCCCCTGTGCGACGACACTCACCCGTTCTGTAGCTTACTCCTTCATTTTTCGCATCTAGACTGTGTAGAATGCATGGCCGCCTCAGATAACGTAGTCCGATCTGGTCTTACACCCAAATTCAAGGACGTCGACACACTCATCAATATGCTCACATACAACAACGGACCAGCAGAATCACAAATCTTGCGAGGCGATCCATTCCGAAAACATGGCAAGAACACCCGTCTCTACGATCCACCTATAGAAGAATTCTCTGTATTACAAACGAGTCTAGCTCCTGGCGAGTCTGAACCCTATGACGAGTTTGATGGCCCTTCCATCCTTATCGTCACTGAAGGTAGTGGAAGTATTGAATATCGTGTTGAAGGAATGGAAGGAGGTAGTGGTAAAATGGACCTGCAAGCGGGACTCGTCTTGTTTGTTGGTGCTAATGTTAAAATCACTTTGAGTGCTGATACCAGCAGCACCACAATTTATAGAGCATTTTGTGCTGAATGCAGTTAGACTCAGAATAATATCACTTCCATAACCCCACTTCCATAACCCTTCTAGATCGTTTCCAATACCAATGCACGGAGGATTCCACAGAATCAGGAGATCGACGTATGGAGCCCCTACTTAAACTCCTAGATGCCATTAAGGATCAGAATATTAGAACTGCATCTAGCTGAAAAGTTCAAAATACCTCGTTCAAAGAATGTTGCAGCCCAAATCCCAAATGTGACCAAAAATGCATATGCGATCACTCGACTTGAAGAAATTGTACGGTACAGATCGTTTTCCAACGTGTGCCAGACACCAGATCTCACCTTAAATGTACATGCAAAGGCGACTTTTCTTAAGCGAACGTGATTTGCACCAGGATTGTGGAAGAAGAAAAGTCAAGTCCACATCCACATTGCTTGAATGTCAAGGCTGTACAGATGCCAGATTATACGCAACGAGGGTATATAGAGGCTGGCCTAATAACTATTGATCTAGGAAGTGAACCAACAGGAGCGACCGATTTAGAGCACTGGCAAGAAGTTACTCAAGAGGCCATTCAATCGCTTAAAACTGGTAGCAATAATGAGGCATGCAGATTACTGAATCACGTATCGAGTCTCGTACGTGGAAAATGGGCTCAGTTTGAATATTGCAGGACTGGGAACAATGTACATTTGAAGGTTTGGTTTCGTGCACAAGATGAGGCACACGCTGAGAGTAAGAGGTGTGAGAAGGCTATGAAGGAGGTAATTTATCTGCGTTTTGGAAAGTTTGGTTGGTTTTGATCTCGCTTCCACGTGCTGACACTGCAAACAATTAGCTCATCTACCCATTGCTGGTTTCAAAAAAGTGTGATATTCCAAGATCCAATGAAGAGCCAGCTCCAGGAATACTAGGGATCGCTGATATACAGGTACAGAGGCAGTTTTGTGGCATTGCGAGACTGCATGATGTCTTTTCTGTGTAGTCAAAGTTTTCATACATATATTACTTTAGGATCTGTCACGATCATTACAACAAGTCTACTCCGAATTAAAGTCTCCTTCACTCCTCCCGCTTGCATCAGATGGCACTCTGGCCTCTCATAGAAAGTTTTATGACGCTTTTGCGGAAGATGAAATGGTATCTGGTATACGGACTCCACCATACGCATATCAGGTTCGTAGTTAAACTACACTTGCATTCATATTTTCGTTCTCATTGCTGTTATTTTTAGAAAAGGGGAATCTCAAAGATGCTACGTCGCGAATTGGAACGTGGTGTAATCAAGCATGCGGACATCTTAGAACTTCCAGCAGTTGATGGAGGCTCGTATTATTTACAAAAGTCGACTGGTGTTGTGCGCAAATTCTTGAGAGCAGAAGAAGACTCATTTGAGGACGTTCGTGGAGGCGTTTTGTGTGAAGATATGGGTAACGGCAAGACGTACATGATGTAAGTCCCCGGAGTTTTATCATGCGAAAAAACCTGATATTTGATTATCTTCCATACCAGGTTGTCACTAATTTCCTCAACTCGTCACCAAACCGCTGTACCCTCATCTGAAGATCCAACCATCAAAGACCGATACTACAATCCACTGAAATACGACGTCACGCCCTTTGTCGCCTACCATGACAAAGTGCCCATTTCCCACGAAGAAGACGAGCACGACAATGAACGTAGTGGTCCGTTACCGCTCATGGCATTAGCAGCTCAAGCAGTGCTTAAACACGTACCAATGTCGATATGTAAGACTCGGTTGCCAAAGGCTATATGGAAACGGCTCGAACAGTGTGAGGTTTACTTTACACGAACTGTGTTCGCTTCGAATCGACCTATGAGAAGTACAAGAGCAGTCAAGGAATGGAGGGTGCATACGTCGAGTGCGACTTTTGTTATTGTGCCGGAGGTAATTTTACTATCGACTGTTTGTTTTGCCGAATGATGATATGCCAATAATTGAAATTGTTCACCATTTCCCCAGACTCTAATTGACCAGTGGATCTCGGAATTCAACAAGGTATAAATACTCACCATTGGATGTGCTGGCAGAAGTCTTTTTTCGCTTGTCGAGTTCCACTCTCACGCATCATGTCTCAATAGCACGTAAATGACGACGTAGTCCGCATGCTTGTAATCAAAGACGACGACGTAATCCCCAATGCTCTAATCCTGAAACGATACCACATAATCCTAATGGGATACAGCAGATTCATGAAAGAGGACGAAAAGGGTGGATTTGACTTCTTGGGAATCCCTCGTGCGTGCAGATGCCCGTATATTGGATCTACTCGAGCTGTCGACTGCCAATGCCTGGCCATATTTCGCAACATTTATGGAAGTGAAGAGTTGCGATACGAGTCGCCGTTGGTAAAGGTTCATGCCTTGAGACTGATCATCGATGAGGGGCATGTCGTGTCTGAGAAGCATTCGAGGGTTGTTAGTATGGCTAAGAAACTGAGTGTTGAGCGCAAGTGGATTTGTTCAGGTATGACAAAGAAAGCAGCGATGGACAAGATCGTACTATTGTTGCAAACTGACAAATTCCACTTTAAATTCTAGGAACACCATTACCAAACATGGCTGTATTGAATCGAGAGCGCGAGATTGTCGAAAAGCTGGATTTGGAAAAACTCGGTGGCATTTTAGACTTTTTGGATTTGAGGCCTTATTGTGATGTGTCCCGTAAAGGAATCAAAGGTGCAAATCTTCTACAGCAACGGTATTTCGTCCTTTTTGGCCCAGAACTGATAACGATTAGCTATTTAGGATGCTTCCGTGATGTCATTATGAGGCCTGTGCTCAATAAATCCACGACCGCATACGCCTTATTGGAGAGCTTGCTTGAGAATATCATGATTCGGAGTCGTACTGAAGATGTTGAGCGTGATGTGACGCGTAAGCATACCGCAACGTGACTTTTTTTTGCAGTGTGCTCACCCGTATCGACCATGTCCTAGTACCACCATTGTATGAAAGAGTCGTGAGTCTTCGATTGACCCGACTACAAGCACAGACATACAATTACTATGTTGCAATGGCCGCCTTAAACGCCGTTCTATCTGAACGTGAGCACCAAGACTATCTCCTCCACCCTCAGAACAGGCGTCACAGAAAGGTCACAGTCGACAATATTATCGAATGCTCCTTCTGGCGACCAGTTACAGGTGTCGACGGTATAGTCGAAGACTTGAATGCAGCTATTGAGAACGGGCAAGAAGGGTTATCCAAAGGTGGCAAATACTCTGATGATGATAGAGCATTGTTGCAAAAGACTGTAGATTTGTTGATTCAGGCTCGTGAAGATACGCAGTTTGTGATCCAGCAAAATCCAAGTGAAGTGAAATATTATATACAAGGTTGCTCAGAGGAGATTAAGGAGAAGTATCCGACTTTTGAGGTATCTGGTATGGATAATGTATCGCTGGCTGACGGAGACGTGCTAGAAGAGATGAGAAAATATTATATGGATCTTGATAAGAAGCTTTTGGTATCCGATGATGCCAAGATGGATTTAGACGAGCCTGACATCGACGATGTACCGAATCTGGAACTACAGGCATCACCGATATCGTCGTCGTCCTCTTCGCCAACATTATCAAACATACCACTCAACTTTGGAGCATCGTCGTCATCGTCTATAATGACATACAACAGTGATGTCTCGGACGAAACACGGCGATTAGGAGCCAAAATCACATCGACAGCTAGCTCAAAGCTCACGTATCTCGCAAACAGTATTCTCAAATACTCCAGTACGGACAAGATCTTGATTTACTCGAATGTGCATAATGAAGTTGCTTTCCTGCATCAGTTTTGTAGGCTAGCACGAATACCGTGTTTGTTGTATCATCGTAGAGGAATGGTAATGTGTCTGCTTTGATGTCAATAGTTTGACTATCCGGCTTTTTTTGGCTCACACCCCGTCGCTCGTCTTAGACGGTCGATGAACGGTCCAAGAACATTGCCCTTTTCCAAACCTCTGATTTCGTGAGAGTCATGTTGATGGATATTCGGATTGGTGCTTATGGTATTGACCTGTCTACTGCGGTAAGTGACGCAACATGGTTAGACCCCCCCCCCCCCTCCCCCAAAAAAACCCTCGTTGCACAATCCAACGTATCCAACTCACGATGGCCTTCCAACTCCCAATAGTCTCGAGTCTATTTCACATCCCCCATCTGGCAACCAGACGTAGAACGTCAAGCAATCAAACGTGCACACCGTATCGGCTGCAAGAAGCCAGTCTACATCGAAACGCTAGTCGCCAGTCACTCCTTGGAAGAAGAAATCCTCTCAATCCGATCTGGAATGTCTGCTACGAAATCCACATCGAAATCCGTCTATGATGACGGTCTACGCACGAAACTCTTGGAAATCTTCAAGTATATTGATTATGACAAAACAGATACCGTGGAGTTGTTTGAGACTCCCATACCGGCGTTTCCGAAAGCTACTCCGCCGCGGAAAATGGTTGTTGATGAGGAAGGGGATATGGATGTTACTGGTGGTGGTGGTAGTAGTAGTCACAGTAATGATCCATTACGTGATTTCGCTGGAGTCGATTTGTATGATCCGAATGTCCCTCTCCTTGGTTTCAGAGCCATGTGGGTAAACTCGCATGGTAACCAATCTGATGATGAGGACAGTGAAGATGGGCTTGATATTGTGAATGGTGGTGGTGTGGGAGATAGTTCCGGGAATGTGGTCTTGTCGCAACGTGATCCAAAGTCAATCAAGCCTGGTCAGATGTATTTGGTAAGAGGAAGCTCATGGTTTCAAAGCACCATTTTTTTCTCATTACAAATTCTATCTATCGTCAGGTTGGAGGAGCACATACAGACCAAGAAGACAGGACCAAATCACCACGTAAACGACCACAAACTATGATCGACGGCACCATCACAGCCCATCTCCCCAAACGAAGACGAACCACAATTCCACTGAAACCTCGTAAGAAAAAAGCAGCCGGATCACCCAAGAAGACGGCAGGGGGTATGGATATAGTGAGGAGAGCCTTCTTGGACTCTTCTGACAAGAGGAAGCAGCAGCTGGAAGCTGAAGCGCAAGCTTCACAGCTACAAGCGGAAGCTGAAAACACAGTTGAATTGGAAGATACGCTAGATCATCACGTAGATGATGGTGGCAAGGAAGTATTGGAATCAGTTGATGAGGTGGGAGGTGGAAAGAGGGTGAGATTTGCTGATGAGTTGGCACCACGGCTTGAGAGAAGACGCGTCAAGTTTGCCGATGAAGAGGAGTTGGATGTATAATAGTGGTTTTGTATAGCCAAGATAGTTAGGAAATAGTTAAAAATATAGTATATTATCATCAGCAGAAGCATCCACACCAGCATCCACACAGTTCGTCAAACCTCCGTCCATCCCAATCTATCCTTCCAAACATTTTTTTCGCAGTCAAGATTGTTGGTGAAACGGAAAGCGACAATGCCAAAGATAATATCAACTTCTATAGTCAGGTACGAAGTTGCACCTTCTTTCTTGCTGTCTGCATCAGCTTACACTTCTCTAAAGTGCTCAGGAAAAAACAGATCGAACATCAGACAGAATCAGAGTGCTTTACTGTCGATTCTGTGGCGAGTTTATACTTATTTTGGGTACGCAACGAGACTTGCCACTTTGCAATGGCTCTCGTTTGTCTCTTCTTCTGTATCTTCAACGACATCTCGCTCAACATTTGCTTTTGAACAGATACTGATCTAGCACGACTACCAACGAGGAAAACAGATTCAGCTCACATAATAAACATGTCGACGAGGGCATGCAAGTGGAATTATTCAAAGAATGGAGCTGTGAAGATCCTCAAGAGGTATGTTAAAGTGCTGAAGAGCTCTATGGTTGAGGAGTTTGTTGACTTTTTTGGTTCATCTACATTAGGGAAGGAGGATATGAGAAGCAGTTTAGGAGATCGTGTCCTCGGTGTCAATTACCGGTGGCATACACGACTGTGGACGACAAGGCACCTGCTTTTTACTACATCATACCAGATTCCCTGACAGACCAAGACCCAAACCTCAGTTGAAATGGTTTTGACTCGACTACTTATATTATTATTAGAATGGATGCAAATGTGTATGTATATATTTTGTCACCACAAATCTACTTATATAGCACTAGCCTGCTGTTGTTTTTGTTTGGCTTCCTCCACCCTCTTTCTCAAGACAAACACCTGAGCTTCCAAAGCCTGTATCTGCATATTCAACTTCTTGCGATACTCGATATCCAGAGCATTCGCCAGTGGCGACGCCCAAGCAGGAAGCGTGACATACTGGTTTAGTTTAGCAGACGCCCAATCCATTCCATCTCTCAATGGATCCCACGAGTACGACGATGGCGGCATAACAATATTATCATCTTCCTTGCTACGATAAAACGTCTCTTGCCGTCTCCACCATCGATCACGCACAGATGAATCCGTGGTATGGTCAAGCCCAACCGATCTCCTCCAGTCCGCATACCCCACATCCTGCTTCCACCTCCTAAATGACGTAATCCCCATCTGTCCCAGCCCGGCAAGGCCACCATACATGATGATTCCAGCAGGAATTGCCATGTATCCTCTCCACATATACCCCAAGCGACTGCCGACAATGCTTCCCGCGAGCGTGCTAGCTATGAATTCATCACGACCTAGTCTATGCCATGGGGACTCGCCGTTGTGGGCCTTGATCTCTTTGCGATAGAGCAGGATGGCTTCTCGTAGTGTGTAGAAGGGGACACCGATTAATGTCCAGTTTGCACCCATGTTGAACGCGTAGGATAACTTGGAGAGACCGCGGATTTCTCCGTAGAGGGCACCGAGAGATGCACCAAGGGCTGTCGTGCATGATGAATATAGGACAATCTTTTGGATGCTGAATGTTACGATTTGGGTCATGTTGTCGTCTATTACGGGCTGTTCTTCCTGGTTTAAGGCCATGGTTCCTATTATAATAGTGATTTATATACGATTTAGCTTATTACGCGTTCTTTATACTCTGAAAAAGCTTCTGCTCGTTGCTCTCCGTCCAACTTGCGAAAACCCAGAGTTTGCGTGTCAGAGTTTGGTCAGTGTCCAAGTAAGAGAGTGTAGAAACTGTCATAGGAGTTGGATATGGATTTCTTGGATTCGCTTCCAGATGATAGGCGAGAAGCCCTTCTCAACTTTCAGGTATGCTAATATAAACTCAATCTTTGACAGTTTGAAATCTTGATCGTCTTGCAGCTGACACTCTAATCGATGTAGTCTATCACGGGCATGGACGACCTAGATAATATATTCAAAATACTCGATTCCCATGCTTGGAACCTTGAGGTTTGCCCTTGTTTATTGTCAACTGGTGGGATCACATCACAACGCACAAAACACTCAATATCTTTCATATATACAGGCCGCTATACAGTCCGTATTCGAAGAGCCTCGGTCTTCTCAGAGTACACGAGATCCATTGGATGTGCCGGAGAATGGTCAACCGTCATCGTCTTCTGCCTCATCGTCAAGAGTTGCTGCTAGTCGAGCACCCCCTGTCCCAACACGACTACATGCATTAAACAACAATCCCTCTCCGTTCTCTGTATTCACCCTGCTCTTCTTGCCATTCACCATATCGTACAAGATTGCGTGGGCTGTTCTTGCATTCACAGGTGAGGTCAAGCATATTCTAAGAGGTCGCATGTTAGCAGTCACATTAACATATCCTTCACTTCTTTGTTTCAGTGTCTCTCTTCCCATTCACTGCTCATCTCCTACCGAATCGACGAGCTGTAACATCGTCTTCATCAACACGTCGTCCAATATCAAACGATACACAGGCAGCTGCAGCTAGATTCCTCTTGAACTTTGAACAGGCGTACGGAACTGCACATCCTGAATTCTTCCAGGGTACTTACTCACAGGCACTGGAACACGCCAAGAAGGAAGCTAAATGCCTCTTGGCTGTATTGCATTCTGAAGATCATGATGATACTGAGACTTTCTGCAAGTATGTGTGGTGCAAAGTCTGCCATTTTTCGGCACTATAGGCGCTTTTATTCGTAATCATCATTGATGCGCTAGCGGGAGTTTCCTTTCCAGTACTCACAGCATTCCTTCCAAACCTTCGCTACAGGACTATATTGACTGCTGATGCATTCACTGCATTCATAGTAGAAAAGCAAGTTATATTGTGGGTTGGTGATGTGCGTGAAGAAGAGGCCTTTCAAGGTATGAGTCGTATGTATCTAATTTTTTGCGTTGTGCTAACTCTGCCTCCGAACTCAGTGAGCCAAGTGCTGGCAACCACTAGGTATCCATTCATGGCACTGATTGCATTGCAAGGCTCTCGAATGATTGTAGTCGATAGACTAGAAGGTATGCTCAGTGCTTCACCCATCATTCTAGCAACGAAACAAACGCACCCTAGGCGACTTTTAATCGACTTGAGCTCGTGTAGGACCAGCAACACTGGATACCTTACTTGAAAAGCTACATCGTCTAATGGCTCGAGTTGAACCTCAACTGGTCGCAATTCGAGCGGAACGTTCTTCTCGTGAATCTGCCAGAACGATTCGACAACAGCAAGATGAAGCATATCAAGCTTCACTACGTGCAGATGAGGAAAAGGAGAGGCAGGCTGCTCAAGCTGCTGAAAGGGCTAGACGAGAAAAGGAAGAGGAGGAAAGAGCTGAGCAGTTGAGGATGCAAAAGATTCAGGTAAAGAGAGCAACAGAGATGTTTGTGTCTCAGCATTCGACATCAATTCCAGCTTACCTATCTTTATTTCCTGTAGGAAAAGAAGCATCGACGAGCGATGTTAGCTGACAAGTTACCGCCAGAGCCTCCTATGAATGAACCTGTTCAAGCTAAAATCAATGTTCGATTACCTAATGGTGAACGAGTTTTGAGAAGGTTTAGAGGAACCGACAAGATAGAGGTGACTAGTTGTGCAAAAAAGCTCGAAAATTTGTCTCGATATTGAAGCTTGGATCCCAACTATCTCTTCATCTGTAGGCACTGTTTGCATTCATCGGAGCAAAGGACTTGGCACCCATCCCTCCAGAAGCTGATTTTGTGCTGGCATCTACCTATCCTAGGAGATTGTATACCGACGGTCAACAGACAATTCAGGAAGCTGGACTTGTACCTAATGCCAGTCTGGTAGTCGAAGAACAGGAATCAGATGATTGACAGATCGATTGTGATATGCAGTGTCAGTGTATAAAGAACCCTTCTTACTCCTCCTCCCTCAACAATAACATAAACTGTCGTGTTACGAAATTGTTTCGTTCTTGAACAATAAACCCTTGTAGAAAGTGAAGATTCGTGCATGCAGAATGTAGTTATGGGTTCAGACTGGTCTTAAACTATTATTTGTGCTGCTGACTATCGTTTTTTTAAAAAACTATTAGCTTACATTTGCCAAAGGGATTGACATACTCATTATCTCACTCTATGAAGTATGAACTACTTAAAAATTTCTTCCAAATACTGGAAGAGCATGCTTGGAATCTAGAGGTATGCCCTTGTATGGTTTCGTTTGGGGAATCACATCAAAATAACTCCATCGTGTAATAACTATAGGCTAGGTCAGCCATTATCTCCATTGGCCTCATGATCATAAGTCGCTGTTGATCGAGCACCTTCTGTACCACCAGAACTTTTATGGATTAAGCAACAATCTCCCTTCATTCTCTGTCGCCACTGTGCTCTCCTTCGACTCATCTTCTGCCGCATCTTCGTCGAGAGTGGCTGCCGGTCGAGTGTATTTGTGTCAACACGACTTTACGATGTCATCGCTCTGCTCCTCTTGCCATCCACTACATCGTACACTATCGCGTGGGCTGCACGCATAGGTGGTTACAATCAAAAAACTTTGTTTGTATATTGCCATGCCGACGCTTACCACTATCCCCGTCTTTCGCTCTAGTCTCTCACTGGCCATCCACAGTTCACCTACTCCCGTACCAATGAGCTGGAACATCACCTTCGTCCGCACGTCGCCCTATTTCAAACAATGCACGAACAGCTGCAGCTAAAACTTTTTTGCACTTTGGACCGGCGTATGGAACTAGGGCCTTTGAAATCTTCCATGTACTTTCTCACAAGCATGGGAACACTCCAAGAAAGAAGCTAAATGTGTACTTGCTATAGCAGTTTCTGAAAATCATAGCGATACTGAAACTCATTGCAAGTATGGATACTCTCTGTGTGCTTTTTTTGCACGACTGGAACTATTTCTTATCAGGATTGGTTGCCTTCACAATACATTACTCACACTTGGTTTCAAATCCATCTTTGTAGAACTGTGCTGACAGCCGATGCTTTTACTGCTTCAAAGTAGAAACACAGGTTATATGTGTCGGTTGGTGGTGTGCGTAAATAAGGGGCTTTTCAGAGTATTCAAAATCCTCTGGCATCGATTTTTTCCCTGGCAGTAATTCCCTCTCGCGGTCTAGTACACTGAGCCAAGTAACCATTCCTGGCACTGGTCGCTCTGCAAACTTCTCAACGATTGTAGTCGATAGACTAGAAGTTGAGTCTTGGTGCTTCTCCAGCAAAAAAAAAAGATTACTTACTTAACTATGATTCTCGTGCAAGACTAACAACACTGGATACAATTCTTGAAAACTTACACCGTCTAATGGCACGAGTTGAACCTCGACTGGTCGGTGCAGACGAGGAGGAGTAGGCTGCTCCAGCTGTTGAGACAGCCAGACGAGATCAGGAAGAGGCACAAAGAGATGAGAAGTTAAGAATGCACAAGATTCAGGCAGGATAGAATCAGACTGTGATGGCTTTCGAGTATACTGTCGCAGGCCATTTTTTGCGTGGCTGGAAATCGACGAGCCATGTCAGGTGACAAGGCACCAGCAAAGTCTCTCCTGAATGAACTTAGTCAATCAAAAATCAATATTTATTTACCTAATGGTGAACGAGCATTGAGAAGGGTTGGAGGAACATGCAAGAAAGAGGTGAGATTTTTGTATCAAAAAAAGTCGATTCTCTGCATTGCAAATTGTAGGACCCGGTATCCCAACTATTTCCTCATATACAGGCACATTTGGCACTCATCAGAACAAAACATATGGTACACATCGCTCTAGATTTGGTGCCAGTTTCCTCCTATTCAAAACGATTATATCTAGACGGTCAACAGACTATTCAAGACGCTGGACTTGTACGTGATGCCAGTCTAGCAGTTGAAGGGCAGGAATCAGAGAACTGACAGGTCGCTTTTGATATGCAGTACTGTTTGAGAACCCTTGTACTGCATCCACAATAGCGTACAATCGTTTTGTGAAGTTTTCACAATCTACCCGAGTAGTGAAAGTGAAGATGAATGTATTTGTCGTGTTGTGAGCTATTACAGACGGTTCATCGAGATCCATCATGCCAACGAAAAGATTTTTTTTTTGCTCAAGGGGTACATATTAAGGTTTTTGTATTATTTACAGACAGGCACACTCATTACTCATTCTATCACACCAGTTATCACTCTATAAGTCGTTTCTTTACATTGAATTAATATTAAGGCTCTAAATGCGATCTCATGCTAGTAATGTAGTATAAATAAGTTGTTAAATAACCAAGACTAGCCATACTCCGAAGACACTTTCGAAGTATCATTCACCCTAGCACCACTACCAACCTACTACAACCTAAAAGACCACCTTTAAGCCTCTCTAGTTACAAAATCACCCAACGCCATAGGGCACTTGAGCAGCCCATTAACCCGTTTCCCATCAGACCCTCTCAACCCCTCATACTGCACAATACTCAATCTCTGCACTCCATTAACTCCAGCATCCTTCCCAATACGTCTCCCAACAAATTTCTGAATTGCCTGTATGCTGATTTCCTCTACATAGCAGCATAATACAAACCAAGTGAGGTTTGGCATGATACCAGCTGCATTCCACTGTTCAAATATATCATCGTTGAGTGATAAGAAGGTACCTAATTCCAGACGACGTAGGTTTACGAGGCATTTAGCTAGATCGAGGAGTGCAGATTCGTCACTCATGTGGCAGAAACGTAGGCGTAAGTAATCGAGATTTTCAAGGCGGGGTATGATTGCCATGATGCTTTCCTGAGTCCAGTTCCAGCACTTGAGGGTTTTTATAGGTGATTTTATATCGGATGCTACATTATCGGTGGTGAAGAATCTGGCAGGTGTGAATGGATTGCTGGCATATACTTCGATTGATACTAGACGTGGGAGAGGGAAGCTTACGAGGTCGGCCAGGAATAGTCCATCCAGTTTGGGGCAAGATTGGATTGACAGCTCTTCCAGATTGGGACATTGGCGAATGAATTTAAGCAGTTCTTCATCTGTCATTAGGACACGTACAAGTGTCAGTCGTTTTAGTGAGCTCCATTCGTTGTTCTTTGCTGTAATCATAAGACGACCTGCTTCAAGACGTAGTTCTTCCAATTTGCCGAGCCCGGCATCTGCCCATTCCGTCAGCATCCTAGATGTAATCAGCCCAAAATCAAATATGGATAGCCTCCTCAGACATGACAGTGCTGTGAATACAGTTGGACAACCCTGAGCAAAAGCAAAAGCCCGACTAAGTGGTTGATCAAGTTCTAAATCCTTGACCCTCGGCATGGTTTTCAATAGCGCTTCAAGCGTCGTGGCCATGAAGAAATCTTCATGGTTATCAAATTTCAGTTTAAAGCGTTCCAATACCGGCCATTGGACATTGGCTTCTACTAGATCCTTGAGCCACTCTGCAGCTGGAATAGCAAGCTCCAATCTCTTGAGCTTCTTACATACTTGCTTCATCCCATTTATAAATTGAGGTACATCCCATGAGCTAGACAGCTTACTCAGTTCAAGCGACTCGATACGGTGTGCTTGCGACAATACAGAGTCCAATGACGATGTACTAGTGTATGAGAACTTCACATGTCGGATTCCCTCAGTGGCATATTCAGGTAAGGGCTGAGTCTCCAATGCCAGAATCAGCTTCTCATCATTTTTAATAGTTATGTTCTGGTAGAGGAGCGGCAAGACTAGATGTGGGAGTCTCTTTGACGCTGTTCCAAAACGAGCTAGAGCTGAAGTTGGTGGGAGATAGTGGGCGATATCGAGGATTGTTTCGTTGGGGAGGTCTTTCAGTTCGTATGTATGAGAGGCAGAGGTGCGTGCGGCACTCAACATGATTTTGATCTAAAAAATGGCATGATAATCAAAAAGTGTTAAGTTTATGGTTCCTTGGTTTAATGCATAGGATGGATAGATCGTGATAGATCCCATACCTGAAATCACTTTATTAAATGCGAAAATAGTTTGGAGATGTTTAAGTCTCTCGTTCGTGCCTTGATCGTCTAAAAGATCATGTCAACAACCTTGTGAAGAATTTTCAAATGGTGGATCAAACGACTTTACCCACCTGAAGGGGGGCGCGTGATCGATGTCTGCTATTTAGCGATAAATAAAATATATATGCAAATAGCAAAGGTCTCTACTAACAGACCTTGGCTTTCTAGTATGCGAATAGATAACGGAAATCGCATAGGCTTTGAGTTCATATCAAAGGGCCGCGCTTTTAACTCACACGTGAAACTGACAATATTTGGGGATATAACGCGATTTAAACACGTATTATATCATTACGTTACTGACCATACTGTTCTGACTGTTCTCTTGGAGTTATAGACACAACCCAGCGTCCAAACCTCAGATCCCCTTTTACGGTCGTGGCACACGTTTATCATTCAGGATCACATTCTTAAGGCTAGGAAAACGGTCAGATGTCCATAAACAACTCACATCTGTCCTCGTCTCAACAAATTCAGATTCAATATCGAGATATTCCAGGTTTGGCATCACAACTGGCAATACATTTAACGGAGAGTCTCCACGACACGTATCCCGAATAGTGAGGTTCTTGACTGTCTTAAACAGCGGCAGCACGTGTCCTAAATCCTGTACAGACCACTCCTTCAGCGTCAGGGATCTAAGATTACTTTTATGGTGGCAGGGAGATGTTGATTTGTCATCACTATATATAAGGTGCGTTTTCGGCGAGAATGGCAGGCCCCTGCTATGATCCGTTATAGATATTGACGTCAAACATGGCTGGTATAGCAGTTCGGATATAAACGAGCCAGTCAGCCCACTAAACACTGTAATTGTGAATGCTTCCAGGCCTATACACAGTCGCAGCAGCTTTACGAGATCGTGGTCGGTTATGTTGAGTTCAGATATACTTAATTTTTTTAGCCGTGGTGGCATACAGGCCGTGTTTTCATTGATTCCTACCAGTCTGCCTAAACCGAGCTCCAAGTGAGTCAAACAAGGCAGCCTGAGATTTACACATTCGACTAGTTCAGTGGCACCCCACACTGTTTGAGTCGATCCTGCATTTACAGCCAGTTTGGTTATCGTGTTTACAGGTGGGAAGATGGTTTGCAAATCTCCAGTTCCTTCATTCATGTGAAGATGTAGCTCCTTAAGAGCCGGCATGCTCTTCAGAATGATGGATAAGCTCTCTGGATCTGTTCTTTTCATTATGAGGGCGAGGTGTCGTAGTTGTTCGAATCGCTGAGCGTGCGAGACTACAGAACGCAAATATTCCCATTCTTCTTCTCGGACCAGCATTTCTAGCCTGCGTAGTTTGCTCATAATGTTTGTCTAAGCAAGAATATTTGTTAGGAAAATGATATAGAAGTTCACTGTATGCACGCGCTTACCATCATAACACCAAAAGCAGCAACAGTGAGACCAGTACGACCAATAAGCAACGCCTCTTGCAGATTCCAGGAATTACACATCACATTATGCAAACAATTGAACCTCGAATGGTCCATCTCGACGTAAACAATCTGGCGACATCCTTCCCTAATATATGACGGCAAATGGCCCCGTAACATCTGTCCCAGCCGTGGATTGAAATGCACATCACTAGATTGAATGATTTCGTATGCCTTTGGTAGCACTATCGTCGACATTTTCTTGCACGTTAGACCGAATCTGACGAGACATCGTTTTCGCGACAGATTTGATGCGATTAATCCGATTATTTCATTGGGCATGGTCCATAGTGTTGGGACGTCAGACACGGTTGTAATCATCTTATAGATGAGAATCAAGTTAGCAACTGTCTTGTCGGCGTGAGGGAATGTATCGAAACCTCACTTTTCAAATCACGTGTAGGGTTTTAGACGGATTCCAGTAATAGAGGTGAGGTTTAAGAGAGTAAAAATGACTTTGTAAGGGTGCTTGTATGGATATACGACAGTTAAGCTTTACCAAAGTCCGTTGTTTGAACTGCTCGCATTGTCCTTTTGGTGAAAACGAAACAACATTGAGAGAAACAAGAAACGGACGTAGAAAACATTTTGAAAGTTTATGGAATGTCTATTCACGTGTATTTACAAGCACCCCAGCTAGACCCGGTCCGATACAGTCACTTGGATCTCGGGGAAAAGCTCAATACATTAGAAAATCTCAAAATCCTCGATTTTGGATTCCTTGCTGCCATCTACGTTTCAAGGTACACCACTGAAGCCAAAGACGCTCTCTGAGACACTTTAACTCGACTGTCTTTCTGTTAAAGAGGAGCGACCGTCAAGTGAAAGAAATCAGACTCGATCTCCCAAGTTTTGCTTGCAAAAGCAACAGAGTTTCCAGGGAACGACGTGACGTGGCACGTTTCAAAGCAAAAATCCCATGGGTTTGGATTGTCAATAGTATGGATGTACCTCCTCGTGTTTCCAAACTTTACGTCATAGCACTGCCATCCGTGTGTATTTCCTTGCAACTCTCCACGAAGACTCCAAATCACCAAATCACAGCGATTACTTCACGTAAACATGAGTCTACAAGGTCAAGACGATCCAAATCTCTTCAACTTTACCTTCGACCCTGAGAAACTCAGGGCAAAGTACATCTATGAGCGTGACAAACGTCTCAAAGATGAAGGAGCTAGTGTAAGATTGTTGAACGAACGCATTGGAACAATCGAAGGTGTGGGATCTAACACATTTTGAACATGTAGCAATATATAGTTGTTGAGGAAGAGGGAAGCCAGTTCTCCCACTACACAAAGGACATCCATACACCACCATTTGTATGTTACATGAGTCACTAGCCAGCACAATGTCTGATCCAAACGATACTTACGTATATAATTGCTAGGTTCGAGATGCCATGAATATCGAGACCGATGTTCTCATTCTCGGTGAGCATTGATCTCGCTATTGTTACACATCGACTCCACTCCCACGATCTGTGATCTAACCCCATTTACTTAACAGGTGGTGGATTTGGAGGCCTATACTCTGCAGTCAAGTTACAGGAAGCTGGTGTCACTGACTTCAGGATTATTGAAAAGGCTGGAGGATGTGAGTTCGTGTTTTGTGAAACTTTGGTGAACGGATCACGTACTGACTCTATCTTGTAGTTGGTGGTACTTGGTATTGGAACCGCTATCCGTACGTTGCTGATCTAAAGGACCCGATGAAATGCATCTGTTTGTCTCACAGCTGAAGTGTTTTTTTTTAGCGGTGCAGCTTGCGACACTGAATCTTACTGCTACGTACCTTTGCTTGAAGAAACGGGATATATACCAGTCGAGCGATATACCCGTGCTCCCGAAATGCTTGCCCATTGTGAGAGAATCGCTCAAAAATGGGACTTGCATCGTCGTGCGATTTTCCAAACGACCACCAAAGATATGGCTTGGGATGAAGAAACTGGACGATGGATCTTGAAGACCAACCGTGGCGATGTTATTCGGGCTAAATATGTTGTTAGTTCTGCTGGACCTCTGCACAAGTTGAAGCTCCCCAACGGAGTTGTGAGTTCAAAGCTTTTTTTTCTTGAACCGCATTATATCATTATTGCTGAGCGATATGCTGACATATTCCTTGCCATCCTCACCAAGGGTATTGATAAGTTTAAAGGACACTCGTTCCACACTGTGAGCTTCTACGTTGAAGGCGTTTTTTTTGTACCGATTTCGTCACCGTTGCTGCTGCATTCTGACAGAGTTCTCACCCTCAATCTAGTCACGATGGGACTATGAATATACCGGAGGCTCTTCGTATGGTGATTTGCATAAATTGAAAGACAAACGAGTCGCTATTATTGGAACTGGCGCGACGGCGGTTCAGGTAACACCATTGGATATTGGATGCTGAAATGTTGCCGAGTTGCTAAATCGTGTTGCTGGTACATTAGTGCATTCCATATTTGGGTGCTTCTGCAAAACAACTGTTTGTCTTCCAACGCACCCCATCATCAATCGATGTCCGGGCTAATCGCAAGACTGATCCTGAATGGGTCAAGACACTCCAGCCGGGGTAACCGATCTCCGTCTTTTCAATTCGTATTTGTGATTCTTCTGTGCTGACTTTTGACAAAAATAGATGGCAAAAAGCTCGCCGCCGCAACTTTGGAATCCTGACTTCTGGCGGTGAAGCCGATGAAGATTTGACCAAGGACGGATGGACACAAGTCTTATCTGAAATATTGGCTATGAAGCGATCCAAGGATCCTAAACGTAAAAACTTCAAAGAGAAGGATTTGCTGCAACTTGCGGATTACAGGAAGATGGAGATGATTAGGTATGGGTTATGTACGTGGGCTCGGGCCTTATGTGATGCGTTCAATTATCCAATTCAGTACAGTTGTGACTTTTTGTTCACAGAGAAATTTTCTGTTTTCTTGTAGAGCTCGCGTTGACTCTATCGTAAAGGACAAGAAAACTGCTGAATCGTTAAAGCCGTACTACAATCAATATTGTAAACGACCCTGTTTCCATGACGACTACCTTCCAACCTACAACTTACCAAACGTGAAATTGGTCGACACTGATGGTAAGGGCATTGACAGAATCAGTGAAAAGGGGGTGGTTGCAAACGGTGTAGAGTACGAAGTTGACTGCATCATCTGGTATGTGCCATGCATTGCGTTCAGAAGTTTGATAGCTCGAGTGGTTTGATGTTGATTCTCGTTTCATTCCAGGGCTACCGGCTTCGAAGTCTCGTCAGGCTTTTACCGTACTGGTTCTGCCGGTTACAACATTACTGGACGCAACGGCGTCACATTGGACCAACATTGGTCGAAGGGAATGTCGACACTTTACGGCATGCTTACTCGAGGCTTCCCCAAGTGAGTGCTTGTCAACTATCCGGATACCAGAACTCGATTGCTGACAATCCAACCATCTAGCTACTTTATGATTCAAAACAGTCAAGGTGGTCTCGGCGCAAACTTCACGACCAGCATAGATGACATGACCACTTGGGCCGTTCAATGCATCAAGATGTGTGAACAAAGAGGATTAGCTACTGTTGAGCCTACGGCTCAGGCAGAAAAGGACTGGGTGGATACCATCTTGAAGACTTCTATGCTCAGGAAGTCCTTCTTGGAGTTCTGCACACCAGGGTATGTTTCTAGTCTGTATTCAACCAAATCTCATCCGCTAACAATTTTCATCCAGATACTACAATTTCGAGGGCAAGAGCGATGAAGCTGACTCTCGAAACAGTGTGTATGGCCTTGGACCCGTGGCCTTTGGTGACTTGCTTGAAGATTGGGTAAAGGAAGGACGAATGAAGGGCTGTGAAGTCACGAAGCGGCCTGAAAGCAGCAAGCCTGCTGCTCGTTTGTGATTTGAAAAATAGTCTGGATTGTGTCTGAACCGCTTGAACTGGAGTGTTATGGTCAAGGAACAAATTGTATAAGAAAATTTATCGAATTAAATGACTGAAACTTGACGTGATAAACACGTGTACTTCATTGTGCTTCATTGCGCTTCATTGGTTGTTGTACCTGATCGTCTGTATAGTACCCGCAGTTTCCGACAACAACAAGGAGAAGAACAGGCCTACACGACGTTGAATATAGTTGGTTCAGCTAGCAAGTCGTGGACTGTATTGCTGTGAGTGATTAAACTCTTGACAAAGAGCTTACGTGTAAATGTTGGCTGAAGAGGATTGTCAAGGCTATGCAGACCTATGCAATAAGTTTCGCTAAATTTGGATTATGCAATAAACTCAGTTCAACGGGAATGCTCTCGTCGCTATCGAACTGACCGTGAACGTTCGTTCAATGCAACGAGTGAGTAAACTATCAGCGCCTTGGATTGTTTTACAAAGAATCAAAATGCTCGATGAAGGCAGGAATTGTGCGTAGTTTGTACCACAATTACGACGAAATCATACTAAAATTATATATCTGGCCGTCCAGCCGATGTAATTCATTGAGTGTCCCGCTGGACGGCTCCTTGAAATGTTGAGCGTTGAGGTTTGAGTTTTCGATGAGATTCGACAGACTTTTAAACTATTTTACGTGTCTAGAGATACGGAAGGCCTTTAAAAAGATATGCGACACGAGATTATTGCGTCCTTACATTCCACGTATTACCTATGGACGTCGTAAAATCCATATAAAAGCTCTCAACATCCAAAACTCAAACGAGCATAACAGAGAGTATAGGGACGAGGACGAGAGAGACATGGAGTACCAGCTATGTAAGCCCTTTATACAAACATTCTGTTCGCTTCAATTCCCCACTCTAACTCATCATTTGTTCAGACCGTGCATCCTCCATCGGAATGTCCCTAACAGAAACTCTCGATGCCATGGTCACTGCCGGACAAATCGACCCAAAAGTACCCATAATGCAATCAAATACACAGTCTTGTGCTAACTGTATTCACTCTTGACATAGGCAGCAGTCCAAATGCTAACGCAATTCGACAAATCAATGACAGAAGCCCTGCGCTCCAAAGTGACATCGAAAGCACAACTAAAAGGACATTTGCATTTCTATCGCTTTTGTGACGATGTTTGGACTTTTGTTATCAAGGACTCGACGTTCCGTATGGAGAATGAAACGCTGGCTCCTGTGTCTGATAAAGTCAAGGTATGAGGCTGACAGGGAGATGTGGTGGGACGAAACGGATTATTGATATTTTGTGCTGTACTAGGTTGTAGCATGCAGTTTCAAGCCACCTTCTGCCCCTGGTGGATCAAAGGACGAGTAAATCATCACGTTCATGATGTGATCTTTTGGGAATCACGCTCAAAACGCCTGTACAAATAATTGATAAACGCAACATTATATGAATATACAGATCTCATTACAACGTGTTGTCGTGTGTTTGTCAAGTCACTCCACACATTGTTTCTCTTTACTCCTTTTTTTTGGCAGTCTCAACAGCCCAGTCAAGATGTCGGAAAAGAGCGAGTCGCCAACAGACAGGAAGTTTTCTGAAGCCGATCATAAATTCATGAAGCTGGCTCTCGTACAGGTATGCTCTGCATCGACGTCACAGAGCTTTTCTTCATCGAAGCTTGCTGAACATCTAACAACATTTGGGAACATAGGCACAAGAAGCCTTCGACCACACCGAAATTCCAGTTGGCTGCATATACGTCCTCGACGGAAAAGTGCTCGCCCAAGGACGCAACAGAACAAATGAAACATTGAATGTAAAAACTCATCTAGCAGTCTTACTATCACACTTTTTTTAACCCTCGTAACCTCATAGGCAACAAGACACGCTGAATTCATCGGCATAGACACAATCCTGAAATCTCATCCAACAGCAATCTTCCCAAACGTGGACTTGTACGTTACTGTCGAACCATGCTTGATGTGCTCGTTCGCTTTACGACAGTTGCAAGTACGACGAGTGGTTTTTGGATGTGCTAATGATCGGTTTGGAGGTTGTGGGAGTGTTTTTGATGCTCATAGCTTGTGAGTGGCGTGTGTTGTGATGTCTGCCAAAAAACGGCACTGTCCATAGACTAATTGGTGTTTTGTAGGCCATTGGATCATCTACCGCCGTATTTCGCTGAAGGGGGATTGTATCGTGAGGAGGCTATCATGATGCTGAGGAGATTTTATCTGTTGGAGAATGAGAGAGGTATGATCAAATCATCCCATTCAGCTCTCGTGCTTTCAGCTGACTGCTTTTCTACTTTAGCACCCGTACCACAGAGGAAATCAAACCGCGTACTGAAAACTGTCGAAGTTTTGCAGTAGTAGCAAACCTCATATTATGATGCTCTTGTTCGCTTTTGGCCTGGCACACACACCTTTGCTAATTTATAGTTGTATTATAGTTGTAGTTGTAGTAACAATGGCACTTTACAATAGCATGATATCGCATGAATCGTCATCTACTTGGTATTTACCCTCCACTTGTTTACACATTGTTTGTTGTCGTTATGGATAAATCTCCATCTTCTTCGGAGTGCGATTTGAGTAAGGACCTCAGAATAAATGCTGAAGAGGTGATACTCGAGCAAAAAATGTATCTAAAGAATTGAAGATACCTGATAACTCGCAACCCCCATCACTCAGGTTCACCTTTCCAGGATTTACCACCAGGCAATTACTATCAACACACCCTTTCATGATTTAAATAGTGCGTGCCTCCATATGTTTGATGATGGGGTGGTGATGCTTCTCACTGTTTGTCTAAAACGCAAGAAAAGAGATTATGGTGAATATAGTATGAAATTTGCTTCAGAAACGTCTCACTTGACTACCTTTGACATACCACACCCAGCCAATATCTTGGCTTTCGTCCCTTAACTGGGCAGCTGTATCCGCTTCACCAGTCGATTCCTCAACATCATCGACAGAATCCACGTTGCTGACACTTGGTATTCAAGTCATGAATCGCTGAAGTGATGGATGGCTGGATACGTGGAGTATGATGACGGAGCGTCAGAGAGTTGATATACTGTGTAGAAGGGGTAGTGAGTTGAGCAAAAACGACAATTGGATCGGAAGGATGTCTTTTGATACTGTACAAAAAGGTGGATACAGTTTGTTTCTGTCACGTTCTTTTCACAAGATTGGACTGGGTCACCTTTCGGAAGATCAGCCGCTCCACATCCAGAGTATCACGACACGACTCTGAACGTATGCCTTCACACATGTACGTCTTAGATTGTCGCATTTTTGGGCGAGGAGAGTGTTTTGTGATGATTCATCTGGCAAGGTATACTATCACTATGAGTATAGCCGGTTTTTGCTAAATGAGTACCAAGTCTTACCATAACATTCAAATACTGATTCAATAAATCAGGTACTCGATCTTCAAAACTTCTGTCCGTGTTGTTTGGAGCGACCAGTAGTGGACGTCTAGCCATTTTAATGCCTGATCATTAAGCAACTTTCTTTAAATATTCACATAAAGGGCTTCGTCACTCGTTGAGCAGCTCCAAACATTTTAAAACTTACAAGGCATTAGGATGCTGTAAGCATGCTCCTACGACGTCAATTCCTTCACGAATCTCGAAGGAAAGCAGCTACTGCAGCTATAGATCGTAGTCCTCAGTCTTTGAGAAGCGTATATGAGTCTATTTATGAATCTACGATGATGTGCTGAAGCTTGAGCTATTTTTTGCAGTAAGGAAAACTTCAAAAGTTCACTTGCCCGTTGATAGCGTTAGAGTAAACCACCCCTTGCACAGAATCCAGCTTCCACACAAATTTGCCAATCTCAAAACAGACAATATCAATAGTGGAAAATGAGATTCTTATTCACAGTAAAATGATATCACATATGTCATCAGCTTGCTGTTTATCTACACTTGTTTGTACATTGTTCGGTGTGGCCATGACCACATCGTCGTCTTCTTCTTGTGGTGCGATTTGTGGAAGGATTGCTACGTTTGCCAGTTGATGAGTGGTTCTGCACAAGGATGAATACACAAAAGGGCTCCATACCTGATAATTCCCAATCAGCATCACTCAGGCTCAAACTACATGGTTTGCCACCAGGTAATAAGCCTATCGGCACACCCTTCCATGGTTTCGATGGTGCCAGTTTCCAAATCTCTGATGATGGGATGCTATTGCTTTCACCGTTTGCCTTAAACGCGAAAAAAGTTGTCACTTTCTGCCCAAGTATGCTCTTACGATGACAGCTTGCTACCTGCAGTATATTACTTCCAACCAACTTGTTGGCTCTCATCCGCAACTCGGCAACTTCATCCACTTCACCAATCAATTCCTCCACATCATCGACACAATTCACGTCGCTTGTACTTGGTTGTGTAGATAGATACGTCATGAATGGTTGTAGGGATGGCTTTAGGGATGGGCGGAGTGCGATGATGGATTGTAATAGAGTTGGTGTGCTAGAGAATGGAGGTGAATGAGCAATAAAACGTGATAAAATAAAATGACAAGTTCAAACTTTCAAGGGCTCACAAGGTATTAGGATGTTGCAGACACGCTTCTATAACGTCTTTGCCGTCACGAGTGTCTCGAAGGATGTATGCCTTGAGGAGGTGTTTTGTCCATCCGACTAATTGGCAACAAAAGCGGGTGATCAACACAACCCGTTTGTTGTAGAAAACAATGTTGGCAACAAACACACAAATGTACCTGTCATTGTACTTGATGACCGTGACGGATCTACCAAAAACGATGGAATCGTCAGTCTTATCACATCTCTGTATACAACAGGAATTTTCGGCACTTACCATCCAGATCATGATACAAGACCAAACACAACTCTTCAAGACACTCAGGCATGGCGTTGTACACTCCTTCCAGTAACGGCGTCCATATTAATTCGTCTGTTCGCGTTATCTCATCTGATCTACAAGAACAAAAAACATATGGGTAAACAATGTGAATGGTGATCACAGTCAACGCAAATCGTACCCCTCAGACACTAGCAACCTAGCCCACTCAACATTCAGCGTATCACGAAACGATTCTGAATGTGTGCCTTCACACAATGTTTGGATTAGATTGTCGCGTGTTTGAGCGAGGAGGGTGTCTTTGGATACTCCATCTAGAAACGAATCCCATCACTTTAGTTACCAGCCTTTTTTGCTTAATTAGCGACAACTCTTACTTTCAGTAAGTTCAACCATAACATTTAAATACTGGTCCAATAAATCAGGCACTTGATCTTCAAAAGTTTCTGTTCGTGTTGTTTGAAGGGACCAGTAGTGGGCGTCTAGCCACCTTAGTGCCTTAGAATTCGGAATACATTAATGTACGTTTTTTGCATCAATTACATAGATGTGCGTTACCTGTTGAGCAGCAGCCCGCAAGAGCGACAAAGAAGGCAGCGATTCGTGCGTCGCAGCATGTCGCAAATCCACAATCCATAATGGAATACCAAGAGAATCAGCAACTGCAGCTACAGATTGCAGTCTTCCGGTTACTTGAGATGCATCCACTAGTCCGTTCACGAATCTACATATAACGTGCTAGATTAGCTTCAAGTTTTTTTTTGCAACGATCAAAACTCTGAAATGTCTCATACCTGATAATAGCCATAGAATACGTCAACCGTAGCGCAGACTCTGGCATGATATTATTACTCGTGTATTCAAGACAAGTGCATTCAGCTAGCATTGCAGTGACTTCGGCTGCATGGGGCACTTGGCCTCTTGAAGCCCATGATCGGATGAAGGAGGCGCCTCGGGATATGGATGTAGGGTCGAATGCTGGTGGATATAGGAGGGATTTGACTGTTTGCCATTCGTCAATGATTGTCCATGGAACTAAACGAGCTTTCATCGTTGTGCTTTTGTGTGTTGGAAGTGCAATGCGATGAACAAGACGTGTGCAATAGCGTTTATATCTTTTTCATTTTTACTTTACAACAAAACGATTACAGATAAAGATGTGCTTTTTTAGATTGGTTTGATCTAAGTGGGTGGTGTCGTGTTAGAAAGCTCAGCAAAAACTTGATGGACGAATAATGAGATTGAACCTTGAAATGCAAGGAGATGAGAGAAAACACGAGACACTTCAGATCCTGAATCAAGTAGTAAAAGACCCGTAGACCATCAGCATCTTTACAACTTTGTACATCATTCAGCGAGCCGAGTTTTGAGGTCTACACACAATAGAGTGTTAGCTCTTCGCATCCAAACCCAATGCGCATGTATAATACACGTACAGTGAATGAGATATGCTCATTTCCCATCACGACTTCGAGTTCTTGTCGTCCTACTCGATCTGGCACTGGCCATTGTTTGTCGTCTTCCCTGGGTTGTTGTGTATGTGTGAGCATTCTGTGTCCTCCGAAGAAATGATGGGACAACGTACTTCATGATTTCACTATCAGCTATAATCCTCTTGAGTTCGCCCATCAACGCTGGACTGACATACACTAGATTGAGCAAGATGTGTTTTTAATGTCTTGATGGTGCTCCATCCAATAACACAATCCAATACATAGTCCCATGCGCACCTTCTTTTCTAATCATGGAGTCATTCTTGTAATTTGAATTGTTTGCATATCGTAGCTTTCCATCTGGTCGAAACTCAAACTCGAGGAATTCATGACCAAACTTTCCCATGTGCCCGACACTAGTAGGGATAGAGTATTAGTACATTGGATTAAACTAACAGTATATGTATACTTACTAGTATCGTACGTAGAACTCGTCACTCTCTGTTGCCATAGCTTCTATTGTTTTTTGTGATGAATGATCGAAGCTACTGGAGAGAACCTTTGAGGTGGAGGAGAGAGATTCACGTTGATTCCGAATATATAAGTGCTTTCACCGACTGATACAGTGAACGGAACCAGTCAAACAACCGAAACCCGTACAGAAACCACGATCGCACTGAAATTAATCAGTTCAAAACAGGTTGAAGAACTTATAAGTGCATTACGCGTCGATTTACTTGAGGATATATTTACACTTGATATATCTACCGTCTTGCTATCTTGGAATACACGTGTACTGTGCGTTATCTTGTCTTCGTGTAGTCGACCTGACAGAGAGTTTAGACATGGCAGCCATGGGGAGTCTCTTTCGGTCAGAGGAGATGTCCCTAATCCAGCTATATATCCCACTGGAAATAGCTCAACCTACTGTCGCTGAATTGGGTGAAGTTGGTCTGGTCGAATTCAGAGATGTATGATTGTTTGCAAAATCTGTTTAATGCTGATGGCGATTGCACTATTGGATAGACAGCTATCAGACAAATTTATTGATATTATCTGTTGTGGCTCTATCTAGCTCAATCCAGATGTAAACGCATTCCAAAGGGCATTCGTCAATGAAATCAGAAGATTGGATGAAATGGAGAGGAAATTACGTGAGTGTCTCACGTTTCATGTGAAGCTCCAGCATTTTTTTTGCATATTTATTCTTATCTATGCAATATATTCACTCGTTCAAACCTAGGATTCCTACAAACACAAATCGAAAAGGCTACACTCCCCATACGTCCATTCACTGGTAGCATGTACTATGCCAGGTCTCGCACACAACAGGAAATCGATGAATTGGATGAACGACTAGTTGAACATGAAGCTCGGGTCTTGCAAATGAATAATTCGTTGGAGACGCTTAACAAGAGGTATCTTGAGTTGACGGAATTGAGACATGTGTTGCGGGAGACTGCAATTTTCTTTGAGGAGGTGAGTTGGATCGTATGTGTATTTTGGTGGTAGCGTAGGGGTTGCTGTGTGTTGGAGGAAGTAGCGTTGCGGCCCGAAAACTACAGGGGGATAAGTCAAGACCAGATTGCTGTTTCTTTTTGGCAGCTCTTGCACAAGCAGTTGATAGTGGTGAATCTGAGACCAGGCCTCGTTGTCAACTGCTCGAGAAGGATTACTGTAGAAGGGGCTACGGAGTGCCTTGTCCCTTGTAGCTGTTCTATCACTATCGACAACACAAAAAGACTTTCATGCTTAATAACCTACGAAATTACATTATAGGCTGAATCACATACGAACGACATCATTGCTGGATCAACTGCTGAAGATGCAGGTCTCTTGGCACCTGGATCCACGTTTGTAAGAGATTCCACTGATGATGCTATCGAGCGTGGAGAACCAATGATAAGAACAGTCAATCTTGGGTAAGTGAAATTCAAACCCTGGGAGATACTGCCTTCTTTTTGCGTCATGAGTTGAAACTAGTACTAAACCAACAAAAAAACACCACGTCCCCCTAAAATGAACAAATAGCTTTGTAGCAGGCGTCATACCACGAGCACGCATGAACACCTTTGAACGCATCTTATGGCGAGCTCTCCGTGGTAACCTATACATGAACTATGCCGAAATCGACGAACCCATCACCGACCCAATCACTGATGAAGTCGTTACCAAGAATGTATTCATCATATTCGCGCATGGTAAAGAGATACTGGCCAAGATTCGAAAGATTTGTGAATCTTTGGGTGCTACTTTATACCCTGTTGATGATTCGTCGGATAAGCGGCGTCAAGATGCACTGGAAGTTATTGCTCGTATTGAGGATGTCAAGCATGTATGTGCCATTGTTATATTCTTTCGTTTGTGTCTTTTTTGTGTCCCCAACATTAAGGACTCAACTTTCGTTTTACAGGTCTTGGACACAACCAGAAACACACGTAGAACTGAACTCTCAAAGGTCGCTGAGAGTTTAGAAGCGTGGACGACAGTCGTCAAGAAGGAAAAGGCCATTTATTATACCATGAACATGTTCAATTATGACGTGAATCGAAAGGCATTGATCGCTGAAGGTTGGGCTCCATCAGCCAACTTGACTTCTATTCAGTATGCGTTACGTACTGTTATGGTAAGGTTGAGCCATTGAGCGAGTTCATCTTTCGATCTCAATTGAAATTTTTGTTGTCCAATAGGAACGAACAAGCTCAACAATCCCACCTCTCCTGAACGAGCTACGCACCACAAAGACACCACCAACCTTCCATCGCACCAATAAATTCACAGTAGGCTTCCAAGAACTCGTAGATGCGTATGGTATTGCTACATATCGTGAAGTCAATCCAGCACTATTTACTATAATCAGTTTCCCATTCTTGTTTGCCATCATGTTTGGTGATTTTGGACATGGAATTATCATGTTGGCTTTTGCTACTTGGATGGTCTTGTATGAGAAGTCGTTAGAGAAGGTTAAGGAGGAGGTAAGGCATGATGCACTTTACCATGATGCACCATACTTGTTCCGTTTTTTTTCGCTCAACAGATTCTCAAGTACTCGTTGTTGTTACCTCTTAGATCTTTTCAATGTTCTTCGGCGGTCGATATATTATCTTGCTCATGGGCTGTTTCTCCATTTACACTGGTCTAGTATATAACGACGCATTCTCGAAACCTCTGGATTTGTTTTATACTGGATATGGATTTGAGAAGGAACCGGGAATTGAAAAATGGATTGGATTCAAAAGGTGGACATATGCTTTTGGTGTTGATCCGGTATGGAATTACTGTGAAACTCGATCCAACGAGTATTCTTAAGTGGCAGGATATTGTTTTATTGACTTACTTGTTCATTTGTTTTAATGACAGGCTTGGGCTACTGCCGATAATGTACTCTTGTTTTCGAACTCTTACAAGATGAAGATGGCGGTGTTGCTAGGTGTCATTCATGTAAGTTGCAAAGTGTTTCTGGAACCATCGTATGTACAGAGTTATCTAATCATCCGTTTTTTGCTAGATGACATTTGGTATCATTTTATCTGCTTACAATGCCAAATTCTTCCACCGACCACTCGATCTGTATGGAGTCGTTCTTCCTCAAATCATCTTCATGATGAGCATCTTCGGATACTTGGCATTCTTGATTGTCTTCAAATGGTGCAACAACTGGGATGGACTCCCTGCTCCTGGTTTGCTCAATACCTTGATTTATATGTTTTTGAGTCCTGGAACTGTGAAGCCTGATGATCAACTGTTTCCTGGACAGGTATGAATGAAAAAGCATATCCGTTTTTTTTTTTGTTTGGAGTTGCTGACTTCCATTTTTAATTGTTTCAGGCTGGTATACAATCTCTACTCGTACTACTAGCCATGATCAGCATACCATGGATGCTCCTCGTCAAACCCCTAACGCTACGAGCCGAGCACAACAAGGTCATAGCCCAAGGCTATGCCAACTTGGACCATACAACTGGTGGTGTTGGGGAACGACCTTCTGAAGACTTACCACGAAACAGCTCAACAACTGGATCACCACATGATACTGATACATTCCACGCATCACCTTCTGGAGCATCGAATGGCGGTGGAGCTGGTCATGCCGAGATGCATCATGAAGAGGTACATGCACATGGCGACGTAAGCGCCTTGAGTGATGAATACTGAGGGTTTAATCTGGTTGGCTGATCGTTTTTCTTTGTAATAGCAATTCGAGTTTGGAGAAGTGTTTATTCATCAGATGATTCATACTATTGAATGTGAGTGCAGACTGCAAGAAAAAAAATAGACAAGTATGACAATTCGTCGGCTAACGTTCCATTTCTCTTTTAAGTCTGTCTTGGTGGAATATCAAACACGGCCAGTTACTTGCGTCTATGGGCCCTCTCACTTGCACATGCTCGTAAGTGAATTACGCTGCCACATACCTGCTGCTTTGCTCCCATATCAGCCCCTTAAACCCATCTTGTTTACACACAGAGCTATCTGAGGTGTTATGGGAAATGGTGTTGGCAAACTCATTTGACTTGGAACTACCAACATTTGTATGGGCCATTGCTATTGTTGTTTCTTTCACCATCTGGTTCCAAATGACTATTGCGATTCTTGTGTTGATGGAAGGATTGTCGGCTTTCTTGCATGCACTGAGATTGCACTGGTATGTGATGGAATGAGGTGTTCAGAACAACTGTTTTGTTGCCATCGTATTTGTTGTGTTAATGAAGGAGTTTCAGCGCAATGGACGTTTAACACTTTGCATTCAATAGGGTCGAGTTCCAAAACAAGTTCTATGGTGGAGAAGGTAGAAAGTTCGATGCCTTCTCGTTTGCCAAGATACTGGCCGAGTCGAATCAGTGAGCGAGCTAGTCCTGTTTTCTATAGCTTTGAAGAAGCAAAACAAAATAGAAAGAATATGAAATTGAATCTATCGGTTCGATGTGTTGGGCGTGTGTGGTTGTAGTTTGCGTCGATTCAAGCTCCTAGCCATTTCCACTTTTTTTGCAGTCCTTATGCAAGATGACCTCATTAAACGCATCACTACAAGCGCAACTAGCAATACAAGTGAAGAGAACACTACGACAATGTTCTATTGATTTACAACTTCTTCAAGATAAGTGGAACTCGGTAAACATTGCATCCACGCCATTCGTGAATACTGCGGCATCTTATCTGATTGAACTCGAGTAAGTTCAATCCGCGAAGGTTTTGATTTTATGTTGAATCGCAATATTATAATTCTAATCGTACACTCTGTACGTTTAATTAGGTATGCATCATCAACATCAAACTGGCTGCCGTCAGCACTCGCAATTCCAAACATCCAACACGCTCATCGTGTCAAGATCATTGATTCCTTGAAGAGGGATGCGATTGAGAAGCTGGATGAGTATATGAGTCAATTTGTAAGTCAGCAATGAAGATAGATTCTATTCAAAGACAGCACTAATTTTATTTTGTTTGGCCAGGTCAAGATCGTAACCAACATGAACAAACTATCATCAGCCGTGTCAGAATCAATCAGTAACGAACGTCTGGATGTGTCGTATCGTGTGTTGAGTGTCTTGTCGTTTGACCGGTTTTGTAAGTCAGTGAGGCAAAAAACGACTTCAACACGACTGGACTAATGTCATTGACGTTTCTGTAGACTCAATGTTCACACAAATTACAAACATGTACAATTCCGAACTGAAACTCAAGCAGGCTCTCCTACGTGATATCACAGCTGCTGCCACATCACAACCTCAATCACGAGATAAATCAAACAAGAAGGACGATGATGGATCTATGGCGATGAATATGATTACAATTAGATCGTCAGCGTGGTTGTATCAGCCGTATTTGGATGAGGGCGTTGTGGGAGATGTTACGGAGGTTTTTGTGGGCGAGTTTGACTGAGGAGAGGAGTTGGTGGTCTGGCAAGGGCAATCCACGTTTGCTTTGAAGACGGTTTTTGGGGTGTGTGTGTTTATATGTTGAAGCACTCTGGGGATTTGAAGATGCACCTTTGTGGTCTTGCCAATGGACAATTGTTGAGATTTGTCGGATAAGAGGCCACAAGATGCGCTTGAAGTTACTGCTCGTATTGACGATGTCAAGCATGTATGTGTTATTGGGAGATGATTTCCTTTATTTGTTGCCGTTTTTGCCTCTCAACACTAAAGACTCAACTCTTCTCATCCAGGTGTTGGAACACACAACACAAGCAGAACTGAATCTCAAAGGTCGCTGAGAGTTTAGAAGCGTGGACGATAGCCGTCAAGAAGGAAAAGGCCATTTATTATGCCATGACTATGTTCAAATATGACGTGAATCGAAAGGCATTGATCGCTGAAGGTTGGGCTCCATCAGCCAACTTGACTTCTATTCAGTATGTGTTGCGTACTGCTATGGTATGAATGAAACACGAAACCGCATTTGGTTGTGGACACCAGGTTTTCAGCTCTTTTCTTGGTTTGCAACAGGCTCCACAATCCCACCTTCATTCAACGAGCTACGCACCACAAAGACACCGTCGAAATAATATACTAAATAATATGCTTAGGCACCCAGAAACAGAGATGGCTACTATCATCGGTATCAACATTCTCGTCGAAGCTGCCGCAGCTCAAGGTGTAAGGAATGTACCAAAGAGATCAAAACTGCATCGTGCAATAAGTCAAAAACCAAGCCAGTAATAATTCTATTCAAAATATTATGAGGTTGTATTGGCGTTTACAGTCCATGTGTCACTGCCCACTGTACTCTCCATTCAGCGACGGCCATCCGACACCATCCGTATTCACATCAGAATCAGAGACACCACCACTTGTTTGAGACGTCGGTGTATTGCATGGTGACAACCGAGACGATTGTGGCGACGGCGAAAAGTATGGGCTAGGTGTTGATGGTGGTTGAAGCGACGATGTGGCAGAGACTTGTGGTGTTCGAGTGTAGTTGATTTGCGAATCGAATGCTTGCATAAGTGAGCTATAGCTTTGTTGTTGATGCCGTGACTGTTGTGGTTGGGATTCAGGTGGTGGATGTATGTAAATGTTGGGTGTTTCTATGCGTTTGCTGCTGAGCTCTCGTTCATAGAGTTCCATGTCTAGTTCTGGAGGTATTGCTATCGACAGAGCCAAAAAAGTCAACATTATTGCAAGCATGAACAATCTAAATGTCCAACTTACGACGTCCATTGGAATGAATATACCCAACCAGCCTCTGAATAACACTCTGATGCACCGCCTGCCTCTTCCGACACTCTTGCAGCTCTCTCAGCACGTCTTGTACCAAATGCTTCATTGAATTGAATTCACGCATCATATCCGTTTGTTGCATATGCATCACTTGAACACTGGCAGTAATATCTCCATTTTCTCGTCTCAAGACATCCGAGTCTAGTGACTTTCGTTTTATCAGGTCTGTCAAGTCTGGTCGTTCACGTAGAAACTTGGAATGTGAGAATTCGAATTGGATTGTGTCACTGTTCTTGCTTCCACGGGGTAGCTTGTTTACTTTATGGAAGCCGTACATGTTGAGCTGACGGACAAAACTTGAAAAGTTGTTGTGTTTGAAGTCTGCCAAAAAAAGTTGCTGGCTAAGTCCTCCGACAGTCATGTCAATCTCATAAAGCAAGACGAATCACTCACGTTTAGGCAGCACTTCTTTACTAAACTCGTTCACATTGGTGACTACGAAACTTGTGCCTGCAAAGTTCCAGCTGATCAGGTGCTGGTACATCCGATCAGAAATCATTCTAACCCAACGAAAAATTGTATCAGCGTCATTCCACCAAAGGGGGCCTTTCAATATATCCTATTGCTTAATTTACCCTCTCAGCTTGTGAACAAACTAATTCAGGAAAAAGAAAATGGAGTCAGCAAGAGCGAAAAATTTGATACCCACAAATACATCATTCACTCACGTTAGGTGCATCCTTCCCAATAATAGATCTCCCAGAGGAAGATGGATTTGGACTAGATCCCCTTGAAGGCTGCGGTGATAATTCTAACGGGCTCCCAACAACAGTCGAGCAACCACTACTGACGGGTGGACCAAGCCCCAGAAAGGAAGGGTCATAGTCCAATTGCATTATAGAATTTGCTGTAGGCGTCGTAGGTTCAGCAGGAGGTGGTATCCATGGCATCGAAGTGCTGGTTGATGAGCCCAACAACGGCTGATGCTGATGATTTGGAGACAGGGAGGACGAGTCCCGCAACCAGGAAATATTTATACTCGAATTATTAGGTGCTATTGCTACCGGTGAGAGCAATAGTGCTTCCGAATGTTTTTGCGAATGTTGTGAAGCGAGTGAATGAACGACTTCATCCATAGCGGAGATGGTCATAGATCCAGCAGTAGATCCAGAATTGATCTGAAAGGATTCAGTCCTTGGAATGGCCTGCATTGCTTGTTCTATCTCTCTGAACGGCATTTGCGTCTGCTTTTAGAAAAACTTGTTTGATTTAGCTCGAGCAGCAGGCAAAAGACGTAGATTCGCAGCTTAGGTTTAGACGCTTTTTTCTACGTCGCGGAATTCAAGAATACGAACGACGAGATGTTAGGCCGTGTAGGTCTCCTCGAATACAGGCAATACGAGCCATGAAAAGCACAGACATGTAATTTCGATATACTAGCAGATCGTATTTTATACAAGGAATTCTTAACATCCCAATCTTTTTCCCTCCTCAAAAGACAGTCTTAATCCATTCTGCCCTTCAACATCCTCGTCATGACGGCATCAGCTGTAACGACATGTACAGTTGCTCCCCAACCTGAGATTGCATCACGATCAACAGCATTCAATAATGCTTGTGATATGACTTCAAACAAGTCTTCTGGTTCCTGCAATTGAGAAAAAATGAGAATCGGATCATGCAAAGGGGGTACACACACCACGGCTTGTTCTTACAAATACACTTACTAGATCAGGTTCCCACAGAGATTCGCACATTCCGTATAATTGATTTGAAGCGGTGCCCGTCACCACAAAGTCTTTGGCAAAGTTGATGCAACCAATCAAGTCTGTTGAACATATGAATGGTGTTCCGTCTGTTTCGACACCAGCGATTACGGGTTCAGTAAACCAGGGTCCAAACCTGTTACAATTAAGAAAAAGAGTTTAGGTATGATTTCGAGAGCACAAAAAAGCAACAAAAGTACTCGAAGTAATGCTTCTCAAACGGCCGTCCCTAAGACACATACCTCTTGCCATATAACGTAGACGACATCAAATGAGCAAAAGTTTTTGGCTTGATGTCTCGTTCTTCCCTCAATTTATACATGTTGACTGAAAATCGTAAGCGTTGCGACCTATTAAATATACACGAGTTAAAAGATATACATCTCCCAATAACTAATCCAGATAAATCAATTCTTACAATGTCTGTACATCAGTAGCGAGCCCAGCAAGCCCAACAAAGAGTTTATCATGGATGCTGAATATCTTTTGATGGTCTGTTCCCAATGTCAATGCCTGTACACCAAATCGTCTGTCTGCAGCTATTGCGACACAGTTCTTGCCCTTCATGGCAATCAAGGCACCACCATTGTACTCCAAGATACTCTATTATGACATTGGATGTGCAGGTTAGTTGAATGCTCACGTACGAGGAATGATTAAATCAGTTCAAGAGACCAACTGCGCGACTAGAGAGAATACGAACGCAGTTGAATATTATGTTTTGCTGCTTACCATAATGCTCTAAATTTATGTCAAGACGCTCTGACGTTAACAAGTTCAAACTTGGGAGTTTGGTTGGCGAAAGCGGTGACGCGTCTTGAACAGTAACAGACAGAGAAACACTTAGTCAAAGAAGCATCAAATAATGATTTGTAGTGGTTTCCTGATTTTCTATATTCAGACGCGTCCGTCATTACTTTTTCAGCCTCGCAACGAACGTTTGATGTATCTGATGCATCGATAATCGTTATTACAGAGCATCTGTAACAATTGCAGTCTCGGGTATGTTAAGTTTGAAGAATACTTTTATCTTCTCTTAGTCAAGTTTCAGATTATATGTTTGTGCCTTGCTACTGATACAACCTTCGACCCACATTCCATCGTGAGCTTCTCATCCTACTCCCAGTCAAGAAACAGCGGAACTTTTCAAATTGACTTTGTCACCAAACGCAGTCTCTGCACCACTAAAATAGTCAGGCTCAGGCTCAAAATCCACATCGCCCCGTATTTTCATTAACGTTAATGGCAATATCCAGTGATTTAGCATCACTATTCCGTTCCCTACCTTGAGCCGCTGTAGCCAACCGAACTGTTTCCAGAGTTAGCCAAGACGCATGAATTTCCATATCAACAGCTTCTCCAATCATTTAGATCCCATGGTTGATTTGTGTTTTTCTAAAATGTCAAGGAAACGAGTCAGTTCTTGGCTGAAGGAGGAGAAGAAGTGCCAGTGCAAGGGCATACCTGGTATTTAGCTACTGATGTCTTTGTGAACTATCAGTCTCCCTCGTGTTCTTCGTTGATCTCTTGTGCTTCGCTTGATAACAAAACAGCGAAGAAGTCGAAAAACATGAAGAGCTTGATCAAGCAAAGTCTCAACTCCAGGTGCCAACGTTACAGCTCTTGCGGTACCACAGATGAACTATGCTAATTATATTTTCTTTTCCAATTGCACAATGGAGAGCAAAAAACTCTGCCCCAAGATGCCCAAATGCTATACCATTACAATTTAGCTACTGCACCACCAGTATATGGATGATGTTTCTTCCAATGCAAGGCAATATCACGTCGAGTAGTAACCCATACATCTTGTTTTGATTTGACATAATCCATGAATCTCGCTAACGCCGCAGCACGACCTGGTTTGCCAACTATACGACAATGTAATCCAATAGACATCATTTTGGGAGATCCATTTCGACCTTCTTCCAAGAGTAGATCGAATGCGTCTTTGAGGTATGTGAAGAAGCCGTCTGGGGATGAGAAGCCTGGTGGCTAATGAGTGAAGAGAGAAAAGACGTGAATTCATCATTACACTTGGTTATGGTTGACTTTTTTGCCGTACGTGTTTTCGTCCACCCAAGCAACAAACCAAAGAAGACACTCTGCATACTCTTCTCAGAAGCTTACCACAGCGAATTTCATATCATTCTGATCCAGAGTATATGGCACAATCAACAAACCCTCTCCATCGACTTCCATCCAATAAGGTAGATCATCCGAGTAGGAGTCAGCATCGTATAATAATGGTAATCCCAGTTTCTTGTATTCGTCCCAAATAGCCCTTCGAGTGTTTGGTCCTACACGACCACAATAGAATCCAACAGGAGCAACACCACAAGCGTTTTTGATTGCTTCTATCGACATTTTTACGTGTTCTCGTGTTCTTCTTTCTCCGACTTCGTTGTAGTCAATCCATCGATAATCTAGTGATAGTGGAACGTTTTGGTTGTATATCAGGCAAAAAAAGCACTCCACGAATCATTCGCAATGAACAGCACTCGCAACACCACGTACTGTGACTAGCGATTTCATTCCCATCAGCATGCATGGTAGCAATAACACTAGGATTCATTTCAACAGCTTTGCCGACCGCATAGCAAGTATAGTTCATATTTCGTTGCTTGAAGAGACGCATGAGTCTCCATACACCAGCACGAGATCCGTACTCGTATAGAGATTCCATGTTTGGATCTCTTATTTGTCTTGGAGTTCCACCAGGAGTCTACATAATAGTGTTTGGCATGTGTCAGCTCGTGTCTGGTACTATCATAAAAAATGTTTTTGCTGATGTGAATGGATACCTCTGACAAGAAGACTTCAGTGTGAGTATCTCCATTGATAGGGCTAAGAACAGTAGTAATGAGTATATGCATAATAATCTAACACAGTTGGATATATATCGTACGAATTTTCGCCTCCCTCCTCATAGTTGATCACGAAGTTCACAGCCAATGCAGCATTGCCTGGCCAACTGACTTTGGGAGGATTGGCACCATATCCGGTAACATCTCGAGCTGGTTTGGCATGCATTGCAGCCATTGTCCTATAGCTAACTGTTTTCTGATAGGTTCAAGCACGCAAAGGGTCGACAGCGGAATCCAAAATACTTTAAACAGCTGCGATCGAAGCATAGGATACAGATGGCAGTCGCTGATATCACTAATGAAGATCAGGACATGCAGAGCCCTGTGAGCATGGACCAAATCGGAGCTCACTTAGCATCATTACGAAATCATGATTTCCCACAGCTCGCTTCCAACGTCTATCTCGATCATGCGGGAACTACTCTGCCCGCAAAGAGCCTTATCGATGCTTATACAGCAGATATATCGGCTACTCTATATGGAAATCCTCATTCATTCTCTTCTCCTTCGGCTGTCGCTACTGCCAAACGTTTGGCTAGCGTTAGAGCTAGGATACTAAAGTATGCTCTGATGCGACAATTAACGCTGACCTTACAGATCTAGAAGATCTAGAAGTTAACCGTCTCACTTTCTTGTAGGCACTTGAACACATCATCAAAAGACTATTCAGTCATATTCACAGCAAACACAACAGCTGCTCTCAAACTCCTCGGTGAAAGCTTGAACTGGGACGCTGACAACAACTACTACTACCTATCTGCCTCACATACTTCTGTACTCGGTATACGGCAATCGATTGCTTATGCTAGACGGCATCTTCCAAACAATGGAGACGTCAAAGCTATGACTCCTAATGATGTAGAGGCTTGGATATCTTCGGCTGATAGTAGTAGTAGTAATAGTATACAAGATACCGACCACGTGAATCTATTCGCATACCCTGCACAATGTAATTTCAGTGGAACGCGTTATCCTCTAGATTGGGTAAATCAAGTGAAATCAATCAAAGGCGGTTTACCGTGGAAGGTGTTGCTAGATATCGCAGCTTATTCGACTACTACTCCAATGGAGTTGAGTAAATATCCGGCTGATTTCGCAGTCTTGTAAGTATAGTGACAGCTATCACCAAGAGGATTAACAATTATTAGCAAAAGATCTCCCCTTTTTTTCACCGTCTAAAACCGCTAATTGTCTTCTAAACCGCTACTTGTCCATATAGATCTTTTTACAAGATGTTTGGCTTCCCAACAAACCTAGGAGCCCTCATAGTCCGCAACGACGCTCTCCCTCATATGCACAAACGATATTTCGGAGGTGGCTCCGTATCAGCCATATCATACAACAACCAATGGCAACTATATCGTGAATCAGCTGAAAAGTTCGAGGATGGAACACTCCCATTCCTAGAAATCATGGCTCTTCATCATGCCTTTGAGTATATAGAAACCAACATTCCGCCAAGGCTTGGTAGTAATCCATGGAATGTGATACGATCATGGACTGCATACCTGACTGATTATACGAGAGGGTATATGAAGAGTATGAGGCATGCCAATTCGTCGCTTGTGTGTAAGATATATGACCTTCATACTGATACTGGGGACAATGATGTAATACGTGATGATCGATATACCCAAGGACCCGTAATCGCATTCAATATTATGAAACCAGATGGACTGACTTTTGTGGGCTACTCTGAAGTTGCCAAGATGAGTGCCATACATGATGTTCATGTTCGTACAGGATGCTTTTGTAATCCTGGAGCATGTCAGTTGTATCTGGGGTTGAGTGATGAGGATGTGCAAGAGAATGCTGAGGTATGCACTTTGAAAGAGAATGAGGGATTATTGTTGGCGCGGTTTGACCTTTAAACATGGTGCAAGAAAGACACGGTACCAGCTGCCATATGAATGCTGATAATCATTTTTTCAACCACCTTAGATACACGGCCACGTATGCGGCGACGACATGGACATTGTAAACAACAAACCAACAGGCGCAATCCGAATCTCATTTGGATGGATGAACACACTAGAAGATTGCAAAGCATGGCTCCGTTTCCTCTCTAAATACTATCAACTGAATGCCATCGAACATCTCGAAATCCAACCACTCCGTCATGTACAATCAACTGAAACAAACTGCACACTCTCATCACTATCCCTCTTCCCAATAAAATCATGTGGTGGGTATACACCAACTTCTGAATGGCCGATAGGTCCCGAGGGTCTACTGTATGATAGGAATTGGATGCTTGTTGATGAGTCGGGGATTGCAATGTCGCAGAAACGGGTACCGAGAATGTGTCTTATTAAGCCTGTGAGGATTGATTTGCTGGCGTGTATGATGGTGCTGGAAGCTCCGGGGATGGCTCAGTTGAAGATTTATATGGGCGAGAGTGTGGAGGAGGCCGAGTCTGTTAGAGCAAGAGTTTGTGGTGATCGGTAAGTATTCAATGATGTCAACTACCTTTTTGCTTTCTTTAGCGGTCACGACCAAAACAAGCCCGTGTTTGTGATCACAATGACGTCTAACTTAATCGTTCATTGCCCTATGTTTAGAATTCAAACATTCATCGAAACAAGAACAGACGTATCGTCCTGGTTCTCCACCTTTCTTAACATGCCATGCCAACTCGTCAGATGCAACATGAACATTGAATCACGTCTAGACAAACGCTCCAAAAAAAAGCCCTACAACAATACCACTACCATATCATTATCATCAATCGACACGTCGCCTAAAATAGCATTTGCAAACGAGTCCCAATTCCTACTCGTGTCACTCCCAAGCTATGAAATGATTCGTGATGCCATTACGACGAGTAAAGAAAAAGATAGTATGGACGTATCGTGCTGGAGAGCTAATATCGTTGTCTCTGGGAATGGGTTGGTGCCGTTTGGAGAAGATGAGTGGAGTGGAAGGGAGATTGAGATTGATGGACAGGTGTTTCAGGTCCGTGTTCTTGTTGGCGTTTTCGTGATGAACTTTCTGTTGTTGTTGCGCAATGGCGACCAACAAAAAAGTCAGATAGTCGCCGTAAGTGGATATTCTTGCTGACACTTCAAATTGGCTTTAGGTTCAAGGACCATGCAATCGCTGTCAAATGATTTGTATAAATCAAGCTACTGGTGAAAGATCTAAAGAGCCATTCTCGACGTTAGCGTTGAAGAGGAAGCAGGAGGTAATGACCAACCTGTTATGAATGCCTCTCATCGTTGATTTTTTGCACCGTCTCGTTTCCTGTTTCTCACATTCATTCATCTCGCTTCATTCAGGGCAAAATCAACTTTGGACAACACTTGGCTCATATACCTTCAAAATCAAGCAAACCATACGTTATTCGTACTGGTTCTCGCATTCGTATCTTGTAGAGAAGAGATCGATAGATGTTTCGCATTCTGGACGCTCGCCTTTGTATATCACATTTAAATATACCCCACAGTAGTAGTAGTGATGTATTCGCAATGCTGAGACCATGTGTGTCGTTTTTTTTTTTTGTCTTTTGGGGTGTACCAATTCTTGTGAACGCAGATACGGCTTCTTCGTGAAGGAACTAAGAGAGACGAAGAGACCGAATAGCCTCGAAATACGAAACATGAATCAAAACGCGAATAAAGCAAAAAAAGCACCCCTATGCCCCGAGCAAAACCATCACTGTGCTGAGCTTTACATTATAATGCGTCCGTAAAATCAAAACGAAGCCGTTTCACACAAATTATTCGTCAGACAAATCAGCCAACGACAATCCATTCAAACCGGTCAACACATTTTTGGTGTTTCATGGGCCATCCGGTCGGTTTGTGTGTATTTAACAAAGAGTTTTCTAAACAAGGCAAGCAGAAGACAGGGAGAGAAAGTAATATAGTCCTCCAAATGCAACAAAATAAATCACATATCCTAAGAAACAGACAACAAAAAAAGTGTAAACACGTAGAGGACTATCAATGCGAACGGATGTCCGCGCACTTTTCACAACACCCTACAATCATACCTGGATTTGCTTAATAAGGAAAGCTTTCTCATCATTGAATTGCTCATCATCTATTACCGGAAGAGTCGAGTTCGAGGTCAATAGCAATCTCATAACACGTATGCCCCAGAATATATATTTTTTGCGCATTACCTGTTCGATCATTGTGAAAGGTCGACAAGAACGTGACCAACTTTTCCTTGTTTTTAGCCAAGATATCAGCAATTGGCCTAGCCTTGTTTGGGTTTGCCACAAACACCTATTCAGAAACGAAATGTGAATCAGACAGTGAACAAAAAAGAAAACAAGTACAGATAAGCACATGCGCTAATACATCTTACAATCTCTCCAACTTCGTCTATCTACGCACACTCTGGCTCACCTTGAAGACATGAAACGCTTCAAACTGTATATTTCGACTCTTATCTCTCAACAAATTCATCATCAGTTTCAGGTTTTCGGTGTTTGCAATGTATTTCGTCATGACACTGAAATTGCTTCGATCCAGTAACAGTTCTCCCAGTAACTGGTACAAAACAAACGTGTTAGGTGGTCATGTTGAAGTGAGTTCGATTCCATATCAAGGGAAGTTCAGTTGCAGTACAATCCTTTTTTTCGTCGTGTGCATACCTTGAGAGATTGCCTTTTCGTTACATAGTTTGATGAATTCAGAAGTATGGTGTATTTTGTAAAGAACTAGAGTGATGAAGCAAAGGTGTGGGTTACAATGAGTGAAAAGTGCCGACACAGGTCGATGGTATCTTTGACGAGGAGTTTTCCTTTTGGCGCTCACCTCATCGTATTTTCGACCCAGGAATTCAGCAACCATCTGTTTATGCCGTGTCAGGATATCCTAAGTCAAACAAAAATGCCAAATCAGCCATCTCAACACAGGAACAACAAAACAGCAAAAAAAATTGGACAGTCTTCATCATACCTTAAAAGTCGCAAACGAATCCGACGCAACATCAAACGTAGACAACTCGACATACGAGAAAAAGTACCAAAAGTGCGTAGACTCCAACACGACTTTCGAAAGTGCTTCGTGTCTTATGCATTCTCGTAGAATCATCCCACAACTTAGTGCAATGTCTTGGTTTTCATACCTTATGTAAAATACATGAGTCAGTGTCATGCGAAAAAAAAGCAGCCAAGTCCAGAGACTTAATTACCCATGGATTAAAGCAACAAGTATTTCCTCCTTTGTACAAATATATTCAACGGTTGGTAGACGAGATCCTATCTGCCGTCGTAGCAAGTTGTTGAATATTTGGGCAACGTCTTTTTTGGCCTAGCAGTTGAAATTAGTCATGTAATCGTATCATGGTGATGAACAAACCCAGAAAAATCATTGACTCTCTTGAGCGATGGTCCTCACTGTACAAACACCCTGCTTTCCTATGTTTACCTCAAAATCAAACTTGGCGATATTCGTAACAAGCAGCGTCAATAGATCAGAATTGTAGACTTCCTGTGATAGTTGAGCGACTAGTTCCGGTATTGGTTCGCTCTCTGTTTACACATGTTTTCAAGAGCAACATGTCAGTTCTGCATGATCTTTCACACATGGTGCATAACAGATATGTAGCGTACCACCATCTCCATATAGTATAGCCTTCATAGCAACGAGGTTCCTTGATATTTCTTCGTTGGACTATGTGTAGATAGTGTTTGTGTGTGTTTACGTGAGAATGCCATTGTGTGTCTCTGAAGCAAGCTAAAATATTGTCTTCTACGGATAGCAGATTCCAGATCTCCACAATCTCCTCTCTTCAAACAACCATCAAACACTCATGGCCTCCCAAAATGTTTTTCTCAAGTGCCTCAAATTTCGTGAAAGAAGGCGGCAATGATACACCTTTCAAAGTCCCAGTAACTCTCACGACCCAAAATTCAATCGCACGAAATTACATTCATTGAAATACAGCTATAGCTCTTCTACCTTTTTCTTGTCAGATTCTAACTTTGAGCAGGCCTCTCGAGTCGACTTGACCAGCTCCTGAGGAGTCCTCGATCTGGTCTTGAATAGGAAACTCATAGTGTAAAATCTAGTATAGAGATACGGAGTATCTTCTCTATGCCTCTCCTTCTCCTCTCTTCTGGCTTGTCTCCTTGTTAAGCGAGGTTGTTCGAACAACAGGCCTGGACACTGATTTCGACCAAAACCAGTGTTACGACGCGTTTTCGATGGCTTTCTGCATCATTCCATACAGATATGATGGCTATTGTATTTCTATCGTTGTCGTTTTGGGGACAATACACGTGAACATTAAAGAATTACCCTGTGATCTACTCAACATATAAATATAGCTTCTTCTACACCTTGTCTTCACCTTTGGGTCTTATTTGTCCTGCAAACTGACCCTCTGATGATGACGACACTTTGGTGTATGATTGGGGTATCTCATCTAGGCCTATGTAAACAACGTGTTAAATTCTTTCAATTGGCCTCTTTTTTTGCTGGCATCATGTTTCCAAGACAAAAACAGTCCGCCAACATCATCAAATGTACGAATTTCCTCCTTTTTCTCCTCATCTCAACACAACATACCATATAGATACGTAGCATAAATAACCAATCCAGCTCCCACCATAAACGTCAATGTAACAACAAAGTCAAACAAAATGACGGATGCCAGACATGACAGCACTATAGACAGCGATGTGGCAAATCCTTTCAGGATGTTGTCGGCGTATTTTACTACTACAGCTACGATTAGACCACCAGTTGCTTGACAGAGTATGGCAGCCCAAGTCCAAGCATTGTATCCGTAAAAGAAGCCGTTTTCGCGGACTGCTGCACCGTCCATCCACATGACTAGGTTGGTGATAGAGTTGAGTTAGGTATTCGATGATAACTCTGTCGGGAGTTGGTAAAAAAAAGCGGAGGTTGCGTATCTTAACCATGATGCTGATCATGAGAATTCATTGTGACGGCTGGTAGAGTTCCATACTCAATCCACAGATCACTTTGACAGCCCTGACACTCAACACTCAGTCATAACCCTACTAGACGTACCTCCAACAATAAACCCTGGGATAACAGAAAAGAATGCCAACTGGACATTCCGTAACCACAAGGATGGTTTAGATCCCTTTAGTACCTTCTCAAACCATACACCGGCCACACCAGACAATACACAAGCGACAGTGACAGCCAAGAGTCCAAACAATCTAGTAAGCGACTCTTCATCAAATGCATATCCATCAAGGAATCCTTCATCTTCATCAGTTGGTAGTGGTGTGACCTGTGTACTGCTGCTACTACTAGTAGATGATCCAGATGGTAACTGCACAAGTGCAATGCCAATGGTGAGTAGTATAAGCGACGTCCACTTCATCCTATTGAGTGTCTTTCCGAGCATGAGGACGCTAAACAATGCGGTAGTCAGGATCTTCATCTGGTAAGTGACCTGGAAGGTGGCAGCGTCGAGCAGGGTGACGGCGAGATACTGGAGATTGTTTTGTATAATGTATAGCACGGCGGGCACCATGAGTTTGATTGCATCGGATTGTGGGCCAAAGAAGTCATTGTAGAGGGATTCGAGAGTGACACGTTGTACTTTAGACGATTCGTGAATGTGTATGGCGAGAGATATGAGGAGTTTGATGGATTCTGAGAGGACTACGGCGGTGGAGGCTAGATATCGTGGGCCGGCAATCATGCGGGAGTAGCGCATGACGAGGACGAGGGCGCTGTTTTGGACGACGAGGGTGACGAGCGAGACATATTTGAGGTTTTCATTCTTGTCTAGATTATAATATGAATTGATGGATGGTTAGTATGATAGTGTAGTAAGATGGAGGCCATGAGAATATGTAACAGATAATGCTTTGTCATTGGCACCTACCCATTGGTTCCAACAGTGTACACTGCCTCTAATCTATAAGCTGGCAAAAACGTGTGGGTTGAATCTCCGACCAAACTTGAAGAAGGGCAATCTATAACACGATGTGCGATATGAAGAGAACGAGGGATGCCTTCAGAGAATGTGAAAGTGGAAGCGGGGCAAGGTTTTTTTCAGTGTGTGTGCACAATTTGTGAGGCTCATGAAGAGCATCAAAGCAATAGCAGATGTGAGGCAACACGAGTTTTTACGAACGCGTATCTACGTTCTCAGTAGTTCCAGTCAATATATTATATGTCTCAACACTTGGATTGCTTGTCAGAAAATCCAGTCTCGTACTTCATTGATGCGCGAGGCGAAAAAAGCGTTCAACTTTTCTCGGCCTACAGTGAACTCTGACACGTACAGATACGTGCCATAACCAGTAAAATCTACCTACACAACTGTTCAGCCTCAAGTTCCCGACGCCAAGCAAACACTGCACATCCATTTTATCATCAACTGCTTGCTTTGTGGGAAAAACAGGCTGGGAATGGGACAATGGGACGGAAAACACTTCGTAGACCACTCGTATATCTCACTCTACTAGCTGCCATCATAGTATGGCTTCTCTCTACGCGAATCATCAACTGGTTTGGATTCTCCTCCCCTCATAACAGATCTCAGCACAACGGAGTCCCCCATCCGCCCTCAGAAGCTATATACTACTCGGCTGCCATAGACGATATATACTCCACTGATCCCATCTATGGCGATTCCTTGCCACCCGGTAACGCATCTGGCACATATTCACGACATTCAACTTCTGGTTGGGTTGGTCCGAGTTTGGATAGGGAAGGTATTCCAATCCCTGCTCAAGAATGGGATTTGCCTGATTTGGTTAAAAGGAAATATGATCTGCAGCGTGGGAACATGATTGTCCTCGTTGTCGTCGATTGGTCGTAAGTGTCTTGTCATTGGAAGCTTAGATCGCAGTTTCTTGATTGCATTCCGATCCATTGTTGACGTTATCGTTCGTGTTAGGCTGCGAGATATGGTCTTGAACTGGTTGTGGTATGCCATGACGCTCGCTCACATACTCTACGCTGAACCTAACAACAACACACACATTCAATAGCCACGTCAGATCACTCAACATCCACAACTACATCCTTATCGCTCCAGACACCCAAATCAAAAACTATCTCCTATCCATTGGCGAATCAGTAGTCTACCACCCCGCACTAGCAACATCCACATCAACCCCAGAATACGACTCGCCCCAATTCATAGCTATGATGCATGCAAGACTGAAACTCATCCTATCCGTACTCCAAATGAACATGACGGTCGTGTCTGCTGATGTAGATAGTGTATGGTTGGATAACCCACTACCCTGGATTTGGGATTCGTTGAGACAAGCATCTGATGAAAAGGAGGTGTTTCCATCGAATGTGCAACGATGTGGACCTGATAAGGGGCCTAAAGTTGCTTGTGATATTATTGCACAGTCGGATATGGAGAATAGAGCACAGTTCTGTTTTGGGCTTGTTGCGTTCAAACCGACACGTAAGTTGCCATTCGAGCTTATATTGGATCGTTTTTTTCCCGCCTTGAGACAATACATTTCATACGTGCATACCTGCTCTCCGACGCTCACCAACCGCTCTCTCGTAGTCGATGTGTGGGAAATGTTGAGCAATGTATCAACCATCATGTCCAACGAACATATAAACCACACTGGAAAACAACATAATGATCAAGAAGTCCTAGGTCAACTCTTGACAGAATCCACAAAAGTGAATTGGAATGTGCTAAACACTCATAGATTCCCACCTGGTCGATCCTTCTTTGTATCAACCGTAAAAGACTACTTGTCTGGATCACGAATACCACCTATAGTTGTGCATAATAATTGGATTCTCGGCCACAAACCCAAAATAGCTAGGTTTGAGAAATATGGGCTTTGGAGGGTCGGTAATGCTGATGAGGGGTTGTGTTTGGATAGTGGATTGCCATCCAAACCACCACCACTTGTTGTAAATAAAGTAGTAACAGCAGTAGAGCCACCAGCCCAAAAACTACGTATAATCATCCTATGTAATGGTAATTTACCTGGCCTAGTATCTGCCATAGAGAGTCTAGCCAAGACTCATTGGGGTACACCCACTCCATCAGTAGACCTAGACCTCGTGATGAATCCAACACTGAATAAATCCACCATCAAGTCGTATGTATCCAAAATCAAAAAGATACGATGGAAGTCCGGAGACTTTCAGTACCGAGTAGGACTCAATTCTCATGTTTTAGCTCAACAATGGGCTAATTTATGGAATGGGAGTAGTGATGCTGTATTGGTTGCTGATGAGACGCTACGAGTATCATCGTCATGGTATGCTTGGTCTGTTAGTGCTTTGACTGCTAAATGTGGTGATGGTGGGAGAGAAGTTGATCGGAGGATTGCTTCTGTTATACCGGTTGTTACGTCTAGTATTGGGTATACGCATATGAAGCCGTTGAGGATACAGGAGAGGAGTACATGGAATCGGTAAGAGTTAACATCATCCGCTTTGTTGCCATTTGTTGGTTTTGGTCTCGCTCTTTTGCTAACCACTTTCCACTTCGCCTAATAGAGTATTCTTGAAACACCACTGGAAGCAATTTTACCGCTGGCTCAACACACTTCCTGAATCATTCGTACCAGGATTCCCATTCGCCACATATCCAATAGTAGGTCAAATTCACGGCTCAATATGGGATCGCACGTGGTCGCTCTACCACTCGACCTTTATGGGTGAAAAGGGATACTGGACACTCTCATCACGACCTTCATACTCTACAACACACGACGAAGATGCCAACACTGATGAAATATTTGCTGAACAACAGCTATGGAACACAGTGGAGACTGATTTAGCCACGTGTCATCAGATGCCAGTTGTTGATTACTGGGCTTCTACTGTATCGACTTCGAATGCTTTGGCGCATCGTGTGTACTTGGTATGGGGAATGTACCCGAAAGATAGGCAACGTATGGATGTGCCGCAATGGTTGGAGAGGAGTGTGTTGCTTTCTCAGAGCAAAGAGAGTGATAAGCCGGTTGTTAAGTGGAGTAAAGCTGAACCGTAGATATATGGTTGAGCCTTTGATAGTTTAAGATGTAAATATAATCATAGCTCATTGTGCGCCGAAAAAATAGATCACATTTGGGCACCGCCTCATTACACGTATAACAAAGCAGATGAGTGTAGATTTGGGAGCTTAACTGTTTTTAACACGTATTGGAGTGGGTTTCAGACGGGTTCTCCATTGGGTGATGAGCCGTGCCATTCACATGAAATCTTGGCTCAGAAAAATCACACCAAACACCTGCGAGAGCTCCTTACAAGCCCACTAATCAGACGATGAGCAGCACAAACGGCCACCCACAAGCTCCAAGACGAGAATCGCCTGCCACATATCAATCAAACTCAAGCAACACATCAAGGCCGATACATCAGGTAAACGAAAAAGTTGGATGCATTAAACGTTACAACCCAGGTTAGGAGAACAGTTCTTTTAACATGTTATGATTGAAATCATGTTTGTGCGTTTCCTTATCATTTTTGGAACAAACATTCATATGTTTTTAACCAACACATCAAACCACACTTCATTGAAAACGCAAAACGCAGGCACCTCGAACATCATCAACAACACACCAACAGCAACAACAGCAATTCGAATACCCACCGCCACGAGCAAACAACCCGTCTGCACCACCTCCAATTCCGGCAACAGAGATATCGTACAAGCCCTATTCGAACCGTGGTGCTGTTGAACAACTTGTGCAACAAGTGCAGCAGCAACAGCAGCTTAAGAAGACAGTAGCGGCTGCGTCTGCTGCTGTCAAGAAGCGAAAGACTGGAGCGGGTAGTAATGAAGTTTCGAGTAGTGAGAAGGGGAAGGGGCCTGTGAGTAAGAGGAAGGGTGGGAATGAGGATGGGGAAGATGATGGTCATGATGGTGAGTTTGCGTGGTTGTTTGAATGAATCCTCGTAATGGATTGTTATTCGTGCTGTTGTTTTCTTTTTTCTTCGCTAACTCCAGCTTTTCCATGGTAGAGAAAATGACGAGACAAGAAAAACGAAACAAGGATGTTGCTGATCGGTTGGCTCGTCTTGAACGTGATTTGTATGATACAAAGGATCGGTATGTTGTCGAATTCATAGAGCATATGCATATCTTTTTTTTTGTGTGCCCCAACCCTCACATTATTTGCGTCTACACAGAACATATACAGACTTAATGGAATCCATACGCCAAGAAATCCGAGAACTTAATGATGGCGAACACCCAGATTTCCAGAAAAAGATACATTTCTTTGAACAGGAACGTGACGCGTGTATATATACGTCGCAGTTGCAGTTGGAGTATCAGTTGGAGTTGGCGCAAGTGCAGTTTGAATTGGATAAGGAGCAGGTCATGGAGGATTATGCTGTGAGTAATTACAGATAGGTAGTCTTTCGTGCGTTTTTTTTTGTGCTAACATTCTCGTGGCGTTGGTAGGCTGAGAAGCAAGGATTAGGAGGCAAACTGCTTGAGAATCTAGATGATCGTAAGCGTAAAATTCGAGAGGATCGAGAGAACTTTGATATTACTTCAGGTATGCGTCGTTTTGCTGCCATATTTTTGGTTGATGTCTGAAATCTCACTCTCTTTCTTCAAACACAGTCGAAATGAATCCAGACTTCCAACGCCCAACACGCCGAACAACACGACAGCACACTACCACTACAAAGATTACCGAAGGCTTCGATGTAGCACTGACTCGACGAGGAGCACCACGTAAATCTGGAACGTCAAAAGGACCTACATTGCTGCTTAAGGATTATGAGGCTTTTGAGGATTTGGCTGCTATTCGAAAGGTATGTGACGAGATTTGTGGGCAAAAAGAAACCTGATATGTTGGAGGGTGAATAACCGTGTTTGCTTTCTAGGCTACTGTTCCAGTCAATCCTGCAGCTAAGGGACGTGGTGGTTATGCTAGTAAGAAGCAGTGAATGGAGAGTCCAAGGGTGTATAGTTGTGGCGGCACGGTTCTGTAACTTTTTTCCTATTTTTAACGACTAAAGTGCATTTGAAAGGTTTGAAGTATTTTGGGTTGGTCAATGTTGCTGTTGTGATATGATGGTGTTTCCTAGTTGGGTGTTTCGCTCTGTTGGGTTGGATGCAAGCGGGAGAGGTGTTTGTTAATTGTGCCCCAGACTTTGGATGATATGAGTTTTGATGTGGTGAGCGGAAGGGGCAGGTATTCAAACTGAGGGTTTCCTAGTTGGAGAACAGCTTAGACCGCGTTTGCGTAACTCAGACGAAATCCAACCAGCTCCACAAGCACAAACAAGTGCGCGCGGTTGGTACAAGCACAAACACGTCTGTATCTACTAATACGAATTTGTCGGTAGGTGCTGTCGTTGCTCCAATTTCAGAAAACTGCAGACGTTGGGTACAGTTGAAACTTTGTTTCGTGTGTGCTGGTCTTAGATACAATGATGACGCACAACTGCTCGAGGTTTCAATCATCGCAAACGTCATTCGAGCGGATTGAGAGAGACTTTTTGATACGACTTCAAGTGTGTCATTTTACACTGCCGTTCGTTTTGCTCTTGTATGAAATCTCCCTCACTCTGTGAAATAGTGGCAACCGATCTAGATTTGCCGAGACCAACGTGCCAAAGCAACACGACAACACACTACCAAGGGGAACGTCACCATAAGTTTTTTGAGAGAAAGCTGTGAGATGAATTCGATGTAACAGGATAAAACTTGACCTTAAATCTATTTCCAAGTCGCCAGGCGAAGAACCGGAAGAGGTCCAATTCCGATAAAATTGACAAAATACGATACGAAATGGGTGCGACGCGTTGTAGTCAAAATGCACGGATCCAAAAATTCCAAACGCAGTGTGGATACTACACACTGTCGCATCACGAAACCCAATTTTGTCGCAAACTACTTGGGGTTCAAATTCAAATAGTAACACTACTTCTATTTATCTATTATTATAATGTACAGAGTTGTTTTGCGTATATGGAACAAGAGTAGCGAATGCAAGAAAGGGTAATTCTAGGAGATCTTATGCAGTAGTAACCATCCCAACACGACATTCAATCCCACTCTTATGCATCCGTATCAGCTCCTTTTTCATCTCGCCAACATCCTTTATACTAGCAGCCATCTGAGACTCTAGCCACCATGAAGGAGAGCTCTTGACAACCGGCTTATAAAAGGGCGATGTCGTTTCTTTTACTATCTGATCCCGTATCAGGGCTACAGATTCCAACTCATCTCCAAGAACATCTGGGAGATTCGTCATGGCTAGTTTATCCACCAGTTGGTAGATGGTGACGGATTCACCTTTCGGTATTGGGGTATCGTTAGATGGTGTTATACCGTCCATATCAACTTCTTTGCGCATGCAGTGGTCTATATCGATGGCTGAAAAGAATGCTACGTTCTAAAGGTTGTGACGAAGTGAGCGGTTCAGAAAGAAATTGTGCCAAACCTGACTAATTTACCAGAGGTAAATCATCAATCCCAACACGACTAGAGAATATAGCTCTCGTCCACATATTAGCAACTTGCAAAGCATAGGCAGCCAAATACTGATGTTCCTCTAAAACTAAGAATCGGACTTCATCATGGATACTAATCATGAAGCGTCCGCTTATATCCATTCGTCGCATCAGATAGTCCATAGACACAAGGAGCAAGTGGAGATAGTCAACTCCTGATGATTGGACGGCCCAGTTGATCCTGCTAGGCATGAACTAATGGGGTAAAAATAGTAAGCTCGTACCATTGAAGGACCGCGAAGGAGCAAAAAAATCAGTGATAGACCGAGTACATTGATTCAACGTCATTGATTCACTCACATCGTTCCTAACAGTTTCAGGCCTCAAAGCGTCAGGAATCTCACACCCCAAAACAGGAGTCAGCGGAAACTCTGATTTAGCAATCCGCTCCAATTCATTAAACATAAACGACTCTGTCCCTCCAAACCAAAAATCACGATAATAGGGTGGCCCTTTAAACGAATATTGGGTTCCTTTGGTTGCTCGATACAGATTCTGCGCTCGTGCTCTAGCCTGCTCTTTAGTCATATCTGGATTATACTGCATCAAGAGCTGAGTAGCATGATGCAATCCAGCACCATATATACGGGAATAGTTAAATACTTTGGCATTATCTCGTGATATGCCTAATATACGGCCCGTCAAGGAGTGCAGATCAGAGCCTAGACTTTTCAGCCCTTGCAATGTCATGAATCCTAATGGTGTTGCGCCGTGCATCTGGAATTGTCTATCACCTAGCAGCGATGAAATCCATAACTCTTGAGAGTCCACATCAGCACCTACAATCTTGTATCCATCGGGCGACTGTATTTGCATCTTGAGTTCAGATCCGACGCGATTCTTCTTTGCGTTACTAGCTGTCATCCATGTTCGTTCAACTGCTCGTCTAGTAACAGTGCCCATAACTACAGACAACGGTAGAATCACTCCTGAAGCCTTGTCATTGACACCGTCAGCTATACCCATCCCAACTGTATCATTTTTCCACACTACGAATTGGCTGCTGATTCTATCTCGAGAGCCCAGCCAATACGAGCATGATGCATTCATGTTGAGTAATGCTTTAGCAGTAGTTATATATGATGATAGAGTCCCAGCCTCCATATACGGAATGAAGGGCTTACCCAGCGGGCTGCCAACGTTTAAATCATCACCGTCTTTATGAGGGATTCTATAATATAAATGTCCTGTATCAACTGATGCTCGAGCATCATAAGTCTCGTCATCGGGATTGGCTGAAAACTCCAGAGGTTTGAGTTTAGCCATACTATCGGCTTGTTCTATAGGTACTACAAACGTCCATCCGTAAGCCGCACAGTGATATAAAGGGAAGCCCTTCCATTGAAGCTTCAGTAGATATGGAGTTACGCGTTTGGTCAATGTGAGTTTAATCCGTTCTTCGTCACCTTCCCACAATTCTCTATACCAAGCCGGTTTGCCAGGTAAGATACGTTGACGGATTATCGGTCTGGATTCTACTAGTACGACACCCTTCTTGTTGATTCTGGGCTTGCTCATCTTTATAGGTGCGACAGTCCAATCTAGATTTCGCAACCAAAGATCGTCATCACGGGTTGGATCATCGACCTTTTTCAAGGCCTCTTCGGCAAGAGCCAACAATGTGTTTTCTATAGTCTGCTGGTACTCGTCGGATTTGGCCTCTGATTTGGCAATATACTTTTTCCAGTCTTCAGAGACAGTCAAGTACCCTTTACCCATATGTAGCATTCCAGCAAACGATACAGGATGGGGACACTTTTTCAAGAATCGGCCAAATACTTTGCTGAATACTAGATGGGTGGCATGAACGTCCTTGGCACAATACGTCATGAGATTGTCAAAATCGTCCAACACTTCTTGAGGATTCTCACTACCAAACGTATCACGGGCCGATTTGTCTAATATGTCACCTGTATAGTATTCTAACAGCTCTTTCAAACTATTCATGGCGCCAACGTCTAGCCACTGCTCAGACATAAAGTTTACATCCATGCCCTCACCATTCTGCTCAAACATGGATCTAGCCTTCTTAATACCCGTTTCACGATATCTCTTAAACTTATTCCAGGCTGGCCGTTGCTGAGATGACAAGCCACCGATAGCACAATGCAGGCTCATGGTATCCAAAAATGCGAATCGGGTTGGTTCTATAGCGTATTCTTCCTTTATTCTAGACCGGTCATAGGATACATTATGACCTATTATGACTCGATCTGTACTATGTCCACCCATGGGAATCAGTGTCTTGAATGGCCCGCGTTCATCATCACTACTGTCATTATTACTGTGTTTCTTCAATAAATCAGGCGAAGTCCACGAAAACCAATCAGTAGATGTAGCAGCTACAGCGATTACAGGATATTTCGATATCTTCCACATGACTTCTACATCAAACACCATCGCATCTCCATACGGATATGCCACAGCAACACCTTCCTCGTATGTGTCGTTGCCATATCGAGTCCATCCAGGCTTCTGCGACCACCGTTTCGGCATAGGTGGTAGCGATTCAGCAGCAAATCGTTCTGCATATTCTAGATACGGACGCGATTGCTCCAGACCTAGTACTACAAAGTGTTGCTGGATATCTCGACCAGCCAGTTTCGGCATGTCGAGATCAATCTCGCCAAGCGGAGTCTGTATTTTGTCCAGCAAGTTTGCTTTTTGAAGCACTTTTTTAGATAGCTTGACTTGATCTGACGTTGGCTTTCGTGATGGATCTGCGTTTGGAAATACTTGACGATGTAATGTCGATGACAGCATTTGAATTCCCAGTTCATTCGTTCGTTCTGCATATAAAGAGAGGAACATCTTGTTAATATCATTGAATTTTGAAGGCATTTACCAAATAAAATCTCATGAGTATTCACCAGCTACACGAGGAGCTTCCTTGATGGCTGCCATTTGTGCTGAAATCATTGACGAATGAAACGACCTTATTCGTACTTGCAAGTCGAGGCCGCTGACGGCACGAGCGTCTCTGCATATTGCCGTCCACATGCATATAGGAGACCGATCGTATAATCAAAAGTTGGCCAATTTCAACGTTGTTTGATTTGTAAGAATTTGATGAAAGCTTTGACATTATCTATTTAAGATAGCAAACAGCCGGCCACAGCTATGGATATAGTCAAAGATATACTATCAAATTGACGCGTTCTCGTTGTTGTTTCTGTATGTTGAGAGTGCGAAGTAAAAAGTAAACAGTTCAATTTAAAGTATATTTTCAAACTAAACAACATTGCAACGTTATGAATCGCAACGAGATAATGTCCAGTTTATATGAGATATTTGTGTGGTATCAGCGTAACATCATCGTCTCAAGTTATTCACCCCTACTCAAGCACTTCCATGCACATTCTTAGCTAGCGCATCTTCAGCAGCATCAACAGCACCTTCCAGAGCCCCTTTATCCAACACAATACCAGACATGTTATGAATCAAATGATGAATCTGATCTTTCGTTTCAGCCATATTCTCAATCCCATCCCTCTTCATCCACGCAGTCGTTAACCGCACAGCGAGTCCCACATCACGACCTTTTAACGACGGGTAAGATTGCATGACAAGACTACCAATAGATACAGCTTGTGGGATTTGTGGTGCTGATTTACGACGATTGGTTATTCCAGTGACACGTTTCTCGAATACGGTTCCTTTGAGTGATATGGGTGTTTCGAGCGGTGTCCAGTTAGTTATTCGAGAAGCCTCGTGGGATTTACCGTGTGGAGCAAGGTATAGAGGGAGTATTAACATATCGTTGTTGACAGTGTTGCTCTGGAGAGATGGTGAAGCAGTGGGTGATGATGTGTCTACCACGATCGGTATTGGATTCTTCATCTTGCGTTTGCTGTATTCGTCACTACTAGCAATACTCGATTTGCCTTGACTACTACTGCCATCATCATTGCCAACAACTACAATATGATCACCATGATATGGCGTTTGCGGAGATCCATTACCAGTATCCACAGATTCATAATTCGATGATGCTGGAGAATCCATAGCTCCATCTGCATCAATGACTTCATGCCCAACGATTTCAACTACCAGACCTACAATACGATCAGGTATACTACCAATACGAGTAGCTCTCAAGCTCACTTGGGCACTCAACCCACCAATCCAAGCCAGCTCGGACCCGTCAACACCTCCTTTATACAAGGTAACATGTAGATTCGGTCTGGTATGGTGCAATGGTGGCATAGGACAAGCAGCGAGTAGAGCTTGACGAGATGCAGAGTCTAGTTGTATACCTGTATAAGTCACTTCTTCGCCAATCTCGACGGGTCTTATTAGCGTCATGAGAGATACAGATGGTGTGCTAAATAATCCAGTGGTTGGTGATTGCGCTACAGAGTTGATACGGGCATTATGTTTAGCTACAAGATCTTTTACTAGATATTGTTCGAATTTGGGTTCAAGGAATTTCTCAAGCTCGGGTGCTTGTTGGACAAAGTGGATATCATAGGAAGATATGCGGGATTCGGATTGTATGGACATGAGTTCTCGTTCGAATATTTCTACATGTTTGGGTCGATCTTCATAGAATTCGACGTGTTTTATAGTTGGGAAGGCTTGCAGCAGTCGCGAGAGTACGTTTAATTTAAAGTGGATTGTGTTTGGATAGCGTATACGAGCTTCTTCTGTATCATGAGGTTCCTTAAAGAAGAAACTAGCAAGGCAAAATGAAGGTATGGTTCAGAGGCCTTGACACGCAAATTTCTAGATCTACACCTGATACTTACATATCAAAGGGCAGAGCATCTGGTTTCAGGTTCAAGCAAGTATCGACCACACGAGTTCCATATAACGATCTCCTCCTTCCAGTCAAGAGAACGGTAAGAGTAGTTTGGGGTTCTTGTATAGCCAACAAGGCATCTTTTACAACATCAGGATCAAACCAGCTCATGTCTGGTTCTTCTGGAATTCCTGGCGAGCCTAACGTTCGTGGATCTGTAAACCAACCAAGATCTGATATGAGTAGACCTGAGAGCTCGGGACTCCATAGGTTCGGATTCGGTAGTGGCGATCGAACTAGGTGTAGATGTGTCAGGAATAGATGTTGTGTGAATGTTGAAAAATGATGGGCGGTGACAAGAGTTTCATATGCGAGCACTTACATAGAGTAGAATCAAAGTCGAATATCTTCAATTTGGTCATGTTGCTCCTGGTTGGCGATGCTGTATTTCCGATGTCGACTTGCAGCACCGTATCTGATGAACATCCAATATCCTCCTTGTCCTCAGTGCTAGAAGCCGTCGAGGCCTGTCTGCGGTGACATGGGTGCCGTTTCGAGAATTCCTCAATCAATCTCTCATAGTGGGGTCTAGGTCCCTTCATTTTGGCGTGAAAGGCGTGTGTGTCGACAAAAGCAAATAAATCGTGACAATGGAAACTAAACGTTTTGGGCTAACCGTGATATGATAAGTCAATGATAGGAGTCAACGAGATGAGTTGAATCAAAATTTGCAGTCTACAAACTTTGGATCAGGTGTATTGTCCACCGGCTAGGTTGAGGCTGTTTGAGAAACTCCAATTAATACTTTTCGTCCGCTTTGTAGCTACAAGTTGGCTCGGAAACTCCCTCGAATTTCTTACAATCCATGTTCCATGTTTAAATACAAGGAAATAGCCGATTTAGACGCGTTTCGTCGTGACTCGACAGTTTTCCATATACGCAGCCCAAATTGTGTCGTGCATGTTGGACAAAACGAGCCTCAACGCTCAAGGAAACGTAGCTCTCAACATGATCTCGGTCTTATTATTATACAGAACTTAAAGATCTACTGGATCAACATCCTCTAGCCAGATCTGGCACACTGCATCATGATCTTCTGGAATACAACAAATCACTGATGCCATACACAATCCATACGATACACCCAACTATTCTAAGGATCGTATTACCAATTGCTAATGTTATAGCATTCGTTCCATGAATACGTCTAGTGTTTGCAACTGAAGCTCCAACTACAGCGACGGCTTCCTTGCTCATTGTCTTCTCATACTCTCGAAGACGTGTTGTGAGATCTCCTCCTTTCTTCAATGATTCAGCAAGACCAAGACCATCTTTTATTGCGGCTGTAGCTCCTAGCCCAGCTTGAGTGGTCGTCTTGTGAGCAGCATCACCAATCAACGTTACCCTAGACTGTAGCTCCTGTGCTAACGGATTCCGTTTGACGACCTCTGGCAACACACTAGTTATCGTATATCCACGGAAGATATCTTCGTCTGTAGTATTTCCAATCAATATAGCAGCATCCTTGGTAAGCAGCTCAGTAGCCAACCTAACTGTAATATCCTTCATAGCTTTTACATCCATCTCAGTCGACAAGCCATACTCTTGTGCTAGGGATTCAGGCACAGATACACTCCAAAGGAAGCCATCCGCGTTACTAACAAAACACAGGAAGCTGGCACCTCGGCTACCATTCAATCTAACTAGACATGTCGACGCTTCCTTCGTCAATGGGTTCGATACAATAGCATTCCTCCGTACAGTCCCAGCATTCGTCCAGTACCCCAAGTTTACAGGTATAAGCTCACTACATCGTTGAGCACGTACTCGAGAATTGGCTCCATCAGCACCTACAAGTATATCTCCTTCCTCAATAGACCCATCTTCGAAATAAACTTTAACACCAGTTGATGTCTCCTCGTACTTTACAAATCGTTTGTTGAATCTAACTATTCCGTCTGGGAGGTTCTTCATCATTGCTTGTCGAAGGTAGCCACGGTCTATTAGACAGCTGGTTTTGACACCATCGACGGCTGTAGTAAAGATATCACGGACTTTCATCGCGATCGTGTCCTTTATCATGAGACAGAGTCCTGATACGCCATCCTAGAAAATAGAGACTTTAGCATTGCTTCCTGCTCATACACCAGCAAGTGATCACCTTTTCCAAATTGTAGACACGCAAAGCTCAAATTGTTCATGCACCAGTAAATAAACTTCTTCAATAACAAGATCCAACCTCATTCTTCATCTTCACTCGTCTCATTTAGCTTCACATACCTTGCTGAGCAACGGCTTCACATTCCCACATCCAAGATCATTGACAATGATCCCGATAGATTCAGGACGTAAACCAATAATTAATCCCTGATGACGACTAGAATCTTGCTGATCCCGTTCATATATGATAGGAGTTATATGTGCTTCATCTTGTTGTTTCAAGAGCGACAGCGCAAGTGCAATACCACCAATACCGGCACCTATGATAAGTACTTTGATTTTACCCTTCTCTGCTGATTCTGATGAGGATGCCATGTCTGTTAGGGTAGATCAGTCCACACAAAGATCTTCAACATCGCAAGGACGGAGTTCTCAACGTGGCAAAAAGTTGTGTTGTGTGGTACGATTGGTGAACGCCTTTCAACCACTAACTTTTACGTGGCAAACTGGGCGAATGCAACAATCATGAGCATACAATTATAGCTAAAGTGTAATGCAAACCTATATACACGTAAAATGCCATTCACTCTCTACAAACTACTGCCTCCTCTTCTTATTTGACTCCCAGGTCTCCTCGACAGCATCTTCATAGACAGCGTCTGCAAAGACAGGATCAGGAGCGGTCGTCTTGTAGGCAGGATCCACGTAATATGGTTCATCTAAGAAAGACGTGGCGCGGAAAAAAAGTCAACAGTCAGTAGTCTAAGAATTCAAAGACATTCACATTTCAAAGCACATGAACTTACTCTTGGCTTGTTCAGCATACTTGAGAATAGCAGCACGAGGATCCTCATTTCTGGTATTGTCCTTGATGAGTGATTGTAACATTCCAGCTTGTATACTATGACCCAGACGTCCACCACGACCTGGTCCAGTCATTGGAAGTTCTATTGTTTGTGTTTCATGTTAGAATAGGATGATTTGCACTACCGTAGTTCAACAATCATTACCTGGTCTCATACTAGCAACTGGATCTTGTCGAATCTTTGCCAGCTTGCGTTTAGTTTTTCGTTGACCATCATCTTTGAGTAGTCCGTTTGGTACATGAATGACTGCTTCCATATTACTATCCAAAAGAACAGAGTTGAATGAGTCAAAGAAACGGTGCTATCAAAAAACGTCAAAACGCAAATTGGATGCTTACGCATTCGTCACCATTCCAGACCCAGCACTTCTTCTAAGACCCTTATTGGCACATAACAAAGCACCTCGAACACTAGCGACATCATCATAATACACATTGATGGTACCATTCCCACTACCAACAACAATCTGATTGATTTTGGGATGCCACAGAATCTTGACCACACTAGATTCCGTTACATTGACTTCCTTGATGGTTTTCAGAGTATTACCGTCTAATACCACCAATTTGCCAAATCCTTCCTTTCGAACACTTGTACCAGCGAGTACTACTGATTCTGTAGGTGAGAAGACAGCATTGGCTTCTCCGTAAAAGGATGCCAGGTTTTGTGCTACTGCTACTGGTTTGGCGACATTACGCAAGTCCCATAACTTGACTGTATCATCTGTTGCTCGTGTTAAGAGACGACGAGAGTCGAGTGAGAATGTTGTTGATGATATTTCGGATCCAGTCATATGTGCTGACGATATGGTCTATGAGAACATCCTGGTTAGATCCATGGAAACAGCATGCAAAAAAGCCATTGTTCTCTTCGAAGAACGCATCTAGAGTCAACGTGTGACTCTCAACCAACAAGAGAAACTTACATGAGCAGCTCTCAAAAACGGTGCCGTAGAGCCCCATATCCGAATAACACCATCCTGACCAGACGTAGCAATCATTTTACCATCATTCGAGTAACAAGCCGAAGTTATGGCGGTTCGTCCACCACGCTGTTCAGACTTGACTACAATGACTTGAGTAGATTGTTTCTTGGTTTCTACATCCCATATTCGAACAGTTGAATCCAATGATGCTGTTAGGAACTGTTTACGATCGAATGGATGCCATCGACAACATGTTAGGGCAGCTACGTGACCCCTATGATTTCAAATTGTGTGTGAGAATGGCATGAAAGCGAGCAAAAGAATGGGATAAGCATTACTTTGTATGTTTTGGATCACGAATATATGGGTCACCCTTGACATATTCTTCCCTATGTAGAGAGATATTATTATCAGAGAATGAAGAAAACCCTTGTCGAGAAAGGTTGCATACATACACAATGACACCATCACGATTATACAATTTCGCAAAGTGCATTCCTGAGGCAACTAGCACCTCACCACCTGAAGTACTGAATTGCAAATCTCGAACCTGTTGGAGGATGCAAAAAATAAGCATATGATGCAGCAGCTAATTGGCGAACGTACAATACAGCACTCACAGGGTTCCCTTCAAACGGCTCAATAGTCCTAAATGGCTTGAAACTCCCATCCATACCCATGAAATCCCAAAACTTGACATCCTCATCATGACTTCCGGTAATCAATCTCGCTCCAGCTGGATCTAGCGTTAAGGCTGACACGGTTTTACGATGATCTGATAACTGGATGTGGCTTGTTACTGGTACTACTCCTGATGATACATCAGCTTCGTCTGGTTCTTCTTCTTCGTCGTCATCGTCAGTTGAACCATCGTCCATAGACTCGTTCGCCTGTTCAGCTAGTGCCATTGGTGGCCCGACCATATCATCATCGTCGTCTTCTTGAGAAACTCCTTTAGGAGTAGAAACTGGCGGAGGTTTAGCAGCTGGCATCATAGGTCCTCTAGGAGCACCTACACTAACTTTAGCTGAAGCGGCAGCTACAGCAGCTCTCGCTTTAGGAGGTCGTAAATCCTCATCGTCTTCATCGTCATCATCACTATCATTAGCAGCAGCTCTACTCTTTCCCTTTGAAGCAGCTGGTTTTGATGATGGTACTATGGACTGTTGAGGTTTTGATGATTGTTGATTTACGGGCTGTTGGTTTTTGTTTCGTTTGCCAAATCCTCCTGCGACCATAGCTTCTAAGGCCGCCCACTCGTCTCCTTCATTAGACATGTTGTATATATGAGTGTATGGAAAGGAGCTTGATTGCGGTTTGGATTTTCCAGTGTTTTACAATGTCGAGACTCTAGCAATGAAGGATGTTAGTAAAGGTGAAAACGTTGTATTCAGATGACTTACCAGCGTATAATAAGCACGAGATCTGATCTATCCGGGTCAATAGCGAGAATTCCAAAGTTTACAGACAGAACTTTGAGATTTTGAGATGTTCAAATGGGCAGATTCATGTGGATCCCCAGCGAACGACGCGTAGCAGACAGTAAAGTTCGCGATCTGACACGCTATGAATACGTTGACACTCTCTCTGCGCTTCTTGAATAACAGGAAAACGCTGGAAAGCAACATTGCCAGTTACTTCAAAACCACGTCTGCAATAAGCAAGCATGGATGAAGATGAAGGCGGTGGTGGCGGCGAATATGCTGACCAAGAATTCGAAGAAGAGCAACTTGATGACGATGAACCATATGAAGAACAGGAGCCACAAGGAAACGACGAAGACGATGGTGCCGAACATGGAGAGACTGGTCCAGATGGTTTCCGTACTGAAGTCATGCAGATAGATGGTCAAGAGGTATAATTCATAAGCATGGCTTCGTCATTTCTTTCTTTTATTGCTGTTGTGTCAAGATACATCAAACATTTCTGACAAAAAAATCACCAACATTAGCGACCAGCACAAGAAAACGGAGTCCATCAACCAACCAAACGACGTAAACCAGGTCCAATCCCAAAAGAAGCTCGCTCTACTACTCCATACTTGACTAAATACGAAAAGGCCCGTGTATTGGGTACCAGAGCTCTTCAAATCTCAATGAATGCTCCCGTGCTAGTAGATACTGGAAACTTGTCGGATCCATTACAGATTGCTTTAAAGGAACTTAAAGCTAAACGAACCCCGCTACGTATTCGACGCTTCTTGCCTGATGGAAGTTATGAGGATTGGGATGTTGCTGAACTCATTCCTCTCGACTGAAGGATAGAGTATAGGAGGGGTTTTTTTGTATATATACAACACGTCTTTTCGCATGTGATTATCTGAGAAGCTATCGCAATATATATAGCATAGTATACTAGCACTGGGTTTGTACAATTAGGATTAGTGATGGTATGAGGAAGATGAGGGTCAGCCAGCTGATATTGAGTTTTCTATGAGAACTGGATTTCGTTGACGATGAGGGAGCATTTGGTGGGGTCACGACGACTGATGTCTTGTTTGCAGTCAAGATCCTTATAGATGATGAGCCAACATCTTGTAAGAAGGCTGGCAGTATTCCATTTGGATCAGTGTCGTTCAGAATCTAGGGAACCAGATTTTTAATAATTGAACGAATCGGGTTCTTTTGCTTCCATGAGAGCTCAAGCCAACAAACCTGAAAGTCCTGATATGTATTGTTTGCAACTCGACGAAACTCGTAAAGGCCCCTACAGTTGAACATTATGTCAGTGCTCTGCACGCAGCCAAATGGGTTGCGCTTTCCGGTTACCATATTTTGATTCTGGGATAGAATGAGTGCGTAGTAGAAGACGTAATGGTTTGCTGCCACCTACGTGTCGAATGCCAGGTCAGTTATCAAGCCATGTGACAACAAATCACCACCTTTTACCAAGACTGCTTTACGAAAAGTTCTCCAGGACCCTCAGGGACACTAATAGCATCCGGAAATATTCCAGCGAGATAAAATGCAGCAGAGCAGTCAGAGCACTAAAAAACAAAGGTTGCCAAAATCAGTGCACTCTTGAAACACGCATCATCACGAAGGCACTTACGCAGAAAGGCTTGTCATGTCCAACTACAAAGAGCTGATAAAAGTCGTATGCGATTCCGGTATTGCCGGTACTGACCAAGGGAAAGACTTAGCAACAGTCAATTCTGTGTAAGCGACCAGTATTTTTTTTACATACCCAGCGCCCTCCATGGACAGCAGAAACGTTTGGATTGACGGAGCCGTGTTTACCACGTATGGTTGCTGTGGTGGTACTAGACCGCGAGACGATGTGAGACATTTGGCGATTCAAACTTCAACCCGCACGTACAGTATTTTAAGGTTAATCCGACCCAGTCAACATAAGCATCACCTGGATAGTAGCAACTGTACGGATCTACGGTTTGAATAACATTATCAGCTTCGACGGGTTCGTTTCTTGCTGATGCGGGGCATACCATCAAACGAGTTCACCACTCCATCATTATTGGTATCCTGAAGAGTAAAATCTAATGTGCCGGGTACTGCGTTCTGTGCAGGGAATGATTCCAAGCCCCTCACGGTTGGACTCCACACGAATGCGACCAGAGGTGCCACTTTTCTCACTGCAATCACAATCTTCCGGAAAAAAGGGATGTAGAGAGATGGCTTCTGGCCGTATGGGTACCAATTGGCATTCATCTAATCATGTCAAGCAAGTATAAGTGCTTGGAAACTCCGTTTGAATCCAAAGAAACACGTACCTCTGGTGCAATCCTCATCAACACTCGTCTCCCTTTATCATTCAACGCCTTCATTTGAGCTGCCAGTGCTTGAATATCTGCGTCAGTAACATAAAGCATATCTCCAGCACTGAGTGGGTATATAGTCAGGAAGAGAAACGCATCTGTGCCAGTCCCATCTAAGAGATATGTTGGCGCAGTTGTATCCACATTGGGAATTGGGTTTGTTGAAGAGTTTGTTGGTATCGTTTGCGTCAATTGGTACATTGGCCAGTCACGTCCTGTTCTTTGGTTGCATGCTGCGGGTGTATCGTTATGGGCAGTCTAGAAGTTTTTCAAAGTCAGCATTTGGTGGACATGGGGTATAGCTTCGTCAATAGGACTTACATCTAGCCAACTAATGACATGAAAAGATATTAATACATGATAAGATACCACAACAATGAAAACGATCCGTGAAAGATGTCTTCTTTAGATCAAAGTCGAAGAGCAGATGTTTGGTAAAAAATCAACTTACGCCATAACATAAGCAGCATTGTCCGGGGGTTCAAATAAGGCACTTTTAACTTGTAGACAGTACATGGACGCTAGCATGAGAACTCCCCACCAGCGTATGGTGGGTGGAACCGCCCATGTTCCCATATTTGCAATTTAGCGTTTTGGAGTCAGTTTGCGATTTGACTACCGAGATTCCTCTAAGCTATTCCTCTTGTTTGGAAACTGACTTCTAATACTACGGCATCTCTTGCCTCAAACCCCACCAATTTCTACTGTTTGTTCGTAGCTAGTGGTCCACGATTGTAATTCTAAGCTACTGGTGTGGGAGTTTCTTGAACAGACGCACTGCAGGTACACAGAAATTGAATTTGAGAGCGACACTACGTTCCAGTTTAACATACGTGGATATGCTACTCCATCACCGTGCCAATCAAAAGCAATCGCAAAAAACTACCACCAGTTGTATATGATAAATGATGCAACGACACCTATACTTTAAATTACAACATAAATATTACGTAGCGTAAGCAATCCATACTTTAACACCAGTAACACCTCGTCTCGTAACATACGACGTCTTTCCAAAATCGACATAACTAGTTCCCTGTTGACCTGTACTTAGACGTCCATAACGCACAGTGTCTGTCACCGTACGTGTCGTTTTACGCCCACTGACCTGTATCCTATATCCTACTACTTTGCCCAGTGGCGATGCGGATGTTAATTGCTGGTTTGGTTTCATGATGTGTCTTTGGAGGACACGTGGAAGAGGGATATCTTCAACGTAGGCGATTTCATCTAGATGAGGTGGTGACGATAGGAGTGAGTTGGGTGGCGACCAAAAAAAATGTATTCAAATGATATAAGATGGCTGCTCACCCGACGTTATTAACGCATCACCCCCTTCAACTACAGGATCTATCAGTGTACTTTCAACAGGCGTATTCGACTCTGTTATGCCCTCTGATGCCAATTCACTAGGTTGCTCTGACGACAACGAAGCGTCCTGAATAGCCCTGTCAATAGCAGCATCATCAATCTCCTCAAAAGCTTCATCTGCAGCTGAATCCAATCCATCATCCAGACTCGCAGTAGCAGCCTTTGCCTTGCGATTACAGTATTGTTCTGACTTTATTTTCAAGAAACGTTCCCACATGTCTTGTCGTGAACCTGGAGGGTGGTTTGGTATGCCTGGAAATGGATGTCTTTTGTAGAGATGCATGTTTAGGTTTTTAGGTGGTCGTGCCTATATCGTTGAATAAACGTCAATGGGTGTGCTCGTTGTCGTTTTTCGCAGAATTGAAAAAACTTGGGAAGAAAGCTCTTACAAGAGGAGCCTGCATCGTTGTAACTCGTGGAGCCTTGGCGCTTAACCGTGCCAGCTCATTTAGAAAGTTCTTGTAGACTGACAAGCTCCTTATTGTCTTGCTCATTGTTGCTGTTGGTCTTTTGTGGAAGTGAGTGTTGCTGAATTTGAAAAGTTCTGGTCGTCCATTGTTTTCGATATTTTCTGTTATTATTCCTATTATTCTTCAAATTCTATATACAGAAATAACGCTTACATGCACGTAATCGAATCAATTTCTAGATTCTCAACACATTGAATCATCATCGACGTAATGACAACTCCAGCTCCATTTGTCGTCGTTTCAGATCCGCAAAGCGTATCCTGGAAGTGGACCATTCATGCTGTGTCTTGCACGAATGCAGGCTCTGTGAGCACAAATGTAGTGACATGTGGTTTTGTATCGCACTGACTCAAAATTGGCAGATACAATCAATCCTATACCGAGGAATGTCATTTTCTGTCTTCTTTCGTCCCAATGACGAGATCGAGGGCAAAAAGTGAGTGTGCATGAATAAGTACTACCTGCTTTGTTTGTTGTTTCCTGACAATGCCAAACTGCTCCTTCTTTGTACTTTTCAGTAGCGTGACGTTCGGTGAGTTGGAGCAACTTCATCGCCATACCATCGATGATTTGGATTCTTATCCAGTTGTCTATTCAGATGTGAAGGTGCATGGACTTCCAAATGGTGACACTGTTGTTTCCTGCACCTTGTTAAAAAGCATTCGTGGAGAACAAGACTTTGTTTATGCTTCTGGTCAACGCTTGATCACTCTTGCTAGTGGTATGGCTTCTTGTTATCTTTCGATGCTTTGATAAGTTACAGTTTGCTCCTTAGGTGAATTGGAGGCACAGGGTATCCCTTCGCTCACATATTGTGAACAAGAGTTACGAATCTCACGAATTATTCGGTCCAACCTCGTTCCAGATTTCATAACATTATCCTATGTGAAGGCCGCTATCATTGGAGATTCGTTGACATTCGAACTGACAATCACTGAAGATGAAAAAGGAGCTGCTGAAATCATCACCACACCGTTTTCGGAGCTTTGTTTGAACGACGAGCTCTCTGATATTGATGTTGAAGTCGGAAACAGCAACGATGAGATAGAGGTCATACCCGCTCACTCACTTCTTTTGAAATTGGGTTCGAGTGTAATTCGCCGTATCTTGTTCAGAGATCTCTCTCGTAAGTGAAATATGATTTCAAACCAGACAATGCGACTTGTCCATGCAAAATTCTGCTTGGCATGGTATGTATAAGCATTTCGCTTACTTGGTACTCAACCTAGCAAACGACTCAACCACAAATCCTTCAAGTACTTCTCGTCACAAACTCAAACTTGGGTACTCACCACTCTGCATCAAAGCATTGTTGGCCTACATGTACCACCGTACCTCTGAGCATTGGTCATTCACCAAAGCCGATCAAGCCCATCTTCGTCTGGAACTATTAGAGGCTTCAGACTTTTATGATATTAGATCTCTCTACGCATCAACTTTGAATACTATTATTTGCCACGATCTCAGCCATGACACTGCATTGGAAATGTTGGTCATTGGAAGCAGGTTCCCGCGTGACGAGTATTCTCTGAAAAAGGCCGCTCTGGATTACATTGTTGAAAACAGAAAGGCAACCTTGATTTCAACTGCATTCGAAGCATGGTCAAAGATTGACGAGAATGCATTATTGTTGGTTGAAATTGTACAAAAATTGGCCTCCGACTAAAAAAAGTATAGTCCTTGATTGTAAAGCCGCAATTTGCCTAAAATATGTGTAGATTTAGATAGATTTTCAGATTTTCACCTTGCGAGTTGGTTTTGGTCATCTTCGAGGATGAGTTGAAAAATATCCGCGGATCAGATCTCATCCGTTGAAAAACATCAATATTCAATTGACGGTCGCTCCACGTTATAGACTCTAATAATTTTATCTTGCTCGTTTGCATGGATTTCGGGCTTGTCCCTCTCACGGAACCACCACTCCTCCACGTCAAAATCCACTTTAAATATTCTTCACCCATAATCACTGACCACGGCAACATTACCTTTGACCCACCACCACCCCAGTACTTGAGCCGTGCCAATGCACTTATATCACAAGCCTTACGTCGTTATCCTGCCAATTTGACGCCTATTTCAGACGTGATTCTCGCCACAAACATCCAACTGGAATCGAAACTGTGGTCTGGCCTGCCCATCCTCGAACAAGCTATTCTATTGCTTGAAGTAAACAACGAGGCTAAAGAGCATGTACTTCACCACGAACTGTTTCATCTGCTAATCCATACTTGTGAGGCAAACGTGTTGGGGGTTAATGCTGTTTCCGCCGCAAAACAGATTAGGAATGCTTGGCCAATAGCGACCGACCCTCAGTCTTTTGTAACTGATTACGCCATGACGAATGTTGATGAAGACTTGGCAGAGACGTTTGCCTGTATGATGCTTCGAACAACAGGAAAACACGTGTCAAACAATGTCATCCAAGCCAAGAAACGTCTTATACTGGATTTTCTAGTGCAAAGCTTTACTAAACTCGTAGTTGATGCCCTCAATATGACGTCTATATAATACGGGTAATTCCCTCTACAATTTTGCAACCTTTGGGGAGACACAAAACATGCTAATGCAAACACTATGCTAGATTATACAATGAAAAGTTGCCAAATATATCAACGACGCATTCAATGACCTCATTCAATCATGCACTGATGGAGTACCACTTCCTGAATTCGGCATTGACATTTCACGCCTTGATTCAACCTTCAATGATATCCCATCCTTCTCTGCCATGGTGGTTACAAGGGTGTCAATCAATTCAATCAGTTTTCCAATATCTGTGAAGATGGTGAGGCTGCTGCCTCCGAGTTTCGACGCGTGTCCTATGTAAAAGCATGTTTAAGCCCTGTGTTGGTCAGTAACGAGATGTTGTGGGATCCACACTACCGTATATAGCTCCTCCCTTTTCTTCAGCAGACGTCCACTCGTCTTCGATACGTTCTAGTTCTGTAATGGAGACGTCTTTACATTGTAGTTTCGATCTTATGACGTACGATCGGTAGAGTAAAGTTGCGTATAGACGTTGACTGAATTCAAATGTAATTAGCCGAGGATTGGAATAGAAACAGACAGAAATCATTCTTACATCAGTCCAGCCACAGTCTTGCATTCTTGTCCCACAAATGCATTGAGAGCAAACGAGAACAAGTTGTGACATGAAATGACTTCTCCATGTAACTGATTTGCAGTTTCCGCATCTTTCAAATCCTGACTAGATTGTAATGATTCCTGTAAGAAGCAAAAAAGAAAAGCAGCTTCAATATACATTGCCATCATTCAATCAGTTGTGCGTTCCTTACGAGATTTGAAGCCAAAATAGAGCAATAATTCAATATAGCCATACTCCAATAAATAGCAGCTTGCAATGAGTACGAACAAGCGCCTGGCTCTTTCTCCTTTAGTTGTTCTTCGTGTGCTGCATTTCCTTGCAAAATGTAGTGATCATAATCGGCCCTCAACTGTGCGTGGGACTTGGAGGAGAAACTGATATGGGGCTTGCGATAGTCGGGCGTCTTTAAAGTGGATTCAGGATTTTTCTCAGACAGGAGAACTAGTTGTAAAAGTACGAGATCAGTTTGCTCATTGTCAAATTATGTAAAAAATCACGTCAAAATCGTGCGAATATAACAAACCGATTTCTATTGTCGGACACCAGTGGTCGGCTTTGGGCAGTGCGCATTGGCATTGTGGAGCTTCTCCTGCAGCTGTAATCATTGCGCCGTCAAACTTGCTTGTCTGAAAAGTTGAAACCAGTGGGCTTTGACAACATTGGATGATCGCGACCAAGAGTTGACCGATGCTAAATTTCAGTATCACGTCAAAAATAAGTTGATATTTGATTCAGCCTATGTTTTATAATCTCGCTACAATTTGTGCAGCGCTTGGCGCAACCCACTTCCCCTTCAATCTCCCCTGAGCATCTTCCACCGTTAAAGCCATAGCCAATGCCAAATCCTCCATAGTCTCCTCTGCGGTCGGTAGAGCAAGATTAAATGGTGACGTTTCGAGCTGTGCAGTCCACCTTTTAGCAACTATACAATGCCATGTATCATTCATGACTATCGAGTGGTCAACTAGCAGAGCAGACGACAGCACATATCCCATATTCATCATAAGCTCTCGACAAGACTCTTCAGCACCTACAAGAGAAGAAGAGAGTTTCTTTACGTATTCCTGCAATTTTTGTAGGCTACGACGGATTATTTCGGTTGTTGGTACTAGATCGTGGCCAACAGGCACAACATTGCAACAGGATTCAATCTTCTTGACATAGAGGTCCATGGCTTCTTTGCCACCACCGAATACTCGGAGGACATCCAGGGCTAGTACGTTTGTGGTGCCTTCCCAGATCGTGTTGACTATGGTGTCGCGTAGTAACCTAGCTATACCAGTTTCCTCCATGTAGCCTACCGAAATGTGACAGAGTGAGCAGTTGGATCACAACCACTTTTTTCGAAAAGTGACAAAAGTTGAGTAAGTTAAACCAAAAGAAACGAAAACGTCTAGACAGGAAGTACTGGAAGTACTGAGACCCATACCTTGTCCACCACAAGCTTCGGCAGTCTCTGCTATGCCGCCTACAGCCAATTTCGAGCACCAGCCTTTAGCAATTGGCGTCAAGAGCCTCAGCAACAAGTCCACATCAGGTACAGCCAGTCCTTTACGGGACGCATCTTCAGCTTGTCCAAGTAGTCGTACAACATAAAACGTCAAGTGTGTTGAAGCAGCAGACAAAGCAGCCAGCTTGGACAAGGTCCTGATATGTGCTGGTTGGCTCCACAGTGGTTTGCCAAAGACTTCACGTTTACGGGCATAGTCTCGAGCAATTGCCAATGATCTTGTCAAAGCACTTGACGATCCTACTGCCGAGTGCAGCCGGGTAATGTTTAAAATCGTTGCGATGGTTGCAACGCCTCTAGATTCAGATCCGACACGTCGAGCAATCATGTTTTTTAATTCCAGTTCGGCGGTGGGTACTGGTTTGGTGCCCAGCTTGTTTTTGAGGCGGTGGAGGCTAAAAAAGGGAACAATCAAGTCAACGAATGCGACGACGCTTCGGCGATATCTAGCTTACCGAACACCATTCAGCTTTCCTTGCTGATCTCGCAACTCGGCATAAAACAACGAAAGACCTTTAGAGCCGGGAACACCACTCTGATCAGTGGGACGAGCCAATAAGAAAGTCATTTGCGAGTCTGTGGCACTACTGAACCACTTGAAACCCGAGATGCTCCAGACATTTTTTTCTCCGTCGAGGAGCGTTGCTTCAGTTTCAGTTCGACCGACATCGGATCCACCAGGACGTTCTGTCATCCATTGGCCCTACAAATAGAACAATTAGCAACTATTCGAGACTCAATGCGGGATTTGTACAACAACCTACAGATGTAATAAACGTGTTTGGATCTCGAGAAGTCAGCTTCCTGAAAGCATTCTCCTTCAGTTCTTTGTCACCATACAGCTCAATTAATCGAGCTGCACCGTCAGTCATTGCCAATGGACATCTTGAAAACAAAACCCCATAAGCCTTACAAGCCATAATTCATCAGCAGCAACAAACCTTTACGTACGTATAAAGCGCAGACGACGGCGAATAGATGAAATATTTCGCCATCTGCAAAAACCTATCAAACTCTCCATACCGCCCTTCATACGCCATCGAAATCACACCCTCACGAGCAGCGACAGGTTTTTGAGCTCTCCATCCTTCAGCGGTTCGAAGAATATCAACGCGCTGGCCCCAGTGGTTGTGTGTTTGGATCTGGGGGAGGTGCTCTTCGGCGTCTCTGATATAATCGAGCGCCTCATCTGAGAAAGGTAAAACCATTAGGGTCCAAATCGAAGCTTAGAGCCAATGGAATGCATGGATATGTTACCACTAACGACATAAGCACCAAATCGTCGAAAATCAGGTTCAATGTCCTTCATGATTGTTTTGGGCACATGTCGTTCCAGTATGGAGCTGTACAACCGAACGAGACTCAGTGAGTCGAAACAATCGAGTTTCATACATATTTTGAGTAAGAATGTACCGTAAAACATGGTCCTCGTCGTATTGATTTTGAAATTCAACTGGTGTCTAATGTTTGACGAAATGAGGTTAGTGCTCGCGGCGTGGAATTGCTTGGCTAAAACGTACTTGGAAGAAGCCTTCCGATGCTGAAGCTGGCATTTTCAATAATCAAAGTCGGTGTGTCCTAGTTTTCTTGATAACGTTGTCTCAGTCGTACATCAAAAATAGGGCGGAACTTATGAGACGGGTTGGAAGCAAATCTGAACTAGACTAGGAAGATCTCGCACGCAACGATGACGAATAGAAAAATCTTCAGACGTGATTTACATTTTGTGAAGCCATCACTTTATTTTACGACTTTCTCAGCAAAAAAACTACAACAGAGACCAGGTCTCCCACCACGTTTCAACCCCTTCAAACCAACAATGCTTCTACTACACGTTCGACAGATCCATGCAGAGCAAGTAGCTCCTGGAGAGCAGATTCAGGGAACGTTGTACCGAATATACTAGTGAGAAGATCGATTCGAGGGTCTACTCCAGAAGTTCCTTCAGCAGCACCACGTGGAGCAGGACTGGCCAATGTAACCAATTCAGGAGATCGAGCAACGTTGAGTTCAATTTTACGGAATTGGTGCTTTTCTGGATGTGCCAAACCCTTGGTGAAGCATCGGATACACAAGTCTATAGTGGCAGTGCAAGTAAGATTCATCAGATACAGATTGTGATGTGCTGATTCGATGAACCCATTTTTTGACCGACAAATCCAACTTACCGAAATCTGGACAGTGAGTACATTTGAAACGAGGACCACCAAAGTTGCGAGCGTTACATCCATCGCTAGTAGACGTAAAGCGTTTCAGAGAAAGCACTCACTATGTGTCTCTCAAAATAACAGACTTACCAGCTGACTTGCTTATGTACAGCACCTGGATCAGCAATCTTTTCAAATTTATGAGTAGTGTCATGGATAGAGGCAGATCTTTCGTGACAACGAGCACACAAATCTAAAGGTATAAAACGCGGTCATTGATATTTCTATTGCGGTCGACTAGTGCAAGTAGTTTCATACCATAGTCTGGGCAAGAAGTGCATATGAAGCGAGATCCGGGGAAGCTGTTACGGCCACATCCGTCACAAGCGACTCCATACCAGCGTACTGAAGGATCAGCTAATCGTTCAAATACATGACTATCATTGTGGACTTCACCAGCACGAGTGTGGCATTCACCTGAAAAACGGAGGCGAATGAGTACATTCATTGTTTAAAATGGATATTGCCACAATGAAATTAGCAGAAGCTTACCACACAAGTCAAAGTCGGGACAGTTCAGGCACACTAAAGTGCACAATGAAAGGAAACGTAAGTAATCCAGATACGAAACATTAAGTGGTCATTGTAAACACCATACCAAATCTTTCTCCAGCCCATCCAGATTTTCCACAACTGTCACAAGTTACTGTAGACCAGACAGCTGGTTGATTATCAGGAGCATCTCCATTGGCACGACGAGCACAACGGCCTCCACGTTTTCCATATGGCCCATGATGACCGTGACCGTGATGACCATGATAAGCCTGACGACGTCCACAAGACGGAGCGGGAGTAGCTGTGGGACCACCAGAGAGCAACAGACCAAATCCACGAGAAGCCAAGTTAGAGTTGGATTCATTCAAGAGACGACCAATATACTGTGGATTTTCTTCCAATAGAGCAATAGTCTGTTCAATCAGTGGTTGAACTTGTCCAACAAAAGCCTGGTATGCAGCTTCAGCTTCTGCAGCTTTACGAGCAGCCTCTTCTTCAGCTGCTTTACGTTTGGCTGCAAGTTCTTCTACTTCGCGACGGAATCGTTCTTCGGCTTCGGCCTTGGCTTTGATGGCGGCTGCAGCAGCTTCTTCTTCGGCCTTGAGTTTGATGGCTGCGGCTTCTTCTTCGGCTTGACGAAGAGCCTGTGACTTCTCGAAAGCTGTACCTCGAGATGCTTCGGCTTCTGCGTCTATGGTAGGGTACAGTGGCAGCTTGCCCTTTTCTTCGGCAGAGTGGACGGATGAGCTATCGACGTCGATATCAATGACTGGAGCCACTATAACAGTAGACTACAAAAACATGAGAGTTAGAATCATGAAAACGACCTGTTTTAGCAAAAGCATTCAAGAGGAAAACGACATTCTTTGAGAAAAGAAATTCAAGAAATGGATCTCTACCTCAGAGTATGCGGGAAGAGAAGATTTGATTGATGAAGCATCAGTGGCCTTTGCTACCTCATCGTTGGAGACGACTTCAAAGGAGTCAGAGTCAGGATCTCGTACATTGACGTTCAGCTTTGGTACTAGATTGGTAAAAAAAATATGATAAGTTTAGTTTCAAAAGGTGGCAAAGGTCGAATGGTGTGACACCATATCTTTCTCCATATTTCAAATAGAATAACCAAGAATACCTTTAGAGTTTGAATAGTGGTTCAAAAAGTCCAACAATTCAGAATCGGAATCAATAGCAATAGGGTCAAATTCTTCATCAATATAAGTCACCAAAAGTTGACCGCTTGGCAGTGCATGGGCACGTCGAATCTAGGATAAGGTAAGCAGGCTGGTGAGCGATACTGGCTTGCGATAATAAACAGAGAAGGCATGAAAGTGTATGTTTCTTGAAGTATTCAGTGCGTCAAATCAAAAAGATTCGTAATCACATGTGTGATGTTGATGGCCAACACAGAGCGAGATAAGAGCAAAGGAGAGGACTGTACCATCACAGGCTTCTTCTTATCGTGCTCATGATATGGTACCGACTTTAGCACGAAGTGAGTATTGGACGTACCTGTTCTTCAAGAGACAACCAAGACTTGTTTTGGATGGTTATCTTGCGAATAGTGCCGTTGTAAGATACTTTGATAGAGGACATGCTGCCTATAGTGCTTGATTTAGCTATATTGGATCTTTGTATATTGTTGCAAGTGTTTAAATTCGAGGCGTCAAGTCGCCTTTTTGTGAGGTGGGTGAACAGGAGCTTACGTGTTCCCATGCATACGCAACACAGAACAAGCCAGAATCAACGGATGGAGTGACGCGTCGGATTTGGAATTCAAATCAAGTTTAAACTAGACTGTATTTCTAGATGGTCCTAGATTCCTTCGATGAGCAAGTCATGGTCTACAGCATCGAAACACGACGAGGTGCCTCAAAATTGCGTTGATTGTCGAATGTAGCCTTACTTGGCCACAGTGAATCGATGCTCGCATCTAGCCCTCCAGCCCTTGTATAAATCACCGGCCAAAAGTTGGTTTCATTCCCACAATGCCACACCATAGTGCCGATGCCATGCGGACACTGCCTCCTTGCTCAGAACCAATGCCCATGTCCACGACACCTGCTGCAACTAGTGCGCCAGTACCAGAACTGGATTCTGTGGTTGCTATATGAATAATGATCGTCGTTACCAGCTCTTTTTATCGAGGCGACACACTAAGGTGGACTTACAGTTGTTCAAACTGGCAGGGTTTCGCACAACAGAAGGGTATCCTGTATCAGAGCCCACCACTGACCTAGTAAATTGGACAAAGGTTCAACAAGTGTTGTAATGATGGGTAACAATAACAACAGAAACATACGCAATAGGCTTCACAAGTTGACTTTCCAACGATTTTGCCACCAGCCTCTAGCACTCTTGTGACTACAGTAGCGTCAATCTCAGGCTGATAGCCTTCAAACAACTTGGTCGCATTATACATTGGCACGCCAGCGACATGTCAAAAGTTTGTGAGAATCGTTGCATCTGAAAGCCACTACACAGCTCAAACCCTATTTCCAGGTAAATTGATTCCAAAAGTTCAACAACTCACACAAATTTTATCCTTGATAACAACAGTCTTCCCAGCAAGCTTCCCGTTGACTTTACTGCCAGCAATGGTGACAATATGACTCCAAGCACCATAGGGATTCTCGGCTGCAGTAGGATTACGAGACTTAACACGTGATACGTATGAACCTGTCTAGATCAGGCATTGGTAGGTAGTCAGGCATGGGTTCAATCGCTGTTGTAATCTCGTCCTGTCGTTGCCTTCCATTTCCGTCAATCCTGGCTTTTTCAGCGGATAGCTCGGTGTTTAGCTTCTGTGCCAAGATCTTGATACGATCCGTGTAGGAGTCCATAGCGTTTGGTAGTGGGAATGTCGGGATTGTGCGTGGTTTTTGGTTATGTTAGTGAAGTCACACGAATATCTGGTGTATTAGGTATTAAGAGGCTGATTCTTGGTCAAAGGGGCCAATACAGTACGTTTAGTTTCGTGTCATTTCATTGTGGATAAACATCCAGAACTATCAAAATAGCTTTTGTATTGTTGTGTGTTAGAATAATCAGGACTTGAAGAACCACGCACAATTACAGCAGCACCGCAATCCAACGAAGCTAACCAGCCAATGTCCATGTAGAAAATGTCCCAAGTCAAAACTACGAAAGATGGACCAGTCTTCATCATCACAATCAATCGGCCTGAGGTTTGCAACACACTTCATCACAACTTCCAAAACACATGTCTTAAATTTGTCATTCTATTGCAGGTCAGGAATGCAGTTGACAGAATCACGGCCGCTCTCCTCGTTAAAGCCTTCCGAGCCTTTGAAGCTGATGATTCTGTAAGTCTCGCTCAAATACTGTCAATCAGAACGATTCTGATATTTTGTATCATCAGGCCAAGGTTGCCATCTTGTATGGAAACAATGGCAATTTCTGCGCTGGTGCGGACTTGAAGGCTGTGCTTGAACGTCCACAGGACGGACCGCAGATGAATGCGTCGTTGGAGAATTGGGAGCTGCAAGGACCTATGGGACCGTCGAGGATGAGGTTAGCAAAGCCTGTGCTGGCTGCTATTGAAGGTATGACTGAGGTTCTCCTGGATTCAGATCCGCACTCAACTGTATTGCAAATAGGATTCGCTGTCGCTGGTGGCATCGAACTTGCTGCATGGTGCGATATGCGCATATGCGCTGAGGATGCAACACTGGGTGTATTTTGCAGACTACGAGGCGTGCCGTTAGTTGACGGAGGCACAGTCAGATTGCCACGCCTTATTGGTCGATCGAATGCGTTGGATTTGATTTTAACAGGACGACCAGTTCAAGGCGCAGAAGGTATAGAAATTTGTACGTGAACGAAGACACGAGAATATTACTTACCTGCTTAATCTTGTAGCGTTGAGAATGGGTCTAGCAAACCGAATAGTCCCTAAAGGAACCGCATTAGCCGAGAGTATCAAACTGGCCAAGGAGATGGCTTCACACCCACAAGTGTGCTTGCTGAATGATCGCAAGAGTGTTTACGAGCAATTGGAGGATCGGAAAGCTATGGAAGTGGAGTTCGAACTGGGTCAAAAGACGTTAGCGTCTGGTGAATTCAGACAAGCTGTTGGTGCGTTTTTGAGTAAGAAGACCACAAACCCATGGGGAGCAGGCAAGAGAGGGGCGGAATCCAAGCTGTGATAACGTAAAACCAGCAATTCGTAGTGTTAAAAATATATGACATCTATTTTTTTGCTTTTGAAAATGAATTTTAAATAAATCTACTATTACACTACATCCCACGTTTGGCGATTTCACTATGCCAATCAGCAGCAGCCTCGAATCCGTTCTGTCCCAACTGATAATCCGTTATAGCTGCATAGATCTCGTTCTTCGAATTCATGACAAATGGGCCATGTTGTACAATAGGCTCATTGATTTTCTCGCCAGCAATGATGACAAAATGAGTGTGGTCGTTCTCTGTAGTCTCGATAGTGATGCCGTCACCTTCATCGGACATTACCATAGTGGTATGTGGCTCGCCTTTGGTCTTGTCGGCACCAAATAGAGCTGATCCAGACAAGACGTATACAAATCCAGTGTAGCCAGCCGGTATTTTCTAAAGGCAGATGTTGTGAGTTGGTGCCGTTTGAATTGAAAAGACCATTTAAGGATAGGGTCGAGCTCGAGTTGTTCTTGACGCAAAATACCACAAACATTTACCTGAGTGACTGCTTTTCCAGGAACCATCTTGAAATCCAAGTAAAACAAGGGTATATAGGTATGTACTTTTGCCTTGACTCCTAGCGATTCACCAGCTATAACCTTCACCACCACACCATCAGCGACAGCTCGTGGCACATTAGAGTCGGTCAATTCTTGGTATCGAGGCGGGACCATCTTGTCCTTCTTGGGCTGTGGCAAACAGACGTGAACTTAGTCAACTGGCTACCCAATCTCTGTGATTTGCAAAAACTTACCAGATTAACCCATAGCTGCAAGCCATGTGCCATCTCCGCACTAGCTGGCATTTCGGCATGCACGATTCCTCGGCCTGCTGTCATCCATTGGAGATCACCAGGAAATATCTTTCCTTTGTGGCCGACAAAGTCTTCATGTTCGAATACCCCGTCCAGCATGTATGTCACAGTTTCGAAGCCTCTGTGAGGGTGGTCTTGGAAGCCAGCGGGGGCTTTTACAAAGAATTCATCGAGCATCAAGAAGGGGCTGTTGAAAAAAGGTTGTCAGCGACATTGGTCAACGTTCTTGAAGCGAGCAGGTAACTAACTCGAGATTTCGTAGTTCATAAGTTCCAATGGATCGTCTAACGCGAGCTCCGACGCCTTCAGCTTGTTCTCTAAATAAGGTAATGTTGATCAGATCGATGTTCTCAATGTTGGTGGTAAAATAGGATAGTGTTGATCAGATCAATGTTCGCAACGTTGGTTCCACCACGTAGCAAACTCGAATAAGAGCCAAGAAAGCATAACGATAGAATCACTTACTTTGAAAGAACAGTCTTGACAATACGTTTCTCAGTCATGATGTTGTGAATGTTCCTCTGTTGCAATAAAGTTGAAAAGATTGGGTGTTTGTACGATAGCTTGTTGAAACTAGTCTTGAATGGGTGGAGGATACGATAAGCTGCCACGATGTAGATCTGATACTGTGTGTTGAGAAGATTGCAATGAAGGATTGGTCGCTTTTTATAGGATTCTTGGAACCGCAAAATTTCTAATCGCAAACGGTTTCTCGATGCCGGAACAGCAATGGTTCGGTCGAGATAGTTTGGAGAGCATCTTGATCGTTCCGTTCGTGACTGTATTGGTCTCGTGATGTATGAGAACGTGCTGGAAAGTGCTCAGAGTCCGGTTCATACACTCACATCACATCAAGGATGTCACATTGACGACACTCACTTTGATGTACCGTGTTTTTGGTTTGAATTACGAACTTATGATAGTTGAAAATCGTAATAGGAGCATTGGTAGCTTGATATTGGGAACTTTGTCACGGTTTGAAATTCTCTGGAAACTGCAAGTCGAATATCGTACGCTTTGCCAACCGGATCAAGCCGAACCAGTATGATGAAGCTAATGTGGATTATAGTCTTTAGCTATGCTGCTGTCGGGGGTAGACCGATCGCGTAGGAAATTGTGATGGTTGTCCTTGATATGTGAACAATTGCCAATTACACACAACACTTGCTCGTATAACGAGCCCCTCCTCGCTCATCGAAAGCATCCCTTCATTATGAAGACAACCCGAGGGTCTAATGCAGACTTTACTACATTGGGGTCAACGCGAAACCCCAACCTACTAGCTCAAATCGGAAAACCAACAAACCTCCATTATGGTTATTTCGTCAAACCCTTCCTCGCCCTCCTTTTCAAAGAGGCATTCAAAGAACATGTGCTGGAGAGGTAAGAGTGTTGGTATTAGACCGTTATCACCAGAAATCACACACACTTTTCTGAATTGTTTTAAATAACTGTTGGATATCTACTGGGACCCAGTCATTTTGGAATCTACTGGGACCCAGTCAGTTTACTATATGAGTCATTATTCATCCTACACTATTTTCTCTTTAATTCGTTTCCTCTTCGAAATGATCTCGTCCTTATGTATAAACAAGTTTGATCCAAGCCAGCAAGCTCCTTATGCTGTGTTTCGATCTGTACGTCCTGCAACGGTCCACTGTCATGAGTTGGACATCTTTTTTTGGTTTGCGTCCTCTCAACTGACTTTTTGTTGAACTACCCCTACCCCTAGACTTTGACGAGTCGCAAGGAATGGAGTGTTCTATGCAGTTCCTATGTAGCTACTTTGCTCTTATTTCTAATATTTCAAACCCAGCTTTTTGTCAGCTTATAAAAAAAAGATGAATAAGCCAAAAAAAAAAAGATGAATAATCAAGCAAGACTATAAAAAGAAGGTCAACCAAAGGAGGTTCTTACCATCAATCTCAACAAGGATCATCATACAAGCGTCTCAACCATAACCTAGGTCAAAAGCAAACCCCATACACTCATTCGCTAACTACACCACACAAGGAAATATCATGTCTCACAATGTTGTCGTTGCTGGTGCTTCTCGAGTAAGTACAAGACGAATGAATTTCGGTTTGTTTGTTTCAATTTATGTTAATGCCAATTCATATGAACTGTTCAATTAACAATTACGTCTCTGTCTTCTAGGGAATCGGTCTCGCTCTCGTGAAATACTCTCTCTTACAAAACGATAAATCCCGTGTTGCTGCAGGAGTCCGGAATCCATCAAAAGCTATGGAACTAGCGGAGTTATCCAAGAGATATCCTGGTCGTCTTCACATCTTTACTCTGGATGTCGACAGTGACGAATCCATCAAGGCTTTTACTGCGTCGGTCACAGCTGCTTTTCCCAACGGTATCGACGTCCTTATCAATAATGCTGGTGTGTCACCTCCGAAAGCTAATCTTGCTGATGTGTAAGTTTTACTTGCTGTCGTGGGCGGAAAGATGTCGTTCAGATCATCACGCTAACCAACAATCACCGAATATAGATCACGAAAAGATTTCCTAAACACCTTCAACACCAACGCCCTATCATCATACTACGTAACAGTCGCTCTCCTCCCACTCTTGTCAAAGAGCGCCAACCCCAAAGTAGTAAACATCTCTTCTCTGTTGGGCTCCATCGGTGCTCTAGTCGAAACAATTGCTTTTGGTGCATCTCCAGCATACCGCGCTTCGAAAGCCGCAATGAATATGTTGTCCGCTACGCTGGCTGCTGTTAACCCTGATTTGACGATTGTTACTTCTCATGTAAGTAAACATGTTTGCTGAAACTCTTTAAAAATTTGCATACTGACTTGTTATGTCTGGCCTAGCCCGGCTTGGTATTGACTGACATGGCTGCAAGTGCTGGAGTAACTGCCGAAAACTTCCCAATTGCTATTACTACTGAAACGTCCGCCACTGCCCTGTTGAAGGTGATTGATGGGTTGACAAAGGCTGATAATGGTAAATTTCTCAACTATGATGGTGCTAGTCTGCCTTGGTGAAAGGAGTTGCAGTAAAGAGATCCAGAACATCAAAAATGCTTTCATGGTGGTTGGTAGTCGAATAAGGATTGGTTGGAATTTGACTATGTATATTCGTTTCGCTCACAACAAAGGGGGCCTTCTGTCACCTTGGTTTGAGTTCTTTGTGTGTTGTCCGTGAGTTTCGGAGTATAGTTTTATCAGACTAATTCGTAAACCGAGTTGACGTATGGAAACAGCAATACATGTGTTTGCATAGCAAGTCAGTAGATGAATCTGGATACATGCTCAATGCTCGAATGATAGCTTGGTAAGTGTTTGCCATATGGGCATTACTTTCGCTCATCGCTCCTGAACTCACCCATCATTTGAAATGAGTCAGATACTTGTTGGATGTATACTGGGGCACGTCGGTTTACTAGACGAGTCGTTGTTTCAAACACGTTTTGTAAATTTGTGGAATCGAAGTGATCTCATCTCGTCTTTCTCTATGCAATAGTCTATTCAAGTCAGAGACGCCACACAAGATGACCGTGTTTTGTGGTTTACATTGGCACTCGCAGTGTTCTCGTGCCGCAGGTTGGTTGTTATTGTCGTTTGCGGCGACCCGACTCATTTTGTCTGAACACACATCTTGGACGATAAGTTGCTGCAGGACGTCAAGGATTTAACGTCATATATAAGCGTTGACGCGTCTCGTAGAGTCTAGTTTTGAAAACGTTGACCTTTGATTCGCAATCATCAGTATCTTTGTATTTCAAATCTCTTTCCGGTTCCACCAGGACGATGCAATCGATAGAATGCCAGTCTGACAAAAGGACGATGAATAATTGAAGACTATAAAAAGAAGACAACCAAAAGCGAAATGTTACAACCAATTTCAACAGAATCAGTATACAAGCTTCGTAAGAACAAGCTAAACCCTTCTCAAAGCACATATTACATTTTATCACGTTTGATCTAAACAACCATGTCTCACAACGTTGTCGTTGCTGGTGCTTCTCGAGTAAGTACAACACTAAATATTCTAATATACTTCTGCGTATAAACGTCACCAGACCAACTAACAATTTCCATTCCTTCGTTTAGGGAATTGGTCTCGCTCTCGTGAAATACAGTCTCGTACACGACGATAAATCCCAAGTCGCTGCAGGCGTCCGTACTCCATCAAAGGCTACAGAACTAGCGGAATTGGCAAAGGCGTATCCCGGTCGTCTTCATATCTTTACTCTGGATGTCGACAGTGACGACCTCATCGAGTCATTCACCGCGTCGGTAACAGCTGCTTTTCCAAATGGTGTTGACGTCCTGATTATTAATGCCGGTGCATATACTCCGAGACCTAGTCTTGATGTTGTGTAAGTTTGTTCAGCTGTGTTTGCTGTAAACGTGTCGTGGTCAAACCAGCGAACTAAACCAACTATATCATCACCAAATAGACCACGAAAAGACTTCCTAGACGCGTTTACCACCAACGCCCTATCATCATACTACATAACAGTCGCCCTCCTCCCACTCTTGTCCAAGAGCCCCAACGCTAGGGTCTTGAACATATCTTCAAGCGCGGGATCCATCACTTATGTCCGCGACACTATCGCTTTTGGGCCACTCCCAGCATATCGTGCTTCCAAAGCTGCTATGAACATGTTGTCTGCTACGTTGGCTGCCGTTAACCCGAATGTGACGATTGTTACTTCTCATGTAAGGAACCCAGCTTCTTGATGAAACACTTGCAATCCTATTTTTTGAAACTGAAACGCTTTTGTTTGGTTAGCCTGGTGTCGTTTTAACTGATATGTCTGCATCTGTTGGCGTCAATGCCAAGGAGTTCCCAGAGGCTATCACTACGGAAGTGTCTGCTGCTTCGCTGTGGAAGGTGCTTGACGGCTTGACTAGAGCTGATAGTGGTAAATTCTATAGCTACGATGGTACTATTCTTCCCTGGTAAAATCAAAGCGCCTGTAGAACAAACATGTATGGTGTTTCATAGTGCATTGCAGTCGAATAAAGATTCATTGGGTTTGAAGATGTATTTTTTCTTTTGGTTTTGCTTCGAACTTGGTTGTTCATCGAAACCGTTCCCTGATGGCGAAGATAAGTCTAGGATCCAATGCTGACTTGACTACATTTCGGTCAACGCGGAAACCCAAAATAGCTTAGATCAGATAAATCAAGTCAAATTTGTTTCGTAATACTTTTCAGCAATGTATTTGAGGTTCACTACCAAGTTTGGTTCCTGCTAATCATACACAGTCCTATATTATCAGTCACAGTGACTTTATTCTGTCGGGCGATCGCATCCAAGCCGCCAGCTTAACTTCCCCAGATAGTTTCAAACCCTTCCTCTCCGTCTTTTTCAAAGAGGCCTTCAAAGAAGATGTGCTGGAGATGTATGAGCGTTGATATTAGAGCATCATCAGCAGCAGCCACAAAAATCAAAATTCACACAATTCTTACATGAACATCAATGCCACGATCCGGCCAACCAGCAAACTTGCCAGTCTCACGAAACGTTCGTTCAAAATCAACCGTTATCTCTAACAGTTCCTCAACGGTGAAGAATTTGCCATTCTTGGCGTCATAACTCTTCGATTCTAAAGCCGACCGTGACGTTGTAAGGAGAGCGGTACACGTAGAACAGGCCATCTTGAGTAAAGACTCACCACCATATCCACATATAAGAATTTCCGGCTTGTCGTAAACGGTCGCATTCTTCTGTTCTTCAGTCAGTGGAGCTGCCTCCTCTGTTTCTTCATCCCAATACTCGAATTCTAATAGACAGCATCATATCAGCAAACTATCATTCGTAATTCTTCAAACTTGGCGACTTGCAACCAGAGTGGCCCACGGATTTGATTTTTGCTCCAGGTTTAACGAATTGATTCGTCAATGGTGCCACTGAGTATTGATCCTTGGGATCTACTAATTCGATTTCCAGTAGATATTGGTAGTTTTTAAGAAGAGGCATGTGTCGTATGATGTATTCGTGCCTATACAAAATATTGATGTTGAAGGTGAGCAAAAAACCCCAAGACACGACCCAAACGATAAGCGTACAAGCTCCCAAATACGAAACTAGCTACTTTCAATCGTCAGGTCTCTCCAGAAAATGCGATTCTCAAATGTCCTGCCACAGTGTGCTGTGTAAAGCAAGGCTTAGTGTGATCGCAAAGGGGTTTGGATTTGCCATCTTTCTCAACCTCACTTTAAAGAAATAATTCTTAGCTTAGAGTAGGTGAAGGCGACGTGGTTGGCCAGTGTACTATATATAATACAACGTAAGTGCCTGCCATTTCCCGCATCGTACATCCGTGTCTTTCCTCGTTTGCGTAGTTCTAAAACAACCACCCAATTTACATTTGTACAGGTCCCTGTTCTCCACAATGGGCAAGATAAGGTCGAGTCTCGCAGTAGTATTAGGATGCATGGCTACAGGATGCATCGCATCAGCAGATGAATACGCGCCACCGTCACGATTAACAAAGAGACGGCCACCAAACAAGTATTTAATGATGAGTGGTTATTTCAGGCAAGCTGCAGCAACACCAACACCAACCGCTATGATATCGACGCCCACGCCAACAGGAGTTGGTATAACGCCCGCACCAACCGCTGCAGCTTCATCAACAGCTACTACTGTAGCTGCTCTAGGAGTCAACGCATCACCTTCAGCAGTAGCAGCCGCTGCGTCAACATCTGGATTAAGTGGAGGCACTATAGCCATAATCATAATAGCGTGCTTGTTGATTATACCGTTGCTGGCAATAGCATGGATTCTGTTTGGTCGAGACAACCTGGACAGTCGAGTCTCGAGAATTGGCGAAGGAGGTGCATCATCAGCAGCTGGTGATGCTACAGCGGCTAGTAAAGTAGCTGATATACCCGGTGTAGCTGTAGCCAGTGAGGCAGCTGTTACGTCTTCGTCTGTAGCGCCATCTATTCCACCTTTAGCTTTAGGTGAAGCTTCAGCATTAGAAGCTGGAGCTGTAACAGAATCTGCTGTCGTAGCTCCTGAAATAGCATCTGAAGCTGTGGTAGCACCAGCAATCTCTGAAACTGATGCTATAATCGCCGGAAGTGTCGCTGCTGGAGCTATAGGGGTAGGAGCTGTTGCTGCCGCCTCTGCAACATCATCTCGTAACTCTCTAGAAACATACCGCATGTCAATGGAAGAAGCAGCAGCTCCGACAAAGGCTGCCTTCGTGCCGCCGCCACCTGATGAATCCGTGGTTGCTCAGCAATATACTGCCATTCAAAGTGACGAGATCTCTCTAAATGCAGGCGATTTGATGGGCTCCTTAACACATAAATTCGATGATGGATTCGCATACGGGAGAAACAATAGTACAAAGCAATGGGGACTCTTCCCTGTTGCAGGTTTGACGCCTATAAAATCTGGGCCAACGCAGACTGTATCGAAAGCCGACAAAGCTGCTACGTGGGTTGGCCGGCTAGGTCGTAAAGAATCTGATGAGCAAGTAGTGGGTGCTATTGGAGCACGAACTGATTCGTTTGGAGCTGATTCTCCTGAGGAGTTCAATACTAAACTGAAAGCGTATCTGGATGCAAAGTCTGCAGCCACCACTACCACAACAACCTCAGCAATGGACATTGGAGATATCCAGGTTGCTCCCAAACCAGTAGAAGTGGAAGAAGTTGTGACTGAGACTACGACTGAAGTTACATCTGTTGAGGTATTCAGTGTTTGTAATTGTCAAAAATGTAACCGTTTGACTTACATGCACTTTGTTTAGACGACTGAAATCACATCTGAACCAGCTGCCGGCTTCTTTTCTAAGGTGCCAGCAGCACAATAAACCCTGCGCACATAATACTCTCGAACGATACCAATAATATTTTACATAGCCTTTACCAGACAAAAATAAAAGAATAATCATCAATACAATCTCTGGTTGTGTTTGCGTCCTGTCGTTGTTGTTTCGTCCTCGACCTAGAATTTGATCGAGAAAAACCAGCTCAAAATCAGAAGTTTGAGGTGTATGGAATCGGACTAATGGGAAATACACAGAGTAATAACAATAGCAACGAGAAATCGTCAGCAGTGCCGATACGGGTATCTGAGATATCGGCCAGCAATGGAGAGACCTTCAGCACTCCTCCGTCTTCACCACCAAATTCACGAACAGACCATCATCACCATCCAGACGGAGACTCGACTAGTTTCCTACAACGGCCGCCGTCCGCATCGACGCTACTAAGGCCACGAGAAACCATACCAGTCACTATAACTTATCTATCTCGAGATGCACAACATATACATCCTCCAAAACCCATCGTCATCAACCAACAGCCAATACCCATAGTGAGAGAACCCTATACACCACCGCCTACTGAGCGAAGCTACAAGAACTCGGCTCGTATTGTACATGCTTTTGGCGTAGGAGGCCTCGCTCCTCTTGCCCCATTGGCTAAAGGAGGTAAAGAGGAGTCTCGTTTTTGTTAAAAAATTGTGCTTGGTTTTGACCAATGTTTTGACTTGATCCTTCTACCCAATTGCAGAGGATTCCAAGAAGAGAACAATACCTATAATGATTGGATGGACTGGTGGAGGACGTACGGTGTATATTACAGGGACTTTCAACAACTGGAAGCAAAAGATACGAATGTTCAAAAGGTGCGTGGCATATCATTTCGCTTTGTAAACCATCAGCAATTAATAATACTCATACTCTCCTCATCTGTCACTCCATACCTCTCACTCAACTATATATCAACCACTGCCACGATAAACTACTAGTAATGCTGATTTCTCAACAGTAATTGATATGCCCCCAGGCACCCATCGCCTAAAGTTTGTCGTGGACGACGAATGGAAGTGCTCTGAGGACTTACCCGTAGCTTCAGATGCAGATGGTAATTTAGTCAATTTCCTAGAAGTAGAAGATGAAGACGGAAGGCATCAAAACGATGGTCTAGACTCCTTGGCCGGCGACGAAGCACCACCACCACTATCCCCGCTATCTGAATCGCCAGAATCTACATATGCCTCTGAAATACCGTCATATCTAACACGGCCGTCAACACCACCAGCGTCAGGACCAAGTAGTAGTAAAACACCAGCTGCCAGCAATAATAGTAGTAGTAGTGGTAACACCAACAGTAATATTAGTAGTAGTAGTAGTAATAGCGGTAACGCTGCAGCAGCTGTAACTGAGAATGGTCCATCACCCGATGCTCTACCAACTGAACCACCACCGGGTCTACCACCTCATCTAGAACGTGTTTTGCTGAATTCTGGGAATATGGAGCATGAGGATGCTTCGATACTACCGTTGCCAGATCATGTCACGTTGAATCATTTGTATGCATTGAGTATTCGGGATGGTGTAATGGCTGTTGCTACAACGGCACGATATAGAAGAAAGGTAAATGACTCAAGAACAATTTCCTATGTCTAATACTGACCCTTTGTTTCACTAGTATGTGACGATCCTCCTATATAAGCCCACGATGGTGTAAACGTGATTTTTGAGACACATTAAGCTTGACACCCACTGTATAAACGTTTAAATTGCACTACAATCCACAAAATTTAATTAAAGAAGTGTATTTGCGGTATGATTTTGATCATTAAGTGGAAAGTTAAGCGTCGTGCGATCAAGCTTTTGCAACACGTTGAGCTACAGAAGCAACCCTTACGCGATGGACACAGCTCTAGAGGATACAACTGAATTCTTGTAAGTCTCACGTTCAGAGTTTTGATCTTGCTTTCCCTTGCATAGTGCTAATTGGCTTCAATTCTAGTGATTCGGACGAGGAATTACAGGTAAAAATCAAGGAATTCGCAACGTTGTTGAGAAAATCAACCCATACCGTGTTTTTTACTGGTGCAGGTATGCTACAATTCCTCCTTTCTTCTCTTCCGCAGCTTGCATTTGACACAATCCTTGACATCTCATGTGGTGATCAAGAACATTGACACAAAGCTTGACATTTGGCATTGCAAACAACGTTTTGTATTCAGAACACTAAACCCATAAATTCAACAACTAGGCATAAGCACGTCAGCCGGCATCCCAGACTTTCGTGGCCCCACAGGAATATGGACACTTCAAGCCAAAGGACTGCCCACACCGTCCTTGGACACCATGAACAATATTCTCCCAACTCCTACCCACATGGCAATGGTCGCACTACAAGATCGCAACATGCTGAAATTCGTCATAAGCCAGAACGTGGATGGCTTGCATCTACGAAGTGGCATCAAGCCTCATGCGTTGGCGGAACTGCATGGCAATACGAATATTGAGAGGTGTCTGGTGTGTTCGAAACATTATTATCGGCCGTTTAGAGTTAGGCCGTTGGGAGCTGCGGATCCTTCGGGACGTCATCTTACTGGTATCGACTTAAATGTGTTTTTTCCACTGTATGGACTCACATTACACCGTCTCGTAGGCAGGAAATGTGAACAGTGCGTGGGATTACTACGAGACTCGATAGTACACTTTGGAGAGGGTTTACCAGACCGTGATCTTGAAGCTGGGTTTGAGCATTCAAGAAAGTGTGATTTGATGGTCGTGTTGGGGTCTAGTTTGAGCGTATACCCTGCCGCTGAACTGCCACATCGAGCTGCTCAAGCGGGAGCTCAGTTTGTTATTATCAATTTACAGAGGACGCCGATGGATGATTTAGCTACGGTACGCAATAGTGACGGGTTTGGTTTGGATTTTTTGTCGGTCACGTCGAACATGGATCGTTTACACTTTTAATCTCGTCACTGCCTTAATTCAAAATCATTGATTACCGCTAGTTACGGATCTTTGCTCAGGTTGACCGTGTGATGGTGGCAGTCATGAAGGAACTCAATATGCTAGTTCCCCCTGTTCAGGATCTTCAAAAGGAGCTGGCTGACTCGCAGGTGGCAGTTCGCTCTCTGATGTAGACATAATCTAATTGTCTTAGTAAAACGACGTCGTTTCTTTATTGACATTGTCTGGTTTTGGCAATTGCGTACTCGAATGTTGATATCAAAGCAGGGTTCCAGCCTGTGGTTTAAACCGATAAATACCAGTGTGAGTGTCCTTGAAGGCAAATCCGTTGCTGGAAAGCCCTGACTTATCAATCAGGCTTGTGGCCAATACGCGTCGCGTCGTACGTGTTCATTGCATTTGAAATCATCTGAAATTGAAAACCCAGCACGCAACACTAACAAAGAAACCTCCAATAAGACTATCTCAACATAAACAATATGGCTCAAAAGGGAATCGCGGTGGTCTTTGGTGTTGGTCCTGGTAAGCCTCCGTTGTTCTTTTATTGCTTTGCTGAGTGATTGTACTTTGTGTGCCTTACTAACGTTTTCTTCTCGCGATTAAACAGCTCTAGGTCGTTCTATATGTCTTCGTTTCGCTAAAGCTGGTCACACTGTAAGTATTTGCCTCTCTCTCTCTCTCTGACTTTATTTTGGCTTCTCACATGTGCATTATCGTCACAACATTTTGCTGACACACGACACATTTCCCTCCATCTTTAGCTCGTTATCAGCTCTCGCAACGCTTCCAAAAACGAATCCATAAAGCAAGAAATCCTCGCATTGGGAGTCCCATGCACATCACTCTCCTGCGACGTCTCTGACGAATCTGCAGTAAAGCAGCTCTTTGCAACAACAGCATCCACGTATCCAGGTCAAAAGATTGATGCCGTAGTATACAACCCTACCGGCTTCTCACGCGGAGGCATCATGTCGTTGACTCCTAAAGGTGTTAGTGATGCATTGAACATCACGATTTTGGGGTATTTGCATGTTGCGCAAGGGTGTATCCCGACATTCTTGGCTCAGGGATTTGGAACTGTGGGTAGTCTAAAGGGTTTTGTATCGTTTGAGAGATATTGGCTGACGTGTTTGTTTCTGCAGATCTTGGTAACTGGTGCTACCGCCGCTTTAAGGGGATCCGCAATGTTTGGCGCATTTGTATGTCAACCAATTCATTATCGCCATTACTTTGTCGCTCACCATTTGGTATAGGCTGCCTCCAAAATGGGGTTACGTGGTATGGTGCAATCAACTGCACGTGAATTTCATCCACAAAACATTCATGTTGCCCACATCGTAAGTCTTGTTTCTTGCTATTCTTGTCGTTCTTCACAATGAGCCCCACCATTTCCTTTGTAACTAGATTGTCGATGGACCTATTGGCAGTTCCGCAGTACAATCTGCTCCAGGACTTAGAGACATGCCAACAGAACGTTTCTTGAATCCTGATGCTATTGCTGACAGCTACTACTACTTATACACGCAAGATGCTACTGCTTGGACCCATGAGATGGATTTGCGAACACATCTTGAAAAGTTTTAAGCAAGGGCCAAAACACGCAGCATTAAGTTCTCAAAGATATATGATGAGATGTATGGTAGTCATTTTATACATAAATTTAACGAAAGAAAAACCACATGCAATGCAGGATTGCGTATCTACAATAAAGGTACAAGGCGGGCTTTATGCCACTGTAAAACTACATATTCTCCTTTCTAAAGACAAACAACAGTTCAGTCTGATTTTGAACAAAACAACGCCCACTCTCTGCCTTCTAAATTGATGGTGTCGACGATGGTGGTTGCTCTGATATTACGATGGCGGGATATATGAGTTTGGGCAGGTGGTCACCTTTCGTACCACAATTTTCCTTGTCATCGGTGTCCATATCAGTATCATCATAGACATCTTCATCTGGTTCTTCTTTTGCCAACACTACATCCATGTAGATGTCCTCTTCATGGAGGGTCTGATCTGTCTCCGTTTCGACATCTTCTTCTGCGACTTCATCTGATGATTCTCTACGGTACAGGAGAATGAAATGGTTAACATTCGTTCATGAGAGGTGTACAAAAGGGATGACAGTGGGTAAATATGCAAACAAAAAAAGCGATGAATCCTGTGTGTTCCACCACCGCCGACATAAGGTGCCTCCCGTCCGTCAACTTCCCCAAATTGAAAAGTCGAGACCACGAAATTACCTTTTTAGGTCAGCGCCTGCTTCTTCATTATTTGCATAATATTCTTCTACTTCCGTTTCGTCTGCTTGATCGTCTGCTTGAGCATTATCGACCAGATCGTCCATACCAGCGTCATTTGGACTACGCACGGTTGGACTTTGGGGAAAGCTATTACTATTCCTAGATTCCGCCTTCTTTGTGGTGGTACTATTGAACTGATCCATCGTTGTTAGGTGTCTGGAATTGGGAGTTTGTGATCGATGCTGTTGTTGTTGGAGCTGTTGCTGTGGAGTATGAGGGTTTTTTATCAGTGATGTATAAGCAAAGTTTGGCCCACGATGTTTCTTGCCGTTCGTTTCGGTATCATATGTATGGTTGGTATGGTGATTGTGTTTTCCAGGAGATAGATTGTTGTCTAGCAGGCTGCGACTATATTCTTCTTGACGACGATGGTATTCTCGTTCTTCGTTATCGCTTACATCGACTTCTGAGTCGTCCTTTACTATATCCAGTGACAATGTATTGTGCGTATTGGGGTGATGAGGATTTGAATCTAGTGTTTCGTCACTCTGACCCTCGTCCTCTTCGCCTTCAGCTGGTTCATGCTGGCCTTTTTCTTGTTCTATTGGCTCATCTAGGCCTTCTTCTTCGTCTTCTTCCACCTGCTCGACGAGGTCTTCGTCATCTTGAGCTTCCGGATCACTGTATTCCTGTTCCTCCAAGTGCTTCTAAGCGAAACGAAAAAGAGACGTTTCAGAGCACTTGTAAGCGGTGGATGTTATATCCTCTCGCAAAGTACCTTACCATGTAATGATAGCCTTGAGCCCAATTCTCCATCTCAGCAGTTTTATTACGACACTTGTCCCTCAACTCACACCGTTCATTCCAAGACGTTTCCACCTCATCTGCAACTTGTCCCAAGAAGTAGGATGTACCGGGTTGGGTATGAAGATATTGGAGATACTTGAATTTCTTCTGTGTCTGGTCATGTTGCTTGGCGAGTTTGTCGAGGGTGTCCTTAGCTGTTTGCCATCTGAAGAGACAATAGTCCTTCTACAGATTTGGAGAATGGTTAAAAGGGGCTGTTTCAATGCTTGGGCCGTCTTTGGGAAGAAACAAAATGAAGTATCCAATGGTTGAATGTCAAACCACAAACCGAATAAGGGAAAGTTTCGACTTCTTCCTCCTCGTCATCAGCCAGTTCTTCGTCATATTCTTGATCCCTACGTTGCCTCTTCCTGTTCTGGACATTCCCTTCGTCCTTCCTTCGCTTCATGACTCTAATCAACAGTGTTGAACTTTTGAGCGAGTGAGGTGGTGTGAGCTTGTTGCAACGAGAGGGAAGATCTCGTTTACGAGGTTGGATGTGTGTTTTCTAACGTATTGATACTCTTAGGACTATCATTGACCCTTCACTTTCTTCCAAAATAGACATCAACGTTGGGAGACGAGCAATTTTCATTCGAGTTTTTTGTTGGAACTTCCAGTCAAGGAATGCGACTATTTACGTGCATATCGGCTTCATGATTCAACTTATTTGCAACTCGGTGGGTTGTCGAATAGTAGTCTCGTCGCATCGTTGAAAAGCATGCCAACATGTACTATACAGTGGTCTTTCGTTCCAAACACGTAGATCGACCAGATATATCGCATCTTGGTAGTGATTTCATTACAGAATCCTTCTCAGAATGTCTGTTTGAGGTGTCTGATCTTCATGAGCTAAGAAAGAAGCGACGGTGATCCACAGATCCGTGAGCAGGACATGGTTTAACGGAGAGATAACGCGTCTAATGGTGGATTCACTACTTTAAGTTTCATTCGGAGGCAGCCTTAGCGTTTTCCAATCTGCGCAATCGATGTTTTGAGTAGATGTTTGGAGGTTTGTTCGTTTCAAGGTGAAATCTAACGGGTGTCGGACGTGTCTGACATGCTGATTCGATTTCAATACACGGAAATTATACACTGAATTGCTTCGTTATAGCTCATTTCGTTGGTTTGCCATCTCGACCAATTTCCAAACGTCCAAAACGTCGACAGCAATATTCAACCCAATGAACTCATCAATCATTAGATTTCAACTATAGTAATCGACCATCCAGATCGGTGTCGAGCGCTGCGCTCCTAACTCATCCATAATTTATACAGATTGACGCTTTATTGGAGACACCTTCACATTCAACTTGTCGAGGATGGCCCTGAGCAATCCAACATCAATCCAGCCCCAACAACGCAAGGATACTGTAGTACTCAAGCGCAGACTGGCAGAGCATCTTGGAGATTCAGCAGAGAAGGTCTATTGGAGTCTTTTGAGCCAATTCCTCCTTGGCCGAATCGCAAAGGGCGATTTGGACAGAGAGCTCAAACATATCCTCAATGAAGATGCTGGTAGGTCTATTTTGATCTTCGTCATATTGATGATGCATCTATATTGATTCGTCAGCGGCACCTTGTTTGTGTCTTGCAAACTGGGAGCTGCAAGAGCTTGACCAAACAATTCCCTGCACTCTCATCTGTTTATCAATTGTCTCGATCTCTCTTCTTTCAAGATGATCAGTACTAACATATCAATACAATTGTAGCGCTGATACACAACCAACTTCTCATGGCCGTGCTGCACAATGCCCAAAAGGATGTTCCTGCTCCTACTTTGCCATCTGCACCTCACGAACCCATATCTGTAAACGAAATACACATCTCTACTGCTAAAAGGAAGGCTAAAGATGCTTTATCTAACGACGCGGTCAAGAGGCGGCATGTCAGTCGGCTGGTATCGACTCTGGATGCTGAAGACCGAAAGCGACTGAGAAATCTAGGTGAACATCTCAATATAACCAATGGCAGACGTATGAAGAATCATATACTTCCTTGGGAGATACCGGAAGCGTCTACTCTGCTCACCAATGCTGCTGAACCAAGAGGTACGAGCCTCGCACGTTTTTATTGCATAGGGGTTTCAGCCTAACTTTGTTATCTACTCTGCTAGATCCGACGCCTAAATGTATAGAAGAGCTCGACTTACCGTCTATAGATACTTTACAGTCACGTATGGATTTCCATGCCAAACAGAACGGACTGGCGCAAGGTGTTGCCCCGGAGGGAATCGAGTATCTATCGCAGGCAGTTGATGTAGGAAACATTATTCTGTGTCGATATGTTTCCAACAGGCATGTAACTAACCCTTCTTCCACCCCATCTTCTCAGAACTTTATCAAGGACATAATTACACGAACCTTGAGCAAAGTCAGACCTGTTAAACCACCGTCAATGAATGAAGAGTCACTACTACCACATCTTCAAACCATGTCCGATACGACTTCAGCAGCATCTTCAGAACTACCAGTTGGCTCTCCTTCGCCAATATGGACTAATAAACACCCGCCGAAACTCTTGAACAATGTAAAGACTCCCGTGCTACGATATAATGGCACCACAGAAGTACCGAATAATAAGAGTCCGGGACGAACGAGCAATCATCATAATCCATCTGCAGGACTTGGTATCAATGGTATACATTCCATGTCGAATGGTCCTACCTCGTTAAATAGTAATACTTCACCAGCACGGTCGAAATCACCATCTAGGCCTGCATCAAACGTAAAAGCTGACAGTGGAGGTTATGTGGCATCATCAACAGCAACAACAATAGCACCAGCAGCAGCAACAACATCACAACCACCGGCGTCATCCAAGTCGAATGAACCGCAATTCGTGACTCCAAACCTCCGTGTAATATATAACCGACCAAAGCACATATCACTGCTTGATTTATCATTTGCTACTGATCTAGAGCCGAGTCTAATGTCGCAAACGAAACGGGCGATAGAAATCCGAGAGTCAGTCGCTGCTCGTAACGAAGACTTTGATGAAGATGATGACGACGATTGGGAGCCACAGCAGCAAATTAGGATTCAAAACAATAACAAGATGGACACTGAGTAAATGCCGTCATTACTATAAAACTTGATCAAAGACTCACAGGCACACCCACCCTATGGTAACTGCAACATCTGGGCGCTTATCTGATCTTCTCTCACACACACACTCTATCTCGCTGGTTTTGTTTGGGACTATTATTGATACTTAGAGTATAGTTGTAACACGCACTTTGTTGTAAAAGTAAAACAAATGGCAAATATAACATTTATATTGGTAAAACACAAAAGCACACACCCTCCCAGGCACATACGACAAAAAGATACGAAAAGGGCATGGATACTGTCCCCAGTGTTCTTTTTTATAAGTTTATGAGCTTTTGCTCTAGTTTTTTGATTACGCTATAGAGAAGAGAGCGGAGTATGGTTCTTACGAGCTTGGCGTTTCTGTCTTCTGACCACGGTTACTATCGAGTCAAAGAGAGAGTGGATTTAGGATTGAACCCTTGTAAAGGCACACCAGACAAACACATAACTTACCGTAAACTCTTAATCCTTGACGATAGCATCGTCCCAAACTTGTTGGCTCCCTGTGCTGCTTTACTTCCCAGCTGTTTGATTTCTTTACTCAATGGAGTGATGGCGTCAACAACTGGAGAGTCAGTCTTTACAGCAGCAACCGGCGGTGGATTGACCGGTTGTGATCCTACAAGCCCGAGTTGAGGTGCAGCAACACCAGTATCGGCAGCGTTCATCAAAGTAGGATAAATACCAGCCTGTGGTGTTGTCCCTACCGCTGCTACTGCTGAAATAGGTACGATAGTATCAGTAGGTGCTTTTACATCGGCAGGCATCGCGACATTTGCGGCTTTGATGTCGGTTTTGTTATCTACTGAGATCTTTGAGTCTACTGCTGTCATGGTGCCGGGTGCTGGAGACATGTATGATGGCGGTGCGTCTTCAGCAGGGGTTGTAACGGTGATTTGAGGCGTGGATGTACTAGATGTTGCAGGGAGGGTGCTGCTAGATGAGCCTACGGAGGCTATGGCTGGAAGGCTCATGGAGGCTTTAGCTTTGAGCTCTTGGAATTGGGTGCGGATTGTTTCCAGATCTTTGTCGGTCTATGAAAAGAGGAAAGCGGGTGTTGAAGGATTTCATCAACAAAACAAAACCGATGATCGCTTTGCAACTATGGCTTACAATCCCAATCTTGCCAACTGGCTCATCATGCAAGTATGGAGTCGTAGCAATAACACTATCATGCCAATCACAAGCCTGCTTGAGCTTGATCAAATCCTCTCCGATATCCCCTACAACCTTATCACTCTTCAACATCATATGCTGCTGAATCCTGGACACGGACGTCTTGGCAACCTTAACAACCTGTGCAGTCTTGATCATATCAAACAGTTTCTTGTTTAGTGATTCGACCCACACCTTGTTTTGTCTGAGGTATTTCGGAGCGCTGCGATATCCAGCTTTGGTTTGGATGCCGCCTAGCAATGCAGATAGTTGGCTGTACTGGCGTTCGTAGGCCATGAGGTAGGATAAGAGGACTGCGAGAACTCGGTGGAGGACTGTGGCGAAGCCGCTGTCGTGGCCTTCTGAGACAGGAGCGAGGAGGATTTCACCACCATTGTAGATTATGCGTAGGAGGATGCCACAGATTCGAGACCATTCGACTTGCATGAAGCTGTTGAAGGTGAGGGATACGAGGAGGTTTGGGATGTTTTGGTCGGATGATTTGGTTACCTAATTTATTTTTCAATGCGTTAGTCAACGTTTCTCTGGTTCGTAGAGAAATGGCAGTTTGCGTACAACAGGGTAGAGGAGACCCGAATACTGAGAGCCAAACAGTCGTTCCAAATCGATATTCTTTTTGACTTTACGGAAGAAGAATTTGTTGTGCTTTGTCTTATTCAAGTTCCAGTCTTGAAGCGTAGTAATACTCTTCGCAATTAGCGCGGATTCAATAGCACTACCTTGATATCTAGGCCAAAAACATAATATGAGTCGTCGTCTGCACCAAATCCAGTCCTGCACAAAAAAACAACCGAAAACATACATTTCATCATTGGCAGCGACACCAACAGACGGGATACCACCATTGCAAACTCTTGCGACTTCGGCATACACAGCAGGAGATACACTAGCCTTGTCAGGCTTCATCTTTTCTTTCAAAACCTTCATCAATAAGCATGCAGCACCACCAGCCGATTCTGACAATTGCTCGTCGTCAGATTTGGCATCTTCTCTGGCCTTGAATGTCCACGTTGCTTCAGACAGGGTCTCGGAAGACAGGTTGATCAAGTTTTGTTCCAAGTCTTCGACTGCTCGGGAAACAGCGATGTTGTCGCATTTCTTTTGGACGTCGCGTCTGAGGAGGTCGATTTGGTTGATGACACTAACGAAAACAGGAGTAATTTGAGAAAAGGCAAATGAATGGAGAGTTACTTGGGACCCACAAGTTCATGATCTCGAGATCAGAGCGTTTGACCTTGTTACTAGGGAAGTTTGTCGCAACAATTCCTCTGTAAAACGAGACACGGGATTCCAACTTGAGAAGAGTGCTATCAATTGGAAGATCGTCAGAACGTATAGCCCACAACGAAAGGAAGAAGTGCGTGCTGGCTTTCGAGCTTACTCCAAGGAGTCTGGAGTCCATGAGTTCAAGTCATAGATGAACTCAAAGAGCTCGCCAATGACGCCAAGGAAACAAATTCTTGCTTTAGAATTCGTCCAGCCCCATTCGAATTTGTCCTTGTTCAATTGAGTATAGATTGCTTTGATATACTCTGAATAGACGGCGTCCTATATGGATGGTAAAGAAAGGTGGTCAAAGATTCAGAAGATCCAAACATAGGAGAGTGAAAATGTGAATCCAGATGTACGTCGACAAAGATGGGCTGCAAATGGTTGAAACCCGGCATGCTTGATGCGAAAGCTCACCACTTGTTTAAGCTCACGACGTTGATGGAGCAACGTAATGGCTTCATCAATTGTACGAAGAAAGAAATGCTTGTCTCCAAGCGACTGGCATGCCGTAATGTAGATTGTGGTCCACTGCTGGGCAGACTGGCCGACTACAATGCGAGGTTTTCGGAATGGTTAGAACTTGATGAAAACACCGTCAAAAGTGGCTGGAAAAGCTTGAACGAGTAAGGCGTTGATTCAATACGCACGTTTCCACTCTTCAAACATCTTGAAATCGATCGTTTGGGAGTGCTTGTATGATGGGATTGCTTTGGTCTTTGGTCAATTTTAGGCTTGTTTGAGTACCATCCGCTCAGTCCGAAAAGGTGCAGCAGTCACACACACACACACAACACGTCAAGACAACTGGTAGAGGGATTTGTATCGAGACCGCCAGCTTCTTGAGTTGCAGATCATCGTGCATTTGCAAGACAAATGATCCTTGCACTTGGTTGCATCAGGTACTTCTATCGTGGCGAATTTGCGAAATTCAAACGCTTTCTGGGGTTGAGAGCGTTATAGCTGCGATGCATGAATTGAAGCCGCCGCATATTGTCCTATGATGTGTTTTACTCACTTAAAGAGCTGATTTCGTAAGCGATCGGTGATCGTTTCATGTAGTTTTCTTACTTTGGACCGCTTCGAGTTTTTGGACCAGCGTTTCAATTTGTTCCTTTGAACATTCATCAATATTCATTGAGCTTTTCAAGCACAAGCTCAACTATTTCTTGCTAGTCTGCTCGACGACGATTCCAGATTTCTGAGTGAGTCTAAGATATTGAGATTATTTCAATGTTTAGAGCTACAAATGCAACAAATTCTCTTCAAAGTCTTCATGTTTACGTGGATTTATACGGTCAGAACACTACAATTTGTAACTGTTGGTACGTATATTTCAGAAGATACAGATGATACTCGACAAAAATATGAATTGAAAACACATCAAAAACTTTATGAGATTTGCGTTTCTGACTTAACTACGATTGCTATAAAGTAAAGAATGTAGATACGATTGTGATGAGCTTTACATTTCTGGTTTCTGGCTACGGTTACTATTGATTGAAGAAACGAATGGATCAGAATTGATTCTGGCAAAGGCCAACACGACAAGGGTTTTGAGCAATAGCATACCGGAAACTTTTGATTCTTGCGGAAAGCATTTGACCAAACTTGTTTCCTCCCTGCGTTGTCTTACTTCCAAACAGTTTGTTTCCCGTCGATGGATTGATGGCATCAACTACGGGTGTCGAGCCATTCTTTACTGGAGAAGTACCAGCGGTGTTGTTGGCAGCTGGAGTAGCATTACCATTGTTGTTGGCAGCAGATACTGGCGTTTGCTGATTCATTTGTGTTGCTACTAGAGGTACAGGCCCAGTTGGTCCAGTTTGCTCGATTGGCACATGAGGACCAGGTGCAATATCTGGAATGGATACAATGGTATCGACAGGGCTTTTCTGAGTTGCATTGACCATTTCAGGTATGTTTTGGGCGTATCCACCAGGCAGTCCGAATCTGTTGTCGTTTTCGTTAAGTGTGATCTTTGAGTCTACTGCTGTCGTGACACCTGGTGGTGGACTAGTATATGATGGCGGTGCGTCCTGCGGTGTGTTGGAGGTGATTGCTGGAGTTAAGTTGTTGTTACTTGACGATGGCATACCACTATTTCCTTGATTGCCGTTGTTGTTGGCACTACCATACAAAGCTGCGGCACCCAGAGCTGCTGCTCCGCCACCCAATGCTGCATTTGTGTAGTTGCTGTTGTTGTTACTAGTCGATTCTGAGCTGGGCGGTGGCATCCCGTTGTTTGACTGACCATAAGTGGAATTAGAGCCGATAGGTGGCATACTGGTGTTGGTATGAGGTGTATTGTCACTACCATACGAGGCAGCACTGTTTCCTTGATTTGCGTTGTTGCTGCTACTATTATTACCATACAGAGCTGCGGCGGCCACTGCCGGAGCACTAGATGCGTAATTTGAGGGATCTGAGGAGATAGCAGGTTGCATACTGGTGTTTGATTGAGGGGGGTTGTTATAATTATACGAAGTATCCGAGTTAGGAGGTGTCATGCCGGTGCTTGACTGGGATGGGTTG